AACAGCAAAGAAGAGGCGTGAAGCGAACCAGTCTCTTTACGCGCAGGAGAGGACCGGGGCAGAGCCTAGCCTGAGCGACTCGTCAATGCCCGAAATTTGGGCTTTGGCAAACTCTGAAACGCAGCTATCGTGGCCCACGGACTATTCCGCGGGATATCTCTACGAGGATCTGGATGAAGTTTTGATAGATGATACTGGGGCTAGTCCAAGTGAGGTTATTGACTAAACGGTAAAAATAACATAATTTGGATTTAAGATCACGGCACAGTCGGTCACGTTTTCCCAAGTGCGATAGGAAAGAATTTGCATTCTGCCCCTATCAGCCTCAGACTCAACCTATCACGCTGGGCGATTGAAGCTTAAAATATAGACTTTGAACCTGAAACATCTGGGGGACAACTGAAACAACTGACCACCACTGAAGGCGGCGATATCCAAGTACGAGAACAGGTAAATAGTCGTACACGAAGCGCCTGTGTTGGGTCAAGCCCCAGTAACGCGCTCCTGTGTTTGCTTGTTCGACGTAGCTAGCACAAGCCGGCTCGTGAATACCACTCATAGCCTCAGATAAGCTAACGATCCCGTATGTGAATAGTGCCCTCGAATGGGAATGTAGCAATACCTCATCTCGAGTGATATTCCGCTCCACCTTGAGCGCTTCTTTTTTAACCGCCACATATCCTAGGCCAGAAATTGCTCGTTGGTCGTTCATTGTCTCCTGGCTTCGGTGGCCTGAAGACTGACGCAAGGCCGCTTGAGCAGTGCTCTTCATCGAGCTGATGGGGACGTTTGGACAGTGTGAGGTAGCTTATAGACAAAGTTCCCAGGTGATTTCATGCAAGCTAGACTGTGATCTGGATCGGTATGGCACTCAAACTCTGTCGCGGCCGGTCTCCCGAGTGTCCATACCAGTGCGGGCGATCGCATTGCGAGTACGGCTTCCGCGGACGGCCTGAGTACCACCGGTCGCACCGTTATTGGCCGTGCCACCAGCAGCATTCGCTACAGCTTCGGCGTTCTTGTGATACTTGTAAACGGTCCAGTCAAACACATAATCGTATTGGAAGCCTTCCCGGACGAAGAGATCCCGAAAAAGTTTCCGTAGATAACTATAATCAGGCTTATCATCGAATCGAAGAGATCGAGTGTAATTGAGATAGATGGCAAACTCGTTGGGGAGGCCGCGGCAGAGGGTTTCAGTCGGTGTCGTCATCTTCTTCTCCATTATACGATCGTATTTCTGCTTCTTGCTCGCGGCCTTCAGGCCCTGCCAAGGTAACGAGCCGCGGAGGAAGTATAGCACCACGTAACCAAGAGATTCCATATCGTCGCGTCGAGACTGTTCGACTCCAAGGTGCGTGTTAATCGAGGCATAGCGAGCAGTGCCAGTCAGGTTCTTATTCTCGCGATAGGGGATATGGAAATGGGTTTTCGGGTCGCGATATTTTTTCGCCAGCCCGAAGTCAATAACGTTGACCTGGTTCCCTCGTTTTCCAATCCCCATAAGGAAGTTATCCGGTTTAATGTCGCGGTGGATGAAGGATTTGGCGTGGGTATATTCCACCCGAGAGAGGAGCTGGTCCATCAGAAGAAGGGCAGTCTTCATAGAGAACTTCCGGTTGCAGAAGTTGAATAAGTCCTCCAAACTAGGCCCCAGAAGATCGTAGACCATGGCGTTATAATCGCCTTCGGTGCCATACCAGCGCACAAATGGAATTCCGACCCCACCAGCAAGGGACTTATAGACTCGGGCTTCGTACTCGAGTTGGGGATGTCTGGCCTTCACGCTCTCCAGCTTGATGGCGATTTCCTCGCCTGAAATAATGTTCGTACCGATATACACCTCGCCGAATGACCCCGAGCCAATTTTCCGACCGATTCTATATTTATTACCGACTCGGAGATCCTGCGACTGAGAAGTTAGAGAGTAGAACAAATGAGCTTTTCGACTGCAGGTGAATGAGCCTGATTGCCTGCATGGCCTGCATAAGATCAAACACGCCACGGGATCGCATGTGCACGAGTATCAGAACAGGGCCAGTCTTGCAGGTCTCTGTCTGGGTTACGCTAGGAGATGAAGGGTATGCGTACCATGGCTGCCATATCGGCCGTGGTGAGTTTAGTCTTCGTTTATTCAATAACGGAGGGGGTGTGAATACACCAGTTCTTTGAGTTGCTAGATAGGGATACGCAGCGGGTAGAAAGTATTTTCTAGAATACTTCTGCACCCAGCCTGGTCGGGGTGGCCTTTGAATCGAAGATTGTTGATGAAAAAAGGCCCGAGCGTGGAGTGATGGTACATAGGCAGAAACCAAAACGGCTTCGTTACCATAGAGATTGGAAGGCTTAATGAAACAAGATTTAGCGACCTAAATGAAATGGAAGAGCGAAATGGAAAATTGAAAGTGATGCGCTGTTGTGCTGCGTGTCCGATGACTCGGCCTATGCTTCGGCCTTCGTTGGACTTGTGATCGGCCTTCGGCCTTCGGGGCTTTTGCTGACTACATACAGAGTACGTGCAGCTGGGCCCGACTGGACTCTCATCACTTGAGGTCATCGGTAAGCCCACAGCGTGATGGCTCTGATGATTTCTAACAAAACAGAATTCACGATATATGTATAATAACCTGCTAGTTTCCCTGGTATATGTTGAGCCGAGCCATCGTGAATTTGTGGAATTCGGGGCAATTACTAAGATCCGCGGGCCAAATAGCATGAATGCGCCTCGTTTCTCCAAGGAGAAGGCTCACATGATCGAACCTGTCAATCAACAGTTAAATGAAGAGAGCTTGAGACAAAAGGTCTTCCCAGATGGCCCTGAGAGGCAGCAGATAACGAGTGATACTTTCCAAGTATAGATAGACAGAACTACGCAATAAAGATTAGATGCCTCTGTGCTAGCCACGATAAGAACGTGATCGAAATCGCTTTAGAACGCTATAAGTCTTAAGGCTAAATTAAGGTCACCTGCGCACTTACCTTTAAACTTGAAAGGCATAATCCATTTTTGTATTTGTTCCATCAGCGGTGATGATAACTGATGTAAGGGGCAATGTTCGGGGGAGGCTTCCGGGCAAATGCTACTTTGTGCCGGGGGATTCCCCGAAACATGGAGTCCCCACGCGTTTATGATTGGCGGGTTGGTCTATTTTCGGGGAGCTTCCCCCTTATTTACGGCCTGCCCGCCGGAAAGCCAGCAACAGCGAGTCAGAAGTGACATATCCCAGGCAGGGCACAGCAACCATTGAAGTCAACGGTTAAACATTTTCATTATTTAGGCTAATTGCAAAGTGAATCATAGAGATCTCGACCCATGAGTCTTCAATGTAAGATCTCCTTTCGTTAACTAGTGAAACGCTTGCAGGGCAGGTCGACCTATGTGCTCCGCAGTTGTTTCAACGAGTAGAAACGCAATTCACGTACACCAAGACATGATCAATTGTAAAGATCAATAAACATTCTCGGCTAAAGATACTTGGCTAAACAAACACACTGAACGCCTTCCCAATGGCTGCTGGTTGGCGCCATGGCAAAACTTAGTCTCCTCTCGGCGCCATTCCAGCATTGATGGGCAAGAACCGTATCCATCTTATCGTCCTCATTTTGACTGGAGGCTCCCTCCACCCCAGAGTTATGTCTTGTCGACAAAGCCCCTGAAGCACATACGAGGGTAAAGAGGCAGGATGAATAGGACTAGTTCGGCTCGTTCTTGCTAACCTTGCCGGGTGAGCAGATGGAGGGCCTGTGTGTCTACAATGGGATTCTTTGGATCCGCGAGGGTTAGAAATTTGTTAGCTAGCCTTTACATCTCGGAAAACTCCATGCTGGGCAGAGAGGCTGGCTGCGGCCGCACTACTCGCGCCATTGGGGAGACAGATTCGCCATAAAGGGGATCGGTTTTGGAAAGATTACCCATCTCAGCACCGAGTCCAGACCCGCGGCACTGTATAAGAACGATGAACTCGATCCGGACACTAATCCTGATCTACTGGCAGTGGGGTCATTGTTGAACTGCCGATGCTCATCATCCAGTTTCTCTCGGGACACAGGATTTTTCTAGGCGCGTTGCCATCTCTGTTCTAGGGGGTTTGGGGGACTAGGTTCAATTTTGTCTCGTTCTGTCGTATCAACTCCGTCAGAGTCTCGATGCGATGGCATCAAGCAGTCGAGGTCCAACTCCTTGGCAGCCGTAAACATAAGATTAGAACGGATCGCTGTCACAGCACACGACGTGTGTACATATCTCCACGCGTTGGAGCCGTCACATAGCGGGTACTTGGGAAGATAGTGTGGGTTGCAGAACCCGGGTCCAGTTGCACCCAGGGGCATTCACAGCGATAGGAGTGCTTGGACGTCGTCTGAGTAAAAGTATTGGAGACCGACCTTTTTTCAATACCCGCAGGTAGGCTGCTCGTTGTCACGTCTGGTCTTTCAGGCCCGGCACGAATGACCAGGCTTTCGAGGCACCTCGACTCGGGGGTCGTTCCGGGGGTTGTTCCGGGGTGGGACAGGAATGTTGTACTCGGGAGCTCCCCGGTGGTTCGCAAGCCGCGGTCACTTCGCCAATGGGGGCATGATGTTAGTAGCGAAGGGACCGGGTAAGTCTCCTTCTCTCGGCGCTTTAAGTTCAAGGACAAAGAAGAACCAGGACAAGTCCAGACATCCAGATCGCTGAATACAGACTTATGATCATTCTCGTCAACCTGCTCAAGAGGTGGAGCTTAAGTTTTTGTTCTATTGTTCTGCTAGTCTCTGGCTAGTGTCACCTGAGTAATGCGAACCCTGTTTTCCTTTTTGCCTGATTGCCTGCGGGGACTGATGCGGAGACCCCGGAATGGGGGAAGGGGAGCGATATCACCAAGTTTTCTCCGGGCGTGGGAGTATATCTACAGGGCCCTCCCGGAGCACAGTCTTGTGTTCTACCCTCACCAACCCGGTCTACCATTCTGCATCCTCCAACTCCCTTCAGATTGAAGACTCCCCATCGACCTATTCCGACAATGGGCGCCAAGACCGAAACCGAGTTGGCGGTTGGAGCTGAGTTGGCAGCTGTGAGTCGCTCAGATCTTTCATCAATTGAATCATGGAATTATACTCACTAGCTACGTTGCTATATAGATGCTGCCGGCAGATGCAAAGCCGTGGTATCGAACTAAGCATCTCGTCCTCCTGAACCTCACCTTGTTGGTGCCTCTGTTGTCCGCCGCCAGTATCGGCTTCGATGGCAAGTCAACCCCTGACGATGTGCCCGAACGCGATCGAAATCTAACTAATGAATCCACAGGCGCTATGATGAACGGACTTCAGACACTTGGGCAATGGCGTGCGTACTTCGATAACCCGTCGGCACCGCTTCTCGGGGCAATGAACGCCATCTTCCCCGTCGGCAAAATCCTCGGCCTGTTCCCGGCGACATGGATATGCGATCGATACGGGAGGAAATTGTCCATGTGGATTGGGCTCTTCTTCCTGATAGGCGCTGCTGGACTGCAGGCGGGAAGTGTCAATCTCGCCATGTTCCTCGTCTCCCGACTCATCCTCGGAGCCGCTACAGCTCTCGTCGCACAACCTGCCCCGATTCTGGTCGCAGAGCTTGCATACCCTACTCTCCGAGCCAAAGCGACGGGAATGTATCAGACCTTCTTTGTAGGTGGCGCGGACTCTATTTTGGTTCTTTCTTGTCTCAGCTTCTGTTGGCTAACTCACAATGCTCTACTCCCTAGTATGTGGGCGCTATCTTCGCCGCGTGGTCAACTTATGGAACCTTCCGTCTGGACAATTCCTGGAGTTGGAGGATTCCCTCTCTTCTGCAGGCCTTTCTTCCACTTCTACAGCTCCTGTTCTTTATTTTTGTCCCCGAGTCTCCAAGGTAATGTGGCCTGGCCCTACCAAGTATTCGTCCCTAACCCTTTTCTACCAGATGGCTTGTTGCAAATGGCAAACAGAGCCAAGCGCGTGAGATTTTGGTCCGTTGGCATGCAGGCGGCGATCAAGAGTCCCCTCTCGTAGATTACGAGATCGAGCAGATCGAGCAGAGCATCCAGCAGCAGGCTACCGTGCAGTCAGAGACGAGTTACCTCGACCTCATCCGTACACCAGCAAACCGGAAACGAACCCTCATCGCGGCCATTGTCGGCTTCTTTGCCCAGTGGAACGGCGCGGCTGTTGTGTCATACTATCTCACGCTCGTGCTCAACACCATCGGCATTACCAAAACCTCGGATCAGACCCTCATCAATGGCCTGCTTCAGGTCTTCAACTGGCTTGCCGCTGTTTTTGCTGGTGCTCTCATGATCGACAGACTTGGTCGCCGCACGCTGTTTCTCACATCGGTGGCGGGCATGCTTGTCTGCTACATCATCTGGACGGCGCTCACGGCCTACTTCACAGCCACACTCAACACTACTGCAGGAAACGCCGTCGTGGCCTTTATCTTTATTTACTATTTCTTCTACGATATTGCCTGGGCGCCCCTGCTTCTGGCATACCCGGTTGAGATCTTTGACTATCGCCTGCGCGCTCGTGGCGTTACAGTGACGTACGCATCGACTTTCATCGGACTGATCATCAGCCAGCTCGTCAACCCAGTGGCGATGAAGGCCATCGGCTGGAAGTTTTATATCGTCTTTTGCTGTATTCTGTCAGTGCTGTTCGTAGTCATCTACTTCTTGTTCCCGGAAACCAAGGGGCGTTCCTTGGAGCAAGTCGCGGAAATCTTCGATGGGAAGATTGACAGCCTGGACGACAAGACCAAGGACGGCAAGACCGATGTGGTTGAGATAGAGAAGAGACTGGGTTAGCCGCCTGTTGTTGGGTCCATGGTTCTGGAGGAGGGGAAATACCTATCGATCAAACAGGTAGCTGCATACGATTAATGCATGTGGCGTTGTTATAGCCCTTGTAGATTGATAGCTCAGGCAGATGTTATTCTCTCTGTATTCTCAACGCATTAGGTAGAAACCCCCTCTATTCTTCCACTTACTCTTTGCCAAGCAATATTGCTATAATAAAGGGCTTAAAAGCTTAAAATGGAACAGATGTACGCTTGAAATCCCACCCCCTGAAGACTTGTAGTCAGCATGGCCGAGCCAATCAGAGGTTAGATTTTATTATCCTGGAAAAAAACCCGTCGCTCACAACATTAAACGTAATCTTACTCACGCGTCAGCAATGATCAAATACCTTGGGGCTTCATTCAACGGCAGATGTGACCATTTAGCGTAGAACCCAATGGTTTCAGACATGGCCTGGTTTTCTACTCTACTCCTCACAGGGGGACTTTCAGCCGTCGTCATTTTCTTCGTCAAACTATCAGCGGCTCGGCAGTTGATATGGAAGCTGCAACGGGCAGGCTTGGTCAGTCTATCTATTCCGCGGATGGGTGATTTCTTCCCTAGACCGATTATCGGTGTCGCTAATCCGCATCAACAGCCTATGCCCGATGTGAAACTGCTGATGGGCCATCTTCTGACCATAAAAACCATGTCAGAGTTGTTCCCGTCCAACACGGTCATGCACAGCGTCTTCTGGGAGATCTCCAAACAATTTCCCGATGGTTTCTTCTATATTGACCTCTGGCCATTTGCTAGAACCACCTTGGTCATCACAACCCCATCCGGAGCCGCCCAAGTCGAAGCCTTTGACCTGGCGGTGCCTGATTCGATCGTTCATCCAATCGAGACCATTACCGGCGGGCCGAGCATATTGACGATGCGAATCGGCCCGCAATGGAAGAGACAGCGTCGAGCCCTGAGCTCTGGGTTCAGCGCAAGCAGCATGATGGCTCTCGCACCAGCAGTAGCAGAAGAGGTTGCGGTTTTCCGGCGCCTTCTCCTTGACCGATGCTCAGTAGGGGTTTCTGACGTATTCCAGCTGGAAGACTTGACTTTGAGATTGACTTTCGATGTTATCGGAGTTGTTACCTTGTATGTGTAACGCGCGTCTGTTTGCCCTATTCTCGTTCACCTACTAAATATTCTACATTCTCCAGCGGCACCAAGTTGTACTGCCAAACCACGAATAATGAGCTGGCGAGGGCTATGCGGAGGCAGATTGAATGGACCACCTTCACCGCCATGAACCCCCTGCAGCGATATCTCTCCCTCCGCCCCCTCGTTCACTGGATAAATGGGCGGCGCATGGATAAATACATCGCCGCAGAGATTGAGAAGAGGTTCGAAGAATGTTTTAATACACAGGTCGACAAAAATCAAGATACACAACGCTACCCGTCGACAATATCACTGCTTCTGGACGATATGGTGCAGCAGGAGGAAGGAGTCAAGACTTTACATACACATAAAGAGTCGTTGAAGAAAACAATGACGGCTCAGCTGCGTGCCTACTTATTCGGGGGCCACGATACAACCAGCAGCACTCTTTTGTATTGCTACTACCTCCTCTCGGCGCATCCTAACGTTTTGGAGAAAGTCATGGCTGAGCACGACAACGTCTTTGGTGCCGGGACGGCGTCTCGAGAGCGTGACTCGATTTGCGAAAATCCGAACCGGCTCAATCAGCTTCCATATACATTAGCCGTGATCAAGGAGGTGCTGCGCATCTTCCCTCCTGCTGCCTCAATGCGCGAAGGGCGACCAGGTGCCGAAGTCATTGATGAGCAGGGTCGTGTTTACCCTACCGAAGGGTGTAACGTGTGGTCGCTGACATTGGCCATTCACCACAATCCCAAGTACTGGGTCGATCCCGAGGATTTCAGCCCTGAGAGATGGCTTGTCGGGCCTGAGGATCCTCTATACCCCGTTAAAGGGGCGTGGATACCATTCCAGCATGGTCCTAAGAATTGCCTGGGACAGCCGCTCGCGATACTTGAACTGAAGATCTGTCTCGTCATGACACTTCGAGAGTTTTGCATCACTCCCGCCTATGAGGAATGGGATGTGAGACATCCAAGACGGGGCATCAAGACGATCAACGGAAACAGAGCGTACCAAGCTGAAAAGGGTGGAGGCGGTGCACACCCTGCAGATGGGTTGCCTGTGAGGGTAACGCTACGAGAAAGAAGAAAACACAATGAGGGCAGGGGTATAGTGGCTACGAATAACAGAAGATGTATAGGAGAAGAATCGGAGCAACAGGCCCAGTAGAGGCTAGGGACCCTTGATATTTCAGAACGCGATGTTGTGTTGATGGAGGGCAGGGAGCCAATCTCTCAACACTCATCATCTGCTTATGAGAAAGAAATGATGAGGAGAAAAGGTGAAATCGATGAAATTACGGCAAGAGAAATGAAAATGATAGGTCTCTTTGATTCTGGCGAGACGGGGTGAAAATTGTCGTGGTTATCTTCGTATTCATTGTTTTGAGTTGATGGGTCTAGCATCTTCCATTGCTGTTTTAACTTTATACTCACTCTCTTACGTCATGGTTGTCGTTGTCCTGGCCGACTTCCCTCACTGTGTTGTCTTTCATTGTGTTTTCAAGATTGAAAAGCTTTTTGTTAATTGACGCTATCCTCTATCGAACCCTGATAAGCCAGATGAAAGAAGGTGTCCTGAACAGTCATTTGACGAGCAGCTCGTCCTGACGGTAAGTGAATCATCAGCATCTTTATACAGTTTTTCTCCGTATGGCTATAGCCTTAGGCTAGTGAAGCTTTTTTAACCTTTCGTATTCATTATGTTGAGTTGTTATATTTAGCATCTTCCATTGCTATTTAACTTTATACTCAAACTCTTTTCCGCCCTGGCCGCCTTCGTGTTTATATGTATATTCAGTTATTTTCACTCCAAACATGAAAATAGACCGAAGAAAACACCATCTACGACAGATTATACAGGTAATAGCACCGCTATTTCTAAGACACCTGGTGCTGCCCAAAAGCCCCGGACCATGCTCTTCTGACTTGTGTTGACAGCTGTTGGCGGTTGAGCAACCTGTCCTCAACCTAAAAGGTTCGCCACCGACCAGACAGGTCCCCAGCTAACGCACCAAGGGTAGTACCTTATATACAAGTTCCCCGGGCATTCCTACTGTCATTCAACAACTGGCTCTGTGGCGCAGTGGTCGCGCGCTCCGACTGTGCGGTTTCCCTGTGATTCTTCCCAAAAGGAAGTATCACGGGGCCACAGGAGAGGACCTCGGTTCGAATCCGAGCAGAAGCATTCTTTTTTTGCGTTTTCATTTTAATTTGTAACAGCCATGATTTCCCGGGGGCTCAGGCCGCTCACCACCACCTCTGCCCTCCCCCCCCGGATCAAGCACTACGCCGGTATGTGATATTTTGGCCGCGATACTGGAGGGCTTTACTACGGATATAGGTTTATGCCTTTTTATTGTTTTGGGCAAACGAGACTACAGGGATTGTTAATTATATCTTACTGTAAGATAAATTGTAGCTTCAAATAGATTCCAAATAGGCTGAAATATCTGTTATATTAGCGTTATTCTGCCGACGCGGGAGATGATCATTCTTAATCAAGGATTTAAGAGATTGCGAGATTTTGAGTAAATTAACTTAATCAAGGAAGAAGAGCATATCTTGAGGCTATAACCAGGGAACTCTGCTTATAGCTGGAACTATCAACTACAGTTATATTATATAGATATAGGGTAGGTAGAGTACTGACGTACCCTATACTCCCGAACTTTCACAATTTCAATATAAACAATTCAGTAGTAGATAGTTGCCCGGGTACCTAGTTTAAAACAGGGAGCAAAACTAACATGAAGACCAAATCAGATAGTAATGCAAGGACAGTAAATTGGTCAATCGTGAACTGGGCCATGTACCTGCGCCGGCATTAGAAGCATACCACATCTCACCTTAGGAGCTTGCCTCAGGAGCTGGACATCGACCCTCTATGCCAGAGGCTTGTCTACTTGCCGAGACCGAGCAAGACCAGATTGGCAACGTTCAGCACCGCCATGGTGATCCAAAGCAAGATACCGAACGTGGTTGTATACCAAGAATTTTCCATGGAGGTGCTTCCCACCTCCCGAGCGCCACCAGCCTCACTCGTTGTGGCGACGCCGCCTGCTCTATCCGAGCCAGGAGCGATGGTCATGTACCTAACACGGGAAGTGAAGTAAATGAGCGGCGCGGTCACAAACGGAAGCACGATGCTGAGCACAACCTGTGACGCATTGAGCGCATCGTTGAGGCCTGAGCGGCCCACGGCGGCAGCGATGACGACGCTGGGGATGATGCTGATGCTGCGGGTGATGAGTCGACGGAGCCATGGGCGGACCTTCCAGCGCAGCGCCCCCTCGGAGACCATCTGCCCCGAGATTGTGCACACGATGCCGGCGGACACACCAGACAGCAGGAGAGACAGGGCAAAGATGGTACCGGCAGCTGGGGAGATGGATCGCGATAGAAGGTCGTGGATGCCGAAGATGTCGGCTTCCGGAGCGGCCGGATTGTCGAAAAGGGAGGCGCCGGATACGATGACAATGGCCGAGTTGACAAAGAGGGCAAATGTGAAGAGCGAAATTGCTAGCTCAATGGCGGAGAAGCGGTAGCAGTGCTTGATAGCCTGGGGCGACGGAATGTAGTAGTCTTTGCCGTCTTCGCTTGAGTCGTCTATGTTGTCGCGAGTCCCGGGAGCAAGACCGTGGCTCTCATCGTACTCTCTCAGGCGTGGCTGGACGATACCGGAGCCGAGATATAAGCTGTGTGGCATGACGGTCGCACCAAGAATTCCGCAGGCCTGGTACAATCTATTCCGAGTTAGAAATCGACAGGTGGCCTCTTTCGTAATCGCTATTGTCACACTTACCCTTCCGACTGACGGATGGCGTCAGACGGCAGAAATCCACGGAAGACGGTCCCGATGCTGCTGTGCTTGATAAGGGAGAGCTGGATGCAAAAGCAGACGACGACGCCCAGTACAAGGAACGTGATGAAAAGCTCAAACAACCTCAGACCTCTCATCGTCCCGTGCGGGTTGTAGAATAGAAGTAGAAGCATGACGTCGACAATGGAAATGGCACACCCGGCAACGAGGGGTATCGCCGGTATCAGGAGGTTTAAACCAATGGCAAATCCGATGACCTGCATTTGCTGAGCATTAATACCCCTTAATTCGAGTAGTATCTCGAGAGTTCACATACCTCGGCGATATCGGTCGCGATAATGGCAGCCTCCGCAAAGAAGTACAAGATGTAGTTCATCCATGGAGGGAGAAAAAGGCGGCAGCACTGGGCAAGATTGAGTCCTGAGACCGTGCCCAGCTTGATGCACAGTGTCTGGAGAAAGATGGCAAAGAGGTTGGCCATGAGAACGACAAACAGAAGTCTGTACTCGAATGTAGCCCCGGCCGCCACACCGGTAGAGTAGTTTCCTGGGTCAACTATAGAAGTCGAGCATTAGCATTAAGAAAAGAGATGAAATAGATGCAGATCTATGTCTCATACTGTAAGCAACGGAAATCATAAACCCAGGACCGACAAAGGAGCCGAATTTGACGACGACCTTCTTGAGCTGGTGTCTCCAGTTGGGAGGACCGCCCTCTCCGTCGCCTCCCTCCCTGCCGCGAGGAGGAGGCGGTATCGGGATGGACATGTAGCTGGCGGGCTGGGCCGTGTCCCTCCCATCGAGCAGGCTGACTGCGGCGACCTCGCCAGCCTGCTTGGTTCCCGCCAAGGTCTTGGAGGGCTTCCTGAGAGTTGGCTCATGCTGTATGCCATGTTGTATTGGCGGTTCGGACGGGGAGGGACTGCGCTTGTCCGATGCTTGCTCCCGCTCATTGACAATGCCATTGAGATCTTGATTGGTGGTCAGGTCGGCAGACAGCGAGGCAGGGTTTTGGTTGAAGCCGCGCGTGTCTTGCTCGTACGGCTCCTCGGTGCGTGAAGTCTTGTTCATCTTGCTGGTGGTGGTTGTATTATCTTGGAGGGACTGTCTTGGCGCCAAGCGGTCGGATGAAGATGAAACTCGATGGTTCAAGGATGAAGCCGCCAGAAATTCATTGTTCCGGCTATCCAAGAGCGTTACGTAACGTTCCGCAAGCGCTGTTCCGTCCCTTGTAGCCGTAATTGAACTAAAATTGAACAATTGATCTGTCCGGCAGCGGAGTGACGCACCCGGTCTGTCCCGTAAACAACGTAACAAACGCCCCGCCGAATGCAGCCGCTAACAATGGTTCTAGCGCCCGTTGCAGGCGATCGTTAGCCACCGTATTGAATGGTCAATTTCACCCGACCGTCTTGGACTAAGTAGCCAAAATACATGTAATAACCAGAATATACCGATTAGCTCCAAGTCAATAGATAGGCCCAATTGTACGTGTATCTCATTTCCGTATGGCTCAAGGATTCTGCATTATCGTGTTAACGGCCTAAGCGCAAAGAAGTCGCCGTTTGAGTCAAGCACAGCCTGAGCCATTTTCTAGTGCAGGTTAATAATCACTGCGCCTCACTCACATGCAGTCTTATTGTTGTCGTAAAGCATCATAATCCTGCGACGCCATCACGTAAACGTGAATTAGTCGTCATTATCTGTTACCTTTGCATACGAGAGAGCTGCGGAGGCTGCAATATATCACAATGAGCTCAGCGGTAGTCCCAACAACGGCGAGACTGGCTTCCGGGTTATCTGATCTACCAAGAGACATAAGAGACTGCATTTGGGATTCAGCTGCCGCGAACTTCAACAACACGCCACAGGCTCATTTCTTTTCTTTATCGGAGGAGAGGGTGCGCTGCTTACAGTCAAACCAGCCAACCATTCAACCAGATGGCTGGAAAGAGGCTCGAACTGTCTTGAAACCTCCTCTAGTTTACAGAGAAGAAGTTGCGATAAACGGGAAGACTGCACGCAACATATCCGGATACATGGTATATCATAATCTGTGGAATACAAGTATCGAGTCAAGAGAGGCAATCATTCGCCAATGGAACCAATGGCGTGAGCACTGCCCGGACGAGTGCGCCTATACCTTCATGCACATCGGCGACTCGCCGGCATTGGCTGTTGCGTTGCGACCGGCTAATGATTTGATCTACCTTGAGATACCAGAGACGGTGGCTGTATGCCGCAATATCAATTGTGCCGCTATCAACGTTGGTTCGCGAGCTCGAAACTTTGCTTTCACCTACGATCCAAATTGGTACGAAGAAATAGAGACCCTTCTACCACGTCTCAAGTCACCTTGCGAAACTAGTCTCGTTCAAGATGGTACAACACCAGGCTGCCGCTTCCTAGACTTGGCAACCAGACTACTCTGTGATCCGAATGCTGGGACATACAAGAGATACTACGATGATGGTTACGACAGTACATTTGACCCCAGGATGAACCAACTATGGCTTATCGATCCGACATTAAAACCATCAGCCCACTTTGAGATCACGAAAGTGGGTAGAGATCGAGTTGTCTTCGATGCTTGCGGGAGCAAGTACATCGAAGTCAGACTAGATAGTGACATTGGCAAAGAGGGGTGGTGGGAGATTTCTAATGGATACTCACCCGATTGTACGGCCAAGCGTTTCAACTCTATGCTATGCCGCGGCTTCAATGCTTTCTGGATGTACAACGAAGATCCCTTTGGGTGTGATGTGTGTATCTTCAATACTCACCCTCCTGGGGAGTATAGCTGTCCCCATTGGATTTATTTTAGAATTCTAGCTTGTGTGGATGTAGCCTGAAATGTGTACTTCATTGAATTATACATAATTTACGCACCCATGAAAGCATGTCCAGCCTGGATATTCGCTTTGAGGTCCTCGAGAGCCACCTCTAGCAGCTTCTCCTCACTGTCTGACAGTGAGCCAATATCAAAGACCTTGGTAGCTCCATTAGGACCCAGCTCTACCTTCACAGCAAAGTAATCCACTCCTAGCCTGGCGGCAATCTCCTTGCCGCCTTGGATACCGGGAAGGTAGACATAGGCTTCCTCTACAACGGGAGTGCCGCTCTTCGCTTGTAGCAAGGCCTTGATAAAGCGAAATCCGGCGTAAGCCATGCAGGTCGTTGCACTGCCAGCACCCTTCTTGCTCTCGACAATCTCATCCCCACCAAACTGCACCCCTGCGTAAAGTGAAAAGGCCATTAGTTATCGATCACAGTACTTCAAAATTCTAGGTAACAAGAACTCACTGTGGATAACCTGTGCCAATTTTTCCGAGTCGATGCTGATGTTCGGCACTGCCTGGCTGTAGAGAGGCAAGATGGTCGCACCGCTGTGTCCCCCAATGACAGGCACCTTGAATGACTTAGGGTCGGGGCCTCCGCCGAGAGCGTGTGCGATGAAGGTCGACGCCCGTACAACATCAAGGGTCGTCACCCCGAACAGGCGGGTAGGGTCATATGCACCTGCCTGGCGTAAAGCTTCCGCCGCCACGGGAACCGTTGAGTTGACCGGGTTCGTCACTACACAGCAAATGGCTTGTGGGCAAGTCTTGGCAACTTCGGTGAAGAGGTCGCGGATGATGCTTGCATTAGTCTGGCGCAAAGGTGAGCCGGTAAGTAGTGTGAGATCATGTAAGAAAGCAAGATAGCGTACCAACCTTGAATAGATCTAGGAAACCGGCAAAGTTATCTCATGTCATCATGCGCAATATAGGCAGTAGCTAGGCCGAGCTGCAGGAGGATATATCATACCGTCTCGAGTCATCCCTGGCTTGCGGGCGATGCCGGCGGTAACCACCACAAGATCAGCCCCCTTTAGTGCTTCCTGTAGCCCTCCATCCTCAGCCAGGTGACCGGAGACCTTGGCCCTTGTATCTATATGGTTTAAGTCTGTCGCGATACCTGGGGCATGGACAACATCATAGAGCGAGATTTCATTAAACAAGTCACTCTGTCGGCGACTTTGTGAGCCTTCAGAAAGATGTTTGATTTGGAGATTACCAAAAACTTACAGACTTGCACAAAAGGCTGAGTGGTGTGCCAATCTGGCCTGCAGCACCAAGGAGAGCGATCTTAGTCATTTTGGTTGAGGCGTGCTGTAAGAGTGAGTATGGGCCAGCTATATTCTTCCTGGTGTCAATTGCTCTCCATTTGGCTTTGCCTAGCTCTTTATACGGCTTAAAAGAGGAGATCTCCAGCAGCTATGCAAATTTCGTAATCTGGGGTAAGTGACGTCCCAGGCACGTCTTGATCTTCGACGCTGGTCGGTAAAAAGTTGCGGCTAAAGTTTTAGCCATCTCGTCGTTCAAACTCGCGGAGGAAGTTCCTCAACACTTTACAAAGATTCAACGCATTGCCTATAATATCGGGTAAACAATTAAGTTTTTTAATTTCTTCTCAGTTACCTAAATGGCTGTAAGAGGAAAAAGGCTTTTAAAATCACTTTATAGCGTTATGCTGTAATTATTGTTGACTTACAATCTTCAAATGTGAAAGAGAATCTAGCCACTAGATTAATAATGGTCATTTTACCACAAGTGATGATATGCGCTACTTTGCATCAGGGATCCAGGATATTTGGACTATTGTGACCTGTACTGTTGGATCGGAGAATATTCCCATTCCCTTTTATGAGCTTCGTTCGTTCTTCAATAGTAATTGGTTGGAGCAATCTATGCCGCTACCACAAAATTTCTCAACATAATCTTGTTTAGGGCCGGATCTTCTACAGTTTCACACCGAAAATTTCCCGTTTATTTCTCTTAGCTTTGTCGTGAATCTACTGGGACTACATATTAACATGCTCGGGTACAGGGGATAGCAGCTCGATGCCCAGAACTGCCCTTCTAGCGTTCTCCATGGCCCATGTTTCCATCTTTGCCAGTGTTTCGGTTGTATGTGTTCCTAAGTGCGGTACCAAAAGAGCTCTACTCTGTTTGAGTAGTTTCTCATTAATCTCAGGCTCGTGCTCGTAAACATCGATGCCGACAGCACCAATCTTTCCGCTCTCAAGGCCACCAGCCATCGCTGCTTCATCGATAATGGCACCCCGGGCGGTGTTGACAATGACCACTCCATCTTTCATCTGTGAAATCTCTTTTGCCCCAATCAGATGCTTTGTGTTGGCGTTGAGGGGCACGTTGATGCTGATGATATCGCTCTCGGACAGAAGTGTTTCGAACGATACGTACTCAGCACCGTCAGCTTCCTCCTCACACAAAGGACGCCGATTGTGATACCGCGTGACTAAACCAAACGGTTCACTGCGCTTCTTGATAGCTCGGCCAATCCGGCCCATCCCCAAAATACCCAGGATCTTCCCCTGCGGATCGTGGCCAAAGTCAATGCCCTTCTTGAAGTTGCCAGCCCTGAGCGATGACAGAGACGGGTTGAGTTGCCGGAGAGCACCCAGTAGGAGCCAGATCGCCAAGTCAGCCGTGGCCTCAGTGACAGGATCAGGCGCGTATGTAAGGACAATACCGCGCTTCGTACAAGCAGCCGGATCAATCTGATCGTACCCGGCGCCGTTGTGGCAGATGTGCTTGCAGCTCGCAGGCAGGCGCTGGATGAATTCCTCGTCGAACTTTCCGGCTACAGAACCGCTAGCAGAGGTTCTGTAAATGACGGAAATATCCCTATATTTTCCCTCGAGGTCCTTGAAGAACTCATCCCTGGTCTTGCTAGTGACGACTTCAGTATGTGCAACCTCTTGAAGACTTTGATAAAAAGACTTGGCATGTCTAACAGGGTTGAAAAAGAGGATAAAAGGCTTGGTGGGGGACATGGTGCTGTAGGCGCGGTGAGATCCGAGAGGTTTGATGATGAAGGTGAGGAGACGCATTGGATCACTCCTGTGCTGCGGCTTATATCCTTGTCAGACTCGTCCACTGGAAAGTAATTTGCTCGGGGGCGGAGTTTGAGATGTAGCAAGTTATAATCGCCGTTGCACGAAAGGGACTTTGAAAGTCGGCTGGACCAGAGCAGTCTGGAATTCCTTGCAACTGAATCATGACGAGAGAGCCGGCATATGTTTTGCCGCTGTGGGGAAAGTACTGGGAAATTCACTGCGGCTGCTCAATGTGCCATGGCAAAACTTTCAACCGCCGCTTAGACAAACAGCAAATGATCGACATCACTAGCACAGGTCTCCAAGTGGAGGATCATGTGATATTCATTATTTGTCTCTCATTATCAAGAAATCTTTTTTCAGCTTGATTAAGTTCCTGTATCTATTTCAACTGTCTCTGCGTCACTATCCTCTCCAACACATCCAGACCAAACCTCCGATACAGCACCGTGTCCAATACCCATTCGCCGATCCAGGTTGCCCACCTCGCCAGCGAAGCACTCCCCCCAAGCCAGATCCAGTCATTTTTCTGCCCAAAAATGGGCCAAAACCAGCTCTTGTCTTCAAGAACTCTTTCCACCAGCTGAGCGGAAAAGTCCTGCGCGCTCATCTTCGAAGTATTCTCAGAGTACCGAAGCTTCCTGAGATACGCGTCTTCAACCACCTTGTAGATTGAGTTTTCTGGCAGTTCCCGGTAGACTTTGGTACCACTCGTCGTCTTTACAAAACCAGTCATCACGACCATGACGCGGACACCAAAAGGCCGTAATTCTTGCCTCAATGTTCGGGAGTAGGAATTGATAGCCCCCTTTGTGGCACAAAATACTGAACCGTATACATATGGGGTGATGGATGCGAGACTGCTCATATTGACGACAATACCTTTTGCAGATATAAGGAGATCAAGAAACGTCTGTGTCATCGCCATGACACCAAAAACATTTGTTTCGAAGGTCTTACGAACGTCATCCATATCGATGTCAGCGGCGGGAATAGTGTGCGAGACACCGCTATCGTAGAGATCAGATAAATTGGACCTGCAGTATGAAGAGGAGCGTCAAAAGTCATCGGGGAACCCACGCGTTGTTGACCAAAATGTCGAGACGGCCTCCAGTAATTTCTTCTACTTGATTTTTGCAAGCGGCAATGCTCTTGGAATCCGTAACATCGAGTGGTAAGACAATCATGCCCGATCCTGCCAGCTCCTGAAGAACTTCTGGTCGGCGAGCTGTGGCAATGACGGTGCATCCTTTACATTCAATGAGAAAAGGTCCATTGATCAAGATAGGAAGAGCCGAGACTATACCTCGAAGTTGAAAACTCTTGCATGACTCATACCCAATTCCGCCGGGGGTGCATCTATACAGGGATCAGTGCTTGTAGGGCATATCGGTATTCAAAATGTTCGTTTGGCTCACCCAGTTACTAGGACTGTCTTGGCACTCTGGGAGACATCCATTATGTTTTGCGAACTATGAGAAAATTGTAATGGAAGTGCTCTTCAGCTTGCTCAACTATTTATACTACAGCAGGCAGCGAGAAGTCCTCCGTAAGCCGAAAGTGAAGGTAAAGGGTGAGGATGAAAGCCTGCAAACAATGAGGGGATTCTGGTTGCGGCCAGTGTGGTGGGATTAGAAACCGGCCAAGGTCAAATAATAGGGAATGCCGGGGGATTCTTGTCTGATAATTTATCGGAAACTCCACTGGGGCTCTCTTCAAACAGCATGTCACTTCGAGTACGTCAGCTTCGTTCGGGTCGGATCCCCGGAAAACTGCGCATACTATCACTAGCGGCCTGTCTCTAGTCTTACCCTTGCCGGAGTCAAGAGTGGACATGATGGCAGCAACATGCGTAAAGAAAGGACATTGCGTTGAGGGGAGCGAAAACCCATAGATATCGTAACCCTTTATGTGGCAAGATAGAGATGGCTGGATTGATGCGTAGTTCGAGAGACCGCGGTTTGTCGAACATGATAAGCGAGCCAAAAGTGGTGCTAACTTCCGCCTAAGTAGAATGAGCAATGCTTCGTTTTGTAAATAATTTCTGTCCACTAAAGATAATATTGCTTAGAGTATGGTAGCCCAGAACAAAGTATCGTGAAAACGCGGAAATGGTCAGTGTGTGTGTGATACGGCGCTGACTGCGAAATGCTCCTGAGCGATCCTCTTACCAGTCCAATAGCATGTTAAACAATTGTAAGAAACAGGAAAATGTAAATTTAGAAAGGAATCCACAAGTTTGATCAATCCTAATATTTATGTAACTGGCCGTTGTCCAGTTGCCTATTCCAGACGCTCCTCCTTGACAAAAGATCTCTTGTCCAAGGCGTAACAACCGAAAACCCCTCGCGCCTTTCTACCTAGGACTTTCTGAAGGACTCGAGACCCCAGTTTCCTCGTTAATTGTATTTAAAGAGTGAAGACCCCGCATCTGGGCTCACTGAAATCACCGACTGCTTAGCTACAGCATCGTCGTTCTCCGTCGCACTCAATGAGTGCCTATCCAGAGGTCAACAGAGATGACTCGTCGTCACAAAGAGTGCCCAAGATTTCGGGACCTTATACTCTTGTTCCGTGAGATAGGGTTCCTTCAGTACCTTTTGTTCTTGCTTCCATTTATTCTATACGGCCTTCTCTTTCGCATTCCTCTCTATGTTCTTATGTACACATTCGACTTCATAGTCCGATCTCGGGAGTATGTGCATCCTAAGTCTGAGACAAATAGATACATGCGGTTCATAAAGCGACGCCAAGAAGCACTCTCAAAGCACGTTGCTCCGTCCTCCACTCTTGATCTAGCTCGGCTTCTAAGGGATGCGTCACAGCCCGGGCCGAGGGACAAATTCTTTGGCTGCCTGCCCCCCGAGATTCGACGCCGAATTCTGCTCTACGCCTTTGGCGAACGCACTGTCCATATTGATATATCCTACACATTGACGAGTAAGCCCGACGAAGGAGGTTCAGTTTGCGCATCAGCTGCGAAGACGCATGCCGGACTGGTGCGACGGCTCGATAGCTATGATAGGATTTACGACGAGGACGAGTGGCATTGGCGGTGGTATGGCTGCTTCTGTCATCGCTCTGGCCCAGAAGACATATCACTATCTTTAGGGAGATTTCGCAGCTCTCCTGGCATAGATCATCGAAAATATAGGTCGTCAGCCTGTCTGAAAGGGGGCGGAGTTTGCCACGCTTGGCCTGGGAACCAGCCTGATAAATGTCGAGTAGAATGTTTAGGTTGGCTATTAACATCTAGACAAGCGTGAGTGATTACCTCTTTCGAACCACTTAATAGATTGAGAACTGACTCGAGGACGAGAATGCATCTAGATATATCGAAGGTATGGATGTGATCTATAGAGAAAACACCATAAACTTGTCGTCATCCGATATCATGCTTTCCTGTCCGAGCATACTACCTCACAACATCCGCAGATCGATTAGATCCCTAGAACTGGCCATCGATACGCAAATATCGCCTCTCAAGTACGCATTTGAAGATCCGGAAATCTCCTTGCTCAGCCTTCACGCAGCACCCACATTTCCAAGTCTTTTATATCTCCGTATGTCCCCCGTTACTTGGGACCTAGATATTTGTATTAAGAGGGATCAGTTGCTTAATCACTTGCATCACCATGCAACCTTTAACCCCGAGCAGTGGCGTCAATCAATCCCAGCAAACGTGTCTGTCACGCTACAGAGGATCGATAGCCTTTTGGAAAGAATAGCACCACCTACCGCAGAAGTCACGGTGGACTGGGATCTCACCGGGTACCATACCTTGAGCAATGTCCTCAGCGAATGCCAGGGCCATGTATCACTCCAAATGGAAGAATGCGAATCCGGAGGGAGAAGATATTGGCGACAAATTCCGACTTCTATAGTCAATGTCCCTGCTAAAGATACACAATCCCTTGACACTACAGCTGGCCCAGACAAGCGCCAGGGCTACTGGATTAAATGTGATGAAGCAGAAGATTTAGATTGACGAGTTAGACCATTGCCATATTGCAGGCCGTTGTCAAAATGAGTCCTCCTCAATAGCAATGAGGGGCACCTGTCTCATTCGGCTATGCCTTGGAATTGAACCAAGTTTATTGTTTTGGAAACGCAATAGCATGGGATTAGACTCCCTTCTTGGACGGAATTCAGAGCAAACTTGGAGGGTGATGAGACCACAAATGGTCGAGCCGCCTTCGTATGATGACGAAGTTACCGACCGTGAAAATGGGCCTGCAGGAGGACAATTCCCACTTATTATTTCTAGTCAGGGTTTGATTTGTATCACAGATGGTCTAGTGCCGGCGACAATCACTAGAATAGTAAATTATGCGTCGGCTGAAATTTCCCTAAACAACAACCAGGAGTATCTAACCCCCGATCAAACAGGTGCCCGCCCACGCCGTGCTCGTCACAGGGTAATCTCCTATGTTTAAGAGAGCTGATGCTGCCTCTTTTCAGAGGACGAATACAGATATCCTTGAGATCAAACACTACCTATTAGCAATACTCATCGTCTATCTCTCACCTTCTTGGATCTTTGACCCCCTCTCTCAATATGTCAACTCCCCTGGGACTTGCCGTGATCGGCACAAACTGGATAAGCAACTCGTTTGTGCAATCCAGCCACGAAAGCACAAAGTTCCACTTGAAGGCTGTTTACTCGCGCAGCATCGATTCAGCTACGAAGTTCATCTCACGGACGCCCTCTATCAAGGATGTTTCATCCGTCAGAGCATATGATAGTCTGGATAATATGCTCACTGACTCCGAGGTTGACGTTGTGTACATTGCATCACCGAACTCGTTCCACTATGAGCATGGCATCAAGAGTCTAACAGCCGGCAAGCACATCATTGTAGAGAAGCCCTTTGTTTCCAATGCCGATGAAGTCAGGGGTCTGTACAAGCTTGCTGATACGAACGGACTATGCGTTATTGAGGCCTGGCGTCACATCCAAGAGCCTAACTTTCTGAAGCTGCAGAGTCTTCTTGACGATGAAAAAGCAAGGGAGGACAAGTTCGGGCGGATCTATGGCGCCAATATTTCATTAGCCGTGTACAACCCAGAGTACGCCAAAGCGCCGGAGGATGGCAAAGAGGCCAATATCGTCCTGCCCAAGTTCAGCGGTGGGTGCTTATGGGATGTGGGCTGCTATTCTGTTGCTTTTATCTTTGCTCTCTTTGGGACACCGGCGAGTCAAACTTATTTGCCCATTACCATTCGCACGGGAGTCGATGGCGGAGGCAACATGATCTTCAAGTATACCACAGAACGCTCCAAGCACAAACAGAAGTTTGTCGTGCACGCACAGTCTAGTAAACTCTACGTGTCACATACACCTACAGAGATCTACTGTGAGAAGGGCACCATTCGGATCAATGGTGTATCTAGCATCACGGACATTAACACGATTGAATTCATTCCACATGGTCAAACCACAGGTGAGGAATTTGCAAACACAAAGCCAGAGTACAGCGGTTTACTCAACTTGACCTGGGAGGCGAGGGAATTTGGACGAATTATTCAAGAGGGAGACAAAAAGGCCGAAGCCCGCCTAAGAGACTTGAGTCTTGATATTCTAATTGCTATGGAAGACATGCGCAAGAACAATGGTATTTTCTTCGACTCCGACAAGTAGGGATAATGATTTGGGTTGGTTGATTCATAATTAATTCAGCCAGGCCCACGAAGAAATCAAAGCCTGTGCTCATTCTATCTATCAGAAGTGAAACTCTCCAGAGTATTACTCCATGTCCGACTCTATGGTCGCGTTATAATGGCGAATGTTTTCCTCTTGCTCGGTATTTGGTATTCGTGTCATGAGGTCGATAGAAATGGTAGTCTAAAAGTATGCCATCAAGTCATCAAACCCTGTAGGTGAAGAATCAGTCGAATGTCAAACGTCTTCTACGAGCCCAGTTTTCAACCAAAATAAGAACTTGATATCATATGATCAACTCTGTCATCTATGCTATCTATGCTGTCAAATTTGTAGAGAAAAAATTGGATGGGTAGAATTCCAAATTTAATGCATTGAAAACATGTTCACAATATTTTTTCTAACTCTTCTTCTCGAATAATGCGAGAACCTCTTGATTATCACTAGCAGCAGCGATGTCAAGTGCCGTCTGCTGAGCTTCGTCCTCCATCATTGCATCCGCGCCAGCTTCCATAATCTCCTTGAACCGATCAACCGCACCACTCGCGGCAGCATGCAGCAACCCCTGGCCCTTGTTGTTCGCAACAGTCAAGTCTGCACCAAGTTCCAGTAGTAATGGCAAAGCATCTTTTTCTGAATATTTGTCTCCGTAAAATTGGATTTCGAAATACCGCGAGGTGGACACGTCTCTCGGACGTCGAGAGAATACGAATAAGGGTGTCTCTCCGCTTGAGTTGACACCATTGATATCAACACCTCGCTTGACAAGGCCCTTGAAAAGGTCACGAAGACCCTTAGTGTCCAGATTCTCTGCGAGCTTATGTAAACAGCTTTCTCCACGGTTGTCGACATTGAGGAAACCGGCGCCAGCCTGAAGCAGAGTGTTGAACGGTTTAGTCTCCCTCGTGTTCGCAGCATGTATTGCGGCCTCAAGCAGAGGCGTTCTTCCCTCATCGTCCACGTGGTATATAAGCTCAGGGCATGTTTTAAGAACATGCGAGAATGATTTTTCGAAGCCACCAGAGTCGCAGTGGCGCAACATGTGGTGTAAGACATTTCGCCCTTGGTTGTCCCTAGCCTTCAAATCTGCTCCAAGGCGTACCAATCTCTCAAACAGGCTTGCATCATCTCCCTGTTCGCTCTTAATAATACGATCCGGTCCCGCGCAAGTCATACAGGAAACATGAAGCAAGGTCCGGCCCTTGCAATCTCGATGATTCACGTCCAAAGCAGGACGCAGGACGAAGGTTTCAACCCTCCCACGGCGACGACGGAGTATCTCATGCGCTAGTGTGCACTCTCGGTAGCCCTCTGGCACTTCTAATGAAGGAGTATCTTGGGTACGGTTATACCCTTTTGATCTCCACTCACTCAATTTGGCCAGAAACTTCGCGAACGGGTCTGCGTTGAAGTCTAGCAGAACGTTGGCTATTTTGTCGGCGTCTTCACTTCGGGTTTCCAGCACACCGGCGTAGAATAAAGGGAACAACTCATGATCTTCGACGGTATCTTCGTCGTCATCACTATCATCTTCATAGTATCTTCTACGTGCCCTCTTCCGCTTTCCACGATCAGCGTCGTCGTCGGACGATCGCTCCCGCCGGGCATTCGCGTTGATTCCAGGTTCGTTTCTAGACAGAATGCTCTTCAGCGCTTCGACGTTGGACTGATCGATGGCAGCAAATATCTCGCTGATCCTTGTGTTTGCGCCGTGACTTCGAAGTAGCTGCGAGATCTCTGCATCTTTTTGTGCGTAGGAAAGACAATTCTTATTTTCATTGTCCGCGGCGTTGACGTCTGCGCCCGCCTCAATAAGCGTGATGGCAGCCTCTCGATTCGACTCTTTCAACGCAATATGGAGGGGGGTCTGCCCTTGATAGTTCCGGATATTCAAATCCGCACCTGCTTTGATGAGATACGGCAATGCTTGCTGGGTATGCCACCACGAGGTTTCCCTAGCCAGCGTAAGCAACGCACTGTCAGTCACGTCGTAATCCGGATCGTAATGCAACTCATTGATGTCAACGCCGAATTTCTCGACCAGCAGTTGAAGAATAGTCATGTTGGGTTGTGATCGCTGCAGGGCTGCAATAACCAGGGGTTGAGGATTGCTGCCTCGAACCCTGGATTTCGAAACATCCTTGGCCGCGAACCATAGCCCGGGCTTCGTATCATCTCCGAAGGCATGCCATAGCCCTGACTTTAGAACGGATGCTGCCACCGACTCGCCCACTTTCTCAAACAGTGACGAATACCCGTTGGCCACCAAGACCGAGAGACAATTCTCATCGGTTGTGCCAGGCACTGGTAGGAAAAGGCAACCCAGAGGAACCATTTCTTCAACTAGATGATACTCCCTCCGCGACAGCAGGTAATCCATATGGCCCTTCTCAGCTCGACCTGGCCTCAGGGTCGGAGAATATATCGGTATCTTTGCCTGACCCTGTTTTTGAGAACTGTTATTGCCCTCAACCATTCCCATCATTTTATCTTTGGACGTTTCGCTCTGCCATTTGCGCCGTACTTCCGATAATATCGAGGCAGTGTAGTCCTGGTTTCCCAGAGCAGCTTTCACAACGCAATATTGGACGGCGTCTATCATAATGTCATAAACATTGGTCAGGTAGCTCGCAATCATAAGCCAAATCTCGTCCAGCCTGGGCACCTGTTCCTCGATTAAGTGCCAATAGAACGTCCCACCTGTTTCTCTTGTCTTGCGTCGAAGTCGGGACTCTAATTTAACGGGGATATCATCACATGTTGAAGGCTGGTAGGGCGTCCGCCATAATGCACACTCATCTTCGAACTGGAGACTAGCGTCGAGCATCTGCCTCAAATCGACAGTTGCTCCGGCGTCTAGCAGCAATCGTACTGTTTCTGGGGTCCCTGATCGACACGCATAGAACAAGGGGGTGAATCTTGCACCGATCCCGAAAGTCTTCTCGTTTACACCCATCACCGGCTTTGGCTGCTCGCTGCCATTGTCGGGGCCGCTGGAGTATGCAGAGTGTTCAGCCCCATCCTTCGCTCTCAGGGCATCCAGGAGACGGCCAACAATGTTAGTTGCTCTGCAGCGGGCTGCAATATGAAGAGGAGTGAGCCCTTCATTCGTGGGCCTTGAGGGATCAGCGCCCGCTGCGATCAGCCCCGTGCTATATCGCTCCGAACCAGTCGCAGCTATGTGCAAAGGCGTAACTCCGTCATTGTCGGCCACGTCGACATTCTTCACCCGGGAAAGAACAAAGTCGAAGACCGTGATATCTTTGTGTTGAACAGAGCTCAGTTTGAGGTGGCCAGCACACAAAAGATGGAGCGGTGTGCGGCCGGCGTAGTTCTTCAGGTCCGAGTCTACTCCCATCTTGACAAGCTGTTCCCAGAAACGAATCGCTTCTTGGGCGTGAAAAGAGGACTGGGCGTCTTCGGAGAGAGCAAGCTCGTGAAGAAGATTGTTTCCATGGTTGTCGACGGCATGTATATCCAGTCCTTGGCTTAAAAGATAGGGGAAGGAATTCGTCCTCCTACGCCATGTATGGCATTTCACATACTCGTGAAACAAGGAACGGCCTTTGGAGTCTTGCGTTCTGAATGAAGCGCCCTGACTTACGAGCATCTCAATGTACCCCTTTACGCACCAAATTCTGCGAAACAAAAGAGTAGCCCCATTGCGGTCGATCGCGTTGATATCTGCCCCCGCCTTCAAGAAGCGGCTGATCACATTCTCTAGGAGGGGTTGCCGTGCACACATGAGTGGAGTTTGTCCTTTGTGATTCCTCAAGTTGACATCGGCGCCTCTCCTTAGTAATTCTTCGATGATGTCCAAGGATGGAGATGACTTGTTTAGCAAGACGTGAAGCGGGCCATTTCCCTCCTTGTCAACCACACTGCAGTCTGGGCCATATCCAAACAACTTGTCAAGTAGCTGATGAGCACGGCACTTGTAGGACGAGAGGTACGACATAAGAACGGACTTCCCATCATCCCTAATAGCATTGATATCGGCGTGTCCCTTGTCGACAAGAAGCGCTATACAATCGACTTCGATATCATCTTTGTGTAGAGGTGTTTCACCGTTCTCATCCTTGATGTTGGCATCCACGCCAGCGTCGAGAAGTGCTGCGGTCAGGACTGGTGATTGCACCGCGAGATGAAGCAGTGTCTGTCCTTTCCAGTCACGCTTGTGAAATTCTGCACCAGCCTGCTTCAAAAGGGATAATACAGTTGACAGCTCTTCTCCATTGGGTTCCTTCTGGCGCGCAGCTGCAGATACGTATGCCTGGGTGGAATCTAGACCGTGATCCTCCGGCCTCGCGATACGGTCAAAAGCATTGAGGTGGATGGAGAATCCCGAATTGTCCACCGGCTGACAATGTATATTTGGATCTGCACCTGCGAGGAGAAGGCTTTTGATTGTTGATGCATTTGGGTTACTACATGCCCGGTAGAGCGGTGTAGCACCCTCAAACTTAGCCTTGGCGTTGATATCAATCCCCGAGTGCTGTAAGATTGTGGTCACAATCTGCGATCTCCCTGCGCCGCTGGCCCAGCAGAGGGCACGGTGCTTGATCTCGGCATCTTCCAGGAAGTCGAGAAAGACTTTGACCGTCTCCAGGTGCCCGTGCTGGCAGGCGTACATCAGCATCAGGGGGCGGTCACCAAGCGTGCAGGCCGGCGGCGTGCAGCCCGACCAGCTTTCACTGTTGGTATATGGAGTCAATGGGTTGGCGCCGGCTTCCAGGAGCACTTTGACTACCTCATGGTGGTTCTTTTCCACTGCGTAATGCAAGGGCTTCAGCCCAGCAACATCGTCTTGATCTGGCTCTATCCCAGCCGCGATGAGTTCCTGCACTATGCTCGCATGACCTGAGCCGGCTGCTCTCTGACTAAATGAACTTCCTGTTAGCTTGCTGTTTTCTTCAACACCCCTTATGACTGGCACTTCGAACAAGGGGGTCTTACAGAGCCGATTTCCTGTGGTCTTGACTCGCAGGTACGTCGCTGGCCAGAGCTTCTCGGAAGTAAGAAATCAATCCTGTCATTGCAGGAACGTGCAGATGTAAATAATTCCCCAAGTCTTTGGGTAGCTCGTACGCTTCCATGGGAAGCCAGTTTCTAATTTTGCCTTCCAGTGACAAGAAGTTGCGGATCTGGACATTGATCTCAGTTTGGCTGTGGCCCGCATTGTCCGACTGCCTAGCGTGGTGATACCAATTCCGGGCGGCGTACTCAAGGAACGGGTGCTTTAGTCTTGATTGCATTCTTTGGGTGCTTTTATCAGAAGAATAACCATCTTCAGCATTCTGGGAATCTAAACATCCACTCTGGAGATAGTGTAGGCACGCCAGTGCAAGCTGATAATGAGTTGAGCCGATCGACAGAACTGGATAACCTGAGGAATCTTGCGTGCGAGTTGTACCTTTCAGATACTCGGTAAACGAATGATGGATTACTGATACTGTCTCATCAGCAAGGATCTCAAGAAGTGGGCCACACGCAGCTCGAATAAGACTTTTAGTATCCTTGACATTCCTAGCATTCTCGTCAGGGTTCGCCACCATTACCAAGTCTGTCAGCTCGAGCAGTCGGAGAGGTCGAGTGGCATGTGTGACTACCTGGAGGATCAGAATCTGGACTCTAGGGTCGACACCAGATCTCTTCGCATGTGCATCAAGGAGATCTGTATATAAGGCATCCAGGTCAACTGGCAGCTGTCCAATTACCGACTTGATATCAGCTCCTGGCTCAAGAAACGCGTCCATGGCGAGCTTGGCATAGAGAAATAAGCCGTTTGCCCGGCCAGGAACAGCTTCCCGGATTACCTTCCAGTCACTTTCAGGTATTTTTGACTTGGCCAGCATAAAATCAACATAATTCGAGATGTCAATATCGACCATATTGTCTTGCAGTCGAACATGTAGACCTGAGACTTTTCGGAGCGGACCCTCGACGCTTGGGACGGGCCGGCTGGTGATCAACACCTTCACCTTGGCTGGCATAAACTGGCCAAGTGACCCAAGGGCTTGGAGGAACGTGTCATGGCCCTGGTCCATTTCATCGAGGGCGTCAGCAATACAAAACACCTTCCCTGGCAAGCTGGACAGTGCTGCTCTCAAGTCTCCCCACATGTCCTCCATGGAGATGCTCTTCGTCGTCCGCCTACCATTGACATATTTCAGAAGCTGGTTCTGCAGAGGAGGGCTGTATTTGAGAATCTGATCCATCCAGTCTCGCAGCAGGGCTTGAGGCTCATGATTTGCGTCGATGATTTGGCGGAAGAAGAAGTAGAGCACAGGGCAGCCCGGGTGTAGCTTGGCAAGCTCATCGGCCAGCCAAGCAGCCATGACGGACTTGCCGGAGCCTGGGATTCCCCTTATCCAGAGGAGCCCGTGATCTTGGCGGTGCAGCCAGTCCTGATACGTGGCGCTCGACGTGAGCCAGTCTCCTGTGCCGGGCGCATGGGAAAGCAGGTGCTTGCGGAATTCGCCGCCAACGACATCGTAGGGAGTGGGCTTGAGCCAGGCGCGTATTTTCTTGACTGTCTTTGCGGATTGCGGTAGGATCTGATCCGGATTATAATCGCGAATGTCATCAGGACTGAGAATGCTCACGTCGCTGTCGGTCGCGTCATCCTCCTTTGGCGAGTATTCCATAACTGTCGCTCCTGGTCCCTGATGGCCGCTGAGAAAATAAAACCATATGGCAACGATCGCAGAGCCAGTCAAATGATAAAATCTGCTGCTCTGCACTCAGATGTCGGTATGAGATGCGCAGAGAGAAAATCACTAGTCCTTTTCCCAGGTGATTGGCGGTTGGCTCATGAAGTAAGACGATCCTTGACTCATCAGTGTATTATCTCACTAAACTAATCAGGAACTGGCCGAAGAGGGTAGCCAGGGTTTCAGGTTATGCGGCGCAGTCAACGCCTCCACCAGGGGACAAGAGAGATCGTTCCCTTACCACAAATGAGAACAGGTAGACTTTTATGACCTACTCCCTAGAATATTATACACGACAGTTCTTCAACAACCCGATATAGGTTGAAGGACCATGTGATGATGTTGCAAACCTTTAGGCTAATATCTTCGAGGTCCACTGCGCACCAGCCACGTGCTTTCGAGAGCAACAATGACCTAAATAAGAGAAGAATAAATTTGTGATCATTGACCAACTACCTGGACCTTTAGAAATTGGACTCTTCGTTTCGCAGGTTTGGCAAGCGTTTGTAATAGCCAACTATAAGGGTATGTAAGCCCTCACTTTTACATCATCTCCATACGTTCACCTTCAAACCCGATAAAAAGAGAAAAGACCAATACATGGAGGCGGAAATCCACGTTCTAACTGCCACTGCTCTACGGCTTCTTGCCTACCACGAAGATCTTCCAATGCATTCCAGTTGTAATCCCCATACTATTTCATTACGATGCCAAAGCTGAACCTTGTTGAATGAGAGTGAGTCTCCAGGGTATGTAGGAGGAGTGATTTCCAGGCAGCAGTTTGGCAGCTCCACCCTAAAACGAAATCGGAGACAATCCGCGCTTGGTTTTACTCTTACAACCACGAAAGCGACTTCACGCGGACTGCTGAGAACGAGTTCCACGGGTAGTTTCCTAGTTCAATCGAGTAGACAAATTACTTCTTACCTAGGTACTTTGATGTCTACCCACAAAGCCAGCCTTCAGCACGCAAAACATGGCGCAGCGGGATCAAGTTGCGCAACGGCCCCAATGCCGTACCATTTTGATATGGGTAGCAGTATTGATTGTTTTGCTCTCAACCGCAATGTCGTTTTTCGCTGACGACAGATACTTCCTACTGAGATATCGGGAATACCAGCTGAACAGACCATCGTCGTACCCCCTATCGCGCCGCGAGATGGCCAGGATAGAGGAGGTGGCAGATCTACTGCTCGAAATCTATCAAACGTTGGCTGAAATGAGGTACCTCGATCCGTTATGCATCAAGCCTGGCCCTCACGACGCCAGCATCGTCCAAGAGACAATGAACAGTTACGGATTAGATCCCGCAATTGTTCATCTCTACAGCATTATGCCGTATGTTGAGTGCGGAGAAACTGCCTTCTTCCGGGGTGGTCAGTTTGTGGATTTTCGGCGAACGAGCGACGTGGAAGAGGCCCGGGATCCGTTTAATGATGATCCACGACACGAGGCCGGGTTTGAGGAAGAGGATGGGCCATACATGCGCCAATGGATGACTCCGTTATCTCTGATGGGTAATCACCAAAGCGTAATCATCTACGATGCACGGCGGCACAGGATCTGGATCATTGACCAAGAAGGCTGGTCCAGTTCGGATCCGGCGCTGGAGGGGACAGAGGATATACCGACCCGTTCACTCAACCACAACGCCTTTGAACATCTACCAAGCCGGCCTGCTGCAGACGTTCTAAAGGATATTAATAAGTGGTATCGCCAGCTCATCATTCTTCCAGGCGGCGGTGATGACACTGGCAGCGAGTGGGACCACTACGATATGGATCTACCCTCGATCTACAGGAATAATGGATGGCCGGATCGCTTTGATGGCGAGGCGTTCGAAATTGAACAGGCTAGAAAGTCCCGTGCTGTGTGGGCAAAATATTTAGCCGAAGAGCCTCTTAGAAAGCTTGCGGCTCTTCAATCCTGGGTGGAGGGTTTCCCTCGGGAGATCCAACGGGCAAAAGAGTCGGCTCTCAAAGCGACCTCCCAAGAGAAGAAAGAGACTGCGCGACTTTCTCAGTGGAAGTCCGAGCACGCCCAGAAGAGAACTGTCAAGCAGCTTACTGTCAAGCAGCTTACTGTCAAGCAGCTTGCGCCTGCTCAAGAAATGGTTGACAAGTTTTGTCCTGGAGGGGTCTGCCAAAGAGCAGAAGACCTGCCTCTATGGGAGCTTGAGATGGTCAAATCTGAGTACGAGAGTAAACAGAATCGCTTACGAGAGCTAGAAGAAGAGGGAACATTATCAGAAAAGGATCACGAGTTCCGCCAAGCACAAAGAGATGCCATCATCTACCAAAAAGCGTTCGATCTATCTAAGGCAGCATGCGAGAAGCTATCCAGCGATATTCTAGAGCCTCATCTGGCTTTTGTCTGGCCAAAACAACCGGATCTTAGACGGATACACGATGATATCAATAATATGCAGCAATATGTTGATGATGCCAAACAGTATCTCGCCACGGTGCCTGAAAGCGCTCTGAAGACCCGAAAAGCGATCGAGCTGGACATTGAGCATGTTGAGGATATGGTTGCGTCCAGGAGACTCAGTTTGTCACACCAAACCGAGTGAAGAATATATACCAGTGCGCGAAAAGGAGGACTGGGAAATGTAGATGATATTAAAGTTCGAAGATAACTAAATAGTCGAGATCTTAAGTCCGAATCACATAACTCTACCGTAGAGAGCCAACTAGCTAAGTCGCCGATAATTGCTAACATCAAGACTATGACACATACACTAATCTGATACACGTGTAGTTCATTGCGAACACCTAAAATGGTAAAGGACGGAGGTGAAGAGGCTCCATTGGGTCCTCTCTACGTTCTGGAACATCTAGGGTTACGGACTTCGTTAAGTCCGGAGACTCCGAGCAGGGGGTATCTACAAGCATAAGCAACCCTTAAAAAGTTTATATGCAAACTGCTTACACTGATCCACCTTTGTCATCCTACGCGTCAACTCCACGGTATAATCATTGACACTGAGACTGGCCCACGATGAGTAGCACGCGGGGTAAGCCATCAATAACTCTAAGCGCCATGCCACAGCTGATCGAGGTATATCTGATCTCCTCCCTGAGCCCCCTATTGAACTACAATGACACATACGCCATAGGCTAGAGCAAGCGATGATGACTGGACTGGTATTACGGATGCAGCATCCCGGCGGAGAAGGCAGACTAGATTGAACACCCGAGCATACCGTCAGTCCCCCCAGAAACGGTCCCAAATTGAAGTGGACGACTAATCGCTAAATCTATTCAGGTCGTCGGAAAGCCGAACAAGCTGCTTCCAAGGCCGTGAAGATGGAGACGCCTGCCCCCAGAATGGACACTATACCCTGCTGGGACGAGGAAAACCAGAAGGTCGCGCTGCTACCGGCCGCAGTCGCGAAGGCCATCAACGCTCCCGTAATTCCAAAAGGCCGCCTCAACTCAAGGCTTCTCTTCCCTCTCTCTTCAGACCATTTGATCACCCTCATTCAAGTTAATACATTGCGTGCCATCATGACCAACGGCCACATCTTGGAGGAAGTAATACCTGAAACGAGATATGACTGTACCGGGGGCGCCTTACAGGTTCTCCCTAGCCTCAGAAATATACAGCAGGTACCCGAAAGCCTATTGCCGACTCGATGTCAGTCGCTGGTTCCTCATGGGGCTTGGATCGACTGTCTCCCTCACCCAGCCTGGAGAGACAACTTCATCCGAGCTCTTGGCACGTTTGACGAGAACGACCTCGCTTCTGATATTGCGGGGTGGTTATCGAAGGGCACTGGCGCTATAGAACCTGGGATGCGAGGGCTGATAGTTTGGTCGCCTCCCTGGCATCATACGGGTTGGGAGGTGTCGGAAGGATTCATGGAGAAATGGGGTTGGTCAGTTAGAGGGTGCGAGGAGGTGCTCGAGGCCACGAACAAATGGCGAGAAGTTCGAGGAGAGCCGCCGCTTAAAGTTGAATAATTTGTAATAGGCTGTGGGTGCTACGTTTAGACTTCGATACTTATCAATACCAACTGTGTTGCCCTAGCGACTTTTGGCCTCCGTGATGGAGGCATACCGCTTCCCAAATTGCGGACACATTTGTGTCCAAATCCTTCTTCTATTACACAGACCCAACGTCCTATTCCTCTGGCTCCCCCAGAACAGCTCTTTGTAGACACGGCTCCAGTCTACTGAGAAGCGCTGTTCGTCTGAGGGAGTAGGCATATCCCATAGCCAGGGCATATCCGGCACGATCCGCGACTTCCAAAAGGACTGAGACAATGGGACGTTGGCAATGGCAGGAGACGCCATCCTCGCTTTGAAAACGTCTTCCATTGTCGGAATAGACAATACTAGAAGTGAGAGGATGTCAAGAGGGAGTGTGCTGAATGGGTCACCCTGCGTATTGTAGACGTCGCCTGATTCTCCATCTCCCTCCTTTAGCAGAGGCAATTTCTTGTAGAATCTTGCCAGCCATTCAATGTCAATCGGGTCAGATACCAGATATTCGTGGTTTCTCAGAGGGAACCAATCCCGCGTCCTATGTTCGGTTATATCTCCGTAGTCAATTCCGAGGAACGTCGCCCATCCGTCGCGTGAACCCAAACTTTTGAATGTCTCGTTGAGTACCTCCCTGTCCAGAGACTCAACACCAAGAAAGCGTCGTAGCAGCTCATGGCATTTGACATGAAATGGTGCACACCAAGGGCTTTGGCGGCCTTCCAAGCCGTATCTGCGGGGAGAGCAATCAATTTCCATCTCGTCTAAGCGGCAAATGAAACGGCGCCAACCTACGCCTGCATATATCCAGCATCTGGCATGTCCTGTAGAGCCGGATCGGAATCCTTGTCGAGCCCGAACCTAACGTCTCCGTCGAGGCCTACCGAAGCCGGTCCTGAGAGCCAGACACTGGCCAAGCCAAACAATCACAGCGTTAGCACGAGCTTCGCAGTCCTCGTCATCCATGAAACCTACGTCGACGGTGCGCTGGTCTCTGGATTCTCTCCAAGGGCGCGAATGTCAGCCAGCCATTCCAGCTCCGGGTATTCAGGTCGGGTCAGGAAGACATCTGGGTTATACGCGTCCGGGCCAGGGCGCGATCTGTGTTCACCGTCGTCGATGAAATAGCTCACGTCCCGTAGAGGCCCGCCGCAAATGGCGCAGAAACACTCCCAATCGGCACAACTCATGCTGTCAAGCCGGCCGGATCTTGTGAGGAACTGTCTACAATGTCGGGGAGTGGGGATGCGTCAAGTCTCTGAAATGACCCGTCTTAGCAGATCGGTTGTCACGTGGTCAGGATGAGACTGATTCCAAGCAGTCTGGCTGACAGGTGTTTCCAAATGAGGCGTCAATTCTCACGAACCCCCCACTGAGCAGCTGATGGTGAAGCACAATGTTTATTTTTGGATCACGCGAGTCCGAGAGGAATTTCCGAGGGCTGGGAGAAGTGGCCTACCTTGAACCTTGAACTTCACCAGACCTCGACCGTGAGTGTTCATATGCATCACACGTGCATTATTACTGCTGTCATGATTTAGGGGCAAGATGCACAAGAGAGGATGAATTGCTGACAGAATTAGGCTAAATTACAGAGAAAATTAAAATTAGGCGCCAAATCCTCTCCGTCCTCAAGGGAAAGAAGAGAAAGAACAAGCTGGTGATAGAGAACAGAAAGACAATCAGACAATCGCAACGTGGCTCGCATCTTCATCACTTTTCTCCTTCTTGACGGGCGCTGACTTTGCATCGGAAAAGCCCCTCTCAGTTCTACTCATAAGCTGTGGACTCTTCGCCGCCTTCATACTCATCAAAGTGATCAACGACTACCCACATCTTCGACAATTCGGTGCACTTGTGGTGCATCCCAAATGCCAACGGGTAGAAATCCACGAACCCAGGCTTTTTGCAAGAGATAGTAGCCCGGTCGCCAAATGAACGCAGCAACGGCTCGACGACCAAATCGACCGGAGCGCCAATGGCTGGTAGTGCTGATGTTCGAATCAGGTTGTTGAGGGGGGACATGTAGTCTGGCTTGTAAGAAAATCCCGACACCTTCCCCGTCATGGGGTCCCGAAAATCAACCCTGACATTCTTTCCCGAGGCAAGTATCCAGAGATCTACTTCCACGGCGGTTCGGGCCACTCTGGAAAGAGATTTATCGAGGCTACTATGGAAACCCGTTTCGGGATCAACATCAGGCTCTGAGACTGATTCGCTGTCATTTGACTCAACTTGATTCTCCGGGTGATTGTGTAGCTTCATCATCGGAAGGAATTCATCGAGAATTAATTTCTCAAGTCGCTCGACAGACGTATGCGGCCCAAAGCGCATGTATGCCATGCGAACGCTCCAGAATCTGGCAGCATGGTACGCATGAGTGAAAGCGTTGCTTTCATCGGGCAAGCCTCCTTCTAAAACACATTGAGCATTAGACCTGAGCCAAGCAGTGGCGGGGATTCCGAACTTACTTCTCAGAGACTGGTGGAAGGATCCAAGATGGGCCCATCCCTCGGTTGACCATTTATCAGTGCAGTCCGGAGAGAGGAGATTGTCGTAGAGAATACGCCAGACCCAGGCCAATATGAGATGGGTGCAGCCTTTGTTGCCGTCTTCGATGATCCTCGGTGCAATAGGGCAAAACGATAATAATTTCTCCTTTGTTTCATCGTCTAGAAGGTGCCACATGCATTTTTGCAGTCCGGTAGCGGAAACGAAACCATTCATGTAGATGCTAAGTTGGCTCCAAAGATTGTGTAGAGGTTGGTAGTCGTAATTTCCCTCATGAAAGGCCATGTGGTCCCAACGATTTATTTCTGCTTGATTCACAGATGGGTCAAGCGAATAAGGCTCGCTCCATTGTGGTCGGGGTGCCCCCTCGCCACTGTTGGACGGCTGAGGCACACCAGGGGACGCGGATGGACTATCTGCCGGGGGACGATCCCATTGGTCTGGAGATATAGAGCCTAGGAGAGAGGCGGAGCTCTGTATGGTTGAAGTGGTTGGATGGAGGGGCTCGCACACCTCACCCAGTTGGGTATGGCCTCCTTGGGAGATCTCTGTGGAGTTCGATACTTTGTCAAGCTCAAGACGTACGTTATTCTCTCTGGATTTGGCCCTGGAGCGAGTCTCTCGCCGTGTTGGGCTTCGTGGTGCCTTGGAGGACTGGTCCATCCGGGTCTTGGGGCTCATGGACCTCTTTCTCGGCTTTGCCTTCATTAGAGGTGAGGGGATATAGACTGAAAAGATATGGTTTTGGTTGGGTTGGTGGCCACGTAGCAGTCTAGATCCATATACGACCTACGATAAGGATGAATCCTGGAGTGGGAGGGAGTTTTGGGATGACGTGGGAAGATTAGGTAGAAATAGACCGTGAAATTACCCACTGACACCTTCGTCCCTCTTTGTTTGTTGCACGAGAACCCATCTCACAGACCATCCCCATCCCCACCCCCAACCCCCTTTCCCCTCCCTTGCTCTGGTCTGTGGACACACACAGTTCCCGTGAATCACAGTCACACCTATCATTAGCTCAGGTAGCTAGGGAAATGAGCTATTGGCTAGGCCCTGTGATTGTGGCGTACATGCCAAGCCCTGTTTCATGCATTCCTCCGCCCCTCCTACATGAGAACTTGGGTAAAAAAAGCCCGATCAAAGCTGGGTTTTTTTAGCTATAGATAGGTTCAATATTATAAAAGCTCCTGCCCTCTTCTGGAAGTTTTCAAATGGTCTATTGTGCAGCTGCGTTTGCCGGATATGCTCGCGGTGATTAGTAGTGACACATCATATGCGCTTGCGGGCCTCTCTGCACCAAATGAACGTCTTCGCACAGCTAGTAAAGTTACACATGGCTCAATCTTCCTAGTAAGTCCATTGTTTGGCTCACCACAATCAACGCCACTAAATACATGGGCATCGGAGATATGGAAAGTCTACAGGGGGCTCGGGCCGGTGGGTGATAGACATCTGGGTACACCAAGGCATCTTCTCAGAGGATCTAGTTGTTGCATCTCCACCCTTTTTCTCCCCTTCTGAAAACTGCAAAATCAACTTTTTGCGACTTGGCCTTTGTATTTCTCTCCCGGCAAGGTGAAACAGACTCTCACGGTCCTGTGCGCCTAGCTGTGCGTATCCTACTCTTCCTTCTTGTCCGTTGTCTTTTTTGTTACCTGCTTACCTGACGTTACTCTTGACCGACTTTTCCGGATGGAGAATCAATGCATCTATGGATGCGCCCATGGCATTATTGGGCTTGACTTCGGTTCAACGTGGATTTCGCTGTCTCCTTTCCGTTTGCTCGCGAATAACTCCCCACTAACCTTTAATCGCACAGGTATTCGGCCGCTGCTATACTCCTACCATCAGTCGATGGCTATCGTGCCAACGAAATGAGGTTTGTTGGCAAGTTTCCAACAAGTTTGCATGTCTTCCAAGCCGACGACGATTTCGAGCTTCAGTTCGACCCAGTCGACAGCATCATACTCACCAAAGACAGACTATGCTATCTGAAGGCTCTACTAATAAATCAAACCCAGCCGAGAAGCGGTGATAATCGGATGGTAAACTCCATCCTCAACTCATGGAATGGCATGGACTTGCCTGATGAAGATATCGTGGTCGCGAAATTTCTGAAAGGTCTCTTTGAGAAGGCATTGGAGACAGCCAGAAGTCTAGACGCCTGGCACGATGGGCTGCGTCCTGCCGTCACGATTACATACCCAATGTCCTGGTCTCCCGAAGAGCTCAGTGTGTTCCAGTCTGCTGTAGCAATCGCAGGAATTCCCAATCATGCCTGTCGTACATGTCATGTTCGTTATATCACTGAACACAGAGCAGTGGTTACCACAATGCAGCATCAGCACTACCGCGCTCTAGCGGAGCTGGTAAGTTTTGTCGATACAACAAATCATTTCAGTGTTGGCGAAAACTGATTAATATCTCAATTAGAACGGCGATTCTATGATTGTCGCTGACTTTGGTGGCATGACAGATGTGAGTTCACTATCTTCCATCATCCTAATCATATTCCCATTTGCTAACATGATCCAGGATGCCGCCGTCGTACCCTATCCTGACTCTATACCACTCCGATACCCCGAACAGGAGGAATTGGAGTTACTTGACCGCCGCATGCTGCACAACTCTAGTTACACTGGCTCGATGTCAGCCGATGCGGAGTTCCGTGCCCTACTTCTTCAGAAGTGGCGCGCAATCGCAGGCGATCAGGAGGAGGTACCTAGCCTTGATGATGCAAATGAGGCATGGGAGAGAGAGACTAAGAAGACATTCACGGGTCTCAACCCTGGCTATGAACAGGCCAGTTTCTCGGTCGGTCAAACAAGAGTGCTGATGAGAGTGTAAGTATGCTGTCTCAAACTTTTCCATTATCATCACGCTTCCTTCTCTGATCTCCCCTTGCTGCTCTTTCCTTCGCGCCCCAATTGGCAGCTGCTTCCATGTGACGCGGTATATTAACTGCACATCTCCCCATTGATCGAATGAGCTCCTGGAGGGGACATGTACTTTCCCTTGGTAAGACTTCTGCTCACCTTGCGCACAGGGGAACCCTAAAACAGATCTTTGACAAGTCCGCCGAAGCGAAGTCAAGCCTCATTGAGGCCCTCTTCCAACAAGCGGCTAATCTGCAGCACAACGTTAAGGTCAATAGCTCATATCCCTTGTTGAGACCGTTAGTAACTAATCTTCTCAATAGTGCATCGTTCTGACGGGCGGATTTTCTCTCAATCTCCGACTAGAAGCGCAGGTCAAGAAGAAACTGCGAGAGCGGTTGCAGGGAGATTGTCCTGTATTCCTCGAAACCTTTGATAGGTGCGTCTCCCATTGTCTACGTTGCCAGCCTGTCACTTACGATTTTCGCAGACGGTTGGCGGTGTGTACTGGCGCCGTCCTGTGGAGGCTGCCTAATCTTCTTCGCCGACTCATCGATTCCCAGGATGCGTGATCATCCTTTCGAAACCGAGCCTGGTTGATATCCCCACAGCGGCATATTGCATCGGCAATGGGCAGTTCCGCTAGTCGCTTGGAGTCGGATGGGAAGAGGCAGTAATCCGGGCCCGAAGGGCAACAGTCCAGAAATGTTTTCTCCTCTTCGTCTGTTTTTCTTTTGTCTTCTTCTACTTATCTCGTCTGGTTTTCCTCTCTTTTCGTTTATTGCATGTAATCACGGCAGTAAATAGAGTATTTCTTTGGTGTTTTGCTTTATAGAAGGGAATCCTCGGGGAACAGCATTGCCAGGGCCTGTGAAGGGTAGGTGGATTTTAATGTCATATATTTGCGATAGATTTTCTCTTTTTCCTCTCCTTTGTACAGTTATCGGATCAGAAAGTAAATCAAGATTGTGAACAAGCCTTTAGCATAAGGCCAGGTATCAATTAAATGCACGGTCATGAATGTCGGTCACCAAAGCCTCGCCCCGTCCTCTAATCTATGATCGGGTCACCTTGTGTGGACTTTGTAATACATCCCAGTCAAGCCCCTTCCATTCAACTTGTGAAGGTATCGGCGTTACAAATTTCCGAATCAGTCAATGCTCAATCGTATCATGAGGCGACGTGTTCATATAACTTCATGACGTGACTTGACTGCGCCATGCCTATTGCCTGTAGTTTGACAGTTAAAGACCTATCGTACGACGGACCATGTATCATCAAGTCATCTAGGCGGTCCATCGCCAAGAAGTCTTGCTCCTAGTCTCTCTCGATAGTTGCAAATGTTCATGCTTCAGTTATCATGAACGCTATGAAGTGGCTTGCATACGTAAGAGAAAAGGAATAAAGTTCAACAACAATGGAAGCTGCCAGAGCCCGACAACTCAATATAATGAATAGCAGTGGCCTGCGTTCCCTACCAAGATAGCTATTAGCCTAGCTCTATATCGAGATTAAGCGATTCAATCAGTTGCCCCGGAGCCAAAAGTTCAATTGTATCCATTCCACAAGTACGGGATGACGATCGTATTTTGGTAACCTTGAGATCCAAATGTATAATATAAGTTAATCTAGAATTACGCACTAGACTAAGCTAAACGTTTCGATCTCCCTTTACAATACCCAACAATTAGCAAGTATGATTCCATTCTCAACAAACCACTAGCCTAGGCGGTATGCTCCCGCCTTGATGTCATGCAGTAGTGATTTCTCAACAGGAGTCCAGCCTAGCTCCTCTCTAGTCTTCTCGCTGGAAACGGCGTTGTCTGCCATGATGGCGAATGAGAGGAAGCCGAAATGTGCCGACGTCTCCTCCGCCGTTTTGCTAACAGCTGGAACGCCCAGCTGCTGACCAAGTGCCTCAGCAATCTCTTTGAGGGTTACAGCTTGCTCAGCAACGGCATGGTAGTAAGATCCCGCCTTGCCATTTTCCAACACGAGCCTGTAGAGCTTGGCTGTGTCGTTTCGATGGACGGCGGGCCAGCGGTTTTCTCCCTTGTCGCTATAGACAGAGACTCCCTGCTCTTTTGCCTTGGCAGCCATCATGTAGACAAACCCATGATCTCCCTCACCATGATTGGTAGGCGGCAGTCGGATAATCATGGAACGTACGCCCTTGCTGGCGAATCCAAGGGCCACGGCATCATTCTTTGCACGGCCTGAAGACACGGGGTTCGAAAAATCGGCCACATCGCTCTCCGTGGCCAAGTCAGCATGGGCCACCGTGAGGGTGCCTGAGGTGCCGACGAATGGCTTGTTTGTGCCCTCGAGGGCCTCACAGAGGAGCGTGACAGTCTTGCGATCCTCGTCACAGATACGCACATAGTCGGCCATCTCTTCATGCTTGAAGGCGAGGTGAATAACTCCGTCCGAGGCAGTAGCGGCTTGCTTGAGGATCTCCGGATCGTCAAGAGTTCCTCGTACGGGTTCCGCTCCCAGCTTTTTTAGGGCTTCGGCACTCTTGACGCTCCTGGCCAGACCAAGAACCAGATGGCCATGGTCGAGGAGCTCACGGACAACAGCTTGGCCAATGAAGCCGGATGCGCCAGTTACGAAAACCTTCATGGTGTAAGGGTAGCAGGTAGAAGTTGTAGTTTGGGTTCTTGGAGGGTTGAGAGACAGTTGGATTGGAAGATCTGTTGATTTGTATTGATGAGAAGCGAATGTTAGAGGTAATGCCTCGACTATTTATACCGGTTTCTCATCCTCATGATGTTCAAGTTTGGTTCTCACACAGCCATGAGATAGTTAGAGCCGTTGAAAGAGTTGAGTTCAACGCCATACTTGCCAGATCCAATCAGATACTTCATATATCCGAATCGAGGGAATGAATGTGTTCTACGGTAAGCGTCCTATCATCGCCCGCCTACAAGCACCCACATACACAATGCCCACGGTAGACAGGGAATGGAATGTGCCGACTCCGAGAGCCAATGGAGCGGCAGCATTATGCGAAACAGGGTTAGCTCAAGACTTTTCCATACTGGTGATTCCACTTGACATGGATCCGGAGCTATCGGCGACCTCCACGGCCTAAAACCGGCCTCCTCTTCACAGGTCCGTATTTCCAATGGGATTCTCGGACTCTCCTTTCTTTATAAATTCTATCCCGGCGCCGGTGGACAAATGAATCTCTATCGCAAGCGAAACTTGGTTTAGCGTCTACGCAAAACACTCTCGATTATATTGACCATGCCTGTCAAGACCGCCACCTTCACGGACTTGGAACCGAGGGTCGCCGTGAAGAAGAGCCGTGTTTTCCGAAGATCTCGAGGAGGGTGTCGAAATTGCAAGTTACGAAAGATCAAGGTAGGTCCCATCTCAAGCCACGGCTCAAATTTACCGCCTAACCCGTCAAGTGTGATCAAGCCAAACCGCAGTGTCGATGCTGTCTATCATTTGGCGTCGTATGTAACTACGGTATCAGTATCCCGGACCTGTTGCCTTCCAAGGAGGCGCACTCCCAGTGGTTTGGAACAACATATGACACAACGCCGCCGGCAAAGGCCCCAATTCCACCTCTGAAGCAACGTGTATCTAGCCAAGTTGCGTCTAGGACGTCGTCCGTCACCATCGAACTAGATGCTAGGTCGATGAGAATGATAACCCGGTTTTACGAGGAAATTAAAGCGAGGTTTGAATTTCCAGCCAAGGATGTCTTGCAATTCACACAAAGTGTAAGTCCATACCAGCCTATGCTTAAGCATTCACTCAGCATGTTGAACAGCCGTCCATCCGCAGTATCCCTTTTTGATGCATGCGACGTTGGCATTGTCTCTCGCTCACGACCGTTCTCTTACCTCGGCAAGCAAACCCAACCAAGGTAGAACTGTACGCGAGATGAAGCACTTTCTCCAATGCACGACGTTGTTTCAACGCCACCTACGCGAAGGTATCCATCCAATAGACCGGGATCCGATATGGGCCACAGCGTCATGGCTTAGCATACTATTATTCCTAGCCATCGACGAGCACGACCCTTCCAAAGCATGGCCATTCAAAGGGTCCGAAACAGCAGACATGGACTGGCTACGCATGGGTGATACAAAGTGGAAGCTCTATCAACTCACCAACCCCCATCGGCCGGAGAGCATTTTTTATCCCATCTCAAACCTTTATTCACAGATGCGTACAAACATCGCAGCCAGCGGAATCAACACCGTCTCCCCATCTCTGTATGAAGTGTGCGGTCTCGACGGATCAAGCCGATATGATACGAACCCGTACTTCCAAGCGGCTCAAACAGTAACTAACTTGAAGAACTTTGAGCCTTCGAACGTCCCGATGCCCGCAGCCATGTCATTTATCACGCATGGACACCCCGATTTCAAAGTTCTTCTGCTAAAGAAAGACCCCGTGGCCTTGTTGCTACTTGCCTTGTGGTACAGCAGGGTGAGAGAGTCTGTCTGGTGGATTAATCTTCGGGCTATGACGGAGCTCGAGGCTATATGCTTGTATCTACGGAAGCACTATAGCCACGACGTTTTGATTATGGAACATTTACCATCGGATTATTGATCATGTATAGCAAGTACCATTCATTGCATCTTACCATAACTAGATTATTGAAAACGACCGCAAATTATGCGGTTTGTGCTCACTGCATTCCAGATCCGCTGACTGCCAACATAAACAGCGAATCTTAAATTCATATGTTTTCCCTGGGCGTAAGAATCAAATTATACTGCTATGTCTGAAGATCTTAATCCTCTGGTTACCGGATCAATGTTGGGTTCAGCTTTAATATACTCTCGTGAGAAGGGAAGCATGTTTTCATTACACCGGGATGCTAGTTTCATTTGTTTAAAATAGCTGTAAAGAGTCAATTTTTATTTCGGGTAAGGTTGACAGTGCAGCGCTTTATTACGAATTTGATCCGTGATTCAGACTTCCTACACTTTGGTAGGGTTGACTTGTATGAATCTACAATCAGAGTGACCTAGGTGCTGTGCAGAGCCAATATTCAAATGCATATGCGTATTCTTTATCTTTTTACTCTAGAATGTATGTTACTTCAGAAGCACTCAACTCTAACGCTAGTTCCTCTGCCGTCGACCTGATTGCGAGGATGCGCGACGATTGCAGATCATACGCTGCTCTCTTCTTTTACTGTAGTCCCCTTGGCATACAATTGCGTCTTGGCGGCTTACTTAGAATAAGTGCAGCTCAGAGGATTTGACGCGGCGATGCGCTCCAGAGAAATCTTGATGCAGCCTTGGTTGTGGCCAGGATTGGGATTGGGGGAATAGACCCAGATGCTCCAACTATTTGTAGCCGGGTGAGGGCAGGCATACCACTCATTGCCATAGATGTTGAGACGGCTTTGGATGTTGAAGGCCCAGCCGGTGACCTCTGCGTACCTAGGCAAAGGAGAGCCCTGATCAATATAGCCAGTAACGCCCATGCCTGCCACCGGTCAGTCGTTAATCGCAGGCAACTGAGGGAGGAATGTGAGATGAACTTACCCATGCCACTGCGGTCAGTGAACATCTGCTGGGGAGTGACACTGGGGTTGGTATTGTAGAAGAAGACAGACCCATCCTTCAGGTAGAAAGTGCCATCATCTTGGCTACCCCCCTCGCAAACCGGGTTGGAGGGATCGGGTCCGAAGTAGTAGCGTCCGGTCTTGGCCTTGAGGAATTGGCCGTTTAGCTGGGCGTTGCTGTCGCTCACCGCGCGGAGCTTGAAGGCCTCCCAGGGAGCAGGAACCGCCAGGGCTGTGCTGGCGGTTGCAAGAACGGCGGCGAGAAGGTCGAGCTTCATTTTTGCGTTTGGGGTGGTATAGAACAGTGAAAACCCTGGAGAATTTATTTTATATTATCTTCTTGGAATGTTAAGTAATTAGAAAGATGAATGTTGATGATAAGGGGAAACCGATGGTCGTGTTGAGATATATATACTATTTCCACGAGGTTGTTTCCAATGGATCAGGCAGTGGTGAGCAAGGTCAACCCCATCCTAAAAGTGACAATGTACCATGTCCAATAGGTGGGTATACTCCGTACAGAAAGTCTGGTTGAACCGAGAACCAATACGAAGTGAGTCATGATAACTCCCGCCTTGTCTCAGCCACGTTGAATGGCATCCGGCCGCAGCATGAAACTGTTTGTCATTGCGAGGGATCTATCACAATACTTCGTCAGGCACTAATTAGATCACTCTTCTGAGCAAGCCAGGTGACCAGACAGGAACTAGACGGCTCTCGGTTCTCCAATCAAGACCTCTCGCATGCATGAGAAAACAAAAACGGTCAGCGCTAGAGTATGCAGCTGAACGCCACCTCGTACAATTTCAGCTGCTCCGATTCTTCCTTGGCGGCAGGGAGATCAGCAGCTAAGACATCATGAGAATCAGAATACGAGCATTGATCTTGGCCGTACGTCCTCTAGTCTCTCGCATTCTAACCGAAACAGAGTTGGAGGAAGAAGGTAGGGATCTAAGCTATGAGATTTCACTTCTCCGTTTCCCAAAACACGTTTTCCATTTCCAATATAATAGGAACATTGGTCCGCATTGACTTGGACTTCTCTGGAGGCTGCTGTGTGCCATTGTCTCACGTCTTGTCGGAGCGACCGAGTGCGAGTTTTTCAGCTGTCGGAGGGGAGAGGAAGCGCCACTGCTTACTGAGGAAGACATCCACATCGCGCATCGCCGTATCTGCAACAGTTTACGACTGATTTCCAGCTTGTGGATTTCTCGCGACATTCCCACATTGCCTGGAAGAGTGGTGAGTGCCGAGACACCCTGGGCACAGCCCTATGATGAAGTGGGATGCGACGCCATGCGAAGCTGCTGACTGCATAACCAGGTTGATCGGGAAAATCCCACCGTCGTTCTGGAGGAAATCTCCTTGATTTTGGCTCACATTACGATGTAATGTTACATGGACCTGAGGTAAGATACCGGCTCACACGTTGAAGACCTAGCAAATAATCATCTTGTCGGCGTTAATGCCCTCTAAGGTTCATTCCGGAAGCCGTATATTCCGTATATTCGGGTCTAGTCCTTCCTATGTCTCACCGGCACTCTCTTGCACGTCTCCATGAGGCACCAGAGCAGAGTCCAACAGCTGTTGGCGTATAGGAGCCTCGTCGATATACATTCAGGTAAGACAAACGAAGATTTATTAGTACGAGGCGTAGTAAATTTAAATAATTCTATTCTAGTAGAAGCGTCCAACCGATCACTACTCCGTCTTCTTCTTGCCAAACTTCTTCGGCACGCGCGCAAGCCAGTAGACAAAGAGAGCACCGCCCAGATTAAAGACTGAGTACACCATGAAGATTCCGAAATTCCTCCATCTTTCACTATAAAACACCTTGGACTGAGCGAGATAGACATTGGTGTCGCTAATGGTGCAGAACGAGCACATGTCGGTCGCATTCTCATCCCGAAGGTATCCCCCAACCTGCTGAATATACGGCCCCATGAACTGCCCACACGTCGTGCCAGAAGGGGGAGCGAACTGCATGAATTCGACCGATGCGCATTCCACCTTTGAGTTTGCCACGGCGGTAGCAATCATGGAGGACGTCATGTAGGTGAAGGGTGATACCCGATAAAGGAAGATCCAGAACCCAGGCATGGAGTCTGGGCTGGCCAGGATACCACAGAACATCAGACACAACATGAACAGCACGTTGGCAATGTTTCCGCCGGCCTCTGCTGTCTCAAAGCCGGCAATGATGAAGTCGGTGAAGGTCGAAGTGAACATCATGAAACCCCAAAGCAGGAGGAACATGAGGCCTCCACGTTCGACAACCTCGTTGTTGAGCTGGGCGTTTCGATCCAGCCCGATTGGGTAGTAGAAGCATACAAACATAAATAAGGCCATGAGCGAGTTCCAGGGGATTTCAACGATGATCTGAGACCAGATAAACACTTGCCAGGAGTAGACCTTAGAAGGCCGTTCTCGGACCTCGTACAAGTCACGCTGGACCACGAAATAGGGCATTGTCTGTTGAACCAGCTGGCCGAAAACCGTCAATAGATTGAATACTGCAAAAGTTTGGTTTTGCAATCCTTGGATTGTGTTTGGTGCGTTGTAGAAACAAAATCCTAAATGAATTAGCATCACCATCCCTGCCAAATCTTTAATATCTCACACTTACCGATAAACAGCGAGATACCGACGCAGAGGGCAATCTTGGAATAAATGTATGACGGTGTTCGCCAGTACTGCTGGAATACACGGTGGCAGACCTCGAAGAGCTGTTGGTAAAATGGGACAGCGAACTCGTGGTGATCGGCCAAGTCGGAAGCTTGTCCTTGTAGGTCTACTGGCTTTTCTTTGAGGCGCTGCAACTCGGTCTGGACTGCTTCGTATTCGGGGCTATCCTTCCAGGTCTGAAACCAGTTGACATCAGAATGTGATCCGGGAGCCGCGCCAATCGACTCCAGCATCCATTCGGCTGGATTGGCGTCATGGGGACAAGGAGAAGCCCCGTTCCGTTCAAAGTACGAGGTCAAAACGTGAGAGTTTTCGCCTATATCGCCAAAATAAACAGTCTTGCCACCAGAGGCTAAGAACAGCAAGCGGTCAAATCTCTGGAAGAGCATCGCAGATGGCTGATGAATAGTACAGAGAATAGCTTGACCGCTTTTAGCGAGCTTTTCAAGCAAATCCAGGATAGCCCAGGAGGTTTGACTGTCAAGACCGGACGTCGGTTCATCGACGAACAGAAGAAGGGGAGGCTTTGCTGCCAGCTCGACGCCAATAGTAAGTCGCTTCCGCTGTTCCACGTTAAGACCTTCTCCAAGCACGCCAATAACTGCTTCAGAATACTCCTGCATGTCCAGTAGACGGATGACCTCATCAACATAGGCGAGCTTCTCACGTCGCGGGACAGACGCGGGCTGTCGAAGGAGCGCGCTGAAGTTGAGGGCCTCCCGAACCGTAGTCGTACTCAGATGCAAGTCCTGCTGCTGAACGTACCCAATGTTTCTCTGGAACGATTTGCCGCGGACCTGGCCGTTCACAAAGATTTCGCCGTAGATCACGCCCATTGATGTTCTATCTGCCAAGCAATCTAGGAGAGTGGTCTTTCCAGCGCCAGAAACGCCCATCAAGGCCGTCAGCGTACCAGGTTTAACCCAGCCGTCGATGTGATCCAGAATCCGCCTTGTCTCCGATTTAATCTTGACATCGTAACAGACATCCCTGGGGCAGACAGGTTAGCAACAGAAGCAGTAATCAGTAGGCGTGTATCAAAATTACTCACTTCCAGTGGAACACATTCGCATGCTTTAACTTCTGCGTCTCACTTCCAGAGCCCTTTTCCGTAACCGAAGCATTCACAGGTACGGCCGGTGTAGGTGCACCTCCAGTAGCCTCCACATCGCCCTTGGATTCCTTGAATTGAGCAGGTCTGTAGCCCCGACGGAATACGAGAATTTCTCCTTTGGACTTCTTCGCTGTAACGAGCTCTGTCAAGACGATGTAGATTCCGTTGAAAAAGCTAGTAGTTGATGCGTTAGCATATATTTCGAGCCAAAGAGTGGCAGAAGCGCATACATTATAAACCCGATAAGAATGCCGATGTTACGCCACTTGTTCTTTGGGAGGTACCGAAAACTCTTCGTGATATAGTCTTCTCCTCGGACATACGGCTCTCCAGAGATGGATCCTACCGCTGAGCAAACTCGGTTTGCATCAGGTATGTCACGGTATCCAGGGACCTCGGAGTTTGGAATGAACGAGGTGCAGAGGTACCTGCGGCCGGAAAACTGTTTCTCATTAGCCAACTGCGCCCGCATAGGCTTGACAATGGAGAACTCACCTCATTGATCATAAGGGACTCAAATGCATAGGCCACCGGGTCTATGTAATTGATCCATCTACACCACCCAAGCATATAGTCGATGGGGATCACGAAACCGGTGAACATGACCAGAGCCAGGATCAAAATAGCTGCCGGCACCATGGCCTGCGACATGGTTCGGGACGCAGACGCAAGCGATCGGAAAATACCAGACATGACCAGGACAGTTAAAAAGGACGTGAACAGGAAGAAGAAGAATGCTCCAGGCTCGCGCCGCAGATTTGTCATGAAGTCTAGCCATGTTAGCCAAGGATCAATCGGTTATCTGGGAAGTAGAGAGTCTTACATAGAATGAGATTGAACATGATACTATTACTGATCTTATACGGCATGTCCATGAGCATTGAGGCGAACGCCTCGGCAGACGGGTGATAGAAAGCATAGCGATCGTGCTTCTCAACAATGCCACGCTGAGCATAAAGGGTCAAAATCTCCAAAGCCGAACTAAACGCGTTCATCAAAACAGCAAAGAAGAGCAGCGCGCATCGTTGGTAGAAGCTTCCAGTCGTCATCGGAAGGTTGTAAAACACGGATGAAATAATGAATGCCATCGCAATGTTTCCCACGAGCTGGCCAATCGTGATGTCAGGGCTCCCTATCAGGCGACGATATGCGCGCCAAAGACAAAGAAGAACCTGCTGGACGTAAGACATGGTGTACGGGGACTTGGGTCGCTGTCCACGAGCCTGCTGGGCCTCTCTTTTGGCTCGGAAGGTAGTTGCGTCAGGACCATCGACTGGATGCGCAGACTTGTAGTTTTCAATGTCCTTCTGGAGCTCTCTGTACTCTTGGCTGTTCTTCCAAGCAGCTGCGAACTCGTCTGGCGTCCTGGGTGACTTTCCTTCCCAGCCAGGACGCACAATACGTTCCTGTGGGCTCGTGATAGAGGTTAAGAAGTCGGGAGTGGTTTGCCGGGGCGGGCACTCAAAACCCAAGTTGACGAAATATTGTTTCGCGGCATCAGCTCGGCCAAAGAAGATCTGACGGCCCTCGTAAATCAGGGTGACCTTATCGAAGAGATCATAAGCGCTCTGCGGGGACTGATAGATGGAAACAGCGCACGTCGTATTGAAGATCTCTGCTTGAAGACGAAGGGTCTTGCAGAACTCGATTGCGTTGGCGCTATCCAAACCTCTGGTTGAATTGTCCCAGCATTGAACGGGAGCCAGAGAAAGAGATGCTTCTGAGATGGTGACTCGTTTCCTCTCTCCTCCAGAGACACCGCGAATGTACTCGTTTCCGACCCGGGTGTTCTTGGTATGGCTGATACCAAACATAGCCATGACAACATCCTTGAGATGGTTGGCATACATGGGTTTGGTTACGCCTGCGGGCAAGTGTCGTGGCACGCGGGCTTGGGCGGCAAAGGTAAGCGTTTCATCGACCGTCAACATCGGGAAGTGAACGTCGACTTCAGCCGTATAGATAGCCTCTCCACGGTGGTTGGTATGCATTTCCTTTGAGGATATTCCTCGGTAGTTTAGGTATGCATCATCGTTCAAGTATATGCCGTTGGTCTCCCCCGCGATGGTCTTGAGAAAGGTCGTGCAGCCGGAGCCTGGCGGTCCCAAGACCACAAGCATCTCCCCGCTGCGAACGACTCCGTCAAAGTCTCGCAGGATGTCGATGCGACTCTTGTCATGGCCGAGAGCCTTTCGCGCAAGGCCAATTCCCTCCAGCCACACATTCCCCACGTCCTTCTGATAGTCTGTTGTGGTGCCGTATCCAAACACGTTCAAGTTTTGGAAACAAACACCGCTCGAAGTAAACGAGGTGCCTTCGGACTCTGTCAGGGCGACAAGAGACTTGGCCCAAGCCCGCGCATCGAATTTGGGGCTGTTTGGGTTCAGCGGGGAGTCAGGGTCGGACTGCGCATCGAAGACGTGGTCATTGTGCTCGCTGGCAGCGCCGCCGGGGGCAGATGCTCGGCTCTGATTGGTGTAGGTTCTGGCGAGTTCTTGCACGAGGCTGGCCCTCCGCTCCTGTTCTATTGAAACTGCCTTTGTTTCGTCCGAGTCGTCCACCGTGGCCGGTGGTTGATCGCGAGGAGTCGCCATCTCGGTCCAATCCCAGCAATTGTCGTGATGTTAACGAGATCGGAGTAATGTTAGAGCGCCTGGCTTCATAGGTAAAAATTAAATATATACAATCTGGATGGAACATGCTGGGGTACATCCCGCAATTAATTATCAGGTGATATTGCTTCATGGTATGGGGTTACATCCGGTGGTGATCGGGTTGTCGGACACTTCGCAAGGGCCGTGAGCAGGGCCTCTAGCACTCGCCTCTACCCATGGCAAGCCCTGCACGGCACCAATATTCTGCAAACCAGCCGAGGAGGGGTGCAGGTGTTGGAGTGGTGGTGGTCTTGTCGGCCCCTATTAAGTCCCGAGCCAGCGCACTCAGTCGCAACACCCTACCTCATACCTCAGCGAGCTATTGCGGGAAAAAGTCACCCGCATGAGGGGAATAGTTACGCAAGCTGATGTCAATTCGACAGAAGCTTGGCCAGTCTCAATCTGGTCTGGTTGTTGAAGTCACGTTATTCACTGTTGATCTTTTAGTCAGCGGCTTCATCTTGCTGCCGACACTCTTGCGGACATTTACCAGATCCGCCATGCCGCGATCAAGGAAGGCGACCCATGATGGCAGAGGAGCGTGATGTTGCATTGTTTTCATCGATGTGGTGTTGTCACGTGGATGGACTTTCCCCGATTTGCCCCTGAGATGGCGTTCCTTTGCACCCTTGAATTTTTCAATAATTACGTAGTACATGATGAAGCGAATCAATCCATTGGGGACAAATTGGTGCCTTGCCATGAGTTGTCGGGTGTTTGAACCGTTCGGTCAGCCACGACGTGATACAGATGTTTAACTGTCACAGTTGGTAGGAAGTCGATGAATCACCAAACACACTTTATTTTATTTTCTTCTTTTCGCTTTCTCTATGAAATCTCCCCAGCAGAGCGTTCCCATACATTGTTGCGAAACTTCAATTGTCTATCCTGCCGTTCAGCAATCTCCAGAGGAGGCATCTGTCAGTCCTGCTCACGCCAACATTCCAGCTCTCCCCAGATTCTGCCCCTTCTCAACTAAGAGCCAGATGGTCCACTCCCCTGCACTCGCATCTCCTCCTCTTTCAATCCCCCTTTCAGGTTCGAAGACTCAATAACTTTTTCCAGGCGGTATACCTCATCCCAAAGTCACGATAGCAAGAGAGACCATGCCTCACTCAACAATATTCTCTACAAGACTTCAACATGAAATAACAGACTACGGCTATAGGTATTGAGATTGCAAACCTCGAGAAGCGTCAACGAGATCGCGAAAAAAAGTGTCTAGGGGCTGGAGAGGACCAAGAACGAGCTTACAGATAATCAATGTGATTGACGCGACACGAGCCAGAGGATTTGATCAGCGAGCCCAAATTGCCCGCGAAAGAAAACGACGCCCTCCTTAAGGAGCTCTCAGATCTTAGAGACCGTTATCCCAACATGCTCAGCGATAGCAAATAGCTCAAGCAAGCACCAAAGGAAGAAAACCAGCAAGCTTTGACTCCCTTGTTGAAAAGAAATCAACGCATGTTAGAAAGTCGGCCAGTCTTGGTATAAGCCTTGGAGGGAGCAGATACTCAGAGAGGCTGGGGTCTGGGGGACAGTTCTTCGTATTGATCATAGAGATGCTTGTTAGTTAAGAATCCCAGTTTCATAACCGCTCTAAACCATATTTAGGAAAACCTCCCTCATCTGTTCACGGGGAATCTCCCACATTGATTCATGCAGATAGTCAATTCTAATTATGTTTCTCAAAACCGCGGAAGATAACAAGGGGGCAGAGGATCAGATACAGCGCCATGTCCTTCGAGAGGAAGCCCTAGGACATGAACACCTCGATGGCCTTCACTTGCAAGACATAATAGGATGACCAAATCAAATATACAGAGCTAAGTCGCAGTCAAATTCTACCTGAGTGAACAAGATGTCCACGGCCACGCATGGCGCCAAATGAATGTGCGGTGATTTTGATCAAAAAACAAGAGCTAAAAACGACCACTGGCACGTTTCACCCTTTTAATCCTCGATGTCTAGCGGCGATTAACAGTCTCAAGAACAGATGAGAATTCGGCTCGATCTAAAAGTCCTACTTAGCAGTTTAGAAGCGTCGGGCCAGCAGCCAGTTGAAGCAGCCGCGAGTCAAGTGTCTGAGCTTCTAGTACACGCTCTTAATAACAACAGCCCAAGCACAAGTTCACATGGCCCAATGACAATTGAGACAAGTCTTGGGGTGCGGGAGTTCGGACTACTGAATAACCCGACGCCTTCTCTTCGGCTCAAGTGATTCAACCATCTCCCAACTTTCTCCTGAGCCTGGGTCGACCCCGCATGCGACTAAATTGCTCTTTGTTTCGTGAAATCCTCCCACGCGTATTACCATGTACGTTCATTTATCGGTCTCAGAATTCCCCCGTCAGTGGAGATTAACGCATCTCGCGAGCCCGAGTCGGCAGCTCTTCGCCGAAAGGCACATCTATAGTTTGGTGCCCGAAGGTGCATGTACATTAGTATCCTTGTGAAGCAATCTGAATATCATTTCCAGAGATATTTTCCGAGTCCGGCCTCGGGTCCTGCAAGGTCCCGCGATCTATCAGTCGGAGTAGACCAGAAGGGCCAGCCATGGGCCTAGAATTGGATCGTAACACGTTTGGAGGGTCCAGGCCGCCGGCAAGGGGCAGACGAACTCATTGCCAATTCCAGGTCCAGCTGCCGCGAGTCAAACCGCGACAAAACCCCGACTATCGCGACGCGCTGGTCTTCAGGGATGGGATCGATCCCCAGCCACGAATAGTTGGTAGGAGGTTCGTAGCCCGGAGAAGCCCACGCGTCCCAGGGAACTGCGGACGCCTCCTCCTGCATCGAGTGAACCGCGCAGTAGTTCTCGATGCTGCCTACCATCTCGGCGCTATACGCCATCTGGCTCTCCTCGATATCTATGATGGCCTTGAGCGCCATCGCCGCCCCGTCGCTTCTCCACATCCCCTCGTGTCGGTTCATCCCTTGCAAGAGTTGCAGGCCATGGCGTCGCAAAGCCGGGTGTCTACTTCTCTTTCCCACGTCGAACAGCGGTGCTACCAACGCCGGCTCCAGGCTGAGTTGGACAGATTTCGACACGGCTTGTCTTTTCATGACGGCGTAAGCTAGGGTGATAACGCGTTGAAAATAGCCCAGCCGCAGATCGAAGTCGGATTCCGGACATGGTACTGCTAATGTGAAGATAAATCTGAGCCAGCAGTGGTAGATGCGGATCGTCATGGCGGCAGATACGTTGAGTGACCTGCCATTCCCAGCCTCGAACTCGGCCATTTGACTTTCGAATCGCTGCGTCTTGTCACGCAAATCTGCCTGGACGAACTGGTACGTCGCTTCGTCGACAATGCCCTCGGTATACGCCGCCTCGTTGATCATGGCCTCCCGGATCAGCGCAAAAACCGTCGAAGAAGCCTGTGTGTACGACTCGATGGTCGCCGTCGCCATGCCCTGGCTGGTACTCCTTACCGCAGCGGCCTCGGCGAATGGGTAAGGCGAGCGTGAGTCGTCGAAGGTGATGGATTGGATATCCATGCGCGTCAAGGTCGACGCAATCCGCTGCGCATCCGGCATCCGGCCAGAATCCTGGGCGAGGATCTTGAAGGCGGACAGGATATGTAGGTGGGATTCGTCCCAGAAGCCCAGCATGTTGGCCGACGCGATCAAGGGCAGGCTCAGGGCGAGGATCTTGGCCGGCGAGCGCAGGTCCTTGGCCAGGGACAGTGCCTTGCCGTAGTGTGAGGTGGCACTCCGGACGAGGTTCTCCGTCTCTGGTCCGGCCGACTCGAGCTCCCATCTCCGGTGCAGGGCGCCGAGAGCCAACGTCGCGTGCCATATGGCGGGCTCGGTGTGGGCAAGCTGCAGGAGGTCCTGGCCCCAGAAGGCCGAGGGGATCAGGGCGTCGGTGTTGGGGGCTGTTGCTCTGCGGAAGTAGTCAAAGTAGATGAAGTCCCGGTTGGAGAGCATCGTCTGGGTCGGCAGCTGGGCCAGGGATCTTTCCGGTTGCCTGGGCCCGGCCAGGACCTCGGAAGCAGGTCTCAGGGTGCCAATCTTGGACAGGGCCTCGACCATCTCGCGCCGGGTCATGGTCTGGCCCTCGGGGAGGTAGCCATCGCACACTCGCCGGGCAGACTTGCACCGGTGGCAGTGCGGTTTTGTCTCGTCGCATTTGACGCGACGGATCCTGCGAGGTCTGTAAGCACGGCTGCCGAGGAACAGATGGGCGGTTGCTACTGTACCTGCAGGAGATGCAGCCAGTCCTGGTCCGCTTCAGCATATCTGGTTTTCGCAAGTGCAGGATTAGAGGTTAGGCATGGCTGGACTGCGTGTGATGCGATGTGCGATGTTGTGAATCTACCGTGCTCACATCAATGTTACTTGTACAGCCCTAGAAATGGGTCATCAATGCAACGGATGGCTTAGAGATGCGTAAGCGAGGGGCTAGCGGGATACGAGGTAGTACCGGGCAATCAGCATAAAGACTCTTCTCAAACTCCTCCGCTTGTCCAGAGGAAATACCCGAGTTCAATTGTTTTCATCACATTCGCCGCCACTCGCATAACCCAACATAGGCATGCTACAAGAACCTCATGACTCTAGCCCCAGCTTCCTCTAGGCCAATCTGCTGCTTGGGTACCATACCCCAGTGGATCCTGCAGGAGTCGCCAGACAAATTTGTACAGCCACATGACGAAGATGGTAGCGGCGCCTCCTTATTGTCAATATTAATGTACCGACGCTGCAAAAATGAGGAAATAGAATGAGGCGATCAGAGTGATCTTTGAAGCAGCGACAGCCGAGACAGATCATCCCTCCACATCCCGAGACGGATTACAGTAGATCGGTCGGAGTGTTCGAAAGTCCCGAGAATGTTGCCTACCCTATACAAACAGTGATGAACATTCCCTGCTCCAGTGCAGCTGAGAAACCTTTCTCTCTATGAAGAAAATCACATTCCTGATTATTTGTGTTTATTTAGAGGTTAGTTAAAATAATTTTAAATTCACATCTAATTAGATCACTTCGTTGGTTCTGGGAACATCTCCACGTGAATGTTGGGGAAAGTCGCTGCCTTTCTTGGCTCAAAGAGACCGAAACAAAACGCCACAAGCTGAGCCACAAAACTCTAGCCACAGCACCATCCACATGTGGCGGAATGTCCTTCAACAGTGGCTGAACGTACCTGCGGTCCAAAGATGCTAAACAGATGAATCGTTATAAATCCCGAAACATCTAGAGTGTTTCCTGAAGAACGCCTACGAAGACTGGGACCAAATGATCCTCTATGAGTTTGTAGAAGATAAGCCTCCTAAATACACGCCGGATTCTAGCCCGAAACGTTAGGATACCAGCACCGTTCACTAAATGCAGAGTAGTTGAGTACCTATTTTAACAACTATAGTTAGGCGAAAGCATAGAGAGATTAAAGAAATACCTCGATATGGTGATAGTGAGACCACTACGATTTCCATAAATCTCTATAGGAAGCAGCATAAGTGCAAAATTCAAGGTTTTTCCAACAGTAACACTCTCATATGTAGTGAAGGCTTTATTTAATTACAACCCTAGAATCGTGATGAACATCTCAGTTTCTAATGATTATGAAATATGTCAACCTACTACACGTAGACAATTTCAAGTTACGAAAAGTAATTAGCAAGAGTTGAAAAAATATAGCTAAAAGAAACCCCAGAGTTTGGGTTTCACAAGCCGAAGGGATTAATGTTAACACCTTGGCCCGTCTCAGAGCTCGGATGATTACACGAGAGCGTCAAGGAAGATTAACTCACTGGGAATTTCATGTTTCGCCGTCTGGAATCTGAGTCGCAAGAACGAAAGGAAAAAGGAAAATTCTTAAGCCGCATTGTGGTCAGTGAGAGGAGGTGATAGTTTCAAAGTACGACCCGACCGCTCCAAAAGGTAGTAACAACCTTCTGAATGCGGGAGGTTTATGGGGACGCTGACGGTAGTATAATTTGTCTTACTCACAAGTAGCTACCACTAGGTGAGCAGGTCCGATAGGATGTCAAAAGGGAAACATCCGAGCTTATGGAACTGAAATGTAGCCTAATGGGGATAATCTTAATGCCATGATAAGCCTCAGTATCTGATGTGAGCATATGCAGATATGTTAACTCCTGCACCAGGATTATCTTGTCGTAATCATACAAACCGTGTCTATTTCGGCTGGGATCTGAATCCGCCAAATTGTTGAATCAATAAGGCTGCTGAAGGTGGAAGTGCCAAACGCAACATGACTAAAAAGGTGTAAGCAGTTTCTTTGTTAGCCAACGAAATGACAACTGGGCATTCATGAAAGCAAGACTTCCGCCATGATGTAGTGTGTGCTGATGCGGGTGATTCTACATCTCTTAGCATAGTTACGTGGTCAGCGCAAGTAGTGCGTTTTATTGCTCAGCGCATAATAGGTGTCTGTTGGTGCTCGATGGAGAATGAAAAGCTGTCCGCGTCCTTGGCGTTGAACAAAGTCACTGCGCTAATGCATGAATACCTGGTAGCATATCCACGGAGGTACATGGAGGAACAGATTTCTGTTCATAAGATTTATTAAAGGGCATACATTGTTTCGTAATGATGACTCGAGGAAATTATTGTGAGGACAGCCTGGTGTCAACCATTCCCATGGGCCTGAACTATTTGCCTGCTTCTGAGGGCAGCAATCACTGCAGACCGACCTCTTTGTCCTCTAACCAGGCGAGTGATCATAATGAGTACAACCTATACAGGCGTTATGTCGGCACCTTGACCACATAGTTCTCAGAGGATCTTTATGTAGTAGCCTATAATGCCTGGAGAGAGGCTCTTAAGATGCTTCCTGAGGGTGTGATGTTGCATTATACCATCCAACCACTTGGACCAGAATGTGTTACAGCTGGCGAAACGCAAGGTGGAAATATTATGGGCCTGGGCAAGGTTTCCCAAGTCTGTGAGTTGATTTGACACTTTGATGCTAAAACCGGCTACGCAGTGATTCTAATTCTGGCTTAGGGTGGGTATTCACCGTTGAGTGGCCACAAGAGGGTAGCGACGAAGCCTCTCAAAAGGCCGTCGACTCGTGTATTGACGCTCTCACAGCATCCGCCAAGTCTCAGGACTTGCTACTGAACTATCTCTGCGCTAGCTTTGCAAACCTGAATCAGGATGTCATCCACAGTTATGGCGTAGAGAATTTGAAAAAGATGCGGGAAATATCCCGCAAATACGACCCCGAACAGCTTTTCCAGGAACTACAGAACAATGGATTCCTTCTTCGTGACGCTTAGGGTGGATCATATCTATTTTCCAGCTCAGGGTCCGCGGGACAGATGTTGATTATGAAATAGTGTTGGGTATGGTGTAAACACCCGACCTCAATCATGCTTGACTCACGAATCTTATGAATTAAAGTACCAACAAGGATGATGCGTTCCGAGGACGAATCTGAGAAACATCCATGTAATGTAGCAGTGGGTACGGCAACCTGTACATTCCGCCTAACTTTCTCTTATGAAACTATCGGTAACCGCATATCATTTGGTTGTATTCTAGTCTAAACACTGAGAATCAGGCCGAGTTGACCTAGGGGATGGTTAGGAATGCAGTCTTTGATAAGTTGAATCCCATTTCTTATTGTTGACTCCCCCAGCCAATGTAGATGCCATGATGAATTAGTTTCTGGCGAGTCCCTAGCGAGGAAGAATAACTCGAATGCGAGTCTTAGTGAGTGATTGTATTTGATATTGGTTGAGCTAAGGGGATACGGCCCAGTATCTTAAACGGCTTTGTGTGGCATGGACTGTGTGATATGTTGCTGCATGGAGTATATCCAGGGTTAATTCCTTAGTAGGTGCTAGTTAGATCTAATCTAGGTCGAAAGTTCCAAGATATAATGACCCTGCGCTTCGGCAAGTGATATTGGCTGAACTATGGCTGTCAGCTGTAATGTCTGGGCATGGTCCTCGGGCAGTGGCTCTCAAGCGCCCAGAATCTATGGCTAATCGGACCGTCCGTAGTATGAAATGATCTTTATCAATGACGTGTCTCGAGGATACAACGCTCCAAGGCCAGGGTCAAGGGTCAAGTTTGTATGGGCAATGGTGGCAGGCACGGTGGCGGACCATGTGCGGCACGACCCGTTCATATAAGCCTCGTGTTTCGCGCCTGGTAGCATAGGATCAAAACTGTACTCTTGGGCGTGGTTGAATGTCTTGGGAGACTGGATTGAGACTGACAATATTGACTCTCGGACACTCAAATGGTTGGCCTACACGCCCTTGTGCTCTCGGAGAGATTCGGAGCCACCGCATCCCAGCATGCACGCCACGACATCCAATATGGGATTTGGGGTTGCCATCTATCTATTTATGATATGCCTATGCAGATACCAAGGTTTATCAGCCCATTGCGCCCACTAGGGAGTCCTCGCCTACCAATCGATCACGGCGGATGCAGTTGCACTGGTAGAGTTACGGCCGCTGACGTGCGTCACAGAGCTTTTTAGGTAGCGAACATACATATACCCCTCTTTCAACCACTACCAGTGGATTGATTGGGTATCCTTGGGTCGAAAGATCAACCGTTGATATGCATCGAGTGGTTGTGATGCAGGTTATCAGGGTGCACGTCACGGGCATCAAAACGAAGCAGACGCGCGCCACCTCTGGCTAATGCGCCAGCGCCCAACCACTAGACAAGTTCATATGCTTGGGCGCCCAAATCCTCAAACTTCTGGTTTTTGGGTGAACCGGACAAGATGGTCCCCTCCAATGAGGCAACCGGTGAGAGCCACAGCCATCAATCAGAACACATTAAGTGCTGGTGGAAAACATGGCGGATGATGGACCGCTAAATTAACTGTGGGTTGGGGATGTGCTGTACGTCGGGGTGTTTTACTGGACTCCCGGAACAATTAGTGGCAAGGAGGTGCTGTGCATCTTCAGTCCTAGGGGCCGCCTGGCACTGATGCACTGTAATGCGCTGTAATTCACTCTGTGCAAGACCAGGCAGCCACAAGCACGTGCTCTCTTCTACCCTTCCTCCTTCCCAGAAAATGTTGAACTCTCTGTTTCTCTTTCCTCTTGCTCTTACCTTAATCACCGTCTTGTCCCCCAGCTTGCCTCTTCGCTTATCGCTGCTACTGCCGGCGTAAGCTTCGCTGCAGCTATCTCCCCTAGTCCCTCGAGAGCCCGGCTGTCTTCGCCATCGTCATCATGGGCATCGACATTGGCCCCGACTTCCCCTTCAAACCTACGCCCGCAGCTGTGCCGTCCACCTTCAAGGTCGAGAAGCCCGAGTATCATCCTGGAGTCAAGATCACATCGGTAAAGTATATTCTCTGCTATGAACCGTCGTTGCTGCCATTGACTGACGTCTCATCATCCATCCTTCCTTCTAGTCCCCTGCGATCCACAATCCTCCCCTCCCCGCCGACGGCCCCGGTAATCGAAACTTCTCCAACAAGCTCTTGATATTCTTGCTTCTCCTAGCACCAAACTACCTTGCCTGGAAGCTCGGTGGTGGGCTCAAGACAACGCTCTTCTTCGCTGCTCTAACGACGGTCCCCGTCCTCATCGTTTTCTGGACCATTGCCTCGTCCATATCACCGCCCGTCAATGAGAGAGTCCGATGCCCCGGGCTCCCCGTGGAGCACTATCTGACATTCCACAAGCCGGCAGACCGTGCCAAGTATCAGGGCCCGCACAAGGTGCCAATGGAGACTTTCATGCGCAAATACTTTGATGGCGATGCCGACTTCAACGGAGACGCTCTCGAAGTGCTCGAATACCGCCACGACTGGGCGTCTTTCCGCTTCACGTGGGAGCTGTTCAGGTACATCTTAGTCAATTTCGCTTCCGATGTTCTGACCCACAGCCGATCCCAGGATGAGAGCCAAGTTCGAGACCACTACGACCGGGGTGATGACTTTTATGCTTGGTTTCTGGGCCCACGTATGGTGTACACAGCCGGCATTATATCAGATGTGGACAAGGAAGAGTCCCTCGAGCAGTTACAGGACAATAAACTAGCTATTGTCTGCGAGAAGATCGCTCTAAAGCCCGGCGAGAGCCTCCTGGATATCGGCTGCGGATGGGGCACTCTGGCAAAATTCGCCAGCGTCAACTACGAGGCTAATGTCACGGGTATCACCCTCGGTCGCAACCAGACGGCCTGGGGCAACGAGACGCTCCGCAGAGCTGGTGTACCCGACTCGCAGAGCAACATCTTCTGTATGGACTACCGCGACATCCCCGAGGGCAAGTACGACAAGATCACATGTCTGGAAATGGCTGAGCATGTCGGCATCTTCAAGATCACCAATTTCCTCCGCCAATGCTACGACTTACTCGAGGACGATGGTGTCATGTTCCTTCAGATTGCCGGCATCAGGCAATCGTGGCAGTACGAAGACCTGGTCTGGGGCCTGTTCATGAACCGCTACGTCTTCCCAGGTGCCGATGCCTCGACCCCCCTTGCATACTATGTCGCTTTCTGTGAACACGCCGGGTGGGAGGTCAAGGGGTAAGCGAGGCCTGCTCATTCGCCAGTGGAATGCCTGGCATTTATGCTGACTGACGTGTGTAGCATCGACACCATCGGCGTTCATTATTCTGCCACGCTCTGGCGCTGGTACAGAAATTGGCTCAACAACGAGGACGAGGTCACCGCCAAGTATGGCGTGAGGTGGTTCAAGGTGGGTTGATTTATGAGGCTATTCCCAGCCCATAATAAAAGTACGTCGGCTAACCGCAGCATCGCGCGTTAGATCTGGAAGTACTTCCTCGCGACCGCCACAATTTCCTCTCGCCAGGGCTCTGCCACGTGTTACCAGATCACCCTGGTCAAGAACCTCAACAGCGTTCACCGCATCGACGGCGTCCCCACGCAGTACTCGCTACCGGGCGCTCTCGAGGCCAGCAGAAAGGCCGGCAGGGCGACTTTCCCGGAGGACAAGAAGTTGGATGGAATGAGCCACAGCTGAAACTTTGTAATGAGAAGAAGGGTGCAGGGGTGGAGGACTTGTCGGGTCTGCATCAACCAACGCAGCTAACTCTATGCATTTGCATTTTATGGATAATTTATGGCCGGCGCACATACTTGTTTATCGATTGATCTCAGCTGGGTAAGAATAAATACTTGATGATTTGCCTTTCTGGCAAAGCTGCGCAAATGCCTCTCTGCATGCCGCAACGATGTCACCTCGTTATGATCGGCCAAACTTCTTGTACCTCCTCGTGCCTACAGTGAAGTCTTTGCTTCTGTGACTATGAAACGCGTCTGTTTTTTTTTCTTAATGGGCTATTGACCTTTAAATCAGTCTGGCCCAGAACGATAAGTCGGGTCTTCACCTCACCCAGCCATCTAGGAACCAGACGTGACGCTTTGTCAGGCGGGCTATCTTTTATAAAGTTGCATTGGCACTGCTCGCTCTCACCACCTCATTGAACAAAATATCAATCAAGGCAAGTCAATTTGCAGTTAATTAATCTAGCCATATCTCCCATTAATACACCCCATGTCTGTCAAATATCGATGAGTGCTTCTCTGCCAACACTCCACTCTTTCAAGACGAAATTATAGTCATACAACTGGCAGATACCAAAGTGATACTAAGATAGTGTATCCCCTTTCAGTAGTAACTGCTCTTCTCCCTTTCTTCTGCTCGAATTTGCGAGAAGAACAACCGGACGACATCGATCGCTTGTCAGCAACCACAGTACTAAAATCAATTCAATGTGTTTCCATTCAATGTGCTTCCATCTTGGCTCAAGGCCCAGTCTACCAGTGCTTGAGGATTCTCTTGAATCTCCCCTGTGCTTGCGTGCAACCACGCCAAGTAATCTGTAAGCGCCTCGAAGCCACGACTCCAGCGTTCGATGCTGGGATTCGGAACTTTATACTCCCTCGCCCAAGTCGCAGGCATATAATCCCATATGCGCTTAAATCGACCATGATGGAGCTTCAAAGCTTCGAGGCTGCTGGGGGGAACATCTTATAGCCTTGGGATTCCACGGACGCGAACCAGAGAATGGACTCCACGGCAGGCTGGGTCTCTGATGGAAAGCTCGGCAGAAGCTCTGCAATTTTACCCCACCCCCAAAGTGCGTCACGCTCAAGCTCGGACTGGTGCTTGGCCAAAAGTCTGAAGAACCAACTCGACAAGGCTGCCGCAAGCTCCTCCCTTCCATGGGCTTGAGCGAAGCATGCGTTGCAGCGGATACCATCAAGGAAAGCCTCTGTAATGTTTACCGTCTCCCCATGAGCACCTCCGGCAATAAACCCGGGTGCAGGCCTCCACCGTTGAATGCCAACCCCAATACGAAACGCTCTCACCTCCTGCCAGCGCTCGCATCCGGGGCATCGTGCCATGTGCAGGGTCCAGTCATTGTAAAAGACTCTTACAGCCTCCTCCAAGCGGAGCTCATCTGTCGGAGGTCTCCCGTTGCGCAACCCAGCCCAGTAGTTGGGGAAAAATCGATATAACATAGGTGTGCGACGCATCTTCCTGCTGGTTTGGATGGGAACTATGGGTATACCGCCACGTCCAGCGGTCTCACGCCTAATCTGGTTTCCTTGGTATTTGCACTCATTGCATCTACGCAAGTGCCGTTTCAAGCCGCAGCGTTCAGACTCAACGGATGCGATATTTCGGTCGAAAATTTGTAGCCTATCTTCTGGCGATAATTCGCGGAACTGCGCCTCGTCGAGATCGTCAAAACCATCAAATCCTAATTCTTTACGTAGAGCTTCCAAGTTGAAGTGGATGTTAGACAAATCGAATGGATCGTGCGGTGAATAAGACTCCGCGATTTGGTATCGCTTGCGGCGGCTTCTCTCCTCATCGGAAATACTTCGTTGTTCCCGGCTGCTCCAATGCTTGCCGCGCAGCGTGACCCGCCAAGTGGTGAGAGTCTTGACAGAGGATCCTGAACTCGGCTTCCTTAACTCCAGGCGGTGGAGAGACCTATTGTCAAAATGAGCATGCGAGAGCAGTCGCATACACCCGCAGCAGGCCCATCGGATTGCCTGCCATGGCTCGTTCGCCCAAACCAACTTGAGCTCGTTGAAATATCTGGCGCGATATTCGAAGGCCGGTCCGCCAAACTCTTCTGTGAGCTCCAATTGCAAAAGCCTCTCGACAAACTCTCGCTTTTTTGGGTCGATGAAGTTTCGAAAGTACTTGCTAGTCTGGCTGAGCGAGATCAAACCGATGGGATCCAGGTTAGTGATGATTTCGACCTGCAGCTCTAGGGGCAGGGAGTTGAGAGGAGCCATTCTCCCTGCCGTGATTATTTCTGCAGATTTTGAAAATTTCTAGGTTTTCGTGGGTGGTGCGTGTGTGATTTTGTTGTGTGAAGTCTGCCAGAAGTTGAGGCAGAAGGTTGACCATTGCGCCTGCCACGTGAACAACCAGGCAGCTTTACAGTGGACCCCACCTTCCTCACTCATCGCTCTACCCAGACAATGGACAGTGTCTCTGCCAAAATCCCAGTCGTGTAGCAGCATAATAACATCAACATATTCTCCCAATGAGTCAGAAAAGCACACATTGCTAACACTTACAACAGAGTCGAACCGAATGTGCCAGGTCAACGTGTTGCCACCATTCCCTGAACGGCTCAGCGCGGCTTAGTAGAGGTGATCCTCCTGCCCCGCAATGCCGATAAAGCATGTGCAGAGCTTTATCGGCGTGGCATGATTGGCTGTGGCCCCGTATGTACCCACTACGAGCACTACAAACTCTCATTCAACCCCCCCGTAGCGTGCACTAAAACCGATTGTCGGTGCACTGACCTGCTAAAATGTGGTGCACCGACGCGCTATGATGCAGCACTTTGAGACATGCACGCGCCACCTCAATGGCGGGGTAGAAGCAATCGCCAGCTCATCTTTGTCCCGAGCTACTGCTTCTCGTTCCTCCATCCCTTCTTCCCGACTTTCTCCCATCCACTCGAACGAAGCACCTTCATGACCTGAGCTCGTCCACCTCCTACGACTTTAAAGCCCATAGAACGGACGGTGCTAGCACATCGACTAGCCATCAGACATGGCGTCCAATGCCCAGGGCCGACAGGTCCTCCCGGACAACGTCAAGCCCGTCCACTACACCCTGACTGTCGAGCCCGACTTCTCTACCTTCACCTACCTCGGTACCGTCGAGATCGAGCTTGATGTCAAGCAAGACTCGAACTCCATCTCCCTCAACGTCAACGATATCGAGATTCACGAGACAACCCTCCAAGTCGACGGAACACCCGTGTCCTCCGCGCCCTCGCTCAGCCACAATGCCGAAACCCAGACCACCACGATCGACCTCACCGGTGGCGCCCAGCTCAAGGCAGGCCAGAAGGCTTTGCTCAAGCACCGCTTCACAGGCAATCTGAACGACAAGATGGCTGGCTTCTACCGTTCGTCGTGGTCCAAGGACGGCCAGGAGCACTTCATTGCGTCGACTCAATTCGAGGCCACCGATGCCAGAAGAGCCTTCCCTTGCTTCGACGAGCCTGCCCTCAAGGCTACCTTCACCGTCACCCTGATTGCCGACAAGGAGAAGACATGCTTGGGCAATATGGATGTGGCCAGCGAGGTCGAGGTCGACTCCACCATCACTCCAGGCACCAAGCGCAAGGCCGTCACCTTCAACAAATCCCCGATCATGTCGACCTACCTCGTTGCTTTCATCGTCGGTGATCTGGAATACTACGAGACGAACAAGTTCCGACTGCCCATTCGTACATACTGCACTCCCGACCAGGACATCTCCCATGGTGTCTATGCCGCCGAGCTGGCCGCCAAGACCCTCGAGTTCTACGAAAAGGAATTCGGCATTCCCTACCCTTTGCCCAAGTTGGACATGGTTGCTGTTCCCGACTTCAGCGCGGGTGCCATGGAGAATTGGGGGCTTGTCACCTACCGAGTCGTTGCTGTCCTGCTTGATGAGAAAACCAGCAGCTCGGGGACAAGATATCGTCTTGCTGAGACCGTCCAACACGAGCTGGCCCACCAATGGTTTGGCAACCTCGTCACAATGGATTTCTGGGAAGGTCTGTGGCTCAATGAGGGCTTTGCCACCTGGATGTCGTGGTATTCATGCAACGCCTTCTACCCTGAGTGGAAGGTGTGGGATGGCTATGTTTCCGACAGCTGGGCTTCTGCCCTCGCCCTAGACTCTCTCCGAAGCTCACATCCCATCGAGGTCCCTGTCAAGGTGGCCGACGAGATCAACCAGATCTTCGATGATATTTCTTACGCCAAGGGATCTGCTGTCATCCGCATGATTTCCAAGTGGCTTGGCGAGGACGTTTTCATGGAGGGAATCCGAAACTACCTCAAGAAGCACGCCTATGGAAACACCACGACCAACGACTTGTGGGCCGCGCTTAGTGCTGCCAGCGGCAAGGACGTCGAGAATGTCGGCACCATTTGGACCAAGAAGATTGGCTTTCCCGTTTTGACTGTCACTGAGGATGCCGCCTCAAACACAATCCATGTCAAGCAAAATCGATTCCTCAGAACGGCAGATGTCAAGCCCGAGGAAGACGAGGTGCTGTACCCCATCTTCCTGGGCCTGCGAACCAAAGACGGTGTGAACCACGATTTGGCTCTCAACACACGGGAGGCTTCCTTCAAGCTCGACGATCTCGATTTCTTTAAGCTTAACTCGGAGCACTCGGGCATTTACCGCACACTCTACACACCTGAGCGACTGAAGAAGCTGGGCCAGGCCGCCAAAAACGGTCTCTTGCCTGTGTCCGATCGCTCAGGCATGGTTGCCGATGCCGGCGCGCTCACCCAGGCTGGATATCAAAAGACATCCGGCCTTCTCAACCTTCTGCAGTCGCTTGACTCGGAGCCCGAGTTCCAAGTCTGGGGCGAAATCATCGGTCGCATCGGTACTCTGCAGACGGCTTGGTTATTTGAGGGCGATGCCATTTACAATGCTATCAAGTCTTTCCTCCGAGCCCTTGTGAGCAAGCGAGCCAACGAGCTCGGCTGGACTTTTACCGGAAAAGAGGGACACATTGAGCAGCAATTCAAGACGCTCATGTTCGGGGCAGCATGTGGCTCAGACGACAAGAAAGCCACCGCCGCGGCCCAGGAGATGTTTTCCAAGTTCAAAGGCGGCGACCGCGAGGCCATCAACCCCAACCTCCGCCGGATCGTCTTTGCTACCGCTATCCGGCTGGGTGGTGTTGAGGAGTATGAGGCCGTGCTCAAGGAGTATCAGACAGCCAAAACAGGCAGCGAGCGTATTGCCGCTCTTAGCAGCTTGGGCGCCGCCGACGACCCTGCGCTCGTTCAAAGGACACTCGACTACGCCCTCAGCAAGGAGGTCAAGAACCAGGACATGTACCTCATTCTGGGAGGACTTCGCCGCAAGCCCGCACAGATCAACACCCTGTGGGCCTGGATCAAGGAACACTGGGAGCAGCTGCGAGAGTTGTTCCCCACCTCGATCGGCATGATTGGAACGATCCTTCACATCGGTACAACTTCGTTCACCAAGGAGGAGCAGAGGAAGGATGTCGAAGCGTTCTTCCAAAAGCACACTACGAAGGGTATCGATATGGATCTGGCTCAGGCCCTCGATGCCATCAAGGTCAAGCAGGGATGGCTAGAACGTGATTCCGCGGACGTCGAGAACTGGCTGAAGCAGAACGGCTACCTGGCTTGAGTATCCTGTGAAGTAAAAGCACATTAGATTCAGATATGGATCATTCGGGTTAGAGAAAATAAAAATAAACCAATCTTGAGTGCCTTTGCTCCCAATAGTGAGTAGTGGTTACTGTAGGCCTTGTGTCCAAAGGAAAGTGTTCTGGCTCGAGTGCGCCAGTGCAACTATGGGTTATGTTTTCGTAACAGAGGTCAAGGGGGTAAATCTCCGACCTTAACAAGTTACGGAAACCCATTCATGTGATGATTTGTAGTTACTAACGCGACACCACGTTCATACGACAACCTTGATGCTACGGATGGTTTATATTTACAGCCTCGGGACGTGGCGAAAGGGTGGGCACGGTGAGTTACGTAGAAGCAGGTTGTTTACATATCGGCCTACGATACAGCCACTCGTGTGTTGACGGCGACGGCGCAGAAGGGAAAACAGGAGGAGCAGCAGAAGGGCACACCAGGCGGCGGCGGGAAAGGCCAGCAGGGGAAGTGTGTAATTGTGTATTTGTCCGAGCTGAAGACAATAACCAGCCCCGTCTGCCCTTGTTGCCCTTGCTGCCCTCATCATCGCCCTCGTCATCGCCCTCATCAACAGCGGTTTCACACAACTCATCGTTTCATTAACTGCACCAACCTCCATCCGGTCTCCCGAACTCAATACTATCATAATTTGAAAGCAACGATCGGTAATACAGGGGCGGAAGTGGTTGGTTGGAAACCTAGGATGCCCTTCCCAATGCCTGGTCAGTCTCTGGTGCCCGTCTTCCTTTACTATTGCCCAGCTACTCACCGCAAGCAGGACACCCCTTTGAGGAGATGGGACCCCCAGCCCGCAGACCTGCCCGTCACGTACACCAGCAAGGCCAAAAACCTCTTCAACGTGAAAAACCACCCACTCGCGTCCAGAAGCGACCCAAAGAAACACCCTACTTCGCCGTCTTCGAACCCTTCCAAATAATCTACTGCAAGTCATGCAAGGACCTCGTCCCCACGAGCTCCATCGCCATCGGCATCCACCTCCAGAGCCCCTGCTACGCCATGGCCCCCGGCCCGAAACTCGACAAGGCCGCCCTCCAGGCCCGCGCGCTGCTCGCCACGACCGAGGACGACAGGAACATGATCCGGCGGAGAGGGGAGCTGTACACGCTGGCGGCGGGAAGCGACATGATCCTGCCCGAGGTTCCCTGGCTGCGCCCGCCCGTCAGCGGGTATTTCTGCCTGCTGTGCGGGCAGCCGCGGCGGAACCGGGCGGTGCTGAGGGAACACATGAGGAGGGTGCACGACGGGGAGAAGGACATGTGGGGGACGACGCTGGTGCAGTCGTTTAGGAGCGCTGGGGCGGACTGGCTGACGTTTCGGGTGCGGCGGCGGGGGTGAGGCGGGTGCGAGAAAGGGGTGGTGGGCGAGGAGGGGAGGCTGGGAAGGAGGCTGAGGAAGTTTTCGGGGCGTGGGATGCGGTTGGGCGAGGTTTCGAGAGGTGAGGGGAGGGGTGTGGTGGGAGTGTGTAAGTCATGGCTTCTGCCTCCTTGTTGGTGTTGAGGTTGAGGTTGGGGTTTTATTAGTAACAATCAACTCTATTACTATCAGGGGAGTTCATGAACTCGCTCCGTGACCACATTCTTATAATACAATGATCATCCGAGCAAAATTACAAATTTGTTTCGCTTCGTACGACACGCTCGGGCGATCGGGATGGCCATTATGACGGTCGAAGCAGGATCACCCATGAAGTAGCTCTATCTAATCTACTTCGCCATCATCCCACGTGTGCCGGACTCTTGGACACCACTTAGACAAATAAGTACTATGTCAGTAAATAAGACATATCAAATCGTCTTCCAGTTTCTCCTTCTACTAAGCATCACCCGTCACTGGCGATTAACTTTCAAGGCCGTCTTTTAAGATCTTCTTCATTCCCTGTCAGAAATTAAAGCTTCTTGACCCCTAATACTGGATCTGAGACACTATATACCAGATATGAACCCAATTACCAATTATGTTGGTTTCGCCTGAGCGCGGAAGTAGACTCGCATTTCTGTCTGAGCATGTTTATGTCAGTAAGCTGGAAGACCCCATTGGCTCCATACGAGCCCCTTGGTAATATTTGCAAGGCAGTCAATTGTACTGACATTTATCTCTTCTATTGTGGTAGTGGAATAATGATACTGAGTGATGTTAGTGATATAAATTCAATCAATTAAGCCTGTATAGCCTAAATGTACATAGCTCACACTGAACCACCCACCTTCTTCCTACTCACACTTTCTCATGTCCATCTGACTTCTTTCAAGGTATTATAGAAGCAGCTGATGTTACCAGCTTCTCATCCAACTTATTCTCAGACTAACTGCCACAAACTGTTTTGAGTTCATAGAGGATAGTGGTCGAAGGTTTAGGGTGGCTTCGGGAGTTCCCAAATGGTTGGCTAGTCAACAGAGCGAGCGAGGCATTACCGTAATTATATGAACACACTAAAGACACCCCTCGGTGACTTCAACAACACGAACGAACGAGCGAGCCATGCTTGGCTAGAATCAGTCCTGGCCATCATTGTGTCTTGTCTCAAACAAGTATGAGTCCTCCACCCTCAAGCACCAAGCCACCAACCCGGTTTTCCACGAAGTTCAAACGCTTTTCTAGACCGCAAGCCTCTCGATCTTCGTCTCTACTCTCATCTTCGGCCGATCGGCAATGTCAAAAGTTCTGTGAAATGATTTCCTTTCTTTTCTCAGATACTTCAGTTTCATACCATCGACCTAACTGATGAACCTCCGGAAGCATTATTTATCTTGTAGTGGCTTTGAGTGATTGTGCCGTGGCTATCTCTTTTCGGTCAACTTGTAATCTAAACACCCTTTCTCATTAACTCTACAACTCTCCAATTTTATCATTTGGCACACACCAGCAAGCTGCCGCATCATCAGTGCCTAACAACGGTGGGCCAGGTCTTGGAATCCGATTGTTTGTTACAAGTACCAACTCCACGACATGAAACAACCTCCATAATGAATGGATATGACGCCATGATATTGATCTCACAGCTGTAGAAGCTGTGGTTACACAGGTGCACACTAGTCTAGGTCAGATCATCTTCAGGTTAAATTCACCTTTTTCCAGAACCGAGGAACTAGGCAGCAGAGTTACACAATAAGTAGTTCGATGTTCCTGTAACCAAGCAAGTTATTCTGAATAAACATCTCTTCAACTTCTATCTTTCGGTGAGCTTGTGCGAAGCTTCTTAAGTTGTCGTGCCTTAGAATAACTTCTCTTAAGATTACTGAGTATCTTACGAAGCAAGGCATTGAGCATCTCGCATTTCCAACAATTAGAAATAATGTAAAAAATAATTACTGAAGCCGCATCAGGAATAAATACTGCCTAAAGCCGACAGTAGTAATACGCAGTGAATCTATGCCTCTCATTGAAATATGGCGTTGAGACAAACAAGTGACCAAACCCAGGTTACGTGTATTGACCTTAACTAGTAACTTGCCAAAGACTCGCACCCCAAACGAAAAGGGTTATTGCATGCAGACACGTCTACTGCACCGTACCTTCTTTTCGCCCACAAACTCGCGTGCTTTCCTTCAACTCCAGCCAAGTTCTCCCTTCTTTCTCCTCACAACTTCGCAACACCTTTCTACCTTTCCCTACCACATCGCTCATCAGAACACACTCAGTCAACTGAACCTTTGATCAGAGTAGTTCTCCCAACTCTTCATCTTGTTGATTTTATCTCACTGGCAGCTTTTCGGTCTACCTCCCATCTACTCAACAAAGGCTGTTGCTCTTGTATCGTCAAGATGGATCAACAGCCTGTTGGCCACACACCAGGCGACGCGTCTGTGCAAGGGGCTGAGCCATCTAACCCAGCTACAGCGAATGCCGGGCACGGATATTTCGGCCTAGGCACTATGGTTCACGAGACCATCAACTCCTCTCGACGAGACTTTGAGATGTGGGGGTGGGACCCTGAGTTTTCTCTCCAAGACGTTCATGACATTGTTGAGGATTTCTACGGACCATCAGAGAAGAAAGACCCAGCAACCGACCACAACGGGGATCAATCCGAGAAGAAGAATCCAACAAACGAGCAGGATGGATCCATGTCGAAGGTTTCAGCAGATGATGACTTTATGGGCTGGTGGAATAACAATGACGATGAAAGCGACGTAACTGTCACCGGTCTTGAGCCGACCTTGGCTTCACCTGGTTCACAGGTAGTTCACGACAGCCCACCAAGGTTCGCCCAAGATGTGATGGCTGTTGATTCAGAAGACGAATCTGGTAATGGAAACCTACAAATGCCGCCAGTTCTGCTTAACCCCGGAGAGTTCGAGCATTCCCATCTCTACAACCAGCACCCTTCGCAAGCTCTTCCATTAGGCTCTGCGGAATTCGAGCTCTCTCGTCTCTACAACCGGAGCCCTTCACGAGCCCCTGCACCAGACGCCACGAACATGAACGAAGCTGAGCCACACGGACATGAGCAGCAAGCTTCTGAGCAAGGTTCCCAGGAAGGCTCTTGGGCCGACAACCTGAATGCAGCATTCCCAGGCCTGCATCTTGGTCTTCCTCAGGAATACTTTCACCTTATCCCGGAGTTGGAGGTAGTCTTGTGCACCCTCTGCCACGTTGCGTGCCCCAACACGCATCGCCATATCGAACAGCATCTCCTCAATTGCCATGCCCTTCCACACGTCCGCCACATCCTTACAGCATGCTTGGGGCTCTTCCCGGACAGCCTACCGGAAGACTACAGCGTTGCGGCCATGATGGATCGGATCAGGGACAAGCTCAAGAGCGAACCAACCGAAATCAGCCCGATTCCATTTCTCGAGGCCAGCGAGGCTTACGTGTGCCCACGCGCTCACTGCAACTATGTTGACCACGACAGCAGGAGAGTTCTGATGCACTGTCGAAACACTCACAATCTGAAGGGATCCGTCAGGTATATGTCGCGAGTTCAAGCTTACTCTTTGCACGTGAGCAGGATCAACAAGGTCAGTGTTAGGGCTCGCGAATAGTCTCCAGAAGAAGCATCACGACTGTTCCCGAACTCCCTTCCAATGTCTCGGCCCTGAAAGAGCAAGATGTGAGATGGAGATTTGGGGTATTTCAAAGATGAGCAATTCGTTTCAGAGTCAATGCGCGACTCAAATAATCAGTTTGACAAACGGAGGAGTTTATGGACGGACCGTTTTGGTAGGAAATGAAGGAGTTCAGGCACAAAAATGGATGGTTTGTTCGGGTAGGGTTCAGGATTTCTTCTATTTTCTTTTGTTTTTGTCATCCCCGATGGGGCGTCGATTCATCTTCACGAATCAGACTATAGTCAATGCGTATTGGGAGTAATATGGTCAGGGATCGACGAGTCTAGGCAGAGGCAGGCAAAAAGACCAGATAGTAATTGACTTTTTACAAACCAGTCTTGCTTTGAAGCCTTCACCAAAGATCATTGGAGGCCAAACTAGTGCCGCTCAATAGATATGAACTCTGATATTGGCCGTGAATGATATATAACAGAACGCCTTGTTTGAGGCGCAGTCTGGCAATTCGTCACTAGGTCTTGCGTACTCGCTTTCGGTTTCTCATATTAAATTGGTAGGAAAATTGCGAGACAAAACTCCATCCAATCAGCCCCCGGCAGCGACGTGCCGTCTCTGAACACAGGAGGAGTGGAGGTGGTGGGGATATCTCCTATTATTATGAGGATCATACGCGCTATGGACGAGACCATGCAATATGCGACATTAGCCTCCTGCAACACCTCCTCAATCCTCCAGAACTTGGCTTCTACAGATTGATATACTCAATAGAAATAGCAAACAAGATCTCCGGATTCAGCCCTTCCAGTGGGCGAATCTATCCAAGGCAATGCCAGGGGCAAAGACAAAATTAGAAGCAGCAGGGCTGAGTGGTGACAAGGACTGGGATCGCCTAGTTCTGAACTGCATGGAATCGTTCCATCTTGCCTTTTTCCAGTTAGCACTTGTCAGCCGCTACGTCAAGCTGGGCTGGTCGTCAGCATGATCCCTGAAACCCAGCAGGTAGATGAACGGAGGCGGCCTCTTTTTTCTCTCCTCCTCCGTCCCCAACATTAAAGTAGCTACCGCCCAGCGAACGACGCGGGAGCTGCAAGATTGCTGTCGTTTAACTTGAGAGGAACTGCTGTCGATATGTCGTCCCAGATCGCTCCCGACTGCGCAACTCCCCCGCCCTCGTACGCGCAAGTGGACAGGTCGAAGCAGCCAATTGATGTCGAGGGCTCGTTCGTTGACCAGACCCAATCCTCCATAGAGTAAGGAACCCTCACATCGATAGGGCTGATGTGGATCTAACGAACGAAGCAAACGCCTGGCGCCTGTGAACGACGGAGGCTTCCCTGAGGTTGTCATCTCCTCGTCAAACAGTACACGTCGTTCCCATTCAGCGCCAATGGTACACCGCAATCACTCCGCCGTCTCCATCAATTCCACCAGCAAAAGGAACGAGGCGCCGTCAATAATGGATCAAGGGGATCACTTGACCGTCACGCCTCTGCACCTCCTGGACGACCAGGCCGACTGGGTTGACTGCCCCTTCTGCCGCCAACGGGTAGAGACTCGAGTGAAGTACGAGGCTTCACGGCACACACAGTACGCAGATTGACATTGACCTCTTCGAGATATCCCCAACTTACAGTCCATTAGTTATGCTGCTACGGGCCTCTTCCTCACCACTATCGGAGGTGTGGCTGTTCCGTACAAGAAGAACTGGAGGTGCCATATTACCCATATCTGCACCAACTGCGACAAGAAGGTGGCCCATAAGAAGTACGGCCAGGAGATGGTAGCACTGGGCACGCCGGAGCACTTGCGGCAGGTTTCGAGATTCGCCTCTGGCTCACCGGCGCCGGGAAGTCGACAGAGCACTAATTAACATGGAGTTTGCGATTTGTTTTCATGATATCCTAACGAGCACGGCATTCAATCGCGAGAAATGTCGAGCCATATTGAGATGGCATTTTGGATTAATGGGTTGTAACTATTGGAAACGCACTTATAGCACTGAGCATTTATTCGCATTTCCAGCCTCCAAATCGCAACGCCTGGTATCTCCCATTCGCACAAAGATTAATGCACGCTCGATCTACACGACAGCAGTCTCCTTAGTCTCCTTGGTTTCCTTAATCTCCTGCTTCTCATCAACCTTCAGATCCACCACCTTCTCTTCTGGGGCGCCGTCATTGGTTCCAATGAAGTTACTCTCTTCCTGGTTGTTCAGGGCATCCTCATCTCTGTCAGCCTTGCGGAAGGTCATGTAGAATCCGATACCACCAATCATGGCAATGATGGCAACAGTTCCGTAGTTCCACACCAGCAGAGGATCCTCCGACAGACCGACGAGAGCCTGTCCGAGCGCGGAGGAAACGGCTGAAGTGAAGAGGGCGATGGCCTGGACGGTGGACTTCATGTTCTTGGGCGCTTTGGTGTATGCGTATCTAGGAAACCGTTAGCATTTCAATCAGGTAATGAATGCATGCTGATATTATAACTTACTCGAGTTTGGTGATGGATGCCAGCACTTCAGACATACCCACCAAGCCGTAGGGGAAAACCTGGATCCAGACGGTGATGGGGGCAGTGCAGTCCTTGCGGCCGGCCTTGACCTGGGCGTTGATGTCGTTTCCGCACGCGGACAGCTTGTAGATGTAGTACTGGGTGACGCAGGCAGAGATCATGGCAAAAGAACTGAGGACGAAGCCAGCGGTGATCTTCTTGATAGGGCTGAGAACGACGCCCATCCTGGTGAGGGCCGGGTAGATGATGAAATCCATGAGGGGAATGACGATGATGATAAAGATGGGGTTGAGCTTGGAGACGATGTCGTTGGGGGTCGACCCGAGAACCATGGTGCTGGCCTGGGAGACGAGGTTGTTGGTCATTTGGTTGTAGGCGAGCCAGTACAGAGGGTACCACAGGAAGACCTTGCAGGCGAGCACACCACGCTTCACCTCGTCGACCCAGGCATCGTCAAAGGTCATCCATGCGGGCGGTGTCTCGCCGCGGGCTCGGATCTCGCTGGGCTTGGCGCGGTTCCAGAACTCGGGGTCGCGCCAGCCGTTGCTCCTCTTGGAGGCGTATCTGATCAGCTTCCAGCCCTTGCCCATCACCGAACCCGTTGGTGGAGAGAGCTTGTACGACTTCTTGAAGTACCAGAGGATGATTGGGCACAGCAGGTAGCAGATTGTCGGGAGGGTGTAGGAGAGCCAGAAACCGACAAAGTGCTCCGAGTAGACCATGGCCAGGGAACCGGTCAGCGAGCCCATGTTGATGAGCAGGTAGAAGTAAATGTAGATTCTGGCCGTCGTCACTGCAGGGTCGACAATCTCCTTGTGGCCGCGCTTGTTCACTCGCACGTAGGCCTTGGAGTCCTTGTATTGTTCGGCAATGAGGGGCGAGATGTTGGACTTGAAGCCGCCAGTGCCGCAGCCCATGATGACAAGACCAACCGAGAATATACCAATGGCGGCCTTGGGGTGGACGATGACGGGCGGGATGGCCGAGATGATGAGAACGATGTGACCGAATAGCGCGACCCAGTTAGAATATTGAATCGTCAGGTAGCGGCCCCAGTACGTGTCTGCCAGGTATGCGCCAATCAATGGAGTAAAGTACGACCAAAACTAGAGAAAGTCATGTTAAGATTGATTATCTCTCATCTCAGTGAGAACTGGCTAACCCACCTGGTTGAAGGTAGTGAGGCCCGTGGACGCTCTCTGGCCCATTCCGAGGGCACCAGAGCTTGTCTTGAGGAAGCCGGAGCCGGTGTTGGAGCCAGGAGGGAGGGGCTTCTGGATGAAGTTGACAACTAAGGGAGAGGTTAGCTCTGGAACGCTCTATAGGGACTACTCGCTGAACGGGTGAAACTCACAGACAGCGCTGGTGCCATAGTACGAGAAGCGTTCAACAAACTCGACAAAGGCGACCGTCCAGGCGGTCCATGGGATGCTGCCTGCAACGCGAGGGAGGGTCTTCCACTCCTCCTCGGTTGGGAATGGGTGAAGAAGATCGGTGGACTCCTCGGGGTCAGAGTCTGGAGAGTTGCTCTCATTGACCATGGTAGGCTCAACGAGTGAGCCCCCCTTTGTGATCTCCAAACTAGCCTTGGTAGCCATTGGACGCGATCGAAAGAAGATTTGTTCGGCACAGAACAGTCCTAGTCAACAAGAGGCTCAAGCAAAAAAATGTCACCATCTGCTACCTTTTGTATCCAGGGAGGCCTCTTGCCAGCTGGATGAGGGGACGCACCAAGCAATCCCGGTAGGGCTCTCTTTCGGCCCAATCAGGGTATCTGCTATCTAGGGAGTTTCAATGCTACGTTGGAAGCTCCTTTGGTTGAGGCGACCAAGGGTCTGGACCTCGTCAGGGTCGTACCGAAGCGCATAATCTCACGCAGCTTCGGTTGCATTCTTCCCCATCATCTACCCAGAACAGAAGGAGCCTATCAGAGTGAATAGATAAACATGAACAATGGTCAATTAAGTTAATATTTAACCCTAAATCGTCAGACCTTCCAGAATGGATCCCAAAAAGTCCTTCACAAAAGTTCGACATGGGTGGGCTGCAAAAAGTTCGCCTCAACGTTGGATATCCTTGCACCGAAAGGGCATAGTTTTTCGGCCTAGCTTCCATCGATTGGATTGCGCCCGCTATCAACATGCTGAGGTTACATTCACGTAACAGCAAGGATGCAGTCTAGAGCTTGTCTTGGTTCTGCCCCCGGGAAATCTCCGTAGCAACCCCACCATTTTCCCTTGAAGTTGTGTCAGTTGAGCAAAGCATGGCCGAATATGGTTTCATGCTGATAACGGTGAGCAGATGATTTGATGTGCCTCGTGGCTGGCTTTCCCACGCTCTGGTCTCATGCTTCTACCCTGGGTTCTGTTCAATCTGGTGGCCCATGCTCCATAAGGTGGGCAATTTCCCCAGTCTCTTTCGGGCTTTCTTTTCAGATGACGCCTTAATTGACTTCTCAAAGCCATTCCTCCACAACGGACCTTCTTACCCTATTCAGCAGGCTCACCGACTTAAGACCAATCCGAATCGATTGAAAAATAAGCGTATCAAAAAGTTAGTAAACCCTTGTCAAATGATGAGTTCTCTTGTCAGATAAGCGCAAATCGTTGGCAAAGAATTCGGTCTGCTGATACGGAGGCTCTACTCCTAGAGGATCTTTTGACAAGCCAAGACCGATTGGCGTTTGCCTCACCCAGACGCTAACGTGGCTTGGCCTGGGGTTTGTCGTTTACCAACGGGTGAAGGCCAGGGGTTGAGCATCCTTGCAATACCACAAATAACCGAGAACTAGGTAACCCTTCAGACTTACCGTCGGGACCCTGAATACGACGTTCACCTTGGATAGTTTCCAGGGAGCTTCAAGTGATCAACGATGAATTGCAGTTCTGGAGAGTTTGAGACGGATTGACAGACTACAAAGGTCCCTGAAATATCCCTCACCCTAGATGCGGGGTGAGTTTTTGCTTGTCGTATTTCAAGTGAAGCCGCCACATCTCATTGTTTAGTTAGTTCGAAGCTACATGAAAGATAATGCGAGTAGAGGCTGGTTGAGAAGTTGATTAATCAAATGCGTACTGCGTATTGCGTGTTACAAACCTCACGGGGAGACTCCCTGACTCAACTTTTTCACACCTGTCAAGCAGCATGTTCTAGGATACGAAGAGGCAACAACATACTGTAGGCGCACCATCTTTCTTTCATAGATATTACGTGATTTTAGCAAGTCAATAGTCGCAAATACTTTCTCCATTGACTGAGGAACTTTTGTCTGAATGTTGAGAGAGAAGAATGCTTGGTGATCTTGGTGCTCGATCTAGGGTAGGTTGTCTATTTGCGGTGCCTCTTATCGATAAACATTTTGGTGGAGCTTTGCCGAAGTTCAGCCAGAGAGAGCGAGAGACCGCCGAAGGAGTCACGTGATAGCTCACAACGCGCCTTCGCACAAGTTCGGCAATTTCTCGCGTCGCACAAAAGGGACAGATGGTGATGAAGAGTGGAGGCAATGGGCGAAAGCCAGACGCCATATTTGCACCTCGGCCGAGCAGACTGGCGAATGAAAGCCGTGCTGGATCGTACATATATAGAAGTGCCTGGTTGACGGATTGATGATGAAATGAACAGCATCAAACATCAACATCGACATTAACACCTTCGAGACTCAACCGAGCCTAACTCACATACTCGCATCCAACAAACATCCCAAAGTCTCAACTAGCCATGTCCTCTCCCAAGACAGTTGTATTCCTGGGCGCCAGCGGTGGAGTTGGCCTCTCGGCACTCAAGCACACCCTGGCTGCAGGCCACCAGTGTATCGCCGTCTGCCGAACACCATCCAAGCTGACTGACATCATCCCGCTGTCGACGACCCCCAATCTGCGCGTGGTCGAGGGCAACGCGCACGACGTAAAAGTCCTTGTCTCCGTCCTCCGCAAGGAAGACGGCACCTTTGTCGACGAGATCATCTCCACCATCGGCGCCCGGCCCGACCTGCTCAAGCTCAGTATTGAGGATCCTAATGTCTGCCGCAAAGGCATGGCCACCTTGCTGGAGGCGTTGGAGCAGCTGCGCCGCGACGGCGCCACAGGGAGACCGTTGATCGTCGTCTGCAGCACCACGGGCATGTCCAAGTTCGGCCGCGACACTCCTCTGCTTGTCGTCCCTCTCTACAGCATCCTCCTCAAGGTGCCCCATGAGGACAAGGCGATCATGGAGAATGCGCTGGCCGAAAGTGGCGAGGACTTTTGTGTTGTGCGATGTAGCCTGTTGGTTAATGGCGAGACGAACACGCCGATCAGGGTGGGCATCGAGGACCCCAAGACGGGCCGCGAGTCTGATGCGATCGGATACACCATTTCCCGCGAAGATGCAGGCAAGTGGTTCGCGGATAATCTGATTGTGAATCGCGAGGCCAAGTACGTGAATAAGATCGCAACCATCACGTACTGATCGGGTACTGAACCCTTGATTCCTTCGTCTGGCGTTACTTTCTTTTGTATGTTGTTTTGAACCTGGCATGGCAAACTTGTTGCATAGATAGGATCATTTGATACCACTGGAATAGTGCTTTATTTTAACACCTCTTCTCTTAATATACATTCTGTAACTCGACACATTTGGAACAAGCAACTGGTGACTGGACCCTTGTCTCTCGGATGATGCCGATGAAACTGGCTTGACCCCGCCGCTCGCCAAAACCAAAAATGGTGACGGATCCTCTGATGGCATCCACTAACATTAGCCATCAGAAATACGAAGAACTGAAATGTGGATGACCCTGTTCACGACAGAGATGCTTGGCTACTGTCTGGCAGCCATGGTTCCTATATGGGTGATATTGTATCCTTCCTACTACTCAACACTTGATATGGCTTTCGATCTACGTTTAGCACTATGATACGGCAAAATCAAAACCCAGTGTGTCTGGCGTTAACATGTGCTAGCCAGATATGGAGGTAGAAGACTCATTTCCCAGGCGTCAGTCAGCATCACAGCCCAAGATCCTGCGACCGACGCAGCCGATGAAAACCACCAAGCTGCATCAACGACAATCACGGCGGCGTGGCCCGGCAGAGACAGAACCGTCCCATTAGCCTCGCCAAGAAAGAGACAGTGACACTCACAAGGGCAGCAATGTCGCAGCTGCCAGGTGGTTCGCCCGGGACCAGCTCGGCACCGCCCGCGCCCGAGAAAAGCGCGAGCTCGTCCGTCTCGCCCGCCTCAGCGCCGCCGACCAAACCGCGTAGCTGTGTCGTCTGCCGGAGCCGTAAGGTCCGGTGCGACAAGCAGTCGCCGTGCTCCAACTGCCGCAGGGCCAATATCCCCTGTGTCGTGCCCTCCAACGACCGGCCGCCCAAATGGGCTCGTCGGCTTGAGCGCATCACGAACAACCCCGCTGCTGCTGCTGCGGCAGCGGGAAATGCGTCGTCGTCGCCATCCCAGTACCTGCAGCCGCACGGGGGCGACCAGGCTGGGGTTGGGCAGGTCATGGAGAGGCTGAGGAGTCTGGAGGGACTGGTCAAAGAACTCAGCGGCCAGCTCGAGCAGGCCCATTCGTCGAGTGGAAGCCCCCCTGGTGCGGTGCCGGGGGGCTCGTCGGGGGTTGGCTCACCAGAGAGCTCAGGTCATGGAGAGCATGGAGAGGGCGCGTCGCCGCCCATCAGCTCAGCCAGCATGCAGAAGCACTTTGGGCGGATGGTCTTACAGGACACAAGCAAGTCAAGGTATATCAGCAGCGGATTCTGGTCCCGGGTTAGCGATGAGGTAATGCTATCTTCCATGTGTCTATATTCTGATGAATATCAAGTATTACATTCAAGGCTAACCTCTCCCAGCTGGATGGTCTCAAGATGGATGCTGAGGGACTTGGGGGTGGGGATTCCGACTCATCTGAAGACGAGGACTCCTTGGGTAAGACGCCGTCCACCGTCGAGCTGGACCGAACGCCTTCCGAACGTCACGGGTTCATGTTCGGCCATAACCTGAGCAAATCTTCATCCAGCCTTCGCAGCTACCGCCCTCTTCCATCACAGATACCCTTCCTCATCAGCGTCTTCTCCGAGAATGTGAACTTGTTTGTCCAGACCGTACATATACCTACCATTAACAAGATGATCCGCGATCTGCGAGGCAAGGACATGTCGAACCTCGGCCCGTCCTACGAGGCCTTACTTTTTTCAATATACTACGCAGCCATCACCTCCATGGAGGAAGACGATGTAAGTATCAACATCACCATACCCGCTTGCCATCTCTTACCTAACCGCTTCCTTCTTTCTTACACTAGGTCCTCACAAACTTCGGCTCCACCAAGTCAGAGCTTAATATTAAATACCGTCTTGGCCTGGAACACGCCCTCGCCAGAGCCGACTTCCTCAACTCCCCCGATGTTGTTCTCGTCCAAGCTTTCACCATCTTCCTTTTCCTTGTCCGCCGCCATGACAGTCCCCGATTCGTCTGGATGATGACCGGTCTCGTCATCCGAATGGCCCACGCAATCGGCCTGCACCGTGACGGCGCCCACTTTGACTACCTCACCCCCTATGAGATTGAGACACGACGCAGAACCTGGTGGGGGCTCTGCATTCTCGACATGCGTTCATCCGAGGATCAAGGGACAGAGTTCACCATTACTAGCGGCAGTTTTGATACCAAGCTCCCACTAAACATCAACGACGCCGACATTGGCATCGACATCACCGATCCTCCCGTTGAGCGCCAAGGACATACCGACATGACCTTCTCCGTCGCCACGTACGAGCTCTGCGAAGCCACACGCAAGATGATGGCTCCTGGCGCCAACAAAACCCTCGAGGAACAGACAAGCATCCTGAACAACCTCTACGATCACCTGCAGAACCGCCACATCCGCTACATATCCCCGACCGGAAACATAGCCTACTGGGTCGGCGTCACGGCTACTCGCCTCGTCATCTCTAAGCTCACCCTGCTCCTCTACCTCCCCGCGCTCTTCTCCTCCCCCAGCGACAACTTCTCCGACGAGGTGCGCGACAAGCTCCTCGTCGCCGCCCTCGAAGTGGCCGAGTGGAACCACGCCCTCAACGCCGAGCAGGACGCCCGCCAGTGGCGCTGGATCTACCAGACGTACACGCACTGGCACGCCATCGTCTACCTCCTCCTCGAGGTGACCCGCCGGCCGCTGTCGCCCCTCGTCGAGCGGGCGTGGCTCGCGCTGCACAGCGTCTGGCTCATCCCCGACAAGCGGCCCGGCGCGGACAAGGGGCTGAGGATCTGGGTCCCCCTTCGGAAGCTGATGAGCAAGGCGCGGAAGCACCGCGAGGCGGAACTGGTGAGGATGAGGAGCGACCCGGGGGCGATTGGGAGGGCGGAGATGAGCGATGCGCGGATCCCGGCGCCGGCGAGCCATGGGCCGTTTGCGGCTGATCAGAGCGAGGAGATGTTTAGGCAGCATTGGCGGGGGCTGTTTGGGATGTCGGGTACGGGAGGAGGGGAGGGTCGTCAGCCTGCCCCGTCCATTACTGTGCAGGACAGCAGCATGTCGGTTGGCGAGCCAGTCTCTGCGTCGTATGAACTGGCCCCGGCTGGGTTTCCCCAGATCCCCTTCCTCCCTGGCTCCGCCTCTCCGGGTAACGTACACGGATCGGGCAACCAAGGGATGATGGTGGCTGACGGTGCAGCTGCGTCATCATACGGTGTGCCGGCTGTCACGGTCCCGGAGCTCATGGGTCCAGGGTTCACTCCTTGGTTGTGGAACGAGACCACAGATCCGCTGGGTGACACTTATGCTGGGTTGGATATGGACATGGATGTTGATAGCAACGTTGACTGGAATAGCTGGCTCAATTCAGCCTCAGGGATGGAGTTGAACGTGGCTGCAGACCCGGCTCAGGGCGGCTCATGGCCCGCACCAGGAGCAGGCGGTTCAGCATAGCGGCTCAGCATAGATAATCTATTCAAGCAGGGAAACGCTTCATAAAAATGATATGAGAATATTTGTTCCTCTCTTTTAATATCGTGTAATGTCAATCTGTTGGGAGACGGGGATCCAGAAAGCGCCGATGGCATCATCATCTCTAAAAGCGAAACACCACTACCGATCTCGCCATGGCGAATGAGCCAAACCGGAATCTAGTGCCAAGCCTTTCAAAGACCATAGAAACCAGTGATACACATTTGAGTTATTACTTCCCCACAGGAAGTCTCGAGTTGCGTGGCTTAGCGCCCGAAGCTCGGGTGTGAGCTCGTAAACTCGGCTTATCTCGTGTTTGTTTCAAGCCCATCCGCTTTTTCGTTGCCCTGCATAGATATATAAGGTAAACATCTATTTATTTATTCATTTATCATATCTGAATCTTCTTTTCTCTCTCTAATCTCAATTCTTGCGGATTTATTCAGCTTCCCACCGAAAGACGCCTCAACCTAGCTCACAATGAAGTCCGGACTCCTAGACCCGAAATGGAAGTTTCGCGACCACATTATCCAATTGATACTCGTCACTCTCATAATTATTCTCTGCGGAGTGTATTTAAGTATGCCTGGAGTCATCCCCGTGCGGTCGGAGATCATGGCTATACCTTTTGTATGTGACCTCGCCGATTTCCAACTCCGAAGATACTTCAACCTGGACCAGACGCTGACAGCGGCTTATAGTCCGTTAAATCAATCGTCATAATAGCCTATCAGCTGTTAACTGAGCACACGCAACGGTTCAGTAAATGGGCAAGCACCAAAGCGAATGCGATTCTCAACTGCCTTGAGACGGTGTTTTGGCTCACCTTGATCATTCTGAAATTCATGGGAATATCCAGGACATGCACCGGTGGCAGCTGCGGTGTCAACGTGACCCTGACTTTAGTGATAATGGTTGTTTTGTAAGTGCCCAAGATGAACTTGCTCCCAAGAATATCCTAATAAGACCCCATCTAACCCTTCATAGCGTCCTGACCGTTCACGTTGCCGTTCTTTCGGTGATTGAGCGACGCAATTCCAAGAGGTATGGCAAATAGGGCTCAGCCACCTAAGAACATTTAAGGAGGCCATCAAATGCAATTGGAACCTTCATCGATAGTTTGGTCAGGAGTTTGAGTTCTCACGCCGGTAGCTGTCATCACAACGATCTGCAAATCTCGGCATATTACCGTTAATGCCAAGTCTATATTAGCTCGGAAGGCCATGGTCCGATCAAAAGTCAACCGTTTTTATCACGTGGCCAGAGTATATGAATGAATGATAGGCCATAGAAGGGGTTATGGCGTTATTACCCATTGTCATTTCTAGAATTGTAAGAGCGTCTCAACCTGGTATTAGGTTTGGGCCGCAAAACGGAGTCATCATCTATCCTCTATTATCGTTTCCCCCTAAAACCATGCCTAGACGTGTCCCTTGGACGCTAATATTTAAACCATTTCATGAAACATATGATACAAACTCGCCCCCGTTACTCGTCCACCTTCAACAACCAGGCGTGCAGCGTAGCCTGGCTCGCAGATGGCCGATTCCCCGGAGCAGGGGCCATTAATTGTTCCAAGAAACTCGAGCACTCCTTGCTTATCCCAGCCTCGCTCAGCAGTCGACTTGGAAACGGCGCTTTCCGGAGCACATAGTTCCACAGTCTCCGAGGCTTGCTGAAAGCTCCCTGGTTGGTGAGCAGTTGGTAGATAATGGCACCCAGCGCCCACAGGTCGACGGCGGCGGTGTAGGTTTCCTCCTTTTCGCTTCGGTCGTCATCTTCGTCATCTTTGCCGTCTGAGTCGTTATCATCAGGGCTGAATATGCCAAGTATTTCTGGAGCCAGGTAACTCCTGGTTCCGACGATGGTGCGGAAGTTGGTTGAGATCTCCTCGGCCTTCCGCGATATACCAAAATCGCTTAATTTGACCCACCAGCATGGTCCTTGTTCTGATACTAAGATATTCTGTCGATTGTTAGCTTTTCGGAAGACAAGTGGAATATAGTAGGACAACTAACACCAGGCTTGAGATCTCCATGAATAAACCCGTTTTCGTGCATATATGATAAGCCCTCCAGCAGCTGAGTCGTAATAAGCTTCACCTCTGTCTCTGGAAACGCCCGTGTAAGAAATTTCCCTAAATCTCCATTTTCCAAATACTCCATCGCTGTAAATAACGTAGTCGTGTTTTCATACCAGCCCAATGACTGAACAAAACAATGCACATACTATCAAGGTCAGTCAGTTGCAGTGCCAAATCGGTCAAGTGATGATGAAACCCACTTTTGAATGAGAGAACTTGGCCATTGCCTCTAGTTCTCGATCGTAGTTTACTTGCTGTCCCCTGTTCGTTTTCGCAATCTCCCTCACGGCTCGAAGGTTACCTCGTTCCTCTTCGTTGATGGACTCCTCGAGCCATACACGCCCGTACGTGCCGGTGCTCAGCTCCCAGCATCGTTTCCACCTGTGTTCCCGTTTCACCCGGCGCTGGCGAGTAGCGATGCTAGACTCGTAGGATGTATGGGAGACCGTCCCGTCGTCTGAGAACACCGTCTCTAATTTGGAGTCGCTCACAAGATCTGACACTATTCGCCGGGTGGGCATGTAGCGAGCCGGGCTGGAGTATTTATACTCTCTCGAGGTGGTTACAGATTCACTCCTGTCGCTGACGGATGACACACTGTCTACCTTTGACGCTATCATATAATTTGATATGTGATTCACAGGCGTGGGTGTATAACCTTGTTGAGAGTGTGCCTGCTGGACCAGAGATGAGCTGGACCGCGTCGGTCTGGTTCGTGCAATCGATCCTTTTCTCAAAGGCCCGATGTTGATGTACCGCGCTTGATCAACTACAACGGGCTCATCATTCTGCCTAAGGGGGTTGTTCCTCAACTCCATCAGACTCTGCGACCTCATTGAATGGCGATGTCTCTTTGACTGGCGTCTTTGCGCCGGAGAAGGAAGCCCAGATCCACTGACGGGCGGTGTGATTGATGATGCGTCTGATGGTGGCTGTCTCGGAGAGATGAGGGAGTTAACAGAGATTGCAGAAACGGCATCATCTGCTGGCCAGGGCTCCCTTTCTCCCAGCGAAAGACTCGAGAGGGAGATTCCAAGACCAAGGTCACGGGGTAGAGGGTCGAGGATGGGGGCAGGCGGTTCCTGTGTGGGAGATTCCCCTCGTTCTCGCTCATCATGTACCAGAGGCCCCAGAGGCCAGGGGAGTTTCGCCTGCAGCCCGCTGTTGGAGGAGTCACCAACTGCCGTACTGGGGCGACGCAGAATCTTTGACTGGAATCCGTTGCGATCATCCGCCGAGGTACTGGGACGGATAGATTCTGCTATGGAGGACCCGTTCCTTACATGGCGGCTTCTCAACATTTCGGACAGATCCCGAGAATGATTAATGGGCTCTATAGGGGTTGGGTTGATCTCAAATTCCGCAGTCGGAGCTGAGTGATTGGTACTGAGCTCCCCCAGATCCTTGGGCATGGTGAGGCTCGGGGCATTCTCCAAAGATGAGTACTTGGCGAAAGATTCGGTCGTCAAGGGCGTGGTCTCCAGAAACGGGTTGGGCGATAGTGTAACGCGAAACATCCAGGAGCTGGGGTTCCGCTTCTCAAACGGGAGCAGCTCATCTTGGCGACTCAGGATATCGAGGATGTGATTCGACTCCTTCTCAATGAGCCTGATGCCGTGCAGCGTGTCATGGTACTGTTGCCTCTCGTCTGTTTGAAGATCCGAGAACAGCGACTTGTTGAAACTAGCCCATGGGAGGAATTCGTCACAGCCGACATGCAGACAGTAGTCGACGACTTGCAGCGCCTTGAATATCTGACGCCACTTGCCGTCGGTGCTGGACAGACAGCGTTTCAGAATCTGGTAGATGACATGGCGCTGTGCGGTGCTGGCAGGGATCGTGTCCGGTCAGTATCTGAGACGGGCCCGGCAGTGAGATGTGAGGGCGAGAGAAGAGAGCCGGTGAGAGGAAGTAAGCAGACACACAACATACCGAAGGGTCATCTGAGCAATCTCGACGAGTTTGTCCAAGCTAGGAGGATAGTCATCGTCCTGGACGACGCCAAGGACGACCCGCTGTGGGTAGCCCAGGAGAAACTCGGGCGACGTCTCAACCTCGACATCTGCCCCTTTTGGGGCCGTTGCAGACGACGCGGGATCCGACATGCCGCATTCCAGTGGTGGCTTGCTCACAGTGCGCAATGGGACCGACCGCGGAGGAGGTTGAGGTTTGTCCGGGCGGAGGGCAGCAATTGTTCGGACGGAGCTCGCATGTCGCGACACGACACGACACGTGCAGCCTTGAATTTCCCGCAACCGAGAGAGGAAGAAAGAGAATAGGAAACGGTCGGTGCAGAGTGTTAAATTGAGATCAGTGGCGGCACCTGAAATTTAGGAGCGGGCACTACATGAAAGGAAATTAGGCGACAGGGAATCGTCTGGGGTCACTCCCCCCCAAATGGCATCGTTAGTCGGTTAGTCATCAATAGCAACTGCTATATTAGAACTCCTGCTGTGCTCCTGTCTAAATATAATCGTGCTCGAGCCTTGGGATGCCTATTGCGGCCAGAAGAGAGGCACAGATCGCCAAATCGAGCCTCCAGCGTCGCATTGTCGTCTTCCTCTTTGGGCGGAGAAGTGGACAATTTGCCACATCTCAACTCCTTTTGCGACGATGGTGAACACGTTCCTCGATGTAAGCAGGCCTGACTGTCAGCAGTGGATTGTCACTGCATAATCTGGGGGCCAGCCCGTTTACGTTGGATGCTCACCAAAGCACCATTCCTTATGCGGCGAGTCTGGCTGTCCAAGAGTTCTTGGCCATTCAAATCAATGCCTCCAGCAAGCTCACCTTATTTTGCCATGGAAATGTGTGTTTGAAGCGCTAGTCTGGCCAAAGCAGTTGGAAGAGCCGGTGTTTCAGGGGGAGGGGCAACTCGGTGGGTGATTGGCTGTGGGTGCAAACAGATATCCATCAAGGAAGTACTTGAATTGAATATTACCGAAGCGGGCCATCTTTGTGCTCATATCTGCACATCATTCGCCAATGGACCTGTTGTTTTGCGCAATCGCAGCTGCCGTGTCTGGGAATGAGATGCTCATCACTACATGGGTTATTCCCAGGTGTTGTCGAGTGCTGCGCCCGAAGTCGTTCATGCCACCGATCAGAACTCTCATCTTTCTTCTTCTTTTTTTTTTTTCTCTATGGTCTAGCTACATGATTTATAGCATGTTTTGGCTGGTAAGAGGATGGTGAGTAGACCTTAATAGAGTGACATTATGTGGCACTACCCCCTTTCCGAATCGTGGCCGAGCGGGATGCAAGGTTAGGGGGAGTAAATGAACAGAAAGAATTAACCTAGACCATCTTGTTATTTCAAGAGCAGGAGCCAAAAGGTCTCATTTCCTCATATAATTAGCCAGAGCCTAGGTACAGGTGCAAGCGTTGTCGAAGGCGAAACTCTCTGTTTGACAACTCAAACGTTCTGTCGCATGCGAGATTGAGCATCTCAATTAGTGGTCAATCTGCGGAATTCTGAAACAAACGATTCAGTCACCCAAGCCCGTAATTACACGCAGCAGTAAAGATCAAATTTTTGTTGGAACATGCAAATGAATAACTGAGGCCAGTGTGAGCGCCCATTCGAGAAGGTGATGCAAGATAACCCTCAATTCATGCGGTAAACTCCAGACTCCACTACCATCTGACACCTAAAGCAATACTCTATACCTGGTTTTAAAGTTTGGGCGTTTCATACCTTCAGGGCGTTCGCACATGGTTTGTAGACTGACTGCCCTGTAGTGCAAAGGAAGGGGCAAAAGGGAACCGGGACGTAATTCTTGACTGTGATGCGTTATTGTAAGCTGGGTGGTCCGAACAACAAAGCCAGTCGTCGTCAATGAATGGACTAATCTCCCGAGGTGAGAGGCATATGATTGGGTTTAAGAAGGCAGCCTGGCGCCATTTGCGACGTGAAGACGTTGGCTAGATGTTATCATCGCTGTGTCGTTTGAGGCAACTGCTTTGGCGGCTGGTACAAGGAAACTATCGTTTTGTTAAGCTTCGAACCTGTTCGCCAACGTGATCCAGGTTGGGACATCCGGCTGGCCGCTTACCAACATATGGACCGAACATTCAAGACTCCTATCCGGATATCGGCAAAGACAAGAAAAAGTTGTAAACTAACCGCTAGTTAAAGTCCGCTTCGTGATTTCAAGTACTTTAGTTCTTCTGCTTGGCTTGGAAATCAGAGCTTCAGCACGGCTCCCCGCAATTCCACAATAATCACATAGTTTGCCGTGACCAGCGGTTTTATTAGGTGAGAGGATCAAGCCCAAAGTATATACAATTCTCCAGAGAGATGGCTGCCTACACTGGGCCGGGCAAAAAGGCATAATGAGCTTCGGCGTAGGCATGTATACCCAGGGCAAGTTGAGCTTATGGTTCGATGCATGTCAAGTGCTACTATTCCTTTCTCCTGACACTAATTGATGCCGTCTATGACGGTTCCTTGATCCAAGAGAGTGGCACGCACGTGCTCACATGTAGTATTTGATCGCCCAGCCTTGTATTTGCTGGGTGATAGCGGTTTTGCATCGTTCCTGGATCCGATCTGCCGCTTTCCCGGCCCAGGCGCTAGCAAACCAGCCGGTGTCAACGGGAATTAGATAGATTGCCCTCTTCTGGCGACACGGGGGACTCAACATAGATCCCGATTGGAGCCTTGGGGTTTAGACGGGCTCAAGACTACAGCTCGAACAGGAAGCTGCCAACTGCTCATCAACAATCGACCCAATATCTCGGTAACAATAGAAGAGCTTCAGAGTAGACGTCGATAGAGTATATATTAGGGACGAGTATGCCATGGACTCCCCTGATTTAGGACCGTCCTGGTACCCGTCCCCTGACTAGCCGGGTGCGAGTAATTGATCTTGTTCACTATCTCTTTTCCCATTGCTCTCTTCACCTACACGCTCGCTTACATATACGCTCATTCATTTATTTTCACTCATTGGTTCGTCCATCCATTCCTTCTCCTTTCCCCTACGCAACAGGCAGGTTCTCGTGGCAACGCTTGCCTTTGTAGCAGCGGCGCAAGCTACAACCATCAACGCCATCAACGGCAGGAACTTCCTGTCGCCATCCCGGGCAAGGCTCTCTCCGGAAGGGGCAACGTCCTAGCATCCACGCCTGGTGAATCCACCGGTGGGCGGCTCCTCACCTCTGGCAACTGGTACCGCGCCGGGGGCGCCGCGGCCATCTTCACAGCGACCCCCAACGTCGACGGCGTCAGCTTCACCCTCCAGTCGTCCAAAGGCAAGTGCGCCATCATTGCCGACCTGTCCATCTTCTGCGACTCCAGCGTTACCCTCGGCAGCAGCTTCGGCTGGGACGGCGCGTATGTGACGTACTTGGGGGCCAATAATTTCTACGCCACGGAGCTGCCCACTGGCAGCGGGAATACCAAGGTGTACACGACGGAGAAGGCTCTGACGCTGCAGCTTACCTGGCCTGCGGTCTAGGCGTTGCCTGGCTTAGTGGAATGAGATTGACGTCCAAAGTGAGATTCAGAGGCACTGGTGTTTATGTGTGATATAGTTTGATCATCTGCTTCGAGAATAGATTCATGTATATATTAGTTGTAACGTCTAATGTTAATTGACACCAGTCACAGGATGATTCTCATGCCCATAGTTGCACTGTTATGATGTCTGATATAATGTCTCATTTTTACGTATAGTTGTAACATTTTGTAACATCTAGTCCAAGACTAGAGTTAATTGACACGAGTCACATCAAGATTATCGCCATAACTGTTCAGTTGTCGCAATGCCAGATTTGAATTTGTCTGCATCGTTGGTGTTGGCTTAGAGTCTTATGCCAAATGTGCACCTCCCTCCCACCAATCCACTACAGCAGCTGAAAACAGCTGATTATCTTCCGTAGTATAGTGGTCAGTATGCAAGCTTGTCACGCTTGAGACCCGGGTTCAATTCCCGGCGGGAGAGTCCGCCAACCGGTTCAGCCGGTTCGTTTTTTGGCCTTTTTTTTCTTCAGTCTCGGAATATCTCCTACAACTCTTGCACGTCTGTGTGCCAGGCAGGGATCTCTGTTAGGTACTCGGGTGCATCTGAAATTTGCCATTTTGTGTTTCTGGGCTTGGGATAGCGATTGCCATGCGAACTATCGTACTCTGGTCCCATGATGAATTTCTCCAGGACGGCTTCCAGCTTCAGATAAATACTGAAAAACAGGTGGAAATCCTGGAGGCCGGGGAGCCATTTCTTGACGGCACGCACGACATAGACGTACACGTTATAGATGTGTCGCATGATGTCTTCCCTGTCCTCTTCGCTTCCGAACCCCATGGCAGTCGCTGGATGATCTGTCGTAGTTATTGATATTAGCAAGTTGGAGGGGTTGCAATATTTGCCAAGGAAGCGGATAAGCTTTCGCCATTGAGAATAGTAATTGAAGTGGTTCCATAGAAATATCTTTTGGCTGTCCAGGTCAAAGGTGATGCGCCTCAGTCGCTTCAGTAATCGAACTGGCATATTTTCAAGCACCGACAAGGTCTTTGTAAACGGGCCTTGAAAATGGAATGGATTTTGTGAGTAGAAGATCTCAGAGGCATCCAAATACATTTGCCGGCTGGTAAGAAATAATTCCAGGGGCAGCACCTGGCACCGACAACTAGGATTATAAGATGCATGCTTCGAAGGGCAGAGGCAGTGTGATTTTGTAAAAGAGCAGTCGAGACAGCAGAGCCTCACTGCGTTTTTAGTTAGGGGATGTAAGTCGGCCAAGGGATATCGATGGTCAAACTTCCCATTGAGAACTCGATTCGTGTGCGCATCTGCGAGAAAATCGCTACTAGGGCCCGTATTTGTGTGCCAAAGAATCTGGAGACGTATCTCCCGCGGTAGATCAAAGAAGCGGAAGCCTTCGGTATTCTGGTTCTTCCGAGTAAGCTTCTCGCTAGTAATTCGAGCAAGTGAGCTGAGCTCCCGCTCTGGATTCCTCCCCAGCCGTATGCTGCACTGTTTCAGGCACGGGAGATACTCGAGCGGCTTTAATACACGCTGAGCAGTCTGTAAGTCTTCAACATCATAGACGAATTCCAGATGGAGCTGTCCTGATGCGATGCCTGAGTTCGCTAAGCGCCCACACACGTTCTCCCACGCTTCGATGATTTGTTGAGAGCGCCTGTGACTTGGCATCTCTAGATTAGCTTTTCTTGCGGATGATCCACAAATCAAGCATGATTTGGGGTTTTTGAATGGCGAGCCGTGCCCTCGAATGCATGGCCAACTATTTAGGCGGACTAAGAGGTGGCGCAAAGATCGCACGGCGTTGGTGGAAATAGTGCGTAGGACGTTGAGATTATCGGCTTTCTCCTGGGTTTGGATAACAAATTTGTTTTCGCCATATAGGATCTCCTCAACTTCCATATGCAGTTGCTTGCAAACGAGAAGGAGCTGTTTAGGGAACTTCGGGCACGAGCATTCATCATAGGTGGCCACTCGGACAGGGGACCTTGAACTTTTGCGAAGTTCGAAGGCGCACGTGTCGATAGCTGGCCGTTGTCCCCAAGGACAGAAATGAGTGGTGAGTTTACCAAACGGAACAATAGTAGCAGGACATTCCCGGATGAGACCAGCAAAGAAATAAATTCTCTCGCGGATCTTAGGGGGCAAGCGGAGTAACGGCGGTGTTGATTCTTGACGCATTGCGCTTCGTTGCGCAAGACCGGGGTGCAATGTTAGATTTAAGATCATGACGCAGGGGTTTCGTTGGTCAGTTGGTTATGATGAGAATTAAGCAAATGGATTCAAACCTTTTGAAGTCCTTATGGAGTTCATGCCTAACGACGGTAGTCCAGCCGACTGTCAGGAGCTTGGTGTATTACACTAGGCTTTATATCAAAAGCTTTGACAAAGAGAGCAAGTTCGGGAGTAAAAGGTTCGGGAGTAAAAGAAATCTTTGGTGTTCAGGTCCGACCGTGCACAGCTGGCATAAAATTGCCATCAACAAGCTAGAGGACGCTTTAAGCTTAAAGAACGCTTTGATTGAAATCGACAGGAAGGCGGCCACCAGTGAGGACAATAGCTCTGAGAGTACCTACAACAATGATGGATTTGTTCAATACGTGTCGTTACAACTCATTTGGCTCAATGTATGTCATTTTCAGGTATTACCAATCCCCGATTGACCATTTTAACCCTTTATGTACAACTCAAAACTAAGCAAATTTCAACAGGTCTTTGCGCAAGCCGTTACTGTTTGATGAATCACGATTTGACTGGCCCAACGTCGTTTCTTTCTCTTGTGGTCTGATTAAGGGGTCCCATAGAATATATGACAAAACACCTGGGTTGAGGTATCACTGGTGTGACGGACACTATACCAACCTGGATCTTAGCATGGCCCGATATTCTGTCCAAAAGGATTGCAATCGATTTAAACTATGGTTCATTCGCTGAGACCCTATAACTGGTTTACTTAAATTGAACATACCCCTGGTCCTTGACAAAGGTGGCGTGCTATGGAATGTGCCCCTCATGGGTGATCAACTCAAGGTAGAATTCACCATGTGCATCGCCATTGATTTCCGTCGAGATAGGTTGGCCATCACTCTTTCGTTCGTCCGTGTAAAAGAATCTAATTAAAGACGGTCAGCCGACATCCATGTGAAACCCGCTTTGACCCTGTCGTGATGCCTAGATATGCCTACCGGAGTCCCTTTGCCGCATACGATGCGTCTGCCACCCCAGCCCAAAATGCTGAAGCCACCTTGCCCATGCCCAGATCCAGCACTCTTGGAGCTGGGATAATCGAGACGTTCAGTATATTACCAGTGTATATGAAGGTCTTCTTGATGTCAGACGCAAGCTCCTTACAATGGTGGATTGCTTGCTGAGCTGCAACATAAGGGCTGATGGTGTTGACATTGAGATCCGATGCAACGTTTCGAATGGGATAGACAAGATAGAATCCTCATCAGGAGGGATGGTCAGACTGGCAGCATTGTACACCACAACGTTAGGCGAGGCATGGAATTCTTTTCGACTGCTTCAAACAGGGGCGTGATTGACTCGGGATTGGTGAAATCTACCTGGAGCGAGAGATAGCCGTCAGAGTTTTTGGTCCCAGTCTCATGTCTCGAGGTAATGGCTACTTGGTAGCCTTTTCTGTGGCGAAGCCCTTCGCAACAGAAGCGCCAACTCGTGGGCCGGAGCCAAGAATAAGTGCGATTGAAGCTGGTGCCATGGTACCGCCGAGGTTTGACGAAATACTTAGCTGTGTTTTATGTTCTTTCGGGTGTGTATAGGAAAGATCGGCGGAAAATACATATCACGATGATAGGAGGTGATATTTATAAGACCTTAAGGACTTATTCATGCTTCAGAAGATCCTGAAACGCTCAAAAGAACAACATTGTATTAGACATACAACATGCTGATGTTATTTCAGATGTGTTGATTGGTAATCGCACCAATGAACTTCGACCTGCTCAGAATCCGTCATCTCACCCAGGAATGAACAATCAGACAGAGCAAGCGTGTGAATCCTTGCGGATTTGATGATACATCACTGGCTAGGTATCAAAAACTATAGCTTTCACTATGATTTCATGACTAATTACATCCCACTCGAGTGGGATAGAACTGTCTTGAGCGCAAAGTTGGGTGATTGCCATGTGAAGAGACATTTTCCATCTCGCCATTTCTGAATCATATCACCAGGCATAGAGTCTCCATCATTTCAGTTGCATATCAAGGATGTCGAGCAGTCATCTTCCAATTACTAGAGTTATCGGGCCTCTCCTATCTAAGATATGAAGACTTTTCTTGAGAGTGGTAGGAGAATGATGAAAAATCACAGGAAATAATACTGTTAGAATCTACAGATCTGTAGAAGAGAAAATTACATACGATCGACAAGACTAACATCTATCAACACTACTCTGCTGCACATGATATATAGCAGGTCTGATTGTGCGGGGTAATTGGATTGTGCTGACTACATACACTCGTTAACAGTTCTTATAATCCGCCTTCGATGACATTTAAGGAAGACTTGGTTGGAAACCAAAGGGGGGTTACTCATCATAGTCTAATTTAGGGGTTCTGTGTTTTTGAAAGCCGACAGTCTCAACTGGACTGTGTTGAACCCAGTTTACTGCGGGGAGATGAGATGTAATGCTGGCAACATGCCCCCTATGAGTCACAAGTAGGTGAATAGGGGCACTCCAGAGTGAAACAGAGAGGTATAGGTCTCCCAATGCCCATAATCTAATGCGGGATGGTTACACTTTCCTCTTAGTCCTCTCGGAATTCGGCTCGCCAAATGGTAATCTGTGGGGTCATGCTCTCGTTATTTGTGAGTGCTGATCCGTTTTCGGAAGCAGTCGCATGAATTATTAGATGCCAAGGTACGTATTCAGTTTGTCCCTTGGAGAATTTCGCTTACTTTTGGCAAACAGATTAGTGAAGGCCGCATTAATACCTTGAATGGGCTCTTCGTATCTCCCCACACACACTTGTCCTCATGGGAGCGATTGAGGCTGAATCGATGTTGCTTCGAAGGATTGAATATTGATAAAGTCACGAGATCAGAACACTCAAACACCGATAGGTGTTTCCCCGCATGTAAGCAAGGTTTGTAGAAAGGAGGTCGGCAAGGTCTGATGCGTGGATCAATTAGGCTGCATATTATTCAGTTGAGCTGAAGGATAAATCCCTGAACGATGGATTCGCTTCAATATTTTAATACATTAGCTCCGCGCTAGAGCTATTACAGTCATTATATAGCGATACGGGTAATACTCCCTTTGGTCTTCAGAGCGTAGCTCGTATTTCTTGATCAAGCTATATATTCCACCACGTAAAACCGCCAATTTCCTCAAGCCCGAGGCTGGAAGGACCCAAACCATACAGACACCTTCACCAAGGCCCTCAAGTTCTGAACATGTTTATCTACGCTGCAACTCTATTTCTCTTGACCCTTCCTTCTGTTACAGGCACTTGTCACGCGGACAACTGCTATCGTGCAATTAAGTTCTATCAGACGGCAACAGCAACTGAGTTCTGTAGCGAGTACCTTGATCAGTAAGTCGGTTCCTTGTCGCTCAATTCGCCCAAAAAGCCGACTGATTTGATGCAGTGCAACTGTAGCGCCCTCCCAATTCGCATCTTGTGGCCCCTCCAGGCTCTCCAGTGCGTGTAGCTGTCTTGCATCAAGCACTTCCACCTCCGTTCCAAGCACCACCACTTCGCCAACCCCAATAGAGCTAATTTCCAACGGCGGCTTCGAATCCGGAAATACTAGCCCATGGGCGGTTGCGCCTGGTTCGGGCTACGTGAGGATAACCGATAACGAGCAAAGCACAGTCAACTTTCCATTCGAAGCTCACAGCGGCGAAAAATTCGCGTAAGCAGCTCTCTCTTTCAACTCTCTGGACGAATTGTTCAAGCTGACATGTATGCGGAAACAGCCAGATCGGTAACAGCGGTGATGAGAACCCCACGACCCTTTCTCAGTCTGTCAGCTTGACAAGCGGGATAAACTACTCTTTCAAGGCGTTCTATAGTGTGCTGGATCTACCGCTGAGTAGCTGCTACTTGCAGGCTTCCATCGACGCGAATCCCTTCGCGCTGGCGACCATTTACTCTGGCGCGGGCGGGGGCAACCCCCCTCGCTACTATCTATTATCCGGGAGTTTTACGGCTTCAACCACAGGAATAAGCAATCTGGCTGTAGCACTGTGGTGTGATTATTCTAGTATAGGGGGTGTCTTTGGCCTAGACGATGTTAGCCTGCTCTAAAGCCGTAACGTTTAGCTACTGTCATAATCCAACAAACAAAACCACGGGAACCCAGAGTTTCGTGACCACGGTTATTGTTCATTACATAGCATTAACTAACAGTATTCTAGACTTCTTCTAACCTAGGGCACTGGAGGTAGGTAAGGAATACAAACTCTATGGTGTTAATGATTCAAAAGTGACTCCATCTTGCCCTCTAAACGAAGCCTTTTTGTGCAAATTGTTCCTACATCTCTGAACCACCTCGGCACTTTTTAGAACCCTGTTTATCAGTTGCAGCTTTTAAATAGGGTTGTGTAAGCATTGAGGCAATTCATGAGAGGCGGAGATAAGCTGGGATATACGTCCGCCAACAAGGCATTAGCGCGCTCAACAGTTTCTGACATACCTAGATAATAAGCTTGCAATCCTCTCAGGAGACCTCTATTCTGCCTGAATATTTTGTTCCTTGTGACTCTTATCAAAATACCCTCTTCGGCAAATGAAATAATGGTTGACAAGGACTTCAAAGTTGTCATCGCCGGTGGTGGCATCGCCGGCCTCGGCCTTGCCAACATGCTGGAAATGGCCGGAATTGACTGGGTTCTGCTCGAATCACACAGCGAAATTGCACCTCAGGTCGGAGCCAGCATTGGTCTGTTCCCAAATGGTTTGCGAATTCTTGATCAGATGGGTGTCTATGAGGCCATTCGAGCCACATGGGGTTACCATCCGATGAGTAACACCAACCGTGACGCCAAGGGTCGAGTTATCTGCTTTAGTCCGGGTATGGGCGATCACCTCGAGGAGCGACACGGGTACCCTTTTATTTTCATCGATCGACGAAGCCTTCTCCAAATTCTATTCGATAATCTAAAACACAAAGACAGGGTTCACCTCGGAAAGAAGGTGGCAATCGTGGATATGGGGGAACAGGGAGTGAAGGTTACTACCGCCGATGGAGACACGCTTGAAGGTGACATTCTGGTGGGCGCGGATGGTGTTCACAGCAGAGTAAGAGAGGAGATGTGGCGTATCGGTGAACGGATCCAGCCAGGGGTCTTCCTCGAGGACCGGGAATCTCGTAGGATCCCCCCAACAAATACACAAAGTGCCGAGAAAAGCTGACGTGGAACGCGAACCTACCCAGCCGTTTCATGCAGGTACAAATGCGTCTTTGGAATCTCCGAGATGTCCGAGGGCCTCGATTCCAACGAATTTGTCTGTGGGGATGGACATTCATATCTCATATCCCCAGGGCCAGGTAAGCGGACATACTGGTTTCTGTTTGCGAACACAGGCAATGGCTTGGTGGATAGAGACCAGATACCCCGGTATACGAAAGACGAAGAAACGTCACTTGTTCAGAAACACCTACGTGATCCGATTGCCGAGAGACATACTTTCGGCGATCTCTATGAGAGCCGCCTTTACTCTACTCTCACTCCCCTCGTGGAGCATGTTTTCAAGCGTTGGCACTTCGGCAGGATCATGCTGTTGGGAGACTCGGCCCACAAGGTGACCGCCCGGAAGGACCCTCAGCTAGTTTCGCTCGGCTGACAGGATTGATACAGCATAACCCCATCGCAGGCCAGGGGGGCATGTCAGCGCTTGAGTCTGGGGCTGCGCTTATCAATGAGCTTCAAAGTTTGCTCAAACGAAAAGATCTAAAGACCATATCGAACGACGACTATGATTCTATGCTTACACGGACACAACGCCGCTTCGAGACCCGCGTAAAGGGGCTGGTCAAAGCTGCTAACGACCAACAGAGGCTGCTGGCGAATGATCATCCTATGTCTGGCTTGGTCCCTGGGTTTCTCGGGACTGTTGGAGGGCTTGAATATGATCTGGGGCATCTCAAAAAGAGAGTTGTAGGTGCAATCAGTCTTCGTGATTTCCCCCCGCCCAAACGACCACGGCTTGTTCCGTTCACGGATGAGCTACCTGCGCGCCCTGTTCGTAAGATGTGGAAGTTGAAATGGCTGTCTATCATGATGACCGGCTACATTTTTTTTTGCTCAAGAGAACTGTACAACCTCCCAGCTCTACGGGGTAGTCTTGACGATGTTGTAGGTTGGGGGCTACGGCAGACACATGTGAGCTTTCTCATGGACCAAATTTGGTCAACAGTGATGCCCACCTACTCTCACCTGATTTTGGAACATGGCCTTAATAAGGTCCTGGTGTTTATTGAAACAATCCTAATTTTGATGTCTCTGGTTACTATCTGGACGATCGAAGGCTATCGACTTGGCCACCAAAGGAGTATTATTCGCTGGTTTGTCTATATCTTCCAACCCCCTTAAGATCGGAAACACTTCTGACTCATCAAAGGCCAATTATGTTCTGGGTTGCTCTCAAGATGAAAGGTCTTGGTTGCGCAACCTCTCTATACTTTATTTTGAATATGGCGTTTGGTAGCAATACGATTATTGGACGACCAGTACCGCCCTCCGCTGTCAAAGCTGCTGCTCTAGCTTTCTGCATCGTCTACTTCGCTGCTACTGCGCTTATGGTGGTACCAAACTTCAAAGAGCAATCAGTTCGGATTTCATTTGGCTTTTTGCAATCCGTTCCTGTATACATTGGTGTATTAACTGCACTCTTTACGGCGGTCCTCTCCCAATCTACCAGCATTGAAGGGCTAAAACATTCCCCATCGACTTCAACAAGGGGCGCCTCTGACAAAGGTACTGTCGTTGGTAGACGCAATTGCGACGTTGTGTATCTCAACAGACTATACATCCTCTTACACGTCTCCTTGGGTACCATCCATCTTGGGACGGCGATTTTCGTTGCCGTGAAGCTAAGAAGGCATTTCTCTCGCATCCTACAGTCTTCAAACCATCCTTTTCCCGGGTCTGTACCTGGTACTTCCGAACGCGCATACAGCCAGTTGATCTGGGATCTTATCTTTGCTTCGACATCCCTCTTCGTTTTCTTGCTTCACACTGTCTGGAATCTCCGTGGCACGGGGTATATTTCAACATTACATGCATTCAAAGTAACTATGATGGTCTTAGTCGGCCAAATCATTGCTGGACCCGGTGCTACTTATGCTGCTCTATGGTATTGGCGGGAAAATCTACTCTCAGGGTTGTCAGAACAGTACTACTGAAGACTCAGGGAGCATGGAAATGCCTTCGATATCTGCTGGTAGGCATAAAGTGTAATCTGGTTTTATTGCAATATTTCAAAGTGTGGCTACACCTAAAGCCACTGTTGCCATAAACATCCCCTCTTATACAGTTCAAAACATAGGAAATAGATTTATCTAAACGAGCGTTGGTTTGATAACCCCTGGCGACATAAAAGCCCCTCGAGATGCAATCATTCGTTACATTGACCACTCTCGGCTTTCCACCCATTTGCAATTGTTCTAGTTGTGACGTCCCGCTTCTCTAGGGCCGCTAGGAAAAATTCACATAACTGCAGTAAAGATCATAACAGTTAGTGTGTAGATAATAACATTCATGAACAGTGTAAGACTTGCCTTTCTGGTAGGCCCATGTGTTAGCTCAGGCTCTTGCCCAAACTCCATCAGCTCACTGAGGGTCTCTGTGACAGAGTATATCAAGTCTTTGGCTCCTTTGTGCTTCTTGATACCGTCGACAAGCTCTCCACGCTCAGGCTCGCCAGCCAGCCCCGACATAACAAATATGACACTCGACTTTCCGAGAGATTTTGCTTCAACGCGATCAGAGCATTGTGTGATGACTTCAAAGAACTTGGCTTCTTCTTCTTCGCTCTCCGGCTGAAGCAAACTGTTAGCCATTTCAAAGTCCGAGTAAATCAATCTTGATCACATACCTTTCCGTTGGTGACCACAAAAATGACCAAGGGCTTATTGAAGGCGTCTGAATCGATTCTATCAAGAACCATGGGCTTCACGATCTTGGCTTCTAACTGCGTGCCTAGAGCAAGACCTTCACGCCGTGTGCGTAGCGCTTCATCAGCTACCTGCCGTAAACTCTCACCAGAGTTGCTCTGCCAGGATTTCTCAGCGTTAACGAATTGTACTGTTATTCGAGATTCCGTGAATGACTCTGAGATCTTAGCAATTTCATCCAATGTATTTTTGACGGTTCCAACCAGCTCGTTGTCATGGACTGATTGACTGTCATCTAAAGACACAAATGTAAGCCAAAGGGCAACGGAAGAGGACACAGCCAGGCAGAAGGCCACGTACCACATAAGACCACGTAGTCATAAAAACCTAGTTTCATCATCCACGGAATAGACCTAGGCGATAGGCCCCAACTTAAAGCGTTGTTGGTTGCCTCTCCATAGGAGAGATGCGTTTCGTTGATGTCTAGGCCCTTCAAACCTCGCTGGGTAAATCTCCGGGTGGAAGCCAAATACAATCTCTCTAGATAGATAGATTCCTGTATTAAAAACGTGTTAGTGACCAAGTTCAATTCGAAGTGGGCTATACCCGTACCAGTTCGGGCGCTTTAGAATTAATAACAAAGTCAACTGTCTCTCGATTGCCGCTCAGCATGGCAAGGTAGGAGGAGGGACGGGCCTGATCACTGCCCTTGGCGGACCATTTTTCAAGAGCCAGAAGTTGATTGACGACTCTGGAATGTCCCCCCTTGATGGCTAGCTCAATGGGTGTCTGACCAGAACTGTCCAATGCCTCAGTGCTTAGTCCTTGAGTAACAAGTACCAGGACAGCCTCGAGATTCCCATGCTTTGCTGCGACATGAAGAGCTGTTTGGCCCTCCTCATTCACGAGCTCCTGGTAATACTTCTGGACCTTCCGGCTATCAAAGAGTAAAGTCAGAATATGATAGTCTCCGCTCGCTGCTGCTGTGTGTAGTAGCGTTTCCTTTTTCTTATCCTGAGTGAAGATCCTACCACCATTCCTCAGGAGCATGTCGACTATTTTCAAAGCCTCATACCCCACTCGAGCAACGGCGTGATGAAGAGGGGTTCTGCCATCTTGGTCCTCCTTATTCACATTCGCCATAGCGCCAACGAGAACTTCAACAGCGCGAGATTCCTTGATCGCTGCGTGATGCAACGGCGTCTTGCCTTCGTTATCGACCGAGTCAAGGGGCGCACCCGAGGTCACCAGGATCTCCAGGGCAACAGCATTACTTTCCCTGATAGCACGATGCAGGAGGGTCTCCCCTTCATCATCTGGGGCCTCGAGGTCCGCCTGCTTCTGCTTCAGGACTTCGACGACCGCTGCATGATGCATCTCAGCGGCAAGATAGACAGCATTCCGACCTGCACTGTCCCTAGCCTCCTTGTCGATGCCAATGTCGCATAAGACAGCCACCGCACTTGGATCGCCATCTCGAATGGCTCTATGTAGAACCTCCCAGAGCCTGTTTCCTGCTGGCTCCCTAAGCTGCGTGAGAGAGCTCTGGAGAAGCTTAGCAATCTTGGCAAGATTTCTTCTTGCCGAGATATAGAGGAGATTCTCCATCCCTGTGTCGTCTTCGATGTACTTCTTCCGGAACTCAGACTTGAGAAGGAGCTCAACAGCATCCAGGCTGGCATCTTCAACAGCGCGTCGAAGAAGAACCCAGCCCATGTCACTATCATCATCTTCCTTCTTAATCTCATGCTTAAGTAGTGAAGCAAATGCACTCCGGCAGCCTTCTTGAGCTGCCACATAGAGAGCGGACCGATGACTAGAATCAACGAGGTCCTTGTCCGCCCCCACTTCAATGAGTACATCTATTGCATCCGCGTCATTGAAGCTCGCCATCTGATGCAAGAGCGGCAAGCCGTATTTCCTCGCGTTCACGTTGGCGCCGGCATCTCTCAGCGCTTTAGCCACGTCGAAATGATGGTTCTTGGCCGCATAGAACAAAGGAGTTTGAGAGTCCATGTCCTCCATATCGACGGCCTCCTTGCCTTTTCCAATGAGGAAGGAAGCCGCATCAGTATGGCCGGCGAGCGCGGCCAGATGAAGGGGCGTTCTCATATTGGAATCACGCGCTCTTGCGCTGGATCCAAAATCGAGAAGAAGCTGGATAATCTCCACATTGCCTTTCCTCGCGGCAATGTGAAGAGCAGTGTAATACTTGTCGTCGCAGTGGTCCACCTCAGCCCCAGCACATAGGAGTTTGTGTATGGCGTTGATGTGGCCGTTCTCCGTGGCAAGGTGCAAGGCAGTGTTACCGTTGTCATCCTTCTGATTCAGAAAGCTCAAGAAGGTTCCTCTACCAGGGCTGGACTCTCTGGACTTGGTCAGAATGAGTGACAGAGCAGCATCGTTTCCTTCCTTGGCGGCGATATGGGGAAGGTATTGTAGGCGAGCAAGGGGGCTGCCGGCCCTTTCCTCTGCATATTTCTGGGACATCTGCCGTCATTATTAGTCGTGTAGCTGAAAATTTGCACGTTTTTTTCCAGACCTCTGTTGAAGATAAATCCAAAGCCAACAATGGCTGTATAATCGCAAATGACGCGCAGTGATTAAGTCCACAATGTTTAGGAAGTATGAATATCGAACGCTTTGATGGCGGGACCTGGGATCAGAGTTTGTTTTTTAATCATATGAATCCAGCTAAACAATAATTCACAGTTTACAGTGACGACAAACCCAATTGTTACCCGAAAGACAGGGCAAAAGTTTGGGTTGGTGATTAGCACTGCATTGCCAACGCATGCTGAGTGTGATTGGTTCCATCACACACCACGGTGCCCAAAATATCACCACCTTCACTCTTCGATACCTAACGTTATCACATCCACTTGTGTTAATGAAAATTCATCTCATGATCAATTATGCAATGTGTCATATGGGCAGACTTGGTACCCAAGTTTACTACTCCAATGACTTTCTGCATCCAAGCACATTAGGTTTTGGGCACGGATGACACTAGGATTAATTGTACATAGTGCTTACAATGTCTATCCTGGTTTGTGGACATTTATAGCTCTACGCTCTGTCGATCGCTTAGAATAATTGGGTATCTGAGGGTATCATTGCTCTTCAAGATAAGGCTTACCAGGAACTTGGGTCCCATCTGTTCGCTATCATCGAAGGAAGATACCCTAGGCCCTTGATGTAGTTCTCTGCCAGCTCATCATTGCATCAAATATAGTAGAGCTGAAAAGGTCAATTGCGTGATGGCGCCAATTAACCCTTCTGTTTGAATCTGCTCTGGCTAAGCGAGAAACTGGGCAGCCGAAAGGTCGGCAGAGAGGCTTATAACCCTGGAATTTGCGAGTTCTAGTAGATGAACCGCTGATGAGACAATTTTGGGTAGATTTTGCCGCTGGGTGCAACGTAGTTGTGCTTGTGACCATTCTTGCTGGCACGCTTCTTGGCCGTTTCCTCTCAACGGTGTTCATCTCGTTGGCATTCTTTTCACCTAACACTGGAATTAGCGCCGGCGAATGCTCTAATTGGTTCCACGAGAATTGAAAGTTGGTGGTGTTGTAGTAAGCTGGACTGGCTATGCTACAAATTGTGGAAGTGTCTACTCAAGATGCAGGAATTGGAGGAGGGTCCGCGTAGATAGACGGCCTCATAAAAGGGGCGTGAACGGATTGGTTGAAGAGATCTATCAAGGCTCTCGCACAAAAAGGTTCATATCAATTACCCATATTCCTCTTTTGACGACCATCCACGTCATATTGGAAACGTTAGTTCGCCAAATACAGTGCAGAGTTGCATCAGTTGTAGGGTAATTCATTATTCACGAACGATGGATGATAAGGAAAAATGTGGGTCGCTTAATGCGGGCTTTAACAGGGGAATCACGTGAGTCATCAGGCACCGCACTCAACTGACGGCCGATGTCGGAAAAATTGCTCCCTTGTGACTTCATCCCTCTAGGTCGACCGGATTCTTAAATCAGCTTCGCCATTGACCCATTGACCAAGCACCAATTGACTCCATCAGACGCCATCTACTTTTCGATAAGGTATTAATCCGATTACCTCATACGACACCCGCAGCCAAGCCCATCATGGCCACCAACAGCGCCCCTGTTCAGGGTATGCTCTGGGGTGGGCGCTTTACAGGTTGGTAGCTCCTCGTTGATGAAGCTCCTGGATCTGTTATACTGAGTGTTATTATGGATGATAGGCGGTATTGATCCCCTTATGCACCAGTATAACGAGAGTATTTCCATCGATAAGGTCCTCTACAAGGAAGACATCCTTGGCAGTATTGCCTTCGCCCGTGCCAACGCCAAGAGTGGCATTATCTCTGACGACGAGTTCGTCAAGATTGAACATGGTCTCCGAGAAGTGATGAAGGAGTGGGAGGCAGGCACCTTTGAGATTAAGCCTAATGATGAGGACGTAAGGCACTGTTTCTTGAAACTTGAAATACCTTTGCTGACGGAATGACAAGATTCATACTGCGAACGAGCGTCGGCTATGTGAAATTATTGGCAAAGAGATTGGGGGCAAGTTGCACACCGGTCGTAGCCGAAATGAGCAAGTTGTCGTTGATATGCGAATGTGGTTGCGCGAGCGCATTCGTGAGATTGAAAGCCATCTCATTTCTTTACTACAGGTTGTGGTAGCCCGTGCTGAGGCTGATATGTGAGTCTGGCACCAGTCCTCCCACCCCTGATAAGGCGATCCCTTCTAATTTGAATAGTGATCACATCATGCCTGGGTACACGCATTTGCAACGAGCCATGGCAGTCAGATTTTCGCATTGGCTCCTGTCATACGGGTTCAACTTTGCAACTGACTTGGAGCGTTTAAGGGAGGTCTCGAAGCGCATCAACAGGAGGTAGGCTCTCTCATATCTGACGAAGCATGCTCTTGCTAATATTGAATGTAGCCCACTCGGTGCTGGTGCACTTGCTGGTAATGCCTTTGGTATTGATCGCCAGATGATGGCAAAGGAGCTTGGCTTCGAAGGTATCACGTACAATTCCATGCAATCCGTCAGTGACCGAGACTTCGTCACCGAGTTCCTGATGTGGGGCACTATGTTCATGGGACATCTCTCACGATGGAGTGAGGACTTGATCTTGTACTCAAGTTCCGAATTCTCGTTCATCACTATTGCCGATGCCTACAGTACGGGCAGCAGCTTGATGCCGCAAAAGAAGAACCCAGATGCGGCCGAGTTGCTCAGGGGCAAGGCAGGCACGTCTTTCGGTCATCTAGCTGGTCTTTTCTGCACGACCAAGGGCTTGCCAAGCACATATAACAAGGATTATCAGGAGAGCCTCCAGGCGATGATAAGTCATGTCAAAACTGTCTCTGACAGTGTACAGATCGCAAATGGCATCCTTAGCACACTTACTCTGCGACCTGAGCGGATGCTAGCTTCACTGGATCCATCCATGATTGCCACGGATATTGCCGATGCATTGGTCAGAATTGGCGTGCCCTTCCGCGAGACACATCATATTTCTGGACGAGTGGTAGCAAAGAGTGAGGAGCTAGGTATTCCGATGGATAAGCTCTCACTCGAGCAGATGAAGGCTATCGATGGGCGATTCCCGGATGATATTATGGATGCGTTTAATTATGAAGCTAGTGTTGAGTCACGCTCTGCTCAAGGTGGTACTAGCCGAGCAGGTGTGCTGGAGCAGATCCAGGTTCTCAAGGCTATGCTGGAATAGAGGCGTTCAATGAAAGGTTGAAAGGCTACGGTTGGACTGTGGGAATCGGGGATTTGCACAATTCGGTTAAGCTCAGACTTGTATAATTATGAATGAAGGGGCTTCTTAGTCACCCACCTTCTCGGCGATTGTGGTGGAGTCAACTTAATAGTTGTTGGTAGCGGTGGGTAGTATGTGGCTTTTACCAAAGAAGAGAAGTTGACTTTTCTATGATTGTTTAATAGGACAGTGTACGCTGTACATAATTGGAATTATGAAATGTGCTGTTGGTTCTCTATTTAGGCTGTACATAAAACTCTTGAGGTGCGTCGTCTTACATGGGTGACTGCTCCGTTTGTAGCAACTGGGAACGAACCCAATAAGATGCACGCCCTTACGTATTTTTCTTCGAGACCTGTGGTCTCATTGGCCCCATTGGATGTTGGCCCTGGTTTGAACGCCTGATTAAGAACGGGGTTGATTGGATACCATGCTTACACCTAAATGACGGACATGTAATTGATGCTGCTGCGCTGACTTCAGTTGTCTTTTCCCCTTCGTCCATTTTAGAAAGCTCTGTATCTGAAAGAGCGATATACCTCCATGCTTAGAGTAGTTCTGATACGCCATCCAAACGTAGAGAGTCTCTGTCCGCGAGCGAACCCATGTCCGATGTGACGAGGCCTTGCCTCAATGTTCCATTAGGGGGGCATGGTTGGCTTAGGGATGCGCGCGCCGGCGGGACAAATATTGATGCCCTGCCTCTGTGGAGACCAAGACTCAGCTCGGCGGGCGGACAAGGGGTCCCGTCACATCACATCACCATACGACAGTGATGAGCGTTGGCGGTTGCACAGCGGAAAGCTTCCCACAACCCGGACCCTTCCTTGCTTTTCGGGTCCGATACTCCGATATTTTGACAATGTGTCGAAGCTTGCGAGAGTGTGCTTACCATCCGTCTATGCAGGGGTTGTCACACATTACCCGATGCAAGGTGACCTTCTCTCGGCCCGCGGTCCTTTAAGCACATATGCGGTTGGTCCTTCGACCGGGTCACCGGGCTGGTAGTATGAAGTAATCCAGTATCTTGACATGGAATCTACTGGACTCCGTATTGGCAGTAATACCTTCACGTTGAGGCTCTCATTCGAACAAGGATCGGAGGGCATGCGCTCTTTCTGGACATATTGTCCCTCAGTAGCTACCAACAACCTGCATGAATGGCCCTTGTCAACGTGTGGTTGCATGCATCTACAGCAGTTAATGCAAGTTCCTCGTACGGTTTCAGGGGCGCTCTCGTTTACTGGCGCCGAACCAACAGACCGACAGGCCAAGAATGCGTAGTGCTTGTAAAAATGAAGCGGCAACAATGTGCGCTGCTGCGGCGTGCTCACTTTTGGGGTGGACGCAGACCGAGGGGGTGATATAGTAATAGAAGGGGTTCGTTCAGCCTTCAGTCCAAAATACAAAACAATCTTATACCTTCTCATTCATGCACCGGTCGAGATGGGGAAAGGTATCAACAAGAAGGCGGTCGTGGTATGTCCTTTCATCTCTGTTTCACATCACCATATTGCACAAATAGTTCAGTAGTCAACAATCTGTCGACGATCATCAGGGAAGGAGATCCACAAACGAGAAATCAATCTAACTAACATGATGATTTGCAATAGCCCGTCGAGGCCACACTCCTGAGCATCGCCCTGATATTCATTCTTTCACGACTGTTTCTGCGTCTCGTCTTGTCCCGAACTCGCCTGACCCTCAGCGACTGGCTACTTATTGCCTCAGGGGCCGATGCCATCGCCCTCTTCGTCAGCGATGCGATGACATATAATCTGGGAGGAATGGACGACTATGACCCTGATGCGCCTGAGACGCCCGTCGACGTCGATATCGCACTGATGAAGCTTGCATTTGCGGGAAACTACTTTTACGATGCGGGTATTTACTTTCCAAAGATGGCTCTACTTGCGTTTTACTACAAGCTGGTCCCGCCGAGGAATATGATGCCCAACTTACGCAAGTACCTCTATGTTATTACGGGCGTGACTGTGGTTTTCTTCGTGGCTACTTGTTTCTTGGACACTTTCTGGTGCGGTTCTCATGTGGCAGTTAACTGGGATCCCAATGGTGATTGTGCAACTTTTGATTCGATGAATGTTTCTCGAATCGATTGGGTCCTCAGCATCGTGGCGGATTTACTAGGTATGTCGATGCACATGCATGTTGCAATTGGGTCGATTCTTATTTTACGGTCACATGCTAGGCTTTTCTATACCTTTCTTTCTTCTGCCGGGACTGCGGATCAACAAGCGGTATCTCATCGGCCTAATTGTCACCTTCTCTTTGGGCGCGGTCACTGTGGCCGCCAGCGTCGTTAGATTTGCCACGATGCAAGCTATCCATGCCTGGACGAACGTTTGTAAGTTTGAACTCCCCTTTGGCGCTTGATTTTTCCCATGCCTGAAATAGAATGCCCGACACAGGGAATAAAAATCTAACTCGGCTACTAGACGTGCTTTCCATGGCGGAAATGGTTGCTGCCATTATAGTCGTGTGTCTACCTGCCCTCAGATCACTCATCCGTCGCGTCGAGACACACTCGTCGAAGACGGGCGCGACAAGCAGCAAGTCTCACGGAAAAGCATACAAGAACTACGCGATGAGTACCGGTCACATCAAACTATCATCCGGCCGGGATGCTTATGTGACTTCCACAAACGTTGCTACAGTAGGACACTCGGGAAGCGAAGTAGAACTACAAGACCTCCCAAAAGAACGTGGTGGGATTTACAAGACGGAGCGAGTTAGTGTATCATCTTTGCGACGAGAGGATATCGTTAGGTAAAACAGAACCGCCATGTAGATACATAGAGTCCCCGTCGTTCTTTTTTCCCTGTTTCCCCATAGGAATATACCAGGTACACGCTCTATTGCTGTGACCTAATAACACTGCACGAGATCATGTAGGCTGTAGCAATCACACAGCGGGCCCAGACGAAAACATGCATCCTTGCAGTACTGTGTCAATCCCTGTGAGAACAGGGGGCTCGGACTGACTCTCCGACCATTCCCGGCTCATCTTCCAAATCGGTTCACCATGCAGCTCCATTTCCTCTACGCCTGTCTTCAGGCTCGTTCATGCTGTTGGGTGCTTCGGAAAGATGCCACAGCAATGAAGCAAACCAAGCTGCAGGCCCTTGTTGGCCGGAAACATAAACACGGTTGGGGTCGCATCGATACGACCAAGTCAGACCACTGTGCCTCTTAAAAAACCCCAGTTGTGATGTAGGTGTAGCAAAAGTCCCCAGAAAGTCTGATGGCATCCAGCTGCTCGCTGTTGAGTGCAACCTTGAGTTGGTTGTTGGTTGACCAAGCTGCATATGGCCACCGTGATGCGACACTCCCATGTCTCCCATGCAATTCTTTCTGTTCATTTCCCATCCTTGTGTTGTGGCAAGGACACTGAAATATTTCCACTTATTATTTTCACTGGTTTATAATTTCTGTGCCGTTTTGCCTTCTCCCTTCCTTCTTCTACATTCAAACTTCTTCCGCGCTTACAAACCACCCACATACGCCTTCGATCTGGTGACATCCAGGGACTTTTGACAGCATGGCGTATTTCATTGACGGAAAAGATTGCATGGTGAGCGATTCAATCCCCAGCAGGAAACATGACTGTTCATCTAATACTCAAACGCCCAGATATCGGAATGGATTCTACTCGCCGCCTCTTACGTATTTGTTGCCTTGCGAATTTACACACGCCTTTTCCGCCTACGTAAAAAACTCGACTTGTCTGACTGGCTCCTTGTTCTGTCTGCTCTTGATGCACTCGCTCTCATCATTTGCGACACCCTGACCTATAAGATCGGTGTACTTGACGAGTGGGAGCCGTCCGTGACACTTTCCAAGGTGCGGAATCTTAATCTACAGCTCCTGGCTTTGTCTTGCCTTCTGGGTAAACAGACCTCATACTTACTAAATGCTATCTGGAACAGATCTCTTTCGCTTCCAATTACTTTTACGATGTTGGAATGGGTTTCCCTAAGATGAGCATGCTGGCCTTCTACTGGGGCTACTTCGTCCCCAACATCACAAAAGGCATGCGCAGGACCCTCTGGTGTGCTGTTATTTTCGTCTGTCTTTGCTACATGACCATTCTCTGGGATGACACTTTCTATTGCGGCAAAGACGTTTCTGTCCAGTGGTCTCAGGAGGAGGGCGCCTGCAGCGTCTTCTATGCCACAGCACCCTTCATTCTCAACTTCACCTTGAATTTGGCCTGTTATCTCGTCGGTACGTTCTTTATTTCATCCACCTATTGGATCAATATGTGATCGGAGTTCACAGCTGACATATCCCCTCCCGTTAGTCTATGCCCTCCCGGTTGTCCTACTGATCCAAGGTGTGCTGAAACCTTCCAAGGGTGTCACCCTCACCTTCGTTCTCGGTACCCTGACCATCTTCACCACAATTGTGCGCTTTGCGTGTCTCAAGATCGGTACAGGGCAGGAAAACCTCGTTTGTAAGTTGGCGCCTTGACACACTCGAACTGTAAATCGAGTATGTATGCTGACCTTATCCCCAAACATAGATCCAATGAGCATGCTTGAGATTACCCTTGCCATCACCGTTGTCGCTCTTCCTGGGCTGAAAGATCTTGTCAATGGCACCCCTTCGCGCGATGTCTCACCTGAGACAGCAGAAGTCGACCAAAAGGCCTGATCAATTTCCAGGGCTGCGATTATCTACGAAGGGTAGGGCTACCTTAGAAGATAGAGTCGATAGAGCAATTGAATTATTGTCTATAGATACAGTTTTTACCTACAGGAACTCATTCAAGAGGAATATCTCCTGCTTTCAATTGTCCGTAAAGATGTTTCCTAGAATAGCACATCTCACCCCTGCCAATCTTGCCCTGCCTCGTGAGTGAGGGGTCAGCCGAGATCCAGTATCCAATTTCCTGCATACCCATGTCGCTATTGCAAATTTCGCACAGCCATTGCAGCTGGCGGTAAGAAAATCGAAGACACATAGTTTCTCCAAGCTTCTAGCTCCCCATTGATGCAGCCAAGCGCGAATCGCTATCCAGTTCCCGGATCGAGCGTTGGCAACATTCATGCCAGTTGGGTAGGCTCAGCCTCAAGCCCTCTGAGTACTGGCATTCACTCAAGCACTCGACATCATGGATCCCGTTTCTGCATTCCGAGTGGCCAGCACAATTGTGACGTTTGTCGATTTCTGTTATGGCCTGGTTTCAGAGTCCATCGAGATCTATCGGTCGCCAGAGGGTGTATCCTCGGAAAACTTCCAACTGTCCACCCTCGTTAAGGACCTGGGAAAGATCGGTACCCAGGTTAGCGATGCACTAGATACAGCGACGTCTCAAGCGCTTGCAGCATCTGACGAGTCGCTCATCAGACTCTGCCGGGAATGCGAGTCCATCACAGCAGAAATCAGTAGCGCTTTGGGCTATCTCCAGGCCCAGGGAGGCGGCTCAAAAGCTATGATGGCAAAAAATAATGCCACTGTCGCGCTCAAGGCCATGTGGTCGAAAGGGAACTTGCAAAATATCGAGAAGCGATTACAGCAGATCCGGTCGGAAATGACAATGGCGATGCTGGTCAACTTGTGGTATGTGCCAGTGCAGATGAGCGTACCTTGCAGTTATGAGCTAACAATACATGCAGGGAAAGAGATCGAGCCCGCGGAAATGGGATGGGTGAGAGCTTGGAACACCAGATCTCTAACCTAACGCAGAAAGTTGATAGAAACAACAGCAAACTGGACCAATTCGCCTCTGAACTCGATAAGATCTCCTCGGAGGATGACACCGTAGGACCTGGGAACCGAAATGTTCTTTTCAGGAGACTATGGGAGACAGATTGGCACCCCTTCGACGCGCCCATTGAGGACACGAATCATCCGAGTTCTAAAAGCAATAATCTCAATAAGCAAATCCATAAACAAATAGTCAAAAGCCTGAGTTTCTCTGACATCTCTCGGAGGGAGAAGTCAATACCCAAACCGTACGACGACACTTATCGTTGGATTTTCGAGCGCGATGATGAGGTTCACAACGGGAACAACGAGATGCTTAAGGGAAGGAACAACTTCACCAATTGGCTTCAAGATCCGTGTTTGGTATATTGGATCACGGGAAAACCAGGCTCTGGAAAGTCAACGCTGATGAATTTCATCGTCCGCGATTCCCGGACTAGAAAGAGCCTCCAAAAATGGGCAGCCCCAATGTCCTTACTCCTTGCCCACTTCTACTTCTGGGAAGCTGGACATAACAACTTGCAAAAATCGCGAGAAGGACTATTACGAACAATACTCTACCAGTGTCTAGAATCAATGCCCGATCTCACGCCGATGGTACTTCCAAGGCGTTGGGCGGTTTATCAAGTCCTACGTGGCCTGGAAACCCCGGCACCGGCTTGGAGTTGGGAGGAGTTGCAAGAGGCATTCTTCAGCCTGGCGTCGCTTAATGGACATTGGTTCAAACTCGCACTGATTCTAGACGGGCTTGATGAATTCAGCGGTGATCCAGGCGCTTTGATCTCATTCATTCAGGAGCTTGTCACAAGGTATGGTGTTAAGATATGCCTTGGTAGTCGACCTTTGAGCGAGTTCACGGACGCGTTTGATGAATATCCCAGGCTTGCAATGCAGTACCTCACTCAAGGTGATATTGAGGCCTACATCATTGGAAATTTTCAATCTAGTAAAGCATTTCGAGAACGGCAAGCGCTTTTCCCCGACCAGGCCGGGGCCCTGCTCTATGATATAGCAAACAAGGCGCAGGGAGTATTCCTCTGGGTCTTCATTGTAGTCCGAGACCTGCTATACAGTTTGTCCAAGGGTAGAAGCCTGGCCGATTTGCAAGCTGTTGTCGATGACCTGCCAACAGACTTGTTCCAGCTCTATAGTCGGATGCGACAAAAGGTCGATCCTCAGGATCTGAAAAACTCTACGCGATACTACCAGCTTACAGTTGCATCCCTCAGACCATTGCACGCCATCTCACTCTGGATAGCGGACGGGGAGAGTCTGCCGAACGGAGATTTTTTCACAGAGGAGCACAAGGAAAATATCGTCAAAATATTGGAACGACGCTTGGATAGCTCGACCAAAGGCCTTCTGGAAGTGGATGACGACGGGATCGTCACCTTTCTTCACAGAACCGCACGAGACTGGGTCTTGCAAGAATCAATTCTATCGACACCGCGAAAGTCATTAACAAACTTCGCTCCGGAACTGGTTCTGCTGCAAGTGCTCACAACGGTGATTTCGAAGCCACGGCTATTTATCCATCTGGGGTTTTCACAGCTTGCATTTTGGGATATAGTTGTCCTAGGATTTCTGTATGCGTCTCAAGTAGATGAATGCTTCTCTGAATCCCTGGTTCATGCGGTTGATGATTTCGACGCAGCTCTTTGCGAGCGAGCTGCAGATCTTGGAAAGCGCGGCTACATATTTGACGCGAACTTGTCGAAACCGGATTCGACATCGAGTAAAACAAACCGATGGCTCCATCGCGGAGGAAAGGGAGAGCGCTCATCCAGCAACAAATCCAATGCTGGAAAGCATTGGTCATGGACGCAGGACAATTTACCGTTCTGTATTGAAAATTCTGCCGTGGGAATCGCGGCACAGTTCGCGGTTGTCCCCTATGTCAAAGCCAAATTGAAGACCAATAAAAGCCTTGTCAAATCCGAGCCAAACAGGCGATCTCTGCTGGAAAATACGATTTTCGGGTGGCAATTCTATGTGAGCCGTACAAACGAGGATTTGGCTCACTACTCAGCGAGTTGGAGGCTTCTCATGGATGATCTCTCGCGTCAGAGGATAGAAATGGTCAGACTATTAATCGACTCAGGGGCATCCCTCAGTGACCCAACATGTAGGTGTCGACAGAAGAAGGGTAGAAGTATTGAAGAGGAGGTTTCTTTGCTAGATGGTAATGGGAGGGCCAAGGTGGCCTCTCGGGAGTTTTGGGATGAGCTTGCGAATCTTTTGCTTAGAACTCGTAGGAGAAGTCGCCTTTGGGGCCTTTTTTCCTAATCCTTCCGTGTTTGTATCTGTTTTGCTAGAGTACTGAACCTATTTTTGGTCCGTGAATATTTTGTATCGCAGGGGATATGGGGAATTGGGGAGATGTTCACGGCATATCGGCCGGCCGAGATTTTCATGTAGGATTCTACACACAAATTACGGGGTGAAATTTATTACCAGGATACTTGTATTCAGATTCTAGACAATTACATTAACATATGAGCCCGGTTTTATAACGACCAGGCATCCAGAACGGACCCGTTGGGCTTGGCAACGGTTTCACCTTGGGCCTAGATGCCTGCCCCGAGTTCGGTATGACTTATTAATATTGGAATCGTCAGACCGAGGAGTATTTATAGACATAGCGCAAAGTGGTAAAAAATTCTTGTTCACCTGTTTGCAGGAAGTGTCGGCCGTTTCTGCATGCTCTGGATTACAATCTTGGGGTACCCTAAAATTTCTGTCGAGCATTAAGATATTTCTCATACAAGAGTCAAAGATAAGTTTATGCATGATGATACAGCGCCGGTTACAATTGCGGCACTATCCTTCCATCGTCGGGCCGAGCTATGCACTGGCCAGTCACGCGTGTGAAGACTGTTTTTCTGATCGACGTAGACCCCTGTGTATTCTTTGAGACACTCTCAGACACTCGGGCTCTCATCTTCCCGAATGGTAAGGGCTAGAGTTGGCTTACTGCGGCTGAGGTGGAAATATGAAACAGGCTGTCTCGTGATTAACCCATCGATGTCACAATACCAAGGCAAACCGCTTCCAAAGCCAAAATAATTCTATGCTACTCACTTATTTGCTTAGATCGACATGCCGATGATTCTATTTCTGGGTAGATTTCCATTTATGTTTCTTTCAAGGTAAGAACATGCTCCCAATGGCTTGCTATGTCTTGCTTCCAACCCCCGAGCTGACACAGTTTCAGTGCCTACATTGCTGCCCTTTAAGATGTCTTATTACCTACTTCAACATACTACCTCGCCACCCCCCACACCTTTCCCCGTTCCTTTCTACGCGGAGATCCGTCACATCTTCATCGTCACTCTTTCTGAATGCCAACAATCATTTTGTTGCCCGACCATCAAGCGCGGATCCCACAAGGTGAACGGATGTCATTATGGACCGGGACTCCAGTGTGTTGACAGGCCGGGAGGTGCTCATTGGGGTCACGGGCCTGGCTTCTATCGTCGTGTTTGGTTGCGCCATTCGCCTCTCTCATCGACACGGGGATGCTGCGCGTCATTGTTTTCTGTATTTGCGAATAGCGTTATGCTCCTTCTTCGTGTGAGTTCTTTCCTGTCATGGCCACGGTTCCAAGGCACACCGGTGACATTCTGTGCTGCGGGAGATGGCAAAAGATCTAACATGACACCACTTACCGTGTAGGTCGCGTCTTTTTGACCTAGCAGCGTTCATCGTATCCAATAGCGGTGGTAGCTCGTCCTCGGAGATGTCGACTATCAGCTTGTCAGCTGTCAGAGCGATTATCGGCTTAACCGCCGTACATCTACTCCTTACGCAACTTACCGACGTATTGATACTGCTCCTTCTCTCACACCTCTGCATTGGAATTCTCGTTGCCAATTTGAACGAATTAACACCGACCGAAAGAGTACTCAGACGCGGAATTCCGATGGTTGGAGTTGCACTCGCACTCCTTACAGCCGCGAATGTCGGCGCGACTATTTCTTATTTTACTATCTCAAGTTCATCGCCTGTGTTTGGAATAAATATGGCTTATCAAGTCTGCATATGCACCGCATCACTCCTAGTTGGCAGTTGGGCTATCACAGTAAAGCTCAGGACTCGGGGAGTGGCCGAGCTGAACCAGGTTCGTACTTCCTTATTCAAAACCCCGGTGTTTTCGACATTCAGCGGTTGGTGTGAACCAGCTAACTAGCCCTAGGCCTCAGTCTTCCTCCTCGTTTGCTGTTTTCTGTTCGTCGTGTGTACTGCCTACGGCTTACTGATATCAGCCAACCCTGGAAATGGCTCACGATTGATATTTCTGACCCTTATTGATGTTATATTCTCCACTTGGCCTGGATTTATCATCCTCTGCCTTGTCTTTGCAATGAGCACCAAAAAGGCACCCAACGGGCTGTGGACCAGAGTCGAACCGGAACCATCGATCCAAACCGAAGTAGCTCCCGATACGCCATGGACGAAGAACTTAGATTTTACGCAATCCTCCAGGTCGCCAACTCTCATGATGTGGGACCCCCAGACTGGGAAGACGTGGGAGGTTCAGAATGCGCAAATGCAGCAGCAGCATCCGTACCATGCTGCTCAAGAACTTGAACAGCCACCACCACTGGCACCCCAGGAGATGTATGCGACCTTCCCAGAGCTTGACAGCCCCCAATCTCCCTATCCAGTCGCCGAACTACCTACCAGTCCAATTCTTTTGCCGAATACGATTGCGGGAACAGGCCGGGAGGTGCAGAGAGAGCGGGAGGCGGAACAGAATGTGGCCATGGCTCAAAGGGGTCACAACCCAATTGCATGTAATATCAAGTTGGTCCTCCGAAGGGGTATGGACTATTTTTAATCGCTCACTAGGCACAAATTAATTCTTCTTTGTACGAAAGACAACTCCGGGAGAAGTTGGGAGTTCAACCTTAGAACGACCTACGGGAGAATACAAATCAGACAGAAAACAATAAAAAGGAGGGAAAGAAAACCTTGTACGTTTGAGATTTTTATGGCGAATATTGTCAGGTTTATTCGGGAGTATTTATTCAGCATGTTGTTTTGGTCTAATTGACATTCGTGTACCGACTCGCGCTGCATCTTCAACAAGAAAACCTCTCCCAAATCCTGATCAGAGCATGTGAGCGAGTACTTGACGCCTATTTGTGAATTTCATTCGCGAACTGCGTCTTGTATCCGCCGAATATCATCATTACCTCGCCTAATCGTATCATCCACGCGGTCTCTGAAGCCTGGATCCTGCTCGCTCTCCCGGACAGCCTTCTCTGACCTAACGAGGTCTAAGATATCCTCCACCAGCTTGAGATAGTCATTCTGTGCATTTATCCATTCACTCTGCAAATCGTCCGTAATGGTTTCGAATACTTCCTTGGAGGCTTTCATCACATTTCTGAAAAGAACTTGATTAGAAAAGCCTCCGTTCATAATTGTTTTCCGCCGTCGGTCGCTTCCGGTGCCTATAAGTGGTATAGATGTCAGAATTGACCCCTCAGATACACAATATGAGCCGAAGAAAGGCGTGTAATAATCATATGGGGAATTACCGTATTCCTGGTTACAGAGCCGATATGTCGGCTCCATCTCTTTTCCAAACAACGAAGTTCGGATGCCGGAGAAGGTGTCGGTGTGTAGCAATCTGCATTGATGCCTACTTAGTAAATAGCCACGGATGATCTTGATTCGAGATTGGGAACGTACAGAAACTTATCAGTAAGATTTTCAAAGCAGACTTCCATCGATCTTTGAAGGAGCCGTGTCTGGGCTTCTAGGGCTTCAAGTAGTACGCTCGTGCTTTCATCGTTGTCGTCCAGTTCATTTTCTAGGGCCGTTGATTAGTTTTGTCAGTTAGATAAAGGCCGGTGTAAGCCCAGGATGACGTGAAGTTAGATTCGTCAAAGTGAAGAAGGCTCAGTTGAAGGGAATCAACGGGGATTTCTCTTCTCGGTGGGCAGGTAAGGGAAAGTGAAGCATACCTAGGCCATCTTGAATGGTCTCGGTTATCGTTTCGATAGCTTGTGTAAGTTCGGACTGGCGCTCATATAGCGTTGAAGCTAGTGACTCCCACGGTGTCCTCAAATCTTCTACCATCTTCTCCATGGCCTCTAAGTTCCAATCGTGAGTTCCTGCCTTTGGTGTAGAATGATTACCAAAGTTGCTAACAAAGGCACTATATGAGCCTAATGAGCGGATTGTCAGTTTTGAGGCCTCGACTTAATTCCCAAGCTCGACTTTGCAGAACCAAGATGAAACACTTACTATGGTGCCACTAATGAAAGGTTAGCTAGCGATACAGGTTGATTTCGACCGAGAGGTTTCTACTTACTCCATTTCTGTCAAGGCTTCTGTTTGCAGCAGACTGGGTCCAGCTAAGCAACTGGATTCCTAGAACTAATTAGCCTGCTCTTACTTCGGACCACTCAAAAAGACTTGGCGTACTCACTTCCGAGTACTATGGTATTGAAATCTCGTTGCATTGTCTGTCCCGGGCGACTGTGCCTTCGCAAATTCTACGACTTGCATTAGTAGGCCAAGTCTACGTTGTAGGTGATTTGCAGCTTATCCGTACCCTCCTCAACTCACGCTCAATATTGTCCAATGCTGCAATAGTAGCAATACGACGCTCTTGATCTGCCGTCCTAGCCCCCGACTGAACCCAGAGTTGGATCTTGGAAAGCAACGCTGGAATCTTGTCATTGATGAACTGCTCGACAACGCGACGTTGGGCTTGTGCTACAATTGAGATGCAATGCTTCCGTAGATCGATTATACCGCTCAACTTGAGGTAGGGAAGCGAGCGTTCCTTTGATTTGTTCCTTTTATCGTTGTAGAGTTTGTTGCTAACACAGAAGACTCGGAGAAGGCCATCGACACGGTGGGCATACTTCTGGGAGAGCTTGTTGATTACAAACTCATTGCGCGTGGAAACCAGAAATTGGTCGAGCCTATGGGCACTTTGTTAATTGCCACACTCCTTGAATAAGAAAGGAATTTGGCCATTGACTTACTCAAATTTTCCATCCTCTATCCTTTTCCTGTGTTGACATTTGTAAGCTTGGAGCCCCAAAATTGAAGGAGTTATACTTACTCGAGTTGTCGTTTACTCCTCTCCAGTAAGCTTCTTTCTTCTCTGTCGACATCAGAAAGGTCGCCTTCATCCTCACGCTCATCTAAATCCAGAATCTCGGCCTCCAATTCTCGATGGTCTTGTGTATCTTCATCAATGGCAGCTACGAGAGATTTGATACGTGCTTGCCGCGCGCCATCCCAGTCCCTCAAGGCTTCACTCGGGACGATATCCTAATCAATATGGATAAGAATTAACAAAAACCCATTTAGAAGGCTGATTCAACGCTTACCTCAGAACGAGTGCATACAATGCCTACATTCCTCAGCCGTGCCCGCTGGGCGAGGTTGAACACGTGAAGAACCCCCTCATCGGTCACAGCTCGACCGATATTGCAAATCACAAATATTTCATTGCATTCAAGGATGTATCGCTCAGTTATGCATCTTCGTGCCGAATTTAAATCACGCAGCCCTTTAAACTCACAGTCAGTTCTGGAAATCTAGAACGCAGAGCGTGTGGCGTTGTGTCCAACATACCTGGGAGGTCGACAAGAACGAGACCTTGTTTGAGGGCATGGGCATTTAAAAAGACCCTATTTAGAAGTAAATTTAGCAGAATACTACGATGAAGAGAATTATTGATAGACAATACGAACTTTATTGTCTTGATGAACGGCCAGATGGCGGGTCCGCTTCGAGATAACCGTTCTGAGGACAGGACGAACAATGCGTCCGAGCATTGCTCGAGACTGAGGTTACGTTGGGATGTCACTGCCTGTGACGGCCTCTGCTCCTCGGCCCAGCGGACTAATGTTTGCAGTACCTCACGTTGAGATCCTTGAAGGAGAAATGAGTCGTTGTTCATCCGGCCTCGGAACATTGCTTTGAAAGTATCTTTGGCAACATTAGCCCTATCTTTTGCCGCTTTCTTTTCCTCGGCTATTGTCATTTCGTCAGCGTGGAAAGAGTAGTGACGAAAGTCCTCGAGCATTCGCTCTAGCTGCTCATTAAGCTCTTGAGTGCTGAATAACTCCACCTGGACATCCATGTGGTCATACTCGTGATAATGATATTCGGTCACAACACATGTGCAAGCCTCCCCGCTATTGCTCTTCTCGCTGTTAGATATACAAGGACGCGAAAAAGAAAAGAGAGAGAGAGAGAGAGAGAGACAAATAGCGTTTAACTTACAGCTCTAGCGAGATCTTTATAATCAAGAAGGGAGTTCAACAAGCTACTTTTTCCTGGAACATAGTCGAGTCAACATCCATACATTTTCCAAAATGTGCGCGCCGAACATACCGACGCCAGAGTCACCAACAAAGCCGATTCTTCGACTGGTGGGATATTCAAACGACGATAGTTTGACAGCCTCTTCATGAAGCTTGGAAATTGTCGATTCGTGATCGTGAAGCAATGGCGCATCATCGAGCACAGTCTTGAGGTCGGCCATGAGTCTCTTTGCGTCACGCAAACCCTGCTGAAAGGCTGGCGAATGGAATAGATCTTCGGGAAGAGGTTCGTCATGGACATCGTGGCGTGTACTATAGGATGCAGATGGCGATCGCCCGGAGCGGCGTCTGGCTCGTCGAGGTGTGCTCGGATCCCGACGTGAAGCTGGGGTTGTTGCAACGGGCTGAGTAGGCTCACGCTCGACGGCATTCACAGCGTGAAGTAGGTCTGCGAGGCCAGCGCTGAGGCCCCTCTGGTCTTCACTTGCGAGCCGCATGGTTTGCATCTGTGATTCCAGCCCCAGGCTCCCTGAACGAACCCCACTTGATGAGGCATCAGGCGGAGGGGATATGGATACAGATGGAGTCCTCAAGCGCCTGACCGAAGATTCTGTCTCTTCTGATGAGTCTCGGACCCAAGAGTCAGACTCAATGGATGGGATGGGGGTGTCGGCTGAGGTTGAGGTCTTAGTTGGTGACATGTTGATCTACTGCAGTTTACTTGGTAATTGTTGGTGAGAGAGTAAATTTCATGAGATAGTGAGCTTTTCCCGAGGGAATTAGGTGCGGGCCTTTTGTAAAGGGACTGAGAGTCACATTTCACAGCCACCCGTTTCTAAATATGGGTTATGCTGTTGGTTCACTGTTGCATCTGGATATGGCAACCTGCAGCAATAGCATCCTGATGCGCGGTTTTATCAGGACGTCAGCGCTAAAACGAATTGAAATTGGCATGCAATTACCAATCACTCATATTCGGAACCGAAGGGCTGAAATAATACTGCATACTGCCCGTTTCGTGTGGTTGATGGTCGCACACCAGCCGGCCTAGTGGTTTCTGAATCCCAAAAAGATCCTTCAGCTGAACATTCACTCTACCAATAGCACACATACAATGACAGGCACATTGGCAGACACAATTTTCTGATCTCTCCATCGCGATTTGAGTCGCCTTTCTTGGCAAACTGACATCACCGCCACCTCGCGACATTTCCGCCATCACACATTAACATCTCGATCTTGTCTCATACACACTGATGATTGTATGGATTTGTTGAACCAGAAAACCATATTCCTTGTAGGCGCACTACTAAAAAGGCTACATGATGTGAATTCGGTAAGCAGACGCAACACTAGGTGATAATACTTGATTTCGATAAACTATGTGACCTTCAATGTTGATTCTAAAGGAGCAAGGTGCATTAGAAGATAAAAGAAGTTTAGCAGACACGAAGCTTCATCTCCTCGATTGGTATTTAAATGGATAGCTAAAACGCCATTTGCGTACCTAGCCAGCTCACTGTTTTTACCAGTGGGGTTGGCGTGAGATCCCAGGGTAACGGCTTGATATTATTCTAAATACCAAAGGAATATCCAGCGTCGGCGAGAGTACTAGTATCAAATTGAGATGTGAGAAAGACCGCAACAGTGCCTCCATATCGAAACTTTCCAGTACAAGTCGCCATATCTCGAGAAAATAGCTTCAAATGGTAATAAATTGTCAAGGTTGAGTATTATTGCAGCACAATATGATGCATTGGTATATGAGAATACTTTATCAGACTTTCTTGCTGACTGGTCCATACCAGTCATCAAATCCAAGATCCCAGCCAAACAATGGAGTGTTGATACGCTTCGCCTTACCCCTAGCAGCCAAGCCGTCTAGGAGATCCAGATCTTCCTGTGACAGTTCCACAACCTCTTTATTGCTCACAATCCGCTTCTCGTGAACCGACTTGGGAAGAACTACTGCTCCCTTATTGACATGATAACTAATCAGCACCGTAGCCGGCGATACATTGTTCTTCTTAGCTATTTCTTGAATATCATCATCAGACATGAGAGGAGCACCTATACACGAGAAAAATTGCCAATTAGTCTGAGAACACCACGCGACAAATAAGATAACACTTACCAGCTGATCCAAGTGGAGAGTATGCTTCGAGGAGAATGCCATACTTGGCACAATACTCTCTCAGCTTATGTTGGGGGAGGAAAGGGTGTAGTTCCACTTGATTGACGGCGGGAACAATTTTCCAGGTCTTGCGTAGTTCTTCTAGATATGGGATAGACCAGTTAGCCACGCCAATGGCCTTCACCTTGCCAGAGTTGTACACTTCCTCCATCTGGCGCCAAGTCTCGGACTGATCCCACGACCTGTCGACAGATCGGGTACCGTCCGGGTTAACTGGAAGGAGTTCGCTTGTCTCATTCTACATAGGTTAGCAATATTCTTACAAATGAGGATGCGCAATTATACCCAAGGAGAGATAGGATATTCTACTTACAGGGACCAAGCGAACAGGCCAGTGAATAAGCTTAGCGACTGTCAGTTTTGAATTGCATAGAAATTATAGAACGTTGGTTATGCTGATTGACATACGTATAGGTCGAGATAGTCTGTGCCTAGTGCATCAAGAGACTTTTTGAGTCCCTCTGCGACATTAGGCTGGTGAGTGTTCCAAAGCTTGCTGGTCAAGAAAATCTCTTCACGGGGAACACCGCTGTCTTTAATGCCCTGGCCGACCTCATGTTCATTTCCTAGAGATCAAAATAACTTTATTAGCCTGGGATCTTTATATGAATCTCCCAAGGACTTGTTAAAGTGAGCATGATGGCTTACCGTAAATCCTGTTTAGTGGTTAGCAAGGGAAATTCTCTAAATTGCGAAAAAAAAAAGAAGAAGAAGAAAAAGAAAGAAAGAAAAAGTAAGGAAGAAACTCACAGCGCTGCGTCAATATGGCGGTATCCTTGCTTGAGGGCGAAAGCAACAGCCCCCCGAACCTCACCAGGTTCCGATCGCCATGTTCCTTCATAGTTGTTAGTGGTGTGATTATTTATTTGCACTGGGAGTTTGAAAGAATACCGAGACCGACTGAGGGAATGGTTGCTCCCGTGTTGAGCTTGAGATGAGAAGCTGGAGCCATTTTGGAGTAGAAAGAATGGCCCAATATCTGGTTAAACTCAACAGGTATATTGGTAAGTTGAGAAGTCGAACAGGCTGGCATCTGGATGTTCATTTATCACTTTTGACTCGGGGTCGTCGTGATTTAAAACCCGAACTACATCGACTCGGATTAATTTTGTCAAGACTAATTTCTCGTCCGTTGTCTTGTACGTTACCCAAGGCGGGGAAAAGGGGACACACAGGCCCTGTCTAACCCTTTCCTCCAGACTCCATCTTAGGAAATCTCGCTCTAATCGAGTTTGACCAAAGTTGACCAATACCTACATCTCAGTTCCAGGTAGTATTTCCCTGCACGAATACTGCTTTAGGCATTTCTCCCCTTGCCCTTGACGCAGCTTGTTGAACAAGCGCCCGCTTAGCCTTTAATCACTTTACACATGGAAATGACTGCTGGAGCTGAAAGCTGAAATCCACTCCGTCAACTACCAAATTTGGGAAATACTCGCCGACTGTGAGCACTCAAAACGTGAGGGGTGGTCCATTAAGAATCCAGCCACCATACATTGGGGAGAGAGGCGATCTGGGTTAGTCCAGGCACAAACTACTAAAAAGGTAGAGAATTCGCCGGCGCTAAAGCGTCGAATGTCGGCGGCATTGTGGGGTTACGAGGCAGATCGGATCTAGAGATTATCTCGAATGCCTAACGCCACCCACAATGAGCAATGGAGGGAAATAGTCATACGATCCACTGATTCGTAGAAACCAACTGACCTTATGTGGTACAGCGTCAGATCCAGGAGCAGAAAGCTTTCAGCGTTTAGCACGCCTGGCATATAATCAAGTCACTAACGGCGTAGGTAATGCTTCTTCAGCATTTCAATATGTCCACGATTGGATTTCTTCCCAAAAGGAATGCTTTCTTATAGAAAGGACGTTAATAGAGCTAGTGTGGGTATTTCTTACTCTTCTATGAGATCGAATTCCTGTCCGAAAATTCATTTTGTAGGTCTCCGAAGACTGTCTTCATAGCTTGCGACGAAAAGTGAGAGTAAGGCTTGCGCTCTCAAGTCTCGATTCTATTTAGTTTGAGAATTTGTATAAAGAGGTGCCTGTAGCATAAGTAATAGACTTATAGTCCGCAGGGACGGGAAAGTGCATCTCATGCCTTGCCCAAAGTTTAGTTTCGAGACTAATTTGCTATCAACTTGACCATGGTGGCGTAAAATCGAATTAGGAGCAGCCAACTAATCTGCCAAATCAGAACTTTCCGGAGTTCTAGACCGGTTTTATCAGAGGGGGCACCCATGGTGTGTGTATCACATGGCAATATGCTTGTATGGCTACCCCAGCAGCAACATCATTGTGGGTATCGATCAAAAACGAAAGAGTGTAAAAAGCTCAGTAAATCAAGACAACTCATAATAGTCAAAAAGAAACTGCTCGTCTAATCTAAATCTTATATGGTGAAGGAGAAATGCCCTCCTTCAACGCCTTGAGTCGCAGAGCAATCAACTTAGATACATAACGAGTTAGAGGCAAGAACCCAACGGTTATCCACAAGTTCTTCACCCCGGATTCTCTGAAGGCGGTCTTTGCCTCACCTTCCTCATCGATACCCCAGATAGGACCAACCCTACTAGCGATTTCTTCACCAAGAATACCGCGGATAGACTCAATCGTGTTTGTGAATCCCGTGGCAAAGACGACTAGATCAAAGTCCCGCTCGCGGCCACCATTCAAAATTACCTTGTCCTCTGTGAAGCTCTCAATATAGCCAGGCTCCACCTTGATCTTGCCGTTAATGATGTGCTCGCAAGCACCAGCATCAAAGTAGAAGCCTCCGTTGCGAGTCTGTCCAAGCGTTGCGTTGCCGGTGCCTCGCTGACCACGCCATGTACGGAGACCGCGAGCGTTGAGTGCATCAAGCATAGGCTTATCCAGGTCTTCGAGCACCTTGGCATTACGTCTGCCGAGCTCTTCTCCTGGACCCACGGGAGTGGAGAAGAACAGACGATCTTGTTCTTCGAGAACAGGTAGGTTGCCTGTCTTGGGGTCTGGAGCATAGGCACCGAGAACACGAGGGACCGAATGGGTCAGCGACATGACATATGTTGGGGATCTCTGAAGGAGTGTGACTTCAATTCCGCGACGAGAGCAATCAAAGGCGGTGTCGAAGCCGGAGGATGAGGTCCCAACCACGCAGACCTTTTTGAAACCCCTGGAGGAGTCGTGTGCGGTAGAGTGTCGAATCTCGCCCTTGAAGTCATTCATGCCCGGCACGGTGGGCATCGAAGGAAGACCACAAAGTGAGGTGGCTACAATTAGTTGCTTGGGGTGAAGCACACGCGTATCCTTGCCTTCTTTGTTGATTGTGATGTTCCAGTTGCCATCCTCATCTTGCTTAGCGTCTGTGATGGTAGACTTGGTCCAGATGTTGAGGTCCAGAGCCGAAGCGTACCACTGCATGTACAGACCCTGCTTCTGAGCCGGAGTGTAAGTCGGCCAGCCCTTAGGGTAAGGAAAGTACGGCAAAGCATCAGGCCAGTGGGGGAAATGGAGGGAAAGGTATTCATAACGCTTCCTCCAGATGTCACCGATTTCATCTTTCTCGATGATCAAGTTGTCAATCCCTAGCGCTTTCAGACGAGCTGCCATAGCCAGTCCACTTCATCACGAGAGCCAAAGGTTAGCGATACACTGACTGAGGAGCGAACGGCATTAATAGGAACCTACTTTTGACCACCGCCGATGATGAGGACTTCAGGGTTCGCAGAGTCTACATCTTGAGCTCTCTGCTTTTCCCAGCTAATTAAACCAGTCATATGCCCATCGGCTGGAGGAAGTTCGGGAAACTGGAGAAGTTCCTCGGCGACAGTGTGCATGGTGTAAATTTTCCATCCTTCCTTGGTGAGCACGGCGTTGATGACAGCAGAAGCCTCAACAATCTCTGTCTCGAAAGACACAACGAACTGCAGCTGAGCATAGTCGGGGTAAGGCCTATCAACCTTGGGTGCAGGGGCGAGGAATCTGAAATTTCGGGCCTTTGTTTGGGGGAACAAGTCGCTTGCAGCTTTCAGAATGGCAGGTTGAAAGTTAAAAGTGCGGAAATCCCATGTGTAAGACAGCTTGTCACGCCATACGCCTAAATGAGAATGGGTTAGGACCGATTGGAATTCAAGTTTTGTGATTGTTCCATCGTTCTAGAATCAAAGCTTCAAGACAGATGTCGACTTACCATATTCAAGGAACAAGTCTGTGAAAGCTTGGGCGTCTCCGGCTCCCATGGCATTTGAAAGATCCTTAACTATCCCCTCGGCTTCTATCTGAGCATTGCAGTTGGACGGGATCTCCATACCAAGAACATCGGTGGTGGGGAGTGCATGGTTATACTTGAAGTCATACATGAAATCATCTGCAACGGGGGGCGTGGGGATCTCATGATGTGTCACGGTCACCTCTGACTTGGCGTCGAGTGCAGGGCCTTCGATAACAGAGACAGACTGGACCACTGTAGAAGCCATTTCGCTGTGTTCTTAGATTGGCTTGAGACAACGAAGATGTCAAAGGTAGAGTTGGTGATAAAGTCGTACCTGTTGACGCTGAGTCTCGAGGTATTCTTATAGAGTTGAAGGATGGCACATGTAGCAAAAAGGTTAAAAAAGGGCAATGCTTGTACTAGCACTCAACTCTTTGCCTCTCGTATGTCCATCGTACGTTTTGCATTACCCTGCCCACCTGTCAATGTCTGACTATTGCATATTGCGTGGTATTCTCAAGTATGGCAATTACCGCAAATGGAAACTCTGCCCGACTTCCTCAGCTCACCCCACCAGGCCAATCGATGCTGTAGAGGTTATTGAGAACGGGTGGGTGTTTATTCTGTTACCCGGATGCAATTTCCTAGAGAAAGTGCATTCGGCTTTTTCACACCCTACCTTGACGGAACAGCACATTTTCCCAATGCACTTGACAAGTCTGGCTGATGTTGTCACAAATCCGGGGCAGCTCTGGGGTATCACGTGCCTGGTATCTCCGCACATCGGCGGTAAATCTCCTATTTGGGTAGTTTGCAATTGGTAAACAAACAGTTTCAATCACACGCTTGTGTCGAGTCGGCGACCTCGTGCTTGTCTTGGTAGTGGAATCTCCGAGATAGGCTCTAACCCCACGACTTTCTCTCCGATTTTTGCCTGACTTGGTGGTTTGCCATCTATTTTCCCAGGTAATACAGGGTCCAGCCGAAACCCTTCTCTTTGGCTTCTTTTTGGCTGCTGTTAGGCTGGTTGTGAGGAGACAACAAACGATCAGTGGACTCCAAGGACATGTTCGCCTTGGAGCATTATTGCCCGCAGGGGAACTTTGTTGTCTCGCGGAGAGAATTTCCTTTTCCAGAGTCTCAATGTCGCGATCTAGGAATCTATTTGCCACAATTGACGATTTTTCGAAACTTCGGGGCCGCCAAATTCCCCCAAGTGTTTGCTTCCTGGAGAGAAAAATCCATGTTCAAGTGGACACACCCCTAAGAGGCTGTAATTCAAACTCGGGGCGGGGGTCACCAAATCCCTCGTGATGAGAATGGCCAAGCCAATCCTAGATTACTCGGATCGCTATTTACTCTCCCCGGGTCATATCAATACTCCAATCATTATATATCACATGCACAACCGCTCGTCTGTGTCATACTCTCACCTCTATCACCCATCCCCTAACACTCATTCCCTAAACGTCACAATTCAGCCATTTTTGCCAACAATATCCCCCCGCGAAGTCTAAAACTAAGATCACTGTTCATCGGACATCACCACAATGGTTGCTGAACTTCGTCGCCTCAAATTTGCCCTATTCGGCTTGGGCCGCCTGGGTGTTATTCGTGCCAATATCCTTGCCTACCAACAACCTCTAATTGAACTGGTCGCTGTCTGCGATACTAAGCCCGGCACTGACAAATGGGCCGCAGAAAACCTCCCTAGGAGCGTCCAGCATTTCACCGACCCTGACGAATGCTTGAAGAACAGCGGAGCCGAGGCCATCCTTATTTGCACTGCAACTGCTACACATGCTCCCCTAATCATTAAGGCTGTTGATCTGGGTCTACATGTCATGTGTGAAAAGCCCATTTCTGTCGATGTTGTCACAACAGCCGCCGTGATCGAGAAGGTTTCATCCCGGCCTGATCTCAAGTTTCTGGTCCCTTTCACACGCCGATGTAAGTACATGCTAAAACCTTCTGTTTCTTCCCCTAGCGAAACTAAATTGGAGAGTCGGCGGGGCTAATTATCTGTAGATGACAAGTCTTACCGTGAGGCGAAGGCTTTGGTTGAGAGTGGCGAACTTGGTGATGTCCACGCCGTTGAGACTTTTATGAGCGATGTGCAAGATCCTGCGGGTCAGAGCCTAATCACTATTTTCTGTTCATTATACGACATGTACTAACCTTGATTCTTCCATCAATTTAGGTAACTTCGTAGCATTTGCAGCACACTCTGGAGGTATTTTTCTTGATATGGGCATCCATCATGTAAGCGCTGTGTTTTAAATTACCTTCTTCGGGCGGGCACCAAACATTTGCTAACTGGCATTTTCTACAACAGATTGACACTGGCCGGTATCTGCTTGATGTCAAGTCGGGTCTTGAAAACCCTAAGAAGCAAGTCAAAAGAGTCGTTGCAATGGGCCAGCGAGCCGTCTACAACGACCTGGCTGCGTTCGGCGATGCGGATAATGCGTATGGCCTAGTTGAGTTTTCCAACGGCAAGATCTGGACCACGCATCTCGCCAGAACTACAACAAACGGTTTCGAGGATTCAACCCGCGTCTGTGGCACAAAGGCACACTCCATCGTCAGCGGCGTGAGCAATGTTGAGATCCGCGACAAGCACGGAATTCGCAAGCGCACAGTGCCCGACGCCTTCCAACTCTTCCCAGAGACCTTCCTTACCGACATTACTGAGTTCGCCAACGCCGTTCTCTTCAACAAGCCTTTGACGTGTCTTGCCGAAGATGCTTTCGAGGCGGGTAAGATTTGCACCGCCTTACAGCATTCATTCCGTACCGGGTTACCCGTGTACTTTGATGAGAACGGTTTCCCTATTCTTGAAAATGCTACAAATGGACAATAGAAATTGCGCTGGCTATTGTGTACTTGATAGAGCTAGATATTGAAGTTGCATTTATCATATCAAATCAAATCAAATCAAAACATTAGAGAATGTTTCGCATCTCTTGCCCCAAAGCGTGATTCATCCTATCAGTTTACAGTTTCCGAATATCTCGGTCGGATAATCATCTTTTTAGGGAAACAGAGCGCGAAGAAAACATGTCAGATAACTAACTGCTCATCATTTAATGCCGATACAGGCTCGTAGCCAACCGCCGGCGTGGGTAGCTCGTCGCCCTGTATCTCTTTGGCATCCTAAAGGAAGATGAGGCGTCCTTGGAATGATAGACAACCAGTGGTGTTTTGTCTCTCTGGTTGGGCACCAAGACGCTGACCTGGCATCCCAAAACGTTCACGTGTAACGTTGCGTCTCACCGAGGCGGACCGTCTATTGGTCTCCCACGCATGAAATCATGACGCCCTGTGTCACAAGGAAAGTCAATTTTGTAAGCGAGCCCAAGGCTTGCAGGACATCCCTGGTCAATTGGCTGATGGCAACTCTGTTGCTTTATATCGGGCAGAACTCGCAAATACCCAAACACTTATCTTATTCATTTGTCGCGACGCCGGTATGTCAATTTACAAATGCGCTCACACTCTTCGGTCGATTCAGGCCGCTTTGCTGCCTGTTTCCAGGCCTATTAGTAGGATGAAATGCTGAGTGTTACTTTCACTGCTCTCGACAAAAACACTAATCTCATTCTCGATTTTATCGCACTCTCAACCACCAGACGTTATGCCGAACAACTCCTCTCAAATCCCTGCCGGAGCGCAGCGTGCGCTACAAAATTTCACCAATAGAACTGTCAATGGTCAGCATATAACGACCATTTGCAACGAAGGCACTATTATCATACCGACAGATATTGGTGGCGGCAATAACATTGCAATATACAACGACGGCACAGTCGACATGCCAACAGGGGCAAGTGGCGGCAAGAAGACGACGAAACACAGTGAGCCCGGCAAATTTAATACTACGAAGCAGCGCAGTAGGGGGAACCATGATAGGAGCCACAGGAACCACCATCGCACTCGTGACGAAACCAACGGGTATGACCATAGAAACGATAACGCAGTCTACGGCTACACCAATGTTGCCTTCAACGAACCCAACCCTATTGCAAACGACTGGACCGAGCATGGAAACTACAATGGAGTCGATAATTATCATCATGGCACTTCTAACGGAAACCAGCTTATCGGTGCAGATCATGCATGGAACAACAACAGCTTTGGCATACATAACGCACCGGGAGGCCAGGTTTCCGTGCCACCAGGTTCTACCAACGGCAATAACATTGCAATATACAATGCACCTACCGGCAAGATTGTAATGCCGGCCAATGTAGCCGACACCAACAACCTTGCCATACACAACGCGCCGAACGGCAAGATTGTCATGCCAACCAGCGGTGCCGACGGCAGTCACAAGAAATCAGCCAAGTGCGGGCGTTGTAGAGAAAGATTCGCGACGCGGGAAGATAAGCAGGCTCATCGTCAATCATATCCCCAATCTTGTAAGATCCATAACAAATGCTTCAAAAGCTGGAGGGACCACAACGACAAGTACTCTCATTCCTACTGTGGAGTGGCGGGTTGCGAGAGGGCGGGAGTGGACTATGGGACTAATACCAGATACATGCAACATTTTCACGGAAGACATAATTTGTACTAGGGATTACTCGTATGGGTTTACGCAGACTAGGGAAACTGTATCTTTTTACGAGCTTGGGCATTTCTTCTTTCTTCCAGTCCTAGATGAGAACTAACGTTAGCAGCTTGCTTTAACCTAGCATCTTATGTCCCAGAGACTTTTCGGTCGCGGCTTCAGCTCCCATAAGGTAGATACAATCATATTAAGATAATTCAACACTCTTCCATTGCAAAGGAGTCTGCGAGGGGGATTAGAAGCCCCATTTTATGTAGTTGAACATCGGGGTTCTGATAATTGTTCGAAAGCAGTAGCCGAGGGACGTATAGAAGAGTCACCAACTTCAACGCGATATTATCCCTGCAGGGAATTGAAGGCTGTACTGAAACGCATGATTATCTTCTCATTGTTCCACTGAAGGGTTGCAATGTGCCATTCTAAAATCGCCCGAACTGTTATTTGGCAAGGAATTGGGAGTTAGATTCTCGAAGTGTGGAAGCGGCGTATAGCATTGTTTATCAACTGGCAGAGTGGGGTTACGAAGTATTGAGAAAACTGACTCCTTATCTCATATTATTACTTACTGTAATAATTTCATCCTATTCAGAAGCATAGATCCAAGTATTTGCTCACAGCGAGCCAACTAAATTTCGATGGGAGATCACCGTATAGGGTAGCTCAGCATTCGTGAACTCGGAAGCGGCCTAGACATCAATGTCAGCGAAAAAAAGAATGAAAAAACATGAAGGTGGCGTCTATTCCAAAAAAAAAAAAAAAAAAAAAAAAAAAAAAAAAAAGCCATCAGGGGAGAGCAGTAGAAGAGAATCGAGGTTGGGGGGGCTGTTGGGAATTGAAAATCGGTGAAAGTGACTGATTTCGATCAACAACTTGCAACTCCGCCAAGTCCAAACCCCTGCTGAAATATACCGCACATCCTTTTGTTATGAAAGATCGCGTCTGCAACGCCAGAAGCCCGTTCAAGCACAAGATGACTTCATTACGCACAGCTATGAAGTGCATATTGCGCTCGGTTGGGCATCAAGAGCACATTTGTGCTACAAGTGCATCGGTTGCTGCAGTCCTCACATTTGGGCTGAGCATCACGAGGGCTGCACGTGATTAATATGCACGATGCATGCAGCGCGACCCCAGCTCGACCCAGCCACCAGTCAGGCTTTTTCGCTCGACGCTCAAGGCGGCTGAGCTGAATCGATCAGATTACTGCGTGTTCCACAGAGTTGAAAAATCCCCCGCCCGCCGGCCAACGACAATATTGGGCATGGAACCTCGCTTCTATCCGTCGGGAGATCGACCAACAGTGAGAGCCTGTAATATTTGATCCGAAACGCCAGAGATCAGCCCCTGACGCGCTGCTGAGCCCATCAAATGCCCCCAACACGGCCGGCGAATATGCCACCGTCCAGCCGACCTGCCCTGGATGAGCCCACGGTCCAGCGCATATCCTTGAAGTGAGATACCCAAGCCTACAGCTTTCATGCCACCAATGGAATTAACCCTGAGGCTAACGTGGCTGCCAAGTCCCAAATTGAGCGATGCACAGCGAGCTGGCCAAGGTGCTCACCCAGCAACATATACAGCCCTCCAGGATCACGGCGTTGGTTCTGGACAGGCAAAGGCGAGTGGAAAACCTTCAATCAGTAGTTTGGATTATCTCACTGACTGCGATTACAGGCTGATGAGCTCCAGCTATAGTATGTACAAGAAACGAACAGACAGTCTCCATCATCTGCCTAACACATGTCTAGCTTTCTCCCTCATATCAGTCGTGATCCGAAAGACGAGAAGAAATCGGGCGTTATTGGCGATGATCAAAATTTGTGCAACGAACTCACTCGCAGTCTTCACCTGCCACCTTTCTTCTTACAGCACAAGGCATGGGACTCCAACGGGTTCCTCATTAGCCGACACGTCCCACATCCCGAGGACCATGATCTTCAAAGTGAGATTCCCTTTACTTGGCTTTGCAGAAATTTGCTCACACGCATATCAGGCTACGCGGGCCGGTTTCTGATCAAGGTCGTGGCGCAGGCAAACAACAAGTGGACGTATTCCTGGCTCTTCTTGTCGTTCAGCATCCTATGGGCTAAGAATCCCAAGGATGGCAAAGTATCCTGTGTGGTAGTATGCTATGATGACTGTGAAAAATTAGAGGGCAAGATCTCAGACGCGTTGAAAAATTACTCTCCGGCAGACATCAAGGATAACCCGCTCGCCATCTATGATGCTTTCTTGCAGGTGGTTATTTGGGAATATGATTCCGCGCTCTGGGGGTTCCGGGAACCAGTCAGAAACATTGAAAAGGTATGTGTTTGATCCTGCGTTGGGAGTCCCAGAGCATTCTCCAATATTTCCCTTTGACGGATATCAAACCAGTTCTAACATCCTGCCATTCAGGCTCGAGAAGGATTCATCGAGGATGTTATCGCCATCGAAATGAAGGGAGAGAGTGAAAAGATCACGAAGAAATATACCAACATGCATGAGTTATCTCGTCATTCGATTCATATGAGCGAAACGCTTCAAGCGGCTTCTAAGACTGTCGAAGAAACCCTCCGCGACATCGAGACAAGGCTGATGAGCCCTGGATCGGGACTCGGTCTTGCAACCATGAACACTAGGAACATCGTTGCTGGCATCCGATTCTCTAACGTCTTTCTTAACAACCTCAAGCTACGATCCGATGCCTTTGTGGCTCGACTTGAGAATGAAATCCAGATGGTGAGATTTTATTACTGCTCTCAACCAGGGATATGCTTTTCTAATGGCGGCGTGTCTAGGCATACAACATGGTCAGCGTTTATCAACTCAAGGAATCAAACGAGTCTACGGGATTGACCAAATTCGTGACTCATCTGACCCTTTTCTTTCTGCCCTTCACTTTTGTTGCGGTAAGTGCATCTGGGAACCCAATTCGTTCCAATTCCCCGTGCTGATTGTGACCTTGCAGGGCTTTTGGGGGATGAACTTCACCCAGCTAGACAACGACAGAAAGATGTACGTATCCACAGACATCTGGATGTTTGTTGTGACGGGTTTCGGGTCAACACTCGGAGCATTCATCGTCCTGTATTACAGGCGAATCGCCGCCACGATCAAGACTCTGTACGACAAAATCACCCCGGCTCCAGTGCGCCGACCAACCTTTCGCCTCGGCAACCAATTCACCTGGGATATAGGCCGCAAGGCGTGAATGTTTATTGTGGAGGTTTTGAATTTAGACAAACATGTTAATATTTGGCACTTTTGTTCGCTTACATCAAGAATCCATAATTGGATAGATCTGTCTTGGAATTTGCTGATAATGGTGAAGATCTTATGGAGGAATTGATGACTTATGACCTTCAGTTGCATCAATTAATATGTGATAATACCATAGCAAGTGTTTGACAGAGATGCGATCCTCTTCTATTAACGAAAAAAATGTGCCTGCACTTGTTAGTTAGCAAGTTAGGGGCTGTCTGGGCAAGTAGACAAGCGAAGGCATTCACACCCTCATGAACCCAAAAATACCACGGGAAATGTGTCAATGCATGCATCAGACACATCTCCCGCCGGCAAAACAGAATCGGGCCACGGAGGATTAATATCAATGCCTTCTCGTGATGTGATGTCATTTCCGGATGATAATTCTCTTCCCGTGCTACAACATGCATCAACTTACCAGTGCTTGGCAAGCCTGGCTGCAGGACGGTGGCGATGCAACCCTTCCCACCGGCCTGAGAATTTTTCATCCATTCTTATTAATACAGTTCCCGAGCGGTGATTCAACCCCCGTGATTGGTTTGGCCCCCCTGCAGGAATGTGGGATCTGCCCCCCATCACGTTACCACATGTTCGACATGCATGCCAAAATTGCCCCGAAACGAACTGTAGTCAGAACAAAGACAGTCTTTCATTCGCAGCAGCTGGATGGGAAGGACCAGGGTCGGCTATAGAAGGGTATCGATTGATGCGAGCAACCGCTGGTAGCCGCGAGCCCAGGCGGGAAGCCCGTCTTAGTTGGCTGTGAGTTTTTTTACGCTTTCCACATGACCGGCCGTCTCCGGTGGCAGTAGATCTTGACGCCTCTGGAGAGTTCTGGGCGCTCGGAGCCCGCCTTGTCGAACGCGCCCTGTTGGCAAGCCGTGTCTTAGACCCCTCCGCAGCTTTGCCTAGACGGTTTGGTGGCTGCAGCACGAACCCCTGTACGCCCATGCCATGTCCGTACAGTCAAAGGGCGCGGCCCTGTATTTCTGCTGATAAGCTCTGAGATGCTCGTGTGCTCGTGGGTTTCCGTGGAGGGAGAAGGGGGAGAGAAAGGGCCAAAAAGGAGAGTCTTGAACCCAACAACACCGCCTCTTCTTTGGCCACAACGTCATCCAGAGACACAGGCCCCAATTTACCCCCGCCTGCACACCAGCATCTTCCTGTGCTCCTCGTCTCATTGCCTTGCATCTGCATGTCCAACTTACGGCGGTCCACTCGGTGTGCAGGTGGAACCCGAACCCACCTGAGATTACGCTCCCCCGCGAAATCTCTGCCCACTTGTCCGCCACTGCTCGTCTTATATCTATTGGATGACCCCATGCACTGTCTCTCTGTTCTTCGTCAATTGATCTCTTGTGAATGACCCAGCCAGGATGACCTTGCGAACAGTAGATGAGCGAGAGCCCTTGCTCAGGGCTTCAGATCTCCCCAATGACCTGCACAAGACCATCTCCATCTCCAAGGTCGAGGAGGTAGGCGACTATGAGAATCCTCAAAAATGGCCCAGCAGCTTCAAGTGGCTAGTCACATCATTGCTGTTCTTCATGGCCTTTACAGTGTAAGAATTACCTGCCTTAACCTCACTGTCGATCGAGGTGTAGCTAACCTAATGAATAGAACCTTCAACTGCATCTCGCCCATGCCAATTGCCAGCCGCATCATCGAGGACTTGAATGATGGCCAACCAAACAGATATGCCTCCGTACTACTCGTCACCATCTGGGAATTCGGCGAGGCTGCTGGTCCCCTAGTCATCGCCCCTCTCTCTGAGATGTACGGCCGCTACCCAGTCATCAACATCTGCAGCGTGCTCTTCGTCATGGCCACAGCGTTGGGAGCCTTAGCGCAGACGGCGCCTGTCATGATCGTCTCCCGCGCTCTGTCCGGCCTCGCCGTCACCTCCAACGTCCTCGGCCCTGCTATTGTCGGTGACATCTTTGAGCCGGAGCAGCGAGGATCACCCATGAGTCTGGTCATGCTGGCGCCTCTTATTGGCGGTGCCATTGGACCGGCACTCTCCGGCTACATCGCCGAGAGCCTCCACTGGCGATGGGTGATCTGGATGAACGTCGTTCTCACCTCCTCATGCGCGGTTCTCTTCATCATTTGCCTGAAGGAGACGTACCACGCGGCCATCATCAAGAAGAAGCAACGATTGCTGCACAAGGCTAGCCGACAAGCTGCGAGGCTCGAGGCTAACGACGAAGTCGTAGAGATCAAGTCTGAGAGTCAAAGTGGACTAATTGAGTCGATTGTTCGACCAGCGGCTATCCTCAGCAGCTCTGGAATTCTGCTCGCCCTCGCCCTCCCTGGTGCGATTGCGTATGCCCACTACTACAACGTCACGACGACGATGCCCGACATCCTCCAGAACATCTACGGCCTGTCCGCTCCTCAGATCGGCGTCTCCTTATTCTCATTCAGTAAGATACCCTGACCCCTTAGGCGCACGATTCATCTCACTAACTCAATTTCAGGCATCGGATCTGTTGCAAGCGTTATGCTTTGCAATCTCGCCCTCGATAAGATCTACGCCACGATGAAGGCAGCCAACGGTGGCATCGGCCTTCCCGAATTCCGACTCCCAATCTGCATCTTCGGCGCCCTCGCCCTTCCCCTGACCATTGCCCTCTACGGCTGGGCTGCGGAGCTCAAACTTCCTCTCTCCATGGTCCTGATCTCTGTCGGATTGATCGGTATGGCTATGTTGGCCGTCGAGATCCCACTGGCCGCTTACATTGTCGACGCGTTCGGCGACTACTCCGCCTCCGCCATGACGGGACTGGTGGTGATCCGCTGCCTCGCGGGCACTTTCCTCCCCCTCGGCGCCACCCCCCTGATCGACATATTCAGCTACGGTTGGGGGTTCACCATTCTGGCCCTCATCACGCTTGCGCTCGCGCCGATCCCGATCCTCGTGATGCAGCATGGCCGCGAGTGGCGTCAGCGTTCTATTTACACTAGACTTGAGCCGGACCAGTAAGCTTTGGTTGGAATAGGGACTCAAAAGGGCAAGTCACAAGGGCGTTTCTTATGATGCAAGGTAGATGGAGCATAATAGCGGGTTTTCTTCAGGCGTTGGTTCTATTATCTCTGGGGTTTTGCAAAATGGGTATTTTGGCATGATTGGAGGTTTCAAAAGCACTACTAATGAATGTTATGAAATCATTTTGGATTATGTAGCATGCTAGAGAACTACAGGATAAAATAGAATGACTTTGGCTTCATCTTACTAAAGGCTATTTTGTGCTGCGTTCTCAAAGAAAAACATTTGTGTGCGTCCTCTGACCCGGGGGGAAGCAGCGGCTGAGAACCGTCTGATGAAATGGTATTTTCTTGAACACACCAGAAATTAAGTAATGGAGGTCTTAAGATCTCCGTACACAAACTTCCACCACTCCTTACACATCTCTGCTCGCGTTTCATGTGTTAGGTCGTAAAGGCATAGCCAAAGAAATAACATGTTGACCCTCCAGGAAATCTCTCGTCCAACTACCCGGGCAGTCTCACATCTCGATACCAGGCATACCACCTTTTCCGCTCCTCATCAAACCAGGAACCTACAACCCGCAAGCGACGTTCAGTATCTATCCTCCAGTGGCAGACACAACCTTGCTCTTATCATCAAAAGCTCCACCAACCCCTTTCCCCCTTTTGCCCTTATTTCGCTGCGTCGTGTTCTCGACATCTCCAATGTTTCTGTAGGGGTATTAGGCATTTGAGGTTCCCAGTATGCTTCTTCAGGATCCAGGGTCTCGTCCGTCTCCCAGCCCATGTCAGGAAATCCGTGCTTTTAGAGGCGGGTTTCGTCCAAGAAGACATATCCTCGACGGCGATATTCGCGGATATAACGATATCTATCAGCCCAGGTATCCCGAGTTCGAGGGTACACAGTCTCAGAAGCCCGAAATGGGCCATGTTCCGGATCTTGATATGAAGGGGCTAAGTTTGGATTGAATTCCCGCGGTGCTCCATACCTGCTGCCTGTGTGCTCTATCCGATCGAAAACATTGTAACTTGAATGGAGCGGCCCATCCGTCCAGCTCTCGCCTCTATGGAGAACCCTGTGGATGTCTTGGTAGTTTCCGGCCTCATTCAGCAAACGTAGAGTGCCCACACCACGGAGTAGGATCTACTCTCCAAGCATTGAGGTCATCTAGGTGATCAAGTCAAAACTCAAGGAGCCCCAAGTACATCGTGCTGAACGATCTCGTTGAAACCTGACATGCTCCAGTCAGCTATGAAAGATTCGAGAGATAGCGAAGACCGGGGCGTGTTATTTTGTGACGTACACTTGGCAATTAGAACCATGAAATACTCGAGTAGATAGACCTGCTGCTCAACCTCATATCGAGCAAACTTGGAGTGACAGACCCCTGAACATCAACGGATTCGGATTGCCGACAAACACGTTGCGAACACCATAATCGACTCTCACGAGATACTAAAGACCTCAGAATTACAACTTGATTGCAATTAGTACCTGAGATTTAACCAACTAAATGCATGTCACACAGTTTGACTTGATCAAGAAATTTTTTCATTTATCAACTTGGTCCTGTTAGATAATGAATCTCATTCATCTAGTTACGTGGTCGTGGCATACTAAGTTGCTCGACTGACTACGAGGCCACCACCAATCCCAGATCCACGAAAACAACAAATTCGTTAGATACAGCAAGCAAGTTTTTCCTGGCTCTAATAGCCGCGCCCTAGTTCCCCGGCCGAGGCGATCCCTTTAAATCACTTTGAAAACCTCTTTTTTGACATACCGGGCTAGCTCTATGTCTATAGGACTCGAAACACCATACGGCCTTAATTTATTCGCATTGGTTGAAGGGTGGGTTGATGGTCTCAACATGCATTCTGCAATCTCCTCGCGAATGCTAGTGCTGCTCACATCCCGGGCCGCTTCGGCGTGTCCACGGCGCCTTGGACCTGGAAGGTGTGGAATGAAGACAATCTTGGTCTCTCTTCCCGGCACACCTTCCAAGCGGCAATAAACTGAGCTTTGAGTATCCTCGACTACCTTGCTGACTTTCGCTTGAATATCTGTTACATCATGTATCAGTTATGACCTAATCAACAGCAGAGGCGGCAGAAAAGACAAGGGGGTGGAGTTCGAGGGTTGAGCCAAAAGATGAAGAAGGTAAGGATAGATAGAAAGAAACGTACCACGAGCATCCTGGCCCGCCATCCTCTCTTCCATTACCTTTCGAACTTTCTCTATGTTACTACGAGTACCTTCCCACCTAGTACAACCAGGCAGCTGTTTCATAAAAATTGGGTTAGTAGCAACATAATCAACTACTCCGCGCCCTATGTCGCTGGTAATGAGATGGTTGCAGCACCACGTCTCGGGTCTGGGGGGGATTTTCGTGACCGAAAGGTTATCAGGGCCTACGAGGGCATAAAGCTCAATCGTGGTATGTCCAACAAGCTTCTTGCGCAAGTCCCTGATGAAAACATCGAATTCGTTCAAGTCCTTATCCCAGACCCAGTATCTGTCACAGTATTTGCCATTGTGCTTTACAACCTCCTGCGAAAGGTCAAGGCGGTGCTTCAGTTCAAGAAATAAACGGCTGGGGGTTTGGGGCAGGCTCCACAATTTCCTTTTAACATGTTCGTCATCCATATTCAAGATGATAGCTGCTTGAAATTCGGGATCAAAACCGCTGTTTTTGAAAACATGATCCAAAAGTTTAAAGTGCCCATCATGTAGCGGGTTGAAGCTTCCCGGGAAAACGAGGATATTCGTATAACCGTTCTTCTGGACTAGAGGCGGGTCTTTGGCAAGGCGACAGTTCCACGGGAGATTCGGCGTGCCGATAGGAGCGATTCCATTATACCGCGCAAGCTCAGCATAATAGCCAAGGCTCATACTGAGGGTATCATTCTGCGCAGACATTGTGCTCGGAGAAGCTAAGGACTCTGATGGAGAACTAGATTGTCGGTCTCAGCAATTTCGCCAGAAATTTGCTAGGTGAAATTTTCTTGATTTTCAAGGTTGTCCTAGTTGTCGAGATCTGTGAAGAAATTGATACTTTTCGATGATTCAATCCAGTGAGCGAGGGTCTCTATATATATAGGTTAAAAGGGCTCAACGACATTTTCAAGCAAAAAAAACATGTACTTAGCTCCTTTTGTTGGCGCACATCCCTAAATGAATATAAACAGGTTCTCAAAGCGTACTTGATTCACACACACTTGGAATCTCTTTGTACTAATAAGGATATTAGTTTACAAAGATCAAAATAAAATGAACCTGCGGGTGAAACATGCTACATACGATTTGTAATGGTTCGTTGAGTTTAAGGAAGGGATAACAAAATAGCATGGAGCGGCAGCAAGCGGATGCACCTTATTTGACCTTCGTAAACCCCTCGATCTTCAATCAGCGAGTTCTTTTACTCAGTCGATTCTAGTTCATGTGTCGTTCAATTTTTGCATTCATTAAAGAAATTATTTCCAAACTTGCTTCGGCAAGTGAACACATCCTTGACAAAACGAAACCCCCAGCAGGCCTTGTTCTGTCCCTATTTGCGACGTGTGCTTTGCTTAATATTAGTTACATTGGTTCTTTTTGAAACTTACAATACTCTCTCTACTGCGGACATCGCTTCCAAGCTCTCGAAACTGAATGCGTAATATTGCATACGTGAAAGCGTCAAAACGTAACAAGTAAGATGTAACTTGGTCCAGTGCTTTGTCTTCGAGATAACCCATAAATCGGCAAGTTAGGATAGAAGCCACCCTTTGCTACTATCAATTAAGTCAATTCCTATCCTCAGTAGAGCTAGAATAAGAGGTATCTAACATAGGTACATTGAAAACACAGCAAATCTGCCGGGGAAAACCTCACCCACCCAGCGGGCCGGGATTAAAACCCTTTGTCATAACCAACAGCTGTAAACATCCTGCGGGACCTAGGCGGCACATGTCGCATACGAAGCCAATCTTCAAATTTATATGCTTCGCGCAGTCCAAAGCTTCCAAGTTTTCCATCCTCTGATATCAACTTGGCATTCGAAAGGCTTTCAGCCTTCGGAGGCACAGGCGGCCGGACCTTTCCATTCTTGAAACTCAGCCCCGGGTGCTCCCCAATCAGTGCCAACAAAGGCATCTTGTCCAGTCTCTCATCGTCAATGAGGTAGCGCAAGTTCCAAAAAACTTCCTCCGCGGAGAGGTGCGGAAGCAACAACCTCGTCATGGCAGGGTACTCACTGGATAAGGAATGCTTGAGCAACTCCAAGTCGCATTCCGCGCCCTTGTCGATCAGCTTCTGGGCGATGGTGATGAACCCCCCCGAGACCGCTGCATACAACGGCGTGTTGAATCTGCCGCAATGCTGGTTGATGCGGGCGCCGCGCTCAATCAGAAGATCAACAATGGCCTCATGTCCGTGGCGGCACGCTTCGTGGAGTGCCGAAGGGTGTCTCGCCCTTCTCCACGAATCGATGCGAGCGCTCACCCCGGTATCAAGCAAATGCTTGACGATCTCCAGGTTGCCAAACTCGCAATAACGATCCAAACGTTGGCAGGTTAGATATGGCTCAGCGCTTTGAGCAAAGAAGTCGGACAAGATACGATAGACACTGAGTGATTTCGAATGCAGCATGGCAGCCCTTAGAGTCAAACCCGGCAGAGATCTTTCTTTTACCTTTCCATGAGGCTGCTCAAAATAATCGGTGCTCCGTGGATCCCTCCGAGAAGGGGGGTATAGTGCCATCTTCAAGAGCTCTACATCGCCGTTCATGGCTGCACCAACAACAGCTTGGGGGTCTGCTTTCCCTTTGCAAAGGACTGTGGGCAATGTAGCGTGACCAATAAATCCTCGAGGGTTAGCCTCACGGTCTGCTGGAGGGCGGACCATATCCGGCAGGCTTTCTTGAAGGATCTGAAGCATGTCGGCGTGGCCTGCCAGGGCAGCTGCTTCAATGGCCGCGGGAAGGAGGTCGTCGTGTTGTGTGGGATCAATGCCTTCCACGAGCAGGCTCTTGACCACGTCTTGGCAGTTCAGATATGCTGCAGCGCTGAGCAAATTGAGATCCGCGCCATTCTTGATGACGAAGTGATTATTGTAGGTTTTCAGAGCTACCTTCCCGGCCACGCTGGCGAGCGCTAACCAGCAGACAGATTCAATTATACTCTTCAATGACAGGCCAGTAAGGTTGGTGTTGAAGAGCCTCTCTGCTGCCGTTCGAACCTCAAAATATCGATGTGCCAAGGGGTCCGTTTCATTCTGTACGCGGTAGACGAGGTAGGCGTGCCACAGCTGTTGCGCTCCATGGTTGTTGCGGATGGGCCAGTATCTCAAAGCTTGCGTGGCCTGGTAGGTGGAAACAGGGAGATACGTGTCGAATAATCGCGTTGCAAACAAGGCAGGCCGAAACATTGCATTGAAGGTCTCTGTATCCACGCTGTTAGGATACGAACACATCCATGTCTGATGAGGATCACGTACTGCAGACCAGTCTCAGCCTCAGCACTCTGGGTATTCCGGTTGGGGATTCATAGTCCCTGATCGGCAAGACGCGAACGAGTATTGCTTGCTGAAGGATGTTATCGACAATCTCCTCGGGGAGGTCGAGGATGTGGATGGCTGGCATTCTGCTAACTGGGCTGCAGGATCAAAGAGGAGTGTCCTTTTTGGATAATGGAGAATCAAATCGATTGAAGACACGGGACGCGAGGATTTGCCCAGATTGCACATACACAGCCTTTTAAGTCGATGCAGGTGAGACATACGGGAGGAAGCCTTGGGCTGTGCTCTGCCAACTCTTCAGCTGAAACCCCCTTTAGGAATGGCTGCCTGTTGCCTAACAGCCCCTCCATCAGGCAGATCAATTCAGCACATTGCTCCACGATCGAGGCGGGGGAGATGGTTAACTCCACGGTTTCACAAGGATTAGAATGGTATAAAGGACGGTTTCTCGATCCTATGAAGCCATCAGGCAATGACCTAAATAATACCAGAGAAGAGGTGCCCATTCTGTCCCAGCAAGTCTGCTCAGCACCAAACGGCTGAGCCAACACGACCCGAGCTAGAAGGCGGCAATTCCGCTAGTCCATGCATGCCTTGCTTAGCCTAGTCAAGATGCGACCGGGCCTCGAGTAGAAGAGGGAATATAGACGCTTCTCATCCGTACAGGGGAAGATCCGGGGCGGCCTCTATATGTGTTGCTGCCAAGGAACAAACAGAGCCATCGATCAACCAGACAATGCCTCTCAACCAGACCAGAGGCATGTCACAGCCCTTACTTGGGCCCGAAATGGCATCGCCGTGCCTTGCCAGATGAGGCAATTTGTCCATCTGCCTCCACGTCGGAGAAACGGACTCTCTACTTCTGCTCCATTTGTCCCCGCACCCACATTATGGGGATCGGTAAGAATATCCCAGACTGAGCGAAGGGCAAGAATATCGGGATTATATGCCGAATCCATCAAAACTAGTGTATGAATTCCGACCAGCAGATTGAGGGTCGTTATAAGAAGCATACTTAGAGACAGGAGACTCCTACTCAGGATGTGTAATTCATCTTGTCTCAGTTTGTCAACTGGTTCTGTAGACGGCATAGATAGATCAGGCCAAAATGCAAGAAAAGCTTCCAAGTATCCGCTGGGGCATCGTGGGTATGTCGTTCCTCCAACACCCACCAACCAACTCATCATACTAAGTCCCTTGCAGCCACCGGCTTAATATCATCATGGTTCGTCGAAGACATCGTCATGTCACGCCCAGACGCCAAGGTCAACCACATTGTCACTGCCATCGGCAGTTCGAGTCTCGACAAAGGAAGAGCTTTCGCAAAGGAACACTGCCCAACCCACTCCCCGGCCATATACGGCAGCTACCAAGAGGTATACGATAACCCGAATGTCGATCTCGTGTACATCGGCACACCCCACGGATTCCACAAACAAAACTGCCTAGACGCCATCGCCGCAGGCAAGAACGTCTTCTGCGAAAAGGCCTTCACCCTCAACGCCCGCGACGCCAAGGAGGTTTTCGCCGCCGCTAAACAGAAGAACGTCTACGTGGCAGAGGCCATGTGGCTGAGGCATCGGCCGCTCGTGCACGATCTTCGACGGATGCTGCACAAGGAGAAGGTCATTGGCGAGATTTTCCGCGCGTTTTCCGACTTTGGGAACGACAAGGACGTGCCGAATCTCCCAGAGACGTCGCGGTACAGACAATCGGCGCTGGGGGCTGGCTCCCTGCTTGATCTGGGCATCTACTCCCTCACCTGGATTATCATGGCGCTGGAACCGGAGAGCCCTGAAAGAACGGAGCGGCCGATGATTTTGGCGTCGCAGACACACTGGGAGGATATTGAGCTGATGACGAGTGCTATCATTCGCTATCCTTCCGGGCGACAGGGAATTGTCACATCGACCACATTGACGAATGGAAACCCAGACATGCTTGCGAGAATCCATGGTGTGAACGGTTCTGTCGAAGTTCACGGCTCGTGTCCATCCGCCCCCGTTGCTTTCACAGTGTATCCCAAATTCAGCGGAGAGTCAGGAGAAGACGCGGTAAGAGGTCCTGGCACAACGTACAAATACCCCGTCCCCGGGCGCGGCTACCAGTTCGAGGCGGACAGTGCAGCACTCGACGTGCTGGCAGGGCGCAAGGAGAGCTGGGTGATGCCGCGGTCTGAGACGATCCGGGTATTAGAGATGATGGATGAGATGAGGCGGCAGGGAGGAACGAGATATGAGGCGGATGGGGATGATTGACCGAACGTGATGTTTTTACAGAAATCCAACATTTTCGCATACATGTCTAGAGCAGAGCTATGAAATTATTTCTCACAGTGGCAAGGTGCCTTCGTTACAACTCAGCGAACCTCGGTCGATTATGCATTCCTCTCCTCTCCTCTGCTGATTACTTGCATCTCATACACACAAAGATCGTTCAGGAGCTCCTCTACCTCAGTTGTCTACCCACGGGTGGCACCCCCAGCGTTGGTCTGATTCTCCGTGTTGTTTTGTGGCGGCCCAGGTCTCGCAATCTTACTAGGCCGCCTCTTCGAAATGGTCTTGGTTGCCATAGGACGAGCAGGTTGGGAAACTTCTCTCCTCACGGGTTGAGCCGGCAGAGGACGCCGGGGCATGCTCAAAGGCTCAGGCTTCTGGCTCTGCTTGGGGGTGGCTGCCGAAGTCTGTGTCGGAGCGGGCGAGAATGCTGAAAATATGGGAGGAAGCGGCTTCGGGGGAGGCGGTTCGAAGAAGTCATGCATCGACGTCTGCTGCCAGACGATCTTGGGCCGGTTCGTCATCCACTCGTCCAGGTCGATGAGGGTCTGGGTCCCCTTGGCGGTGAGGCTTTCGACGTGGCGTTTCATGGTAGAGATTTCTCGAGTGAGGGTTTCGATCCTCTGGTCCATTACTCTCTGGGTTTTCTGCATCGACTTCAGAAGGACGAGAATCTCCGCTGCTTTATCATCCAAGATAGGTGAGGGGCGTGGAATGGTCGTTCCAGGCTTTGTGGCCAGTGTTGCCGGGGTAGGGCCTGAAGGAAGGGCGCGTTTCTCGGTAGTTCCGGACGGCTTTCTTGTGGATTTGGCTTGCTCTGAGAGCTGGCCGTAGGAAAATAGACTATGTTAACCCGACGGAACGATGAGGAATCGGCATGGGAAATGAAGCTCACCGGAAGATCTGGCTCCTCTTTCAAAGCCAGTTTCTTGGTTTTCTCCTCGATGAAGAGAGGCCACTTAGTGGGCTTCGAATTTTCGGGGTTCTCTTCTTCTTTCATGATGTCAATGCACGGACAAAGGTAAGCTAGGAGTTGCACAAGCTCAAGGAATCAAGTAGAGCGAAAGTGTTGAAGCGAGTGGTGGATGATAAACGCGAGTGAACGAAGGGTGCTTGTGCGGAGTTCAAAATTTACAAGAAGCGACCTGAGAAAACTATGACGTGGATTTTGGGGCACAACAACAAACGCAACGCGTGTTTGGGTGGCCGTCTGTTGACAGTTGTTGGCTACGGTGCACATCAGATCACCTCCCAACGAGAGCGTGCAGCCAGGTCAAGCGCCCCATTTGCACCCAAGAAGTAAGTTCCCTTGCAGATTTACCCGGTCCCTAAGTAGCTCCAGATTGAATTCACAGGCGATGCTCCGAAAGCAGGCTCAGTGGTCTCTATTTCTCGCACAGTCTACACTTTGCATGTAGATCCGCTGTACATGATGCACATCGATGCTGCTCTCGGCTTTCTCAACTTGCCATCTCTGTTCATCACGATAGCTTCCGGCTGGAACTGCAAAATCACACCTATGCTGCATTATTCCAGAGCCGCGATTTGAGAGTTCACAATGAAGTTGATGTTTGTGTCGACCTCTATCGTAACTCATTGTGCAGGTGATAATACCTAACAAGCAAGGTTTTCGTAACAACTTCCCAGAGCCCCTATGGCTTAGTGGTAAAGCGTCGCACTTGTAATGCGAAGATCCATAGTTCAATTCTGTGTGGGGGCAAGTTGTTTTTTTGCGCTTTTTGACATTTGTTTTTGCTATTTGGAAACGAGATAAACGTACCTAGAAAATTGTCAGATAAATTGATAGCTATGCGGTGATCGAAACTGCGTCAATAACATTGCATGTGTTTTGTCTTAGTCGTGGCGTGGTGGGACAGGCATTGGGTACCAGTCCATCCAGCTGCATTGACGTCTTACCGACAGTCACTCGCATTAGATGTGCTGCTCAAGGCGAGAACATGATACATTATTCTATGAGAACAATGATCACCTCTCTTTAGAGACAAATGCTCTATTCGGCCAGTGTGCGCTTAGTCAATATCCTGACCACAGTTGTTCACAATCTATTAATCCACTACCCTCAAACTATGGTCTTCGCTAACTCTTCTCTAGGGTAGCCTCTTTCAGGCGATGTAATTCTGACGCGTCGCGAACGTTCGCTGATCGCGTCAAAGCATCATACATACGTGTATGTAGACTGATGAGCTTTATCACAAACTCATAATGACAATTTGTTCCAACTCTACATTCCTAAGCAGAGCTCTCCGTATTCCCAATGGTCGCGCCAACCACCGCACTCTCAACCACAACATGACGGACATGCTTCCCCTGGAACCAGATAAGCTGCAACGATCCAATGAGCGCGACACCGGCACAGCTGAACCACGCCGCGGCAGATCCGCCGGCGCTGTAGATGATGCCGACGAGCGGCGGTGAGATGGTCCGCGCGGCGCAGCACCCGCTCATGGCCATGCCGTTGACGCGCCCCAGCAGCTGCGTCGAGGGCGTCGCGTCCTTGAGCAGGATCAGCGCGGTGGGCGTGACAATGATGCCGTAGAAGGCCTGCAGGATCATGGAGATGTAGATGCCCGCCGACGTGAAGTGCGGCGAGACGGACAGGAAGGGCAGCAGCAGGTAGGCGGTCGGGTAGAGAACGATGGTGATGACGAAGGAGCGCCAGACGCCCACCTTGGCCACGAAGATGGGGAAGATGAGCGCCTGGATGAAGAGGCTGATGACGCCGTTGACGGCCAGGTAGACGCTGACCTGGTGCAGCGTGAGGCCGAAGCCGCCAATCAGGTCGAGGTGGCCGGCGGGCTGCTTTGGGGGTGCGAGGAGGTGGACGGGGAGGAGGGCTCCGAACCCCATTTGGTGGTAGGCGATGATCACGAGGGCGATGATGATCATGATGATGGAGTAGTTCCAGACTGGGCCGTCGTAGGGGGCGCCGGGACGAGGCGTTGACTGGCCAGATGATCTCGCCTCGGGGGGGATCTCGATATTGTGCATCGTGCCGAATGAGCTCCTCCTGATGTCGAAGCTGGGGTCGATGGGCAAGGGGAGGCCTTCCTCAGCAATCAATGGCCTGGACTGAGCGTCCACAGAGGGCCTGCTCGCGACGGCGGGCGTCTTGGCCATGCGCCCGCGTAGAGGGCTGGTCTCGTCGACATCCTCCTCGATGGCGCTGTAGTCTTGTTCCGGATACCAGTGGCCGCTGGGGTTTGTCTCTTCCAAAAAGATGATCCCCTGCAGAATGGCCAGAAGGATGATGATTACCGAGGCCAGATTGGGGAGAAGGTAGGGATATTTCCCAAACAGGCCGTCTTCGGGGAAAAGGTGTGGGTAGAACTTTGCTGGTTGGGCGAGGAAGCCCCCCATGGCCGAGCCCAGAATACCACCCAGTGTCCACACGAACGGTTGCGTGGCGTAGGCAGCAGCTTGAGGCTGGTCAGCACTATCGACGCGATGGCGGAGGAGGAGAAGAAAAGAGAAGAGGAGAAAAGAGAGGAGGAGAGAAAGACTCACGTTCGTGCTCAGGCTTCTTGACCATCTCGGCGACCATGGTCTGCATCACACTGACATTGCCGTTTAGCGCGCCTCCAATCAGCCGGGCCAGCAATGCGACCCAGAAGCTCTTGGCGAACCCGAGGATGAGGCACGAGATGGCGACACCGCCCAGGCCGGCGAGGACAATGGGCTTGCGGCCATAACGATCGGACAGCGTTCCCCAGAAGACAGCCGTCACTGCTTCGGCGACAGCGTAGGCGGACACCAGCAGTCCACCGTAAAAGGGAGCGTCAGTCTCGTCTCCATCATGAAGGTCCACGACGAGCGGGTAGGAGTAGGCAAGGATGGAATTGAACGCGATTGGCTCAGAGAAGCGACATATTGCTGCGAACAAGGTGATTGATTAGCGATCGACCGCGTCGAGGCGAAACAGCGTCTCATTCACTCACCCAGGACGGTCAGTTGCCAGTAGGGGAATGCATTGGGATCTTTGGCGGCTGTTGGAGACATAATAATCAGGGTATTCCGCCTTCCTCGTGCTTCCGCTGCTCTGGCTTGAGATGGAAGAAGTCTCTCAGGCTTCAATTCTTCTCGAGCCCCGGCCTGCTTGCGGCTTCCGACTTTTCAGAGCACCAGCCATCTGCTCCCCTCGCCTCCCCTCACTGGGCGGGTCGCACATGGTGGAGAGCAGGACTGTCGGCCCGTCGTTGCGGGAGTTGTGTCTCAGTTCTCATTCGCTGAGAGCGACCTGACCGGGTGCTTATCGCGCGTATTTCGCATATCATGCATGTGCGCTGACCGACATTTACCCGTCTTACCTCCGTTTTCGTTCCGGCCAGTCAGTGGAACACATCGATACGGGTCTGGCTGGACTGAAGCGGAGTCGAGGCGCGTTGTTGAAGATCAGAGGAGCCTCTGCCTAGATCTTGACGAATCGCCCGTCCCCTAGGCTCGCTCTGACCGCCAAACTCTCCGACTACTCCACGGCTCAAGCTGCACGAAAGAGCAACTACCTAGCACGAACAAGCCAAACATCCACAAAAGGCGTTGGACCATGTGACGTGCAGTGGAGCCGATATCTGAAACAGCACGTGACCACCCTCTGCATCATCAATTCCATGACTCGCTTAGTAAGCTAGACACTCTCAGATGGACTTTCACATCTGTGACTTAAATATTGCTTCTATAAGTAACCTTAAGCTGCGGAAAGTCTTTACTGTATTCTGTTATACCAAACTAAAAAAAAGAGTCTGTTGGGCGAGCTCATTTCTGCGATTGTTACAACGTCCCTCCGAATGTACTCTAGGATCCGAAGCAATTCTAATAACACGGCCTGCAGCCTCCAAGTTATCTATCTAGGCTACTGCGGCGGGGAGGAGAAGGAGCCGAATTCGTCATGCGACTGGCCTTTCTATTGAACATAGACGACACTCGTCTGCAATAATGCCTCAAGATCGCGAGGCTTTTGCCATTTGGCAACGCCCGGATTGAATCCCTTGCGGAATCGTCGCTCCTCGAGATCCCGAGGCTTCTGCCATTTAGCGACACCTGGGTTGAATCCCTTGCGAAACCCTCGCTGCTCAAGATCGCGGGGCTTTTGCCATTTGGCGACACCTGTGTTGAAGCCCTTGCGGAACCCTCGCTCTTCAAGATTGAGGTCACGCTCTTTAAGCTCCTCAAAGTCGCGTTCATTAAACTGAATCTCCTCCGCCCTAGGCTTTGCGAGTATTGGGGCGACGTTGAAGTAACTTCCCACTCTTCTCTGCACGAGATTGAGATCGTTGGTGGTCCCGTCGATGCCCAGCGCGACGCCTTGGTTGGCGAGGCCAAGGCAAAGAAGAGTTGCGAGGCCGAGATGCTTTACTGCGACCATTTTTTGAGATCGAGTGGAAACTGAGTAAGTTTTCAAGTATGAACTTGACAAAGTAAGTATGTATGTGATAAGAGCAGATATATAAATCAAGACAGAAATGTAAATGTAAGTCTACCGAGTCTCTATATTGCCACAGCCGTTGCGAATATCGTCAGCGATATGGTTCTATTCATCTTACCATTACCGATGGTTGTGGGGCTCGTCATCATCTTCGGTATTGGGTCGTTGACTGTCATAACATCCATTGTTCGCGTTTCTTTGTTGCCACAGATGCTTGACAATCCAGATGGGCCTTGGATGGTTGGAGTTGTCAGCGTGTGGACGTAAGTACTTCTGACCTCTTTCTGCTTGACCGTAATCGAGGCCGACTTGCTGCTACTCGACTTCTTGCTAACGATGAAGGATTGGCAGTCAAGTCGAAGGCTATCTTATCATCATGTGCGCCTCCCTCCCAACATTCCCAAAGTTTGTTCGCCATGGCTCCCCCAAACTCCTTGACGAGTCTCGGTACGGCAGTAAAACCAAGACCAACGAAAACTCGCACCCGCCGAGCCGTACACTTGTCCCCAATTCCTAGTCTCGCCACGAACGACATCAATACTCCCAATTTGACCCCGAAGAGGGCCATGTCACGACTGAAACATTTGTAATGGGTCCTGTGAGTTCAAAAAACAAGGGTAAGGGAAGGGGGCTAGATCAGATTGACGGCTGGGGGGACAGTGACTCCGAGAGGGCCATCGTTGCCACACCTCCAGGACCTAAAGGAATTGCCCGCACTACGGTGGTTACTGTCGAGGTTGAGAATCGAAGCAGCGATGAGGAAAGTAAGCCATAATGCAATTTTATATTAATACATTTAAACACTAGAGAGGACGAATGTTATCATAAAGAACTAATGGGCATGCTGGAAGCTGTACAGATAGATGATATCATAGTTGGAATAGAGTGGTAGCAATGCTACAAATTTCAACATTTAAGAGAACCCTGAAATCGGCATAAAGGAGTAACAAGCTATGTCTGGCTTTTTTTTTGCCCAATCTCTACCAATGGAGATCCTATGAAAATAGTGAGATGTGTCATTTTTTCAATAGTCTGGAATGATTTGAGGCCCAACCCCCTTTTCAGATGATACCTAGCACACACCATTGTCCTATCGGGAGGGGTAATGAAGATAAACCACGTATTGAAAATTTAGGCTGCTTCGTCTAACTCTGGTTAATTAGATGAATCCTATTGTTGATCAAATTGATGTTCTCATGACCTCCTTGCTGCTCAGCCTCATACGCCAGCCTGTAGACATGGAGGTTCTCACAAAATAAACCTCGCTTATCCGTCCAACCTGTCACCTTTCTGATTTTGTCAGAGCCGACCCACTGCGAGAAGTAGAATACGAGGGAAAGAGCCCCTTGGTTCGCAAGCTTGGCACCTTTGCCTTGTGCATCTCCGATCGGGATGAACTCGACACCACCGCTGAGCCCATATTCCTGGGCAAGTGCCGAAGCCGTCTCGCCTGCAGTCTCATATCGGTATCCAGAGATGTTGAATGCTTGCCCGGCGACTTCATCACGTCGAGGATGCTGTGCAAGTGCAACGTATGCTTCGGCGCAGTCGTCCACGTGAAGGGAGTGCATTATGCTATTAGGGTTGCCAGGAATGCGCAAGACATTGGCGCCTCTTGCTTTCTCGTTCTTCACATGGTCTAGGACGAACCCGTAGTAGCTGCTGGAGTATCCGTACACTGAGGTTGGGCGAATAATGATGGCATCAACTATCTCATGCAGATCAAACACTCGGAGAGATGTCTCCGCCCTTACGCGTGCCGGTGGAAGAGCAGAAAGGATGGGAGATTCTTCTGTGAGCGGGGAGAGGTGTGCATCCCCGTGAAAGGGCGAAAGAGGGTAGTCTTTGCAACCCGAACTCCATAGAAGTAGTGGTTTGACACCATTGGCGTTGCTTTTTGTGGCGAGTTCTTTGACGAGAGCACTGATCTTGGTGAAAAGGACCTCGTAGTCTCCGAACCCTTCAATGTTATTTATAATAACGTCGAATGTAGGGGCCTCGATGTACAGCTGTTCCAGGAAACTCAAGTCGTCCAACGAGCCAACGACGGGGATGATTTCGTTGCGAATGAGATCAGCAGCCGACTCCGGCCTGCGAACAAGTCCGAAGACGCGATAGCCAGCCCTGACGAAAGCTTTGCATACGGCCGCCCCGATATAACCATTAGCACCGGTGATGAATGCTGTGGGAGGCTGTTGGCGGATTTCTGCCCTGTGTGCCATGACGAGCGTGTGGGAAATTGGCGATTGGAGGGATGTGCGTGAATAATGATCTCGCAAACATGTGAAAGAAGGGATCCAAAAAAAAAATGAAACAAAAGATCCTCCCTTGTTTTTATACATTGCAGATTGTGTTGCTTTCTGGCTGATTTGTCAGTCTTGGGATTGGTCCGTCGGCATAATTCGTGTCCGCCGTGTTGAATAATCACCAAATTCATGCAGCGCCCCAGATAATCTACCCACTGAAACATTGAACTGTAAAATATGGCCAAGACAAGTCGCCTCTAAGAAAATACTGATTTAATACAAAATTCAAAAATAGTTTCGACTTAACCTCGTCTTCTCCCATATCGTCTCAACTACCTGAGGCTAACAAACCCCCTATATCGAGACTCAAAAAGAGAATATGGTCTAACTACCATATTGATTGTTCCCAAACGAAAGCAGACGGAGACCTGGAGCAAAGCTGAGACTGCTCGTCGTCTATAAAGTCTACAGTTGTTATGTCCAGCGGTGATGGCACTGGAGCATCCTCCTCGGCTCTAGGACCAGCCAATCCTGCGAGCACGTTGTTTTTCGAGCTGTCATACACAAGCCACAATCGATCTTCTACATTCGAGGAAGCGATGGCTGCTAGCTTCCAGATGTATTTCTCTTTCTCGTCCATATTTCGTCTCCTCACCGGACAGCCACCATGACTTGATGCGATGACGACCAAGCACCGCCCAGAAGTTGTCACCAACTGCCACATAAAATTGTAAGTAAGATGTAGTGTGTACGGGCCGTTGTTTGGATGAACTCACAGCAAGATGGCTAGCATTCGCAGGTTTCAAGGAGCATCCATACCAGACTTGATGCACACGCTCTCCGTCTTTCATCGGCACGAAAGTGTAAACTGCATTAGACGGGCAATAGACCGCTGTTCTCTGAAAATCAAGCGTCTGTCCAACCCTGTGTGCATGGAGACCTGAGAGGCTGAGGATGGCATCATTGTCTGGCCATGGCCGGAAGTACACAGAATAACCGGTACAACCGGGGGGGTTGATGGTTAAGGGAACCATCCTGGAGGTGCCCAAGCCGTGTGAACACACATCATACCATCTCGAGAAGACATATTTCAGACTAGATAGTTCGTTTGTAGTGATTGGCTCGGCCCACAGCATACGCTCGGCGAGAAGGGGACTTTGGGAATTTGGTCTTGCAATGTAATTTGACAGTGATTGAAGTTTAGTTCCCTGAAGAAGCGGTCTTGTCAGGAATAAAAAGTAAGTTGCAGCAGAGAAGAGACGAAAACTCACGTCTGAGAAAAAGCTGAGCTTATCCTGGATGGGGTCTAGGGGAAGGACACGCCACCATGAGGAAACCCTAGTTGGTTTGAATGCTTCGGAAAAGCCAATGGAGAAATGAATTTCATGGATTCCTATATGATCTCCCAAGATGTAAAGAGTGTCTTCTTCATGTCGGCTGCCGGCTTGTAGAATTAGTTCCATGCTCTCGCGAGTCTGCACGTTTGATAAGCCGGATATATACGATCTGCCGTCGATCTGTATATATGTTGCCCAAATGTCATTCGAGATACTAACAGTAGATTCTCCTTCGTATGGAAGTATTAGAGATGCCATGGTAGTGTAATATTGGATAAGGTGGCCAGCAATTTGAGTGGAAACCTCAGAGGGTAGTTTCCTCCTTGGACTTAAGGTCTCGCTAAGTATCCAACCCAGCTCTTGTCGTAAGACCTGAAGCCTGTGCTGCTCCTCGGAAGGAGTGGGATCGTACCAGTAGACGCTGTTTGCAAACAGCCGAGAAATCGGTGTTCCAATTGCACCGCCCTGGTTAATGCTAGACGAAGAGGTTGAAGATGGGCTGTGGCCGCCAAGTATATCTTGCTCCGAGGTACTGTGCCTCCCATAGATGGCAATCAAATTATTTTTAAAGCGCGACTGCTTAAAATTGGTGCCAGAGTAGTTGAGCCTAGCCTTCGCTATGGAAGATGTCTCCCGGTCAGACACTGGCCGGAACTTGGCCCACGGCACCAGCTTGCAGGCGAATTTGAGACACTCGAGATGGCAACCGATAGCCACTTCATCAAGCAACCAGGAGCTCACGTATTTGCTACAGTAAATGCGTCGTCCGAGATCTTCGTCTTGGAAGCTTTGGTTTGCATTGTACGTGAAAGATGGCGTCCGATAACCATCCACCGTCACTGCAGCCATTACTCGGTTAGCTACTCACGGCTACTTTGGAAGGACTTTCGCTTTTTCCCGCACCTAAAACGACATGTTCACCCTCTTCAATAGGAAATCTACAGATTCTGCACCGAGGGAGAACCCAAAGCAAGGGGATTTTCCAAAATGAACGTTTACACATGCTGAGAAATGCGTGGTTAACGAGCGCTAGGCTAACGTGTCCACTCGATCTGGCGCGAGGCAAATTCAAAAACTTCGGGCATATTTATCATACTTATGCCTAGGACAATATCATCGGTTCTAGGTGCATCTGACATGGCTCGATCATGTTTTTCCTCCTACTCAAAGGGGCAAACCGGTCAGCCCCACCAAGAGGCGAGGTCCAAAATAAACCTGTGGCGAACCAAAGACCTTTAAATAGCATCTCTCTTGCCACAAAATCGAAAAATATAGGTCTTTGATAGAGACCCAACGTGAATCTAACTAGAAGTGAGAAGTCTCATGCCTTAAATAAACTCATTTGCTTCTTCGATGTTCCAAATTTAGCATTCCCTGATTTTCACAGATACGGCGATTGCTAGATATGGTCATTTGTTACGTGGGTGGCTAGCTGAGCATAGAATCATGAGAGTTACTAATTCATAAGTTGCCGGTATGCGCCGTGATCAGTCCTTTGGTGTAGGCAAGAGTCTTTTCTTAGAGTACTAAGAAACCAACATTATTAATCGGCCCAGTCGTCGAGAAGCCAATCCCGGGGAAGAACAGTTCGACACACTCAGAGAACCATCACGCTATTATACCGCTATTCTAGAAATGCGCCCTCCTCATCTATTCTACAAGAAAGTTTCACGCTCGCTTAGTACACCAATGCACACATCATATTGCAAAGCCCCTAGCCATTCTATAGTCAGAAGAGGTTTGCGATATCAGTAGCAGAACGCCGTATTGATTGATTTGATATATCTGTTCAAGGCACTGGACACTGCGTAAAGCCTCTGTCGCCTCCCCCTCTTGCATGGGTTTATGTGACCGAAGCGGACTCTATCCTGGAATGGTAAGCTCCCGAGCAAGCTTTCGAGCTTCTCTGTATGAGAACGGTCCGAGAAATGGCCCGACGGGTAAAGGGAAAGGGAGGCGTTTGGAGATTGGTGTTGTTTGCTGAGCTTGGTGGATGCGTAGAATAAAGTCTCGATCGGCCCGCTCTTGGCCCGGTTGTAGGAAGATTTGGGGATCTTAAAAACAGTCAAGAGCCGCTAAGTGGTGGAAATGTCTTTGCCGCACCAAGCGCTCGGAGTTTTGCGACCTTCGTCTGATGATCAATAAGTAAACGGAGCAATTGCCGGAAGCTAGACACGGCTCTAAGATTGCTCAAAGGACGACAAGAATGTAACTACAGGAGCACAACTTGAGGCAGACAGAGATGTCACCACCAGCACGGTCTAGTCGTATGCTTCTCTTGGATGCCCAAGCTGGTCGTATCCCCCGACCATTCGTCTCCAGACTGAACCTGAAACGGGGTTAGATGCGCAGATCTCTGTGGGGTACGCATCGCCCTGTCATTTGGTACCTCCGGGGTACGCATTTCGTTTGCTATAAAGATGTGCCTCCCGGAGTAGCAAAACGTCAAGGGAATCCTTGGCCCAAAGACAGAACACCCACCCATTTGAACCTATTTAGATTCGACGCAACTATGACTCTCCTGAACAACATCCCGTTCGTCCTTGTGGCGTTTTCCTCCCTCGCAACCGCTGGGACTCTATTCTCTGCCGACTTCTCAAGTGGTCTCGGGCCCTTCAAGGCGTGCAATGTGAAAGCGCCATCAACAGCCAAAGTTGTTGACGGCACCCTCGAGTTCTTCTTTGATGAGACTGGCTTTGACGGCACTCGCAATGACAAAGGCGTTGAGATCTGTGTCTTCCAAGAGGGAACTGCAACCAACGTCCAGCAAATGAAGAAGGAAGGATGGCAGGGGTTCAGAATCTTCGTCCCGTCTGGTAAGTTCCCGGCGGACAAGCAAACCATTTTCTCTCAGCAGTTCTGCCCTGGCGGCTGCTCGTCTTGGTGTGGGACTCTTGAGATCTCGGGCAATTCTGTCATCGCAGCCCACAGGACCGGATGCGTCGACCCTACAACCGCCACAATTGTCAAGGATATCAAGAGGGACACCTGGCATGACGTTGTAGTCCGTATGAAGGCGTCGCGAGAAGGCCGCGGTGCGTATGAAGTCTGGTGGGATGGCGCCAACGTATACAGCAAGAAGAATATCAACGTTGGGTTTGGCACATGGGATGGGGACACGTTGGGTGGCTGGTACTTTAAGAATGGCCAATATGCCTATGGTACGTAACTCCCAACGCTCCTATTGGCACACATGAACCAGGCTCACACACTCGGCTATGTAGACAGCGAAAACTACGGCGATGCCCAGAGAACGCTGTATCTAGATGACGTCAAGTGGTACGAGACCGATTCGGGAGAGACTGACGGATATAACAAGGTTGCCCCGTGAAAGCACGCGGCTACTCTGGCTAGGATTTTGCGCTTTGGATATCATATTGCACATTTGATAGGATGTCTAGCTTTTGTTATGGCCAATACTCAACTAAGAAGCTGGCGCTCACCCAAACGATGATGCAAGCTTGGAGTTCGTAAGTGTGCGAGAGTAAAAGAGCAAAGGTGTACTGTATTTCTAATCTTGATCTCCAGCTTGGCATTTCTCATCTTCAAGTACATTTTCGTAGTACCCTTAGCTGAACTTGTCCATTAAGGATGACTAGGTAAACTTAGACTACGCATCTCTATAATGTGGTAAGTTTCGCCTTCTTGATCTTATAGAGCCCAAAGGTACCTCGCGACATGAGATTGCTTTCTCAGCGCGACGTAATCACCACTTGCGATCCTACAAAATGTATTTGACGCAAAAGGAGTGTCGCAATTCGACACCGGCACCGGGCCGTGACTTGCCCCGAGCATGGATGTCACTCCGGCCAGAATGACTCCCCTGCATCGGCACAAGACCTCGAAATGCGGCGTGTACCATCACAGGAGTAGTCAGTCTGTTCATAGCTACCTCAAATCTTCACTGTGAATGAGCATGTATCGAAGGATGCTTGCCTATGTCTTCAAGGCTTCCCAAATAGTACCCCAAAAGCTCAATTGGCTCACCCGCCAGTCATCTCGCTCAACATAGCTTCTCCTCGCTCTGAAGACGAAATTGTGTCCCCCGAGGGAATAGTCTGGCCACAATGGGATCCGCATGGCGCTGATGGCTGGCTCGTGATTTGGATTCAACCCGTGCACAAAGGAGATCCAGGATCCCGACACCAGGTCGGCGAGCTCATGATAGTCTGGATATGGCCCGATCCAGTTGGTGTCATTCTGGCTGACAACAGGGTCAACGTTGAAGAAGAAGCAGACATCTGCATAATGGGTTGAGAAGAGGGGCGTCTCGGTCGCGATGAGCTCCAAGGCACCGTTCCCACGGCCGTTCATCGAACCTATATGAGAAGACCGGTTTTCTCCGGTGATCCGGGTGCGATGCGAAGTACTCCGTCGTAGCCCGACGGCCGGCATGGATGACACTGTCTCCCACGATGGCGGCACCACCCTTGTATTGAAGGCCGTGCTGCTCGAAGCGCATCTCTCCCGTGCTAAATGGGCAGCCTTGGCCAGGGTCATCTGGATAGAGTTCTGAAAGCTTGTCGACTGTCCCAGGGTCGAGTCCATTGCCCATAGACTCGATGAACGCCCTCGTGTCTGAGTCATTGTGCAGCGTACCTCGCGGACCAAAGAAGGTGGCCGTGCCTTCATCAGTAGTGGAACCAGCTAGGACAGCTACGTCGGCCACGAGACCTTGAGCGAATGACCTGGAGGGAAGGCGAGAGAGGAACTTGCCATCCAAAATAGGAGTGAAAGCAAAGGGTGCAAAGGCGTCATTAAGAGCCTCGAACGGTACTTGTCGATGACATGCCAGAGTGTCAGCGGCTGTAGAACATCCCACGGTTTCTATCACGTTATCATAGATGGGCTGGAAGCTTGCGGGAGTTGCTCAACTGAATTGACTAGTAATTACAGGGTCAGTCATTTCAAGCAAGGGCTGACGAGATGTGATATCAACTTACCACCTGGACCGAGCGCAGTGCCACTCTGTAAGATGGCAGCCCTGAACAGATTCTCGTTGTTGCCATGAAATCCGACGAGGTGGTAACCAGCACTGAATGCGCCAGCTAATTCACCGGCGATGGTGATTTTGTCGGGATCACCACCGAAGGCTTTGATGTCCTCTTTGACCCATCGCAGGGCAAGTCGCTGGTCGAACAGTCCAATGTTGGAAGCTCCGCCCTCATGCATCTCCTGTGAAGCCAAGAATCCCCATCCACCAACGCGATAATTGATCGAGACTGTGAGAATGGGCTTCCTCATAGTTACAGAGGCTTTGACCAGATATGACGTGTTATAGCGAGAGTCAGCGCTGCCACCGGCTGTAAATCCTCACCCGTAGATCCAGACCAGCACTGGGAGGCCATCGCCTGGTCCGGCCTGGGCAGGTCGTACAATATCCAAGGTCAGGCAATCTATTCGAGGATTGAGAAGAGTCAGAAGCATGTCATGTCCTGTCATGTCATATAATCATACTAAAGTCATTGAGACAAAGTAAGCATACCTTCGCTTATGTTCAGGCCCTTGGCAAACCCTGCGTAGCCGACACAGCTGTTGCCCCGCCTGGTGGCATCCCGATCTCCCTCCCAAGAGTGATTCAACGATTGCGGGTGCCGTAGCCGCAGCTCTCCAACTGGCGGCCGAGCAAAGGGCACGCCGAGAAATAAGTCCTGATTGAGCTGCGGGAGATGCAATCCCGTGAGAGTCCCATTCTGAACGAATGCGGTCGGTGGCCCTGGGGCTGACTCGACGGTTTGCGGTAGAGCAGTCGCAATCAAGGCAAGAAGCCGAACGACCAGTAGTACTTTGGCCATTGTGAGACAACTGACACACCAGGTGTGAATGCAACCCAATACGCTCCACGATTTCGTTGTCAGTACTTATTAACAAGCATGTTTCGCCATGTGTCGATTCGATCCGGAGTATGTAGTACCCAGTCGGGAGCGGCTCTCGGACAATGTCCCGGAGCAACGGCTAAGGCTAGAGAGAACAGCTCAAAAGCAAAAGATGGCGGGAGAAGTGGCGGAGACACTCCGGTAGCAAACTAAAGGCCTTTGAATAGCATCTCTCTTACTATAAAATTAAATAAAATAGGTCTTTAATATAGATTAAGTATAAATCTAATTAGAAATACAAGGTTAAAACGTTGACTATTCGAACGCCTAGGCAGAGTTAGAGGGTTGAAGTATCTATAATTCTTTAGAGATCTTATATACTACTCTCCTGTTTATTATCATCCATCTCAATTTCCCCGAGCTAGTAGGTTTCCCAAAAATCATAATGTTTGTTTCGAGAACACTCCATGGCAGGTTCAATGAAGTGACTATCCATCCATCATGCGGCTCGGCCCTAGCCGAGTGACCAGCAATGCCAACTGCATCGGCGGCACACTCTAGGCGGCCTTGTCTTTGTTTCAAAATCGATTAATGTCCACCACATTTGCCCTTTCGGTCACCGGCTTTCCACTGTATTTTCCCGTCCATTAGCATCCATTGACCGTCCAAAGAGATAAAGGCTAGAAGAGCGGTAAGTGTATAAAACGTACTCGGCATATTTTACTGCAACAGTCGTCATCGCCGATGCAAGGGTCGTTATCGCTTATGCAAGTGCGCTTGCTAGCAATAGACTGGCCTCCTGCGAAGCACCATCGGTTAGTGCCGCGAGGGAGGCGGATGCAAGGAAGGCAACGAGGGCAAAGTAAGTCTTCATTTTATCGGTCGAAACGTTGGGTCTAGGCGTATATGCGAGTATATGATAATGATATTTTGAAAGAGTAATGATAAAGCAGATAGTCCTCAGAGCGAACCTGACTAATTTATAGAAATTTTTGTGCTTACTGTCCAAGGTAGAATAATTAAAAGATGTGTATTGCAAACCCCCAAAGGGCAGCATGGACGAGGATTTTCTTAACAAGCATGTTGAACTCGTATTAGACCTGCAGATATCGAGCTAGCGCGCCAAAAACTACATGGGATTGTATAGCTGAAGGAGAGCTAAGCCTACAATAGAAAGAAACTCCTCTTGATTTATAGGCGGAATCGCATGGCTCTTCCAAGTTAGGCAGCCTAGCCGAGCAGTTTCTACAATTCGGCATATATATTTATTTAACAGGTATACCTAGTGTTAAGACCAAATATATCTACACTGCTGGTAATAAACAAAAGGACCAATTGTACGTAAGATTTGATTGTCTTTCCAGCTCATCTCTATCTCTGTCAGTTGACACATATATGCCAACCTGTTCCCACTGCTAACATTTATGATATCATATATTGGCACAGAGATGGTTCAATGGAAATAAATCTTAGAGTCGCTGGGATAGTTCCGTCAACTTCTTCAAGACTAGCTCCTGAAGCGTCTCAATGCGCTCTTGCTGGTGAAAGGCCAAGTTGAAAATAGTCGAGAACCCCAGCTCGCCTGCAAAGGTCTGAATGAAGGTGCTGATGCCCGTTCCCAGTGTTTCACCAGCGACCCAGGCGGCCGTCAGCGAAAACGCGCCGTATTCAGTTTTCACAATGTTGGAAATGTTTCCAAGTGACGAGATAGCTACGGAGGCGACCTGCTGTTGAGGCGGAGGCTGTGTCGTCGGCTTTGGCGTGAACAAGTCCCAGGTCATGGGAATGAACGAAAGAAGATCTTGGTCCATAGGCTTAGATACTGGACGAATGGCGGCGTAATAATCTCGGAATTGTTTTGCGACTGAAATCAATTCTTCTTCGCTGCCATTGTTAGTGTTGTGGCACAAGGTGGGTGATAGGTCAATCGCCATTGATTGAGCCGCAATCATATGGTAGTTTCCGACGGCTAATGGATCTTGGGACGGGAGACAGAGGCCACGGAGATTTACGATGGACTGATTGCAGTACCTCACTCCTAGAGTTCCTGGCGGGAAAGACTGGAGGTCACGCAACGCCAGAGTAAGGGCTGCGCTGACTAGATGGGTTATTGTGATGCTTTGAAGCTTGGACTTTTTGACCAGTTCGGCAGTCAAGCTCTTTGGGAGTGAGAAGGAAATGCGTTGAATGCGGTCGGCCCGCCCGGGATTATCGCTAAGCATCAGGCCGAGCAGCGGTTTTTCTGTCTGGAGTGTAGCATTTCTTGCCATAAGATCATTATAGGCTTGACGCTGCGCATCAGTAGGTTGGCCTTGGATTCCAATCGCAGTGCTCAGAGGTGGCGAAAGATATGCAGCTTCATGCCCATCCCATCTCGTGTTTAAAGCCCCTCCTTGGTAACTCTCGTTGGCCAATACAAAGAAGCGATGAGTTAAATGCAGTATACCCATTCCATCAACCAAGTCGTGGGGGCAACGCAAGTACACTTTTCTATGGACCAAATCATCCTGATCGGAAGGGGAGACTACCACGAACAATGTAGCAAACTTGAAGACTGGTGGGTTCAGGTTGAACCATTCGGCGTTGGTATCTAGACTGACTTGCTTGAAAGTCTGGGACAGCCAAGCGGACACAGTTGAAGAATCTTCAGAGCCATTCAAAGGCGCATACATCCTTTTCCAAGCACCTGCCGATGAGTCATACTGGATCCATGAGGCGAGTGTTGGGGACTCGTGACAGAGCGCAAGCCAAGCAGTACGAAGCGCGTCCGTGATCTTCTCGGCTGTTGCTTCATATGATCCGCCGGCCTCAGAAATGGGGACAGAAAATGAAGCATGACAAGTGACAGGGAAAGACGCGGCATCCGGGTCATCTGGCTTTCTGCAAAAGGTTGCGTAGAAGCGTTCAGCCTCGTCGATATCGCGTTGCCAAGTGCAATCTGGGGCTTGACACCAGCGAAATTGATCATTATTCTCTGCTCTGTTTTGTAAATCCATATTCAGTCTGAAGATATTGAGAATGTATATTACCAAGCAAGCTATTCCTCCTGAAAACGCGAGGGATGTTTATTTATTTACTTCATTGAGCGTAATGCTCATCCAAACAGTTCAGAAGGGTTACTACACTAACAAGTACCCTTATAAAATAGCAGAGTTGGTCATAGTGTCTTAGCGCTACGTCATGTAAGGAGCTTGAGGGCTCTTGGCACAGCAGGGGAGCTGGCTTGTCTACCCTACATCTTCAATTCCCAACGGCGTAGAGAACATAGTGTCATGCTAAAAAGCATCTATTTGAGGAAAGAATAAGATAGACGGTGATAATTAGTCTTATTGTCGAACCGGTGTGGTCAACCTGACGAATCTGGTGGATATCTTGTCAGTGAGAATCCTATGATGCTACTCGTAAATTGCTGAGGAGGATCCATACTCAGGAAATAAGTAGGTAACCAAAACGATTATCAACGTATCCAAACTTAAGGTCGAATCGGCAGCGACCAAATGAGACTCTTGAATAGGGGTTAATCGGAGTAGATACCTCGTTATCTAAGGCTACGATCAAAATGCTCGCACCTGAGCCATCTGAGATACCGCGTGGCCCAAATAACATCGCCTCATGAAATTTTCGCCGTTGAATTTTACTCCCGAATCTCAAACCCCGAAATTGCAGGAATCCCATGGCCGGGTCAGGCGCATTTGACTTGCTACACTACAGCCGAGCGAGCTTTGGATTTTGAGCCTGAGGCAATTCAAGGGTCAATTAATCTATTTCTCACAATATTCTCATCTTCAGTTACAAGAGGAGTGAGACCGTTTGCAATTAGTGGCAATGTTTCAGCTGCAAACTTCACAACTGGCAAGGCGGATCCGTTGATAGTGCTAAACAAACAAGCATAATCTACACAATACCGGGAGACCTTGCGTATGGCTCACATGTCAGAGCGTATCTGTGGCCGAGGTCGATAATTTGGCGGCACTTTTGAAAGCGAATGTTTGAGTTCACGTCTATCATTATTACTATTAGGCAGTTGAGGGATATACGCACGACCTGGTGAGCACTGTCATGTTGAAGTAGCCGGCTGATAGCTATGCGATCTGCTGAGCATTATCGTGTTTAGGCAGCTGGCCATGCTCGTGCGAGGAGATAAGTGATTTCGCATTCCTTGTGGTACGACGTGGAGAAGAGACCTGACGTAATGAAGAAGTGATCAACAGGAGCAAGTTCTTAGCTTATCCTCGCCCCTGTTTTTCAATGCTTTCTACCCGTGAGTTGGTCGGGGCTTTCTGCGTTGAGATATCAAAAGTCCTTCCAGATCGGTATCCTTGGAGATTTCAAGGCAAAAAGACCCAGGTGTTCTTCCTCCCAATCAGAATCCCACCCAGACTGCCTCACCGAACCTGCGATGGTGGGTAAAATGAGTGTTAATTTTGGCACATGCTGCAAAGAGCCTATGAACACGCAGGAAAGGGATCAGAAAAGGAGCCGTGGCGGGCGATCGTAGTCTAAATCTCCTTGGGCAGCGATTGACCAACGGCTTTCTTGACGCTATTGGGTGGAATATTCTGGGCCCGAATAAACGCGTTGCTTCGCTGCTGGCTGTCATTTGTGAAACACTTCTGTGGGCATAGCCCCATCTACCCCTGTTACGCGCCCCCTTTACGTCTCAAGTTGAGAGCCGGCGGGAGCACGGCAATGGCATTGCATAGACGCGTCTCATAAGGCCTTTGCCCTTACCCCTGGACATTGATCAGCGTTACGCCTGACACGGAAGTTCGAACTCAGCTGCCAATTGGGGTAGAAGAGAACCGATTGGGTATGAGTCCATCAATGCGATGCCCACTTGAGACCAACAACTGTAACAGCATGTGGGGGCTAATTCCCAGACCTGGTGCCTTTTGGAGCCTTTGGAGGGCAATCATAGCTTGTCGTAGCTTGTATTCGTCGCTGGAGTTTGGCCCACGGTCGCGCTCTGCTTTGATTCTCCCTCAGCACGGGCTATGGAACTGAAGCCCGATACTTCAATAGGAATCTCAATCTTTGTCCCTGTGGGGATTCATGTATTGGAATCAACAGGGCTTCGCCGATCTGCTTCAATGAAACTCAGTCGTTGGTGATCTGTAACGGCTGCCCCGGCGGCTGTAGGGGTTGCATTGCGTCGACTTTGTCGCATAAATACGTCCTAGGTCCTGCGCCTTGAAACTATTTGGTCGCTCTTCATCGGACATCCTCCTCTTCAATCATTCATTCAATCACACTCTTTCTTGAGACCAACTCTATACATCATGGCTCCTAAGCTTGCACTCGCCGCCGCTCTGGCTCTCCCTGCCCTCACCACAGCCCTCCCGACCACCCGCGATGGCGGCATGAGCGCATTCATTGTCGGTGGTGAGAAGGCCCAGGCCGGCGACTTTCCATTCATTGTCAGCTTGTCGCAGAGCGGCTCCCACTTCTGCGGAGGTGTCTTGCTCAACGCCAACACCGTGCTCACTGCTGCGCACTGCTCCGTGGACCAAGAGGCTTCCTCTGTCAAGGTCCGCGCTGGAAGTCTGGTAAGTTGCTCTAGGACTACTCCTGGCCTAAAGTTCTCTTGATGGAAGATATCCGAGACTAACTGTGTATAATAGACATGGGCTTCCGGTGGTACCCAAGTCGGTGTTTCCTCCATCACTGTCAATCCCGCCTACGACGAGAGCACCATCAGCAACGATGTCGCTGTTTGGCAGCTGGCCCAGTCCATCGAGGAGGGCTCTGGGATTAGCTATGCCACTCTTCCCCAGGACGGCTCCGATCCCGCTGCCAACTCTACTGTCACAGTTGCAGGCTGGTAAGTACTCTTCACACATTATCTCCTCTGCTGCCAATTGTATCCCCTTGAGCAAACGCTGATTCATTTAAACAGGGGTCTCCTGCAGGAGAACGGACAGGATCTACCAGCAGACCTGATGAAGGTCTCCGTCCCCGTCGTCTCCCGCCAAAAGTGTCGATCCCAGTACGGCCAGGCCGCCATCACAGACACCATGTTCTGCGCCGGTCTTGAGGAGGGAGGCAAGGACTCCTGCTCCGGAGACAGCGGTGGCCCCATCATTGACGAGTCCGGCACCCTTGTCGGCCTCGTTTCATGGGGTCAGGGTTGCGCACAGGCTGGTTTCTCCGGCGTCTACGCCAGGCTGGGCGCCCTGCTGGATTTCATCAACGAGAACGTCAACGGCGACGGCACGACTCCCAGCACCCCCGTGAAGCCCCCCAGGCCCAGCAGACCTGGCAAGTTCCAGTACTTCTAAATGGAGGGTTTGGTAGAGTCATGAATCATTTTTTCCTAGTATGAACAAGGGCAAAGGGGGATTTTACGTATAAGATGAGGACATCGTATACCGGATAAGGGTTAAACCCAGCAGGGAGATGCATAAAGTGTATATAACGGCACGGATACACATGATAATTGTATCAATACATTGTGGGCTTTTATTTCTCAATCACTACATTGCTCTTAGCATCTTGAAATGTGATAACACTCGTATGTATTAATTGGCCAAATGGCCGTTGCAGAGAGGGGCTCAGCAGCATCACAATTTTTTGCAGTTCGAGGATGCAAGAAAGGACCGAACCTTCGATATATAAGAAGCCTCAGACTACTATAATCTCCAGCTTTGAAAGTCAAAGAGCGCAAGATAACTCTATATATCAATGTCTTCTAAGTAGGTCTTTGTATACTGACACATTCCACCCACACATGTCTAAATGTCATCCGAGATAAGATCAAGACCGACGGCAGTACCAAGCTTAGCCTCGAAGAAGAACCTCAGTCTCTCAACAAGAGGACGACCAGCCATGAACCGAGCGAACTCAGCCGGGTTCGTGGCATTTGCGGTCCAGAGATCAGGGAACCCAGCAGGAGGGGCGACGTCCCGACGAACAGGCCATAGACCGGTTGCCTGCTGGTACTCGGGCGTGAGGATGAAGTTGTGGAGGAGCTTGGCTCCCTCCGGGTGAGGAGTATCCTTGAGGATGACGCCGGTCTGGGGCCAGGAGACGTACTTGCCCTCCTTGGGGACTGTGAAGTTGAGGTTGCCCCTGGAGCCGAAGCCCCCGAAGCCTGCGAAGAAGGCGGCTGAGGTGGTGTTGGCTGCGCTGGCTAGAGTGGGAGTCTGGGTTCCCCCGACCCAGCGAGGGTTCTGAGCGATTACCTTGTCAAACCATTCAGTGCCATATTGACGCATCCTGGAAGGGGGAACGGGACGGTTAGTCAACATTTTGAAGCCACCTTGTGAGGTGAAAAGATTAGGGGGAGAAAGTCTACTAACACAAGATAGAATGCCCATGTGACAGCATCATCATCGTTCGGGTAGGTAATGACAAGCTTGTCCTTGAACTCAGGGCGCAGCCAGTCATTCCACTCGACCAGAGGTTCGATCCCGGGCAGCTTCTCGGTATTGAAGGCCCCAGACCAGAAGAAGACATACAGGCCATACCAGGCTGCAGTGTCATCTTTGAAGGAGTGTTCAATCTGATCAAAGCTGACGGGAGCGTAGTTCAATAGGGCGCCCTCCTGAGCCCAACGGGGGTAATCATGGAGCGTTTGGAGGATAATACTGTCAACGTAGATGTTTCCATCTCCAAGCTGCTGATCGAGACGACCATCATGGTATTTCGAGAGATCGACAGTAATGTTCAGGGTCATTCCTTGGAACCGGGTCTCGAACGCCTGCTTTAGCGCGTCCTGCTGATTGGCCTCATCACCACCATGCCAGACAGTGACGACTCCGCCTTCCTTCAGGGCAGCTTGGTGAATTTCGTCCAGAGAGCGGGTTTCGTATACAGGCGCAGCTTTGAAGTTGAAGAGCTGGTCATATGCGAAAGTCTGCCCAATAAGAAGGGCTGCGCTCGCGACAGTTCGCATCATTGTCTTTGATTTGGGTTAAGAACCTTGCGAAGTATATTCAGATGAAGCCAAAGATGGAATTTTCGAGATGAGGCTCTTCAGGCTCTATTGTCTATGGGGCTGTTGAAAGATCCTCCAGTTGAGAACGGGAGAACCATCCATTTTATTTATACAGCTGTGTTGTTGATTGCTTCAGCATCGAGATATGAGATACAGTTTGGATGAACCATGCTGAGAATCTGCCGTGTGGCATATCCCACACGGCCTTATCAATCTCCCACAGAGATGAAGCCATAGTCCTCACGGAGCCTCTTGCTCTGACGGGCTTAGAACCTAAGATTGAGACATGTAAAGGATGAGAGCTGGAATAACGCTGATGGAGATCCTTGATCCGTTTCGACGCAATTGGACAGTCTGGCATCAGTAGACCTGCTCCTTTGTCATTGCCGCGCGCGAAGAAAATCCGAATTAATCATTCCGCGATGATGGGGGCTGACGAAAACTTGGATAAGCAGGCGAGATGTCAGTGCGTGCTGGTGAGTTAAGGCTGCTGGCACCTGGCACACTTCTTTCCAGGAATTTCATTGCAGGGAGTATTCGACACTTTGCACTAATGAGACCATGGCATCAGCTTCACGTCTGCGCGGTTCCTGTCTTTCAGGGTCACCTACTTTCAGCTTCTCCTCAGGGCAGCAGTCGAGGAATTGGCGTTGGCCGTTTACGGTGAATAAACAGTGCCCAGGCCCGTCCCCAGGCGGTTTCCCACATTTCTAGGACGGAAGCATCAGCACTTGCCCAGTACCGCGACTGGATAGGTTGGAATAGACTCACCCCGCCGCGTAGGAGATCTTGGCTCGGAGGCCCTGGAGCTGGGGCGGGTTTCTTCGGGGGCTTTTGTTTTTTGTCGCGCTTTCCAGACCACCCTTTTTTTCGTTTCGGCCTCGTGCGCACATGGGTCTTTGCAGCGCGAACAGGAGGAGCCCTCCGACTTAGCTTTGTGGGTGGATGGTTCAAGCCTCTAGCATCCGCGGCCGTGATGCCGCCGGCGTGACCAGTTCTTGCTCGAAGGGCAAAGGCGCTTCCGACAAACAGGAGATAAATAACGACAAGAAATCTAGTTGGCCGCATTTTGGATAAACGTAAAAAAAAGAAGACTTTCACCACGAAGTGTGACTGATGGTGAGCAACTAGACTCGTCGCAAGAGGTGTTGACAAAGTGGATGGGACTCGAGAGGGGGCAGCAAAGGACACCGGTATTTAGTTCATCGAAGTCGCTATAAAAATAGACCAAAGCCTCATCCAGGGATCGCAAGAGGAACACTTTCGTATCGTTCCTTCAATTGGCTGAGTGTGGCGTGACATAAGCCAAGCGTTGTTGGTAAGACGAATATGCAACAGAATGGGTAAATTTAGCACGAGGGAGCCTGCAAAGGAAGAGACAATGACTGCTACGCTACACTGCATATGTCCATTAGAAGACAGGCAGAATTAGTACAACCAACCGACCAACAGGTTGCTATATAAAGACCAAAGAATGGGTCCAGCTGCATGCGAAGTGTGATTGATTTTATTAGGAAACGACTGGGCGTTGGGAGAAAGCAAGTCATTGAGTAGATTGGGCGTCCAAAGAGTTAGTCTTGATTGAAGCATCTCACGAAGGTTATCGTAGGCTTACAATCGAACGTGTGTATAGCAAACCTTCACATCATTATTGACAATTTTGGCTTTGCAACGAGATGAATAGACGTTGATTATTACATAGATTTTGTTACAAGTAGATTGAAAAAAGGCACTGAATTTTGTCATAGTGAACGATAATGGCCTTGTTTGTCATAGGTTTAATAATTGCCACAAGAAGTGTTAGCCCTTCAGACACGATGAAACCCCAGAACCATATCATAACGATGGAAAAGGACCCAGCCGAAAATGTGCTTTGCGCTTAACCTCCATTTACATGAAAGCTCACCATGCTGACAGTCTCACTGGCCAATTAAACCCGCTCCTCGTGTGCTATTCCGGAGCTCTTGTGAAGCTCACCGGTCTCTTTGGCGTCCGAGATGGCGGCGATACGAGCCGACTCCGCGTCGATAAAGGCTTGGGGTCGCTCGCGTTGCGTTAATGTAGATTTGCCAAAGACCAACAAGCCAGGATAGTTGATGAAGATCTCGTCCATGTCTTCGAGGGTACGGCGCGACGTCTCGGGATACAGGCAGAACACCACAGGAAAGTAAGACCAGCAAAGAATGACGTAGACTTTGATTTTGTTAGAAAAGTTTCATTGAGTCCGAAGGATATGAGCTCCAGGCGAGACTTACTCAGATAGAACTTCCACTTGAGGTTATCGACGCCAACTTTGGTGAATTGCGTCACGATGAAGCCGCCCATCCAATTAGTCGCTGTCGCAGCTGCGGCTCCGCGAGTTCTCCAGCCGAGAGAGTTGATCTCGGAATTGTACACCCAGGGAACCTTGGCGAAACTGGTGCCATAGAAGAAGTAGTAGAGGAAGAACATGGCTGTGGTGACTCGCCCGAGCTAAGTTTGTCTGTCAGTATGATTCCTTTTGTGATCCCCTGTTGTAACACGCACAAGTTGTTCTCGGTCATCATCGGCGCCTGCGGCATTCTTAAGGCACATTGAGGCAACGAGGTAGCAAGATCCCATAGTCAATGATCCGTATAACATCATCCTTGTAATTATTAGCCACGTTAGGTCACGGTACGGGAGGAAAGAACTTACTTTCTGCGCCCAAAGCGGTCGATGATGAGCAAGCAGCACATGGCGGAGAAAAGGTAAATGGTGCCGTTTATGCCTGTCATCAAGCGCGATTGTTGTTCACTCAACCCGACACTCTGTTGCAGCAGCGTGGGCAGATAGTATCCCAGAGCATTAACACCACTGAACTGTTGCATGAATTGTGTACCACAGGACAGTAGAATTCTTCGGAGGTTCTGCGTCTTGTCGCGGCAGCGAAGGACATCCAGGACAGGAACGACATTGTCCCGCTCTTGCTCCAGAGCTCCGCGGATAGACAAATATTGTGCCTGTACGTCCTCATCATCAACGCTCTTATTGGAACCTTCCAGTCGAGCAATAACGTTCAAGGCCTCATCGTGTCGGTCTTTGAGGAGAAGCCATCTTGGGGATTCGGGCGAGAAAAGAAGAGCCGTGGCGACAATGATGGGGAAGATCAACTGAAATCCGAGGGGAAATCTCCATTGAAGAGCGTTCCCCTGGAAGAAGAGACCGTAATTCATCCAGTTTGCCAGGCAGAATGCCGCAGTGTTCATGAGCGAGCCAACAACCACTAGTTTTCCTCGAACGCGAGGTTTCGAGCACTCGGCTTGGTAGACGGGACAGGTGGCAGAGGACAATCCCATCCCGAAACCATTGATGACTCGACCGATGATCATCTGAGGCAGATGCCAAGCGACGATTTGAAGGACCGCACCGACGAAGTTGCAGATGAGAGCCAGGGCAACGGCCTTTCGGCGCCCAAGTTTGTCACCGGCAGTGAAAGCAAAGATAGCACCAAAAAAAGCCCCAAGCTATATTTTATATTAGAATTCGGCTGTAACGAGAATAATGCGTGGACGTACGGAGAAGCAACTAGAGGTGATGCCGGAAATGTTTGCCTGTCGAGTCTCGGGAAAGTGAACCTTGAAGTCGGCTGAGATGAGAACACCGGAGAAGACACCTTGGTCGTAACCGAACCATGCCATGGAACTGGGAGAACGAATTAGTTGGAGAGCTTGCGTATGCCTAGGGACGATTAGGTTCTGTACCAGGCATTGGCAATGGTAATGGCCACGATAAGAGGCGTGCCGCTCAGACGCTCTGAGAGGTTTGCTAAACCCATGATGGCTCAGTTGGCAGAGAGCTCCACAACCTGATAGAGATTGTTTTTGACAACGAAATCTTTCGTAAGGATAGAAACCGCGCGGGTGGTTTGTGTTCTTGTGCGGCCTACGTCTGGCCAGGAAACAGAGACTGGCGAGTGAAGTGACTGAAGAGAAGGTTCAAGGGAATCCAAAACCAGAGGGATCTGCACGACTAAATACCTGCGCCCTGCAGGTGAGCTCGATATCAAACCAGGATATGCTACCCAGGGGTGGTGACCAAGAACGCAACTAATGAATCAATGGAGACGCCAGATGGCATTCGCCTTCGGCCGATAGGGTAACTTTACTGCTCCGGATGATCGGAATCAAGACACCACCACACCGGTTTGGAGAAGTTTGTATCATGAGATGCAACAACACTAGAGGGGTTCGGTTGCTGTCTGCACCTCGCGCTTCTCTGCCTCCCCCATGGGGTAGACACGTTTGATTAATGCGGGGCGAGGGATGAACCCACTGGCCTGACTCGAGAGTTTGGCCTGTCATGGCGGGTGTAGGCGGCAGACCCATTCTCTCTGGACTTGTGACTGGCAAAAATCACTTTCTTGGGCGGGGATAAGCGGCAACAAGGGCAAAGAGGAGTCATGGACCAGCCACTGGAAGGTAAATTCCGCTCGAGCATTACACGAGCATGCTTGAAATGGCCGTTCTAGTGGAGTAATAACGCAGTTCAACTGATGTGCTAACGGAACCATTGCCTCGGGCTGCAAGAGGTGAGGGTATGTCTATCCACTCCAAGTTGTCTAACACGTAGCTCTCATGCAGATGATTCATGTAATGGAGTAGTATCGTCTCCACAGTTCACCTTGGGAAAATGTGACGATGACGTGGGGGAGGGATTTGAACCATATTTCTCTTCTGTACGTTCAAATCGCCATTATCCGCTGTCCAGCGAGCATCGTGAACTGTGAAGCTTGCCATCTTGTGGTCGCCAAACATCACCATGGCTGAAACGAACCAAATTGAATTTGTCCTCGTCACTGGAGCGACGGGGTTCATCGGCGCACACGTTGTGGACACTCTTCTCGGACGAGGCCTCAGAGTCCGTGGTGCCACTCGGACGCTTGCGAAAGGAGATGAAATGATCAAAGCCCGGCCGCAATATACCGGGAAGCTCGACTTTGTCCAGATTGATGACTTCGAAAACCCTGGAGGCTTAGTGGAGGCCGTTGAAGGGGTCGATGGCATCATTCACACAGCAAGTGTAAGTGTGCCAATATTGATAACATTGACGTTGCCAGAGGACTGAGCACTTGTTGCAGCCATTCACCTACGATACCACAAACAACGAAAAGGAACTTATTATCCCTGCTATAAATGGAGTTCGAGCGATACTTGAAGCCGCATCCGCAAGCCCGAGCGTCAAACGCGTCGTCATAACATCATCCTTTGCCTCCGTTCTCGACGCAAATCGCAAAGCACCGCCGTATTTCACATACACGGGAGCGGACTGGAACCCTCTTTCTTACCAGGAGGCGGCTGACCCTGCCACAAGCGCCGTGGTAGCATACCGCGGCTCCAAGAAATTTGCTGAGCTGGAGGCTTGGAATTTTGTTGAGCAGAAGAAGCCGGCGTTTAGCATAGTGACCCTTTGTCCGCCGATGACCTTTGGACCCGTGGTGCACCCTGTTCCCAGCGTGGACAAGCTCAACGAGTCGAATGCTATGCTATGGAAGGTTGCAAAAGGAGAGAACCCTCTCCCCGTGGCCAGAGTTCCTTTCTGGATCGATGTCAGAGATCTGGCGGTCGCGCATGTCGAATCGCTGTTGAAGCCGGAGGTTGGAGGGAAGAGATACACCCCAGCGTCCCCAGAGCGGTTTTCTTACGCAATGGCAGCAGAGATCATTGGTGAAGGTTTCCATGAGTTAAAGGATGGTATAAGGCCGGAGAATCAAATTATTGATGAGTCTCATGGACTTGATGGAGAGACGGCGGCAAAGGAACTAGGATATGACTATCACTCCTTCAAAGACACAGTTAGAGACCTCATAAGTCGGGCACTTGCTCTGAGTAAACAGTCATAGATAGAATGACAATGAAAAGTATTCTGTACCGCTCAACCAAATGATCAAATTGACACTCAAGTCCCAACTGCTTGATGGCAGTATGCCTTGGAGTATCTTGACCTGCCAGTTTCAAGAGCCCGGCTCTCCAAAAAGCCTGTTCGAGGCTTCCCGCTGGGTTTCCCCGACTGTTCGGACAACCTGCATGAATTTCTCCAAATGTTCTAAAGCATACCATAATGAGCCAAGGCCCGCTTGCACTGACGGTTAGCGGCATGTTGTCAAAAGAAACCGGGGTAGCTTGGGGTAGGCGGGGGTAAGCGGCAGAGCACAACAGCAAAGAACTACACGGGGGTAGGCGGCAGGTTGAAGAAGCCCCATTCGGAGCTTGGAATCCGTTCGGCTAACTAAGTGAGGAGAATTGGAGCAGCTCTTCTAATTTTGCACTTGTGCAGTGTAAAGTAATATCGGGTTCTGGATTCCGAGTAAACTGAAGCGTATATCACCGCCCAAGCTCGCACGCTGCACTCTCATTAAAGCTCATCGACATCTTCTTATTACCGGACAATCGAAATTACCGAGGGTATCTTGTAATTAATCTCCCTGGCCATGTATCCAGAGACATTTGAGGGCTTCGCCATCTCTTCGGCGGATCAATGGCAGAGCCCCAAGAGATTCGAGGTAAGCTTTCGCTAAACATATTTCGCTGGACACCCGTGGCTGTATGTCTTGGCTAACCCATCCCCATACAGTTCAAGCCAAAGCCATTTGGGGACTATGACATTGATGTCAAGATCATTGCATGTGGTGTTTGTGGTTCTGACGTCCACACAGCTACCGGTGGCTGGGGTAATAAAATATGGCCAGTCGTTCCTGGGCATGGTGAGTTATCTTAGTCTTGAAGTTGTGTTGCAAAGCTAATCGAGATTGGATTTACCAGAAATCATTGGACATGCTGCCAAAGTCGGCCCCAAGGTCACAACCGTAAAGGTTGGGGATCGTGTTGGTGTAGGAGCTCAGATTTTCGCATGTCTTGAATGTGACGCATGCAAGGAAGACAACGAAACGTACTGCAAGAAACTATTAGGTAAGCTAAATTGTCTTTCTTGAATCAGATCAAAACATGTTTTACTCACACTGAAATAGATACATATGCATCCATCTATCCCGATGGTACTGTCGCACATGGCGGTTATTCATCTCACATTCGGGCTCATGAGCACTTTACCTTCCCTATCCCGGACGGCTTGCAAACTGAACTTGCTGCTCCCATGCTATGCGCTGGTCTCACTGCTTACTCCCCATTGGTTCGAAACGGCGTCGGACCTGGTAAGAAGGTTGGCATTGTTGGCATGTAAGTGTTACCATTCCTCTCATTCCAAGGTTTATTGGTTTTAATCGTATCCCCAGTGGAGGCATTGGACACTATGGCATTCTCTTTGCCAAAGCTCTTGGAGCCACAACATACGCCATCTCAAGATCTCGCGCAAAGGAGGCCGATGCTCGGAAAATGGGCGCCGACGGTTTTCTCGCAACCAAAGAGGAGAACTGGTCCAGCGATCACGAAATGACCTTTGACTTTATTCTATGCACAGCTTCGTCCGATGATGGATTCGACCTCGCACCCTATCTGTCACTTCTCAAGACCCATGGCCGCTTCATTGCTGTCGGTCTGCCAGAGGGAGCTGGATGGAAAGTGCGGCCCCAAAGCTTGATTGCAAACGGGTGCTTGATTGGAAGTAGTCACCTGGGAAGCCGCAAGGAGACACTGGAGATGCTTAAGCTCGCAGCGGAGCAGAATATCAAGAGTTGGGTGGAGACCATTCCTGTTGGAGAGGAAGGCTGCGGGACTGCCCTGAAGAGGGTTCACAGTGGTGATGTTAAATACCGGTTCACGTTGGTAGACTACGAGAAGCAGTTTCAATGAGTCAAGAACAAAAGTATATCACTAAGCTTATAGAATTAAAACAAGCGCACCAATAACTATTAGCACCATTGAATTCAGGGCTTGTTCTTTCATATGGCATCATGTTAGTTCTGTTTGGGAAACGGATTTGATAATCTGCATCCTGGTGAGAGTTTAAGTTTAGAGAAAAAACCAATAATAGAAAGTGTCAGACCTGACATCTAAACACAATGAATGTAATGTAATAAACTGAATAGAATCTACTGCAACACTCCACGGGTGGTAAGCTTCCAAGGAGAAGTGATTTTATATACAATTGCCAGGTCTAAGGTTGCGTAAAGATTCAATTTGTGTCTTAAGAACTATCTATGAAGGCACGCCAAAGTCATCAAGGCCAGATTCGATGTCCATCATCCATGAAATATCCTGAAACAACTTTTGGCTCTCTTCTTGACTTAATGTGGGCATTGGAGCCCGTGGGATCCCACCATAGCCAAACCAGTGATCAAGGATAGCCTTGAACCCAGGAATCGCCCTCTTGGTCAATTCCCAGTCAGCCTTCGCCAGCTTTTGCTGGGCCTCCATAGCCTCCTTCCTCTTCCCCTGGGCAGCGAGATTGTATACATTCACACAGGCCCGGGGAAATACGTTGGCTGCTCCCACAATGGCTCCGCTCGCCCCAACTTCAAGCGACGATGAGATAAAATCTGCCACTCCCGCAAAAGCAAAGTAGCTGCCATCTGATTCTGGCTGAAGTGCCTGCGTGGCAGTTTCTGTGGCCTCTGTGACGCGAGCCAACTTCCCAACGCTACCACAAGTGAACTTTGTACCGATAATGTTGGCATGTTGACTGAGACGGATCAGCAAGTCAGAGTCCAGGTCAATCCCCGCGACAGCCCCTGGATAATTGTAGATGACGACCGGCAGAGGGCTCTGGTCAGCTACTGCGATAAAATACTCTTCTATCGTCTGAGTCGTCATCGCCCACTTGAAGAAGCTAGGAACCATGACAAGGACCGCGTCACCACCAGCCGTTGCAGCATCACGACACAAGCGTAATGTTCCCTGCACAGACTGGTCTGAGGCGCCGACGATGATGGGTAGGTGGGCATATCCTGATCCATCGAGAGCTTCCCGGGTTGATTTTGTGACTTGAAGTCTCTCTTCGGGACTCAGGTAGACAGCCTCTCCATTGGATCCGTTTGTCACTATGCCTACAACACCAGCTTTGGCAAGCCGAGTAGCATGTTGCTTTATCACAGCTTGATCCAAAGTCTCGTCTTTTCCGTCTGAATAAAACACCTGGGTGGGTGCGTATATGCCTGGGACTAGAGGAATGGGCATTGTGGATATTGGGTCGGAAATTTAAGTTAGAGAGAAGAGGCCTGACGGTGTTGTGCTTGGCCAGATAATGGATTTAGGTCAGAAGGTCTACAGGCTTGCCAGAGAAGCCTTATTGGAGAAAACCTGTGATATTATCTATCTACCAAGTTTGAGGAGCTCCTCCTCGCGTTCAGCTGAGCCTGACTGCGAGGCAATGAAGCTCGTCTCTAGCTCCACAGAATGGAATAACCGAACTAACACACTGCCAGCCATCCCATGAACATTCGCTCCATAAGAATCGAGGGAGTTAACGGGGGTAAGCGGCAGACCCATAAACGGGGGGAGGAGGCAGATCCACACCACCATGAAGGGCAACATGTTGACCAAGAGCGGAGCATGTCTGAGTCTCCACGACATTGCATTGAAGGCGGACGTTTTCTGATACCCATGGGGAAGAGCGGCGCGTGATGGCAGGTGAGGAGAAATGGGGTTGGGTGGTATCCGTGGGGTTTCCGTCGGGCCTCCAAATGTGAGGTGGTTATCAATGGCATGCTTCTGCTGCCTTAGCGTCTGTACCCAACGACCCTGTTCATCTATCTGTCTCTACCTGACTGCAATTTCCGTTTCGTTGGTTGCCGTCAGTCTACATTGCAACTTTGTCAGGAAAATTGAACAGAATATCTCACTTCTTGTGACAATGGCACCCATCACGACTGTCTCAGAGCACGATGTCACCATCACATCGTTCAAAGTCACAGACCTTCGCTTTCCCACGAGTCTAGATGGTGTTGGCTCCGATGCCATGCACGTTGGGACCAATGGATCGCATCCATTCATTCAGATCTTCACAAACCGCGATGACCTGATCGGCGAGGGCATCGTAAGTACTCACAATTTCTCTTCTTGTGGATTTTACAATCGTCCGTCCTCCTATTGTTGTTAACCCTTTCATTATTCTTTAGGCATTCAGCAACGGCAGAGGAAGTGAGCTGGTCTGCATGGCACTGGAGATTTTTGCCAAGAGAGTCGTGGGAAAGACCATGCACGAACTCACAAGAGACATGGGCAAGACATGGCGGTACATGGTCTCTGATTCCCAGTACCGATGGATCGGCCCTGAGAAGAGCGTCACACATCTAGCCGTGGCCGGTGTGCTGAATGCCGTGTGGGATCTCTGGGGCAAGATCCTGGGCAAGCCTGTGTGGAAGATTGTCTGCGACATGATGCCCGAGGAGATTGTACGATGCATTGACTTCCGATACATCACAGATGTGATCACGCCAGAAGAGAGTATCAAGCTGCTCAATAAGACGCAGGCAGGGAAAGAGGAGCGCCTGCAAGAGGCGATGCAGAATGTTGCCGTCCCGGCGTACACAACATCTCCAGGATGGCTCGCCTTCTCTGGCGACCGGATGAAGGAGGTGCTTGAGGAGACGATAGCCGCAGGATACACAGTTTTCAAGTTCAAAGTGGGAACAAGCATCGAAGCTGATCGCGCCCGACTCTCGGCAGTTCGAGAGGTGCTCGGTTATGATAAAGGGCATCAAATCATGATTGATGCCAACCAGGTACGTGATAGTCGCTAAAAGGGTATTGGAAAGTGACGAGCAGCATGTACTGACAATCGATAGGTATGGAGTGTGCCTGAAGCCATCGAGTACATGAAGCACCTGGTAGAGTTCAAGCCAGTCTTCATCGAGGAACCAACTAATCCCGATGATGTCTTGGGCCATGCGGCCATCCGAAAAGCACTCAAGCCGTACGGGGTGGGAGTTGCTACTGGCGAGGCTGCTCAGAACAGAGTAACATTCAAGCAGTTGCTTCAAGCTGAAGCCACGGATGTATGCCAGATTGATGCTGTCCGTCTGGGAAGTGTCAACGAGTGTCTAGTAAGAGAAAGGGCCATCTAAGTCATACTGATTCCCGAGCTAACAATCGCATCTTCAATCATAGGCAGTCATGATTATGGCTTTGAAATTCGACGTCCCTTGCGTCCCTCATAATGGAGCTATGGGTCTGACAGAGCTGACCTCGCATCTCAGTACCATTGACTACATCGCCATCAGCGGCCGCAAGTCAATGCTGGAGAATGCCGACAGCCACAGAGAGAATCTCAAGCATCCGTCAAAGATCGAGAACGCACACTACGTGACACCACTGGCACCCGGCTACTCAACGGGATACACTGATGAGGCTCTGGAAAAGTATACTTATCCCAACGGTTCTTTCTGGAGTAGCGACATTGGACTGGAGATCATTGCCCAGCCTACTGGAGGAGTTCTATGAGCGATTCAATGTACTATTAGATTAGTCAATGATGATATGGTCCCTTTTCACCTAAATTACAAAATTACAAGAGGCTATTTATTTATTTACACGAGCTAGAATTCGTTGCTTTTTCTGCAGATCCTCCAGTATACTCACGACTGCTTCGAGACTTGAAAATGCCCAGGGCCGGATGTTCCGGATGGCGGTTGTTTGCAATTCATCAATATCAGCGATGAGATGGCGTAGATGTGGGTTTAATGAAGCCAGTGTGAGTATGACGATGGCGCCGAGCGTTCTGGGAGAGAAACAATTGTTAGCGGTAAAGATTGCAGAGTGCGATATGGAGGCGTGGCTCACGAGAGAGAAAATGTCCAAGTGTATTGGCTTGGCCCGGCTAGAACCAAGGATGTGCTGTGGAGGTAGCGTCGACAAGCTTCAATACAAACTGATGCCTTTTCGAACATGACTTCAGTGGCGTGCTCTACTCCGTGAGTGACAATGTAGAGCAAGAACGGCCGGTAGATGATGTGAAGAGCAGCGAAATACCGTATTCTCAGAACCGGTTCACGAGTATTGGACTCGATACCGGGAGTGCCGACATCGAGATGTGGCCTGAAACCCTCCGGTATTGAGGCATGCCACGTCTCAAGTTGTGAATGAAGCTCATCGCACACAGAAACCATGGAAGATACGTCCTCGATGGAGTAATCATCAACGGCGGTTAAGGTCGTCGATGACAGCGTCAAGACATGCTTCTTCCGGGGGTAGAGCGAGTTGTGAATGCGATTGAGGAGTCTGCGAATGGAAATTTCCGCTAGATAACATGTCGACGGCATCAGCCCAAGATTGGTGCAGCTCGGGAGACTGACTTCATCCGTAAGCTGTTGGAGGCCGCTGCGTGGAAGTTCGAGCTCAGCAAGGCGGTCGCACTCGACCAAGAAGCATGACCAGAATAAACGGATGACACTTTCTCGTGAACTGGGGGACTCTTCTCCAGCTTGAATACTATGAATGGAAATCCCATGCTTAGTATTATCTTCTGATAAAAAAAATAGTAGAGGTTGGTCTTACCCTGAAAGCCTGAACTGGAGGATGGTTGTGGCCGAATAGATGAGCCGCCAACTCTGCAATGGCCGCACAATGTAGGCAAAATAAACGCTTGCTAGGACCAGCGCCTGTGGCAATAACAGGCTTGAAGAGAATGACCACGACGACTGTACTATGAGGGTCGGCAAAGCATGCTGCATGAATGACATGCCTGGTGGCGAGGAGCTGAACTGTTCAGTGTTGGGGTGTGAGGAAGCCACTGTTGCGAGGGCGAAGATGACCATGCAGAGAGCCGAGCCTATGCTCGAGTCCGGGCCGTTGTCCCAAAACGACATGTACACGGCCTGGAATTCTTCACGATCCAGGATCGGATGGTTGTGGTGGGTGGAGGAGAAAAACTGGGACACCAGCTCGTCTGCCACCTCGCGGGTGATCTCGATGTCTGGCCGTGATCCTAGCAGGTCATCAAACGAGAGCTCAGGGGGCAAAGGATGGCTTGACTCGAGCAAGAAGAACAGATCAGATGGGTACTCCCCAATGAGAGCTTTCATAGCCGGCAGGCCCAGGAGGTAGCTAGATGATGTCTTGTGTTTCACGGGAATCGTCAAGGGTGGAAGGTTCGTTGACATGGGCATGGCTGCTTGGGACGGAGGGCTGAAGGACCAAGAGTCGAAGGTGGCTTCACCTTGCATCCCTCGTATTGGCACACCCGGCTGGCTTTGGGGGGATGCTTCGTTATGATTCTGGAACTGGGATGGGATAGGCCTCGATTCGGCTGACAGTGAAGCAATGTGCTCTGACTGGTTTTCCAGAATTGCCTCGATGTCCCGTAGCCTGTTCAAGATCTCACGGGTGCCACCGGTTGTGTCTATTCTGTGGCAGGGAAGAAAGGGATTAAGACAGTGTTACGGGTAGCAATAGGGAGGATGGAGGAGCAGACCGGCATACCTTTGTGAAGGCTGATGATCATAGTGGCATTCAATGTCCATCTCGGAGCAATTGGAGCATGTCGGTTTTGCAGCGTCGCATCGCCGCTTTCTGTTAGTAGTTAGGGACGCTGAGGCGATTCTGGGATGCGCAGAGGACATACCGGCTCCTGCAGAACTGGCAGGCCAATGCGACTCGTTTACGGTAGAAACTCATGGCTTGACGACGCCTTTTCTGCCGCGGCACCGCATAACATTGGGGATTGGGGACGATGCTACTCTGTACTTTTCAGTTTGCCCCCAGAGTCACGAGCCAAGGAATGATTGCGGAGAAGAGAAGGCCCTAAACTAACTCCATCCACCATCATTATGCGCTAAAGCAAACGTTAGTTCCAGTGGAATCAGCTGATCCCCAGTCCAGTCCATCCATGTCAATCTCCAGCATATTGGTGCTTCGATCTGTAACTAGAGATTGGAAACTGGTGGCTGACGATGTCCACATACGCTTGGAGAGCTGTAAAGAGTCAAAATACTGAATACCTTTCTAGAGGTCTGGCCTTGCGCCGGTATCGTCTCATATCCCCCTGTTCCATATAGTGGTGTTTACCAGACTACTGGGTCCACTAGAACCATCACAATCCCTGCCGCTCGTTCTGTCTTTCAAAGGAACGAGGATTGGAATGAGTGGCTTGTTAGAGCAACACGCAAGTCTTATAGATCGAATGCCATTGTGATGCTGTGTTTCAAGAGCTTCAGCCGGTTCATATAAAGTCAAGAGGACGAGGGTATTCCAGAGAGAAGCCAGAGTTCTACATACTTTGTCACTTTTCCAGTTTTAGCTACAGGTTATGGGCTGTTTACTGCAAGAATACGGTTATCTGGTAGATCTCTGCTAACTCTAGGCCATTTAAACTACGTGTATATGAGTAAAACACAAAGGAATTCAAGATTATTCTAGATTTAAATTCAACCCTAGGTCATTCTGCCCTTTTATATAAAGCCACGAGTCGGAAATGTCAGTGTGTTCCGCAATTCGTAAGGAGCAGCCTAAGCAGCAACCTTGGTTTGCTGCCTGGTTTCGCTTATCTGCTTGAAATGAATGCTAGAGTCAAAATGAGCTTTCTCTATTAATTTCCAATAAATACACTTCAACACAGTCAAAGCCGAGGGACCAAGCGGACAAAGAAACACGGCACACCAAGTGATCTTGAGGTGCACAGCCACCATAGTAATCTTGATACTTGCATGTAGTCTGCAATGTTTACAAGAAATAACCTTGTCTCGTTTCAAAGTCGATATTTACAATGGCTCTTGAGAATTCTGCACTCAATTGGTCAGCCGCTGTGTACAATATTAGCCGCTGGCTGATGCGCCGTGTCTGAAACGTAAGGGAAACAGGTTGTGCCCACCCTGATGCAGCGATGAAACACTACACAAATGTGCACACAACCGCGCAGCGAGAGTCGCAACTAATGACGTAGAATTTCATGTTTATTTCAGGTTGCTTAGGCCTTTGAGCTGAGTTTCATGTTTGACCCGCAGGGCTTGGATGAAATCTGATTCGCGTCTGATTGGGCTGCAAGGTTGAATCTGTCCAGCAATAGGTCAATCAATCTCACCGTTCTGTGTCCGACTGATGGGGCTACGCCTTACGGGAGGAATGCGAACCAAAACCCGTGAGGCTGGGACAACTGCAGCCCAACTGGTGGTTTATTTGCCGCCTGTTTTAGCAACTACGGAAAAGGGGCTGGTTCAGCGAGCGATCCGCCTGCAATTCCAACATGCATGTTGGATGAACACGTCAATCCCAATACATCAGCCTCTCCGGATCATGCAGGACGCTGCAGCCCATTGCGGCGGCAAGCAACAAACTATGAACTGTACATAGGGGGACTGTTTGGGGTACCGTTTCCATCCAATCGATGAGACCGCGTCAGAGGTTGAGTCGATTCGTTTGGCTTACACCCTCTATGATCACCACATAACCGCCAAGCTTAGCGAAGGAGAAATTGTCAAGAGCCTCGGTGCAATAATAGAGAGCATAAATACACCCCCAATGTCCGCTCTCAACGGCTGTTCTCATCCCATTCACCATTCAGCGCGTCTACTTCGATAGGATAGGGCCAATTTCCTTCTGTTCCATTTATGTCATTTCATTGAGCACTCCCTCGTTTTGTCGCTTTCGGCTTTTTTTACCTTTATCTGTCATTTTGTCTTTTGTCCGCTCATACCTTGCCCTTGTTTAATATTGCTTCACAACCCTTTTCAGTCATTACTTCCTCGGTATTGTGCCATAATAATGTTGCAACCGCCATCCGACCCTCATGGTTTCAGTGAGTACTACCTCAATTGCCTTTCAGGAACATCAATCCCCCGGGAACTCATAGTCGTTTACCAATACTGATTCGAATCAAGAACAACCTCACCCGAACAATATACACCCAAATAATATAATCGCATTCCCCCCCCAGGCAAACTTCCCTGTCCTCGACATGGCTGGTACATTCGGGGCTCCTGTGCCGAGGAACCCACGCCGAAGGCAAGGACGAACATCTCGACCCGGGAGTGACGAGATGAGACAAGCAGAAGGTCAATTTGCCTGCCACTTCTACAAGTTCAATCCTGTCATGTATGATAAATGCAAAAAATGCAGTTTCACCAGACACTCCGACGTCAGGCAGCACATCGTCCGATGCCACTCGCTGGTCTCCCCCTACTGTGTTAGGTGCTGGAAGGAGTTCTCAAACCAGCAAGAATATTCTGGGCACATCACCCAGGGCCATTGCCAGATCCGGCCGAGGCCTGAGGAGCTCATCCGGGAGGAACTTGACAGGATGGGAGCGTGTCGTAGGGAAGACGATAATAAGGAGAAATGGTTTGGCATTTGGGACCTATTGTTCCATGGACACCCCCGGCCTGACTCCCCTTATCTCCCATCCTGCATCTTTGAGGAGGGCCTGACCCTCATTCAACCTTTTGTCCAGGATCTTCTCCATCAGCATGGTGCGGCAGGACCAGTACCAAGAAACATCCTTCACGTGGCCTATCAGACCTATTGCCATCACCTTCCCATGTCCCGGCACCCGCTATCTTTGAACAACCAGGGCTTCGCTTACCAAGCGCTCCCTCACCACCACCTCCCTAATAACAACGATGTCTACGGTGAAACAATTAGGTTCGAGGCCGAGTCAGAATTCAATTATTACCCTCGACAGTTTCGAAATTACAGTGGGCTTTGATGTGACCTTACGGCCTATAATTCCGGCACAGTCACGATGTTAGCCGTTGGTTGACAATGATTTGCCGATGAGAAGACGTCGACGTGCGTCTTCAATCAACGACAAGGAGATGGTTTAGGCAGGCCCGTTAACCATAAGTGAGATGCATCCGGATACAGGCACAGGGAATTCCATGAGCAGGACTTCCTGATATAATATTCCGGAATGATTCATGACGCTTAACAAGTGTAATGACTAGTCTTGGTTGTTGTTCCAGCGGGCGGGTCTAAGAACCAGGCACTTTATGGCGTGAAAGCTGGTCTTTCTGGAGGAGTAATTGTAAGAGAAAATAGAAGAAAAAAGTAATTAGGGAGGAGTATGGACACTGGATGTCCAAACTGAATAAGAATTCAAAGCATATATTGCTGCCATCATTCTAGACCATAGTGTAAACTATGTTAGGAATGTCAAAGCGTGGCATTCCTCCTATTCGCTGGTCTTACAGTGGAAAGTAGTAGGAAGAAAACAAATTACCCAGAATTCTTTTGTTCGATTTATGGTGAGAGATAAGGCAAATTGACTAGCTACAGGACGCCCCAAGCTCGGATTAAGTCGTACCCATACCCATCTCTACCCAAAAACAATGTTTACTTGTTTGCTCTCTGAAACTTCCGAAAGGGAGGATCATGGATTTTTCCACACTCATCCCTATACTCCATGTGAGTAGGTTGGTTGCGCACAATGAAGTTTAGGTTTCGTACTTACTATGAGGATGAGAATCGTCCTCCAGTCCCGATTAACCAGTAATCTTGGGAAGGAGTGCCGTAGTCTTGTTGGGAACCCGCTCCTTGCGTACCAGAATTGCCTCCTTGGATGGCATTGCTGGAACCTCCAGAAGAGGAGCCACTAGCATTGGCTCGAGTGCTACTCGGAGTGTCGGCTGGGTTGATAGAGGGGGGTGCCTCATTTCCGTTAATGGTGTACTCTTGGATAAACGGCATGTTGAGGGAAACTTTAGTTTGATTTCGAGTGTGCAATAGTGGTATACCGAAAGACAGGGAAGTGATGATGATTCTGGAGGGAACTGAAGAGGACTGGGGGTATTCTAGAGAGAACTCGGGGTTCTTTATACTTTAAAATTTCCCAGTTCAAGCATCATCTTACGATGCCCATTATCGGAATACAGTTATGTGGGCAGTGTTCAAAAAGCTGGACACTCAGTTTTCTGCCTTGTGCAATCTGATTCTGTCATGGCGGCCTGTCCATAATCTTTCGACGTGATAACTAGTCAAGCGAGGCTAAGTGAAACAGCCAAACTCGCCTTTGGTGGGCATCATGAGAGACACACGGTTTCAAGCGATAGCCTGTCCAAATTCTGATTTCAATGAATACCATTTGGGGTAGTTGAAGGTCCTGTGATTGGACGCTCATTCATCAGCCTGTCCAAAATCTGGCCAAAATCTTGCCCCACATCCAAGAGGTTCCCTGCCGAAATAACCCGGTTCTGTTAGATCTCTCCTGACGTTATTTCGCAGATAAGCTTTGCAAGATTTTGCCTTCAATTGGGTAGAGATGCGCAAGTTTATCTAAATCACGGCATCGAGACTAGAGATGACGGATATTTTCCTCTAGGACGACTGCAACAAACCCCGAGACTGTTCGTTAGCTTAGAGCGACTGGAATCCACGTTACGGTGGCTGATTCTGCTATTACTGGGAGGAAGGCTGGAGTATTAATTACAGGTCTACTACTAGTCAATCCAGCCTTCATGTCACGGAAAATACCATCGCTTTTTTCCCCCTTTGTCTGTTTGCCACAGAGAACTAGAGCCTCAAGGATTCGTATTTCACAAACACAAACGAGCGACGTAGCATGGCACAGCCCCAGATGTGCCAGTGACAAGTTTTTGGACAAAATCAGAAGTCACTATAAGATTGCCTGAGCGACCAGATCGAGGCCAAGAAGAGTCCTTCGTCAAGCAATCTAAGCCAAGAAGATGGGAAATACACAATATTCTCGGACACTGTCGTGTCAGAGCGAAGCGTCGGGCGCAAGTCAGGTCCCAATTCGCTATAAGGCAGCTGGACCAAGCCTCTGAGAGCTTTGGCGTGTAGGACAGCTGGAAGCTGTAGAGACAGGCAGTATATTAGGCAGTGAAATGATAATTATCTTATATCTTTACAGTCACACCCATACATCGATTGACATTCACGAATAGAGCTTGGGAAATTCGTCACAGCTATGCGATATGTGCCCTCACCAAGTTGGCCCGAAAGCTACACTATGAAGACGGTATGCTCCCCAGTACTCTGTTCATATTTCCAACATGGGTAGCCCTGCCCACTGACCTGTGGCGATAAGTATACGTCGCGGTACTCTTGATTAAAGCTCAGCAAGCCTATCCGCCGAAATCTGCCCATCTCGCCACAAATAAGTTCTAGTAGTAGACAGTGACTCTGAGATCGACAGCTGAAATTAGAAAAATTGTCGTACCAAGGCACATAGAATAGTTTTCCCGAATTATTTAAGACGAAGATATCTGTTTCGGTTGCTGCAAAATCAAGAGTAGCCTCAGGAAAGCGGTGGGGAGGGACGTCTTCAGCAGGTTTCTGGAGAGCCTCCATATCTTGCTCTGCCTCAGGAACAGCAACAGGAAACACTTGAAACCTTTTTGGACCCCTTCGAAGTATCATCCGCTTTAGAACACCACGAACCATGATTTCGATGCTCGGCGTCGACGGAAGCATGATAATGTTCTCGCTGAATAAGTATTCTTCAGCGTCCGTGTCAGCAGAAGTGCGCCATTTGACGCATGTGATTTGTGGCAAGATGAACATCTCCTCCGTCTTTATATCTTCCATGCCTTCTATTATGATAAGAACCTGGTAGCCAGAGATCCAGGAGAACGTCAAGTGAGTTAGCCTTGAGGAAGTCTCGTTCACCTCAGGGTCGGGCTTGCGTTCTACATTCCGCCAAAGCATTTCAAGAGAAAGGCGACTGAGCCACAACCCAGCCACATACACGTCGTCTTCTAGAAGCGCGCTAATCGCTGAGCGATACCTGCTACGGCTGCAAGCCTGTCTTCAGCAAATGTAAGCTTTGTGAGGCAGTATGCCTCCACCAATTCGTACCAGGTCTGATAGATGTCTCTACCAATGGTCGGTAGGAGTATCTTGAAGGTACATGTAGGTGTGTCGTTCCCGACAACTTCACCATCGAGGAATGAGTTCCAGGGCACGAGATCCAACCCCGTGGATTCGCTCCAGTGTTTCTCATAACACTCGTAAAAAACAATCTCCTTGCAGAAGAAGATGTTTCTGGGGGCAAGTAATCGCTCTTGAAATGCCCAGCCGCGGCTAATCAAAGGAGAGTCCTCAACTAGATTCCCCCATTCGAGGTGAGACTCAGCCAGAAGAACACCCTTCTGCTGCCCCTTCTGAGAGGTCATCTCAAGCAATACATTCTGAACCATGGCTGGGTCTCTTGACGTAAACAATCGGCCTATTTCTGAGCCCCATGAGGCGCAAATGTTGAAGCATGCATTCCAATATATATTCTGCATTGTTGGGGCCTCCTGTTTCCAATCTTTAAGCTAATCCCCCTCTTGGATGATGCAAAGACAATCGATCCAGGGTAATCGATTCCAAGGCGCTTAGCCCCTTGAACAGCATCCAGAAAAGTCTGGGGAAGGATTTCTGTCGGTATTCTCTGTCTCCACAATGATAGATTGTCGACAGTCAGTTTTACCTGTCTGCCTCTCCCCCAGCGGTGGCTAAGAGTAGCGTACTGGCCGCCCACGTCAGGGTCGGTCCCGTCCACGAGTCGTAAGCTGAGCTCTTTTTGGCCGTGGCCGTAGCGCGAGCTGATGTGAAGCAGCCGCGTAGGATACCAGTTCTTGGCGCGTTGCTCTCGATGATGGCGGCATTGCATATGTTCGGAGTTGCAACGATCGAGCCACGTCTTTATTTTTCTAAACGTCTCTTTCGAACCCGTTGAGCTCGAGGCAATCCTCCAGCTTAGCGGCACCATCGAGAACGCTTTGCTAGTGTGGTGCATCATGTTGCTGAACAAAATAGCAGTTTCTGGTAATGCATCCCCAAACCTGAGTATTACCCTGAAAGTGGGCCTGTAAATATCGTACTCCAGAAATACCACTGTAGAACCATCACGAGATTCAAAGTAGTCCCCATGCCTCTTGTTTCGTGGAAGCGGTCCCTTGAGAGCTCGTAGCTGCGATTGAAGATTTTCTGGGAGCTTGCGGAAGAGTCGTCTGCAAATATAGCACCCATTGTCGACAGAGCAAAGGAAAATATCGGTTGAACGTTCGTCAATAGCCGGGACCTGCGGGTCCCGTCACAGGTGTGAACGAAGTCCCAGTATAGATGCCCGCTTATAAAATTTTGGCATGGTGCACATAAAGACATGATAGTAATTCAGTATTCTTCAAAGTATTGCAGCATAACAAAGATGAGTTTTTAAGGTCAGGAGCGGACACATTTTTACACAAAGAGGGGGTAAGCTGAGTGTGTGATGTGACATGAAACTGTGCAACCCCAGATGAGTGCCGGCGACAAATGCTTGCACCAAATCGTGACCGTGAAAACGCCTGAGCGACCAGACCGGGGCCGATTTTGGACGCAGGGGCAGCTATGAGCTAGTAGATTTTGGATATACTCCCTATTTTTCCATTTGTTAGGCGCTAAGATCGGATTTGGGAGTCTACGCAGAGCGAGCCGTTGGGTGCAAATCAGGTCCCGATTCGCTGTGAGGCAGACAGACCAAGCCTCTGAGACTGCCTTGGCGTACTGGATAGCTGAGCTGGAAATTGCACAAACAAGCAATTAATCATGCAGTGAAAGAATGATTGTTTGGGCGGAAGAAAAGTCTTACGCCCTGGCATGCCACCACCCTAGGCTTGGGTAGTCTTCACTTTCTATCAACTGACGCTCGCCATTGGGGTCTGGCATATGGTGCAACACGCATAGGGCGAGGCGAAGGGTTGTCCAATTTCTGTACAGCAAGAGGTTAAGATTTTGGCCAGCTATCAGCCCCGTGTTAGAAGATCGCACGGGTCTCCCCAAGCAAGTGCCCTCGCTAGGGAGCTCCCAGGATTATGAAACTGCCTTGTTCAATTTCCGATTGCATAAGTCGCGCATGTCTAGAATTAGGATATGTAATGTTTCACGTAAGATGCTGTTTTCCGATAAGTCATTTCGAACTGACCAGCCAAGCTCTTCTCATGTTCGCTCTCTATCAGCAACCTGGGAGCGTATCATAGCAAATATCAATTGATATATTAGCCAGATAGACTCAGATATTGGTGCGCATTGAGGATATTACGGGGAATATCTCCCTCTTGACGCTTATCAACGGCAAAGGCACAGGCTACGAGTGACACCCAACACAAAGCCCAATGTGACGCCAAGGCGAGGATTTTTTTCAGCTCCCACTCCCCAGCCACTCATAAACACCCCGAGATGCAGGCATTACACTGTGGCGTCGGTAAGCACGGGATCTTTTGCCTCCTCGTCCGGTTTCGCTCACCGACCGAGTCTTGCACTTTCGCATCTCTTTGAAACGTAGTGTCCAAAGTCTACGAAAATAACGATCTCCTTATAGCCGTCGATCATCAGCTGCCCCTATTCCTCTACGGGTGGATTTGGCCGGGGGCTTTACAGGGAAAAGGGGGGGCGAGAGCCGTCATCCCGGTAACCGTACGTAGCAGTGAGAAAAATGCATGAAAAATTTGAACGTAGCATTGCGTTACCTAGGTTCCTAGCCCATCTGCTCGGTCAGAATGGCCTTGTTGGGCCATCCATGCCCGCATCGGTCGCGGCCTCCCACAAAAGCAAAAACAATAGGAAATTCAAAAATCAAAATCCCAGCGAAGTAAGGAAACCAGCAATCCATTCTAGTTCTGCAAGTACGGTTTTCTACGAGTCTCCGCGACAAGGGCCTCGAGCCCCCGGAGGTCCCCCTCGTAGGTCTCCTCTGCACGGTTCAGCTCGTACACGACGTCGTAGTACCGAGGCCGTGGCTCGGGTGCGGACGGCGATGGATTATTGTCACCAAAGTACATTGGTCCGTCGTTGGCTATCCAGCCCTCGCACCAGCCTGTGTCAAACGCGCTGTATCGGGCGGCATGGGGCTTGTCGTTCTTCATCAGGTCGGGTCTGCGGAGGAATGTCTCGCGCACCTCTTCTACCTCTGGTATGTAGTCAAAGCGGAAATCCGTCAGGGCGGGCAACTCCTCCCGGATTGAATTAAACACTTCTTCCCATGTTCCGTTAAAAGTGAAGACTTCGTCGTCTTCGTCGCCGAATCCAAACGCTCCCCTCGGCAGTTGCACCCAACCGGTATTGTCGATCTCCCACTCCTGCCTCAGATTGTTATTGAAGCGAATGTGTGAGCCGATAAAACACCTGTCCAAGCGTAGTGTGTGAATGTCCCTGCTCCTCAAAACCCAATCGAATTGATGGGGATGCACGATCGCGTATGCGCCCAAGTGAAGGACGCGCAGGTTGGGGAAATGGAGGTGGCTGGTGTCGAATCTCGCCGGCATCGCCCCCCAGCACACCTGGAACATGATGGTGAGAGAGGTGAGCTGGTCCGCGATGGGCTCTATCCAATGAGTTTGTAAATGTGGCTCGAAGCCCAGGCGCTCAGGACGTTGAAGGTCGAGCATCATCTCGCTGTCCAGGGTGTTGCGCTCCTCGCCCACGACGAGGTGTAAACTGTGAAGCTCTCGGATGATCATCCTAAACGCGTCTGAGGCGACCAAGTCGGGAAGGATCAGGTTTTGAAGATTCTCAATCGTGAGCGAGCGGATTGGACTGGCGCCGGGTGTTTCGAGCATACGCCGATGCAGCACGTTGAAGAAGTTGACGAGGTTGCGGACGCGTGTCGATTCGGTCTCAACATCTTCCTCGTAGTACAAGTCCTCGTGAGTCCGGCACGTCTTGGTGTAGTGGAATGCAACGGCGGTGAGATTCTTGAGCTTGATGATGCGAGCGAGTGCATCTGTATAGCTGGGATACACTCCCTGGTTCTGCCAGACCACCCAGTGTCTGTTGCGTGTCTTGAACGGCACGGGAGAGCTGTCGATGTGCACTCTTTTGGTACACTGCTGGACGACTTCCTTGTCCATGAGTTCATTCCACCTCTCGAGCCATTGGGGCTCGTGGCGCAGATGCAGAGAGTGGAAGAGATGTCGCGAGGCCAGGAAGTTCCACTGGCGGCACACAAGCCGAGCATCGGAGACGTAGATGCAGTTCTCGCCGCCGGTTGCATCCCACTGATCATCGTATTCAAAGAGATGGCGGATGATGGTGTCGATCATCTCCAGTGGCATGTCCTTGAGCTCCATGACGGCGAGAATCTACTGCGGGCAGTCCAGCCTGGGAGCGGCTGGGCCTGAGATCCATCAACAAAGTTAGATGCAACTTTTAAGATGCATTAGTTTGCTGACTGCCGTTCCCAGAGCGGGGTTTTATTTTTCGGATCGCTTTATTTTCGTGCATGCATGGATGACCCCCTTACCCCCTGGTCGATAAGCTCGCACCAACAACGCCTCTTCATTACTTCACAACTGACTCGGTGTCTCACTTACCGAATTTGCTATCCTCGTATCTCATGTACCATTGGCATGATCCCCGTTGCACCGAGCCCAACGTGCGGGTAGCATTGGGCACCTCGACGCCACGCTGCCATGCCTGCGGTGCCGCTCCAGATGTTGCTGCGCTCGTCGCCAGTCGTGCCATGACTAGTTCGACGCCGACGGTGCCGGCTGAGAAGCGGATTGGCGAGCTGGACCTGTGGTGGCCGCGCGTAGTTCCGTATTCACAGCCATCTGCCTTACTCGCGACCGCGGCCCAAAACCGCGACCCCCCTGACCAGGGTCGGGTCGCCATGCTGCCAGACGCGGACCTGTTTCCAGAAAGAAGCACGCCGTATTCTGCAACTCTTCGCGCCAATGAGTTCCGACTGATCAATCTCCCGGCCGTTGATGAGTACGATAGCCCCGTCCAGTTGACGCTTGAAGTGTACGACCTCGATGACTGTCCCGAGTACGAGACGGCTTCATACACATGGGCTGGCGAAGATGAGGACGGCGCGCTGTGCAAGCCTGTCTACATCGGCCCATTCTGGCACGTACTTCTGCAGACCAAAAATTGCTGGGAAATGCTGCGCTCTGCACGGCCATGGCGAGGAACACGGATGATCTGGGTCGACGCCATCTGCATCAACCAGGGCAACATCCCAGAGCGTAGCAGTCAGGTAGCGAACATGGGCCGCCTGTACCTCAACTGCAGCAGGACTGTCGTTTATCTGGGGCCCGACGTGGTCTCCCCGATGCACGGCAAACACCCCCGTAGACACAGGCTGCATGAACTTGCAACCGGTGCTGTGAAGCCACGCTTTGTTGACAGTTCCGGGACACTGAAGACACCTCCACCGCATCAGCTGAGAGATCTTCTCGGGCGCCGGTATTTTTCTCGGATCTGGGTCATCCAGGAACTGCTGCTCTCTCAGCGCGTCTCGATCCGCGTGGGTGATGTGGATTTCTGGGCTGACCCGGCCATGGCGACTTACCTCGAGGCAAGTTTACCTGGTTGGGACTGGGCAAATACGCCGGCCGCGTGGGTGCAACACATGGCGAAAGGAACTTTAGGTATTAAGAGCCTCCAGGAACTGCTAAGACTGACCTCACGATCTCAGGCGACGGATCCGAGAGACCGTGTTTTCGGATTGCTCGGGATTCTTCCCGATCTATCATCCTCGATGAAGGAGGTTGGCGGTGATTCATCGCTGCCTCTATTGGGTCTTCACGCGGACTACTCGCTGCCCTATCAACACGTCTTCATCGGCCTCTTTGCTTACTGCCTGATCAACTTGAGGCAGCCAGCCATCCTTCACCATGCTTGGGGTCCTGAGTCACATAGAGAGAGATATCCGACCTGGGTTCCAGACTGGAGATCACGACAGACTTGGGAACGATTATTCTCACACCCGCAAGCGGATAGACACCGCTTTTATCAGATTGCTCAAACTCTTCATGTCGGCGAAGACGGCCAGGCAATGCCAGAACTGATCTCATCTCCAGTCGACTTGTATGACCTGATTGGTCCCGGCAGCGAGCATATCACGGCAAAGCATTCATGGTTTCATGATGCGCAGATAAACGCTTCTACCGGCGCATTGAGTATCAGATTAACTCAGTATATGGATCTGTCAGAACCAATTTCCTACATAACACATAGAGATGGTTTCGGATTCTTCGCAATGCGGAAGAAACGATTTACTGCGTTTTTGCTATGCAAAAGAAGGCTCGACAAGCTTATATCAACTTCAAACTCGTGCCAGCTTTTTGTACTTAATGTGGATGGCCAGATTCTCATGTATCTCGTTCTTCAGCGCTCATTTGTGGGGGGTCCGGACACGTACAGCCTTGTTTCAACCTGTCCCCAGGTATTGATTCAGATGCCCTCCCATCGAAGCCATAACGAGCTACCGATACTTCGATCTCTTGCACTGGAAGACGTACAATACAGCATATTCGACCAGCTTCAGGAAGTTTGGAAAATACTCCACGGTCTATCTTTCGATAACCATGACCCCGGATTTCAAGAGCAATTTGAGCTGCAGCGCCTTTTCCCTGGTGTGAGATCAGGTCGCCAAATTATAGCTACTCTTCGCGCTCTGTATGTTGTTCTCCATTCTGATAACACGAATGTGAGGGAGACAGCCAGGCTTTCTATGTTTGAGGCTGCGTATGCTAGAAATATCAGCAGCAACCTGTCCCCGCGCGTCCAGGACCAGAACTTAATCATCTCTTTCCCGACTGCGTGGAGAGACATATGCGGTCTGTATTTCCAAGACAGGCGATTCGACAGCCCCCACGCCACATATTGGTGGTCGTATCGCTTCCAAGGTCGAGATCCCTGGATGCCTGCTCCGATCCCATATGAAACGTATAAAAGGATTCTCCAGTCAAGAGACCAGTGCATCGAGGTGCGGCTGTCAATATCCAGGGCTGTCCTCGTCCTTGCCCTGTCGCCTGGGGTGAAGGCCCTGATGCATGCTGTCAAGAACGCGGTCAATTTGACTAGACTAAAAAATGTTCATGTCTGGGACATACTGGAAGAGATGGAGCGAAAATGGGTCGCCTCCATTGGGTCGTCCCAGCCTAATCATCACGCCGGAGGTGACGCGTTAAAAGTTCCAGATTCAGTAGAAGAGAAGCTCGAACAGAGTCGCCTTATTGGGTGCGTATATGAGAAGCATATTACCCCAGACATCACATTCCGTCATCTTAGGGATGAGTTGGGAATGGATGGCAGCACCAAGCGGATAATCATCGAGTGATCAAGGTCTCTAAATCTAGTGAAATTACACCTGGGTTTTGTAGGGGAGGCCATACCCATCCAAGTAAGAGGCGAGGCGACTCCAGCTCTTTTCGCAGGAACAGTGGTTGAATGGCTGATCGTCCCAACGCTGGAACTTAGGACAGGAGCATCTCGGTAAACCTGACCAGGTCACGCATGCAGTGAGATTATTAACCAAGGTTTATGAAACTAACTCTGGACAGCCTCTTTTTTAGAACCCCGTCCCAATAGTCGAGAGGACATACGGCAAGCGCATGATTGATGAAGGGTACAAGTCAGCTCTTGATGATGTGATCACCTATGGAGAGTGGCTCAGATGTCGACTATTACCGAGCTACGAGGAAGCTCTAGCAATATACTCATTTAGCCCGGGCACTGTTGGTTACCATGATGCTTCTGTCGATCCAATGGCAACTTTTGCCAGTAGCTATACAACCACGCAGCAAGTCATCCATGCTAGCGTTCTGGATTACACAGTACCAACCGAGTCAAGGAAATCCTTCTCCCGGATAACAAAGCAAGATAGAGAGCTTCCAGTTGCTCTTCGTATCATCGCAGCGGCAGATTGTGAGGATATGGTCGCAGATTTGTGGTACACGTGGGTGCGCCAACGCTGCTTCTGGCTTCGTAACGAAAGTAAAAGTAGCAAAAGTTATATTAAAAGAGTATTAAAAAGAGACTTTTAGTTATCATTCTAGCTCTAGGAATCCAAATATAACACCCTCCACACGAGTCTAAGCATGCCACAGTCAGCCTGAATAACAAAGGAAATGTGGTGTACACCTAATAGTCTATTCGATTTCACAACCCTCCCGTTTCAAACCTCTGGCTGGTTTTGTTTTCCCTCATCTCTCCATCTGCTGGCAAGCTTCCATTGCACGCCCAAGCCCAACAGAGCGAGAACCTGTGCAACAGCGCATATCAGAAACGCCCAACCGACTCCCACCCCGTTCACCATAGGCATCGTAAAACTCGTGCCACCTGCGGCAAAGAGACACCTGGCAAGATTCAAGCTGGCGCTAGCTGCAGCGCTCGTGTCGGGGAAGATATCAACGAGGTAAGTCATGATGACAGACTGAGTCGCTATCGCGGTCCAGCCCGTGATGAAGGTTGAGACAATGGGAACTGCAATGTGGACTTTGTCCGAGTAGTTGATCGTCCAGCCGAAGAGAATGATAGATAGAGACTGGATGAAGGAAAATACGGGCACTAGCCGAAGGCGCGCCTTCTCGAGGGGGAAGGCTTCCTCTGAGGACCCGGCAGATCGTTCGATCCGACTTTCGTACGACGCCTTAACTCGGCGATAGTCAGAGTCGAGAATCTTTCCAGTAACCAGCGTCCCGATGATACATCCCACGCCGTTAGCAATGAACGTCAGGCCAATCTGTGTGTCGTTATGGCCGTAGCGTTCCGAGAAGAGCGACGACATGGCGGTAATGCTCATCTGCCACACCGCATAATGGATGGCGAGAAAGAATATGAACGGGGCGGCCAGCTTGCTGAAGAGGATTTTAAACGGCCCGGCGAGGTCGATGCGCTTCTGAGGAGGAAGTGTATATGTAGCACTCCATTGCACCTTGGTAGTCTTCTGGTAGAACCTGAGGGGATACCGCGTAAAAACGCCCTTCGGCGTCAGCGTCCCCGATCCTACCTTTGACCTCAACGTTTCCGGTAGAAGGAGGATCAGCAAGATGAGGAACACGCCGCAGTAGATGGTCAAAAACCAGAAGATGGATCTCCATCCCATCGAACCGGCCAACGCGCCGCCAATGACGGGTCCGATGGCCACAGGAGCAAGGAGCCCGGCCTGGAAAATACCCATGTAGCCTCCGCGCTCGGCCCTCGTGGTGATATCTCCGATGACGCCGGAGCCGATGGCGATGGTGCTGGCACTTCCGGTACTCTGGAGACACCGCAGGACAATGAGTGTGGCATAGTTGCGCGACAGGGCAAGGCCGATGCAGGCCCCGAGAAAGATGATGAAGGTGCCCACATAGGCTGTACGGCGACCTCTGACATCGGATATAGGGCCCCAAAGACTGGGAGCCAGAGCTTGGAAGATGAGATATGTGGTGACAGTGAGGTTGATGAGTTCGATTGAAACGTCCAAGTCGCGAGCGATAGTTGGCAAGGCAGGGAAATAGATGCTGGATGCGAAGCCGGAGACTAAGTGGATGATTAGCGGTGACCGATGAGTAATGTCGCTTCGGCAAAGGTGCTCACATGTAGCAGCAGTTGAAACCAACAACACGATCAAGGCCTTTTGACGATTGTCAAACACGCTGTAAGGTTCCTCATCCTGCGGTGTGACTTCAGCCGCGGGTGGCGGTGTGGTAATATTTTCGTTGTCTTGTGTGCTGGTCATTGTTGGATGTTGACTTCAAGAACTTAATTTATCAGTCTACCTTGAGTATATTGATGCAGCTCGTCTTTGTGTTGTTTGATCTTGGAGGGAAAATCAATGTTCATATACTACTGTCAACTTAGGAGGCGATAAGGCGTCCGGAGCTCAGAAGCGGGTCATCGGAGTTGAGACGAACGGGCTCGGAGTTGAGCTATGGATGCTCCAGCCATGCCTCCTTCATAAATTGATATTCCAAACTACCTCAGTTACATCATTCTGTGTAATTCACGAACTGTCCCTCTAGCTCACACAATCCTCATTCCTACTTGACAATGGCTGAAACACGGCCCCTTCCACATGCCATCAACTTCGGCAGTCACTACGCCGTTCTGAACCTCGATCTCATGGCTATTTTGATCGATAACGTTCAAAAAGATATCCGAGGCGAGAAGTTCGTATCAAATTGCGCTCGATGGTGCGAGGCTGTACACGAGAAGTCACCGAGGCCCATTACCATTTTCACCAGCCTTACTTTCTCGCAACCATCATGCCCTGAGCTGACCAAAGGCTCGCCGTTCTCAAAACTCCTTGAAGGTTTTGGCCCTGAAAACTTTGCCAAGGGACGCCCCGAGGTTGAGATTCATCCCAAATTCAAAGTACACGAGAACGATATTGTCGTGGCAAAGACAAGGTGGAGCGGTACCTCCGGAAATAGCCTTGGGCAGTTACTGAAGGCACAAAACATTGATACCGTGGTCATTGTAAGTAGAATCATGATTTTCCCTTCCCTCTCACGGAAGTCTGACAATCCTTTGCAGTCCGGTATCACCCTTTCTGGTGTTGTCATGGCCACCATCTACCGACTGTTTGACCTTGATATACAGGTCTATGTCATCCGGGACAATGTCATCGAATTGCCTCTGGAGGATAATGAAGCGTTCTCTAGAGTTATGCTGGATATGCTGTTACCTAAAATGAACCTACAGGTGATCAGCCTTGAAGAAGCATTGGGTGCATTGGGCCGATGCTAGGTGCACCACAGCCTTAATAGAGGGAGCATTTTTTGTAGCTTTTAAAATTGACTGTTCGATCATTTATCTAGGCCTCAAGAAAGTCCTGACAATAAGATTATATTCTCAACTTCCATGAGTAGCACTAGTGATGGCATAGATCGTTATGCCAAATTCGTCTATATCCTCAAGCCACCGTTCTACCCTCTGCTGCCGAACAACGATGTCCAAGTCATTGAATTCCGCTGGAATCGGCCAAAGCTCGTTTATTTTTAGGCCGCCCTCGCTCCAACGGACGAGGAAAGAATTGTACGCTGTTACCCATTCCCGTCGAGTGCCAGCCTGCCATAAGGACTTGCCTCCTGGCGCGAGGAGCCCATGCAGTTCAATGCCGAGAAAGGTCGGGGCTCCATCCTGCGAGGCAAGCATACTATCAAACAGATACATTGTGAAGAGCGTTCGGCGTTTCGCCTCGGCCAGTATCCAACCCTCCCATGGCGGGCGGCTATGTTGCTGCTCCTCTTTGCAAACGAGGCCTACCTTAGCAGCCGAGCATGCCAGCACCTGCAAGTTCATCACAGCCTCTCTGCAGAAAGGCTTCGACTCCTGGCCAAGCGAGAAGAATATCACCATGGTGTAGATCAGATATGCCTGGAAAGCCTGCAGGACGCCGCTACCGGTATATGTGGTGTGCAGCTCAAAAATACGAGCCATATCTCTTTTCAGTACTTCGGCAGCTACGCTTTCGCCTCCGGGAACTGGCTTGTCAAAGAGCCGCACCAGCGTGAGACAGGTCGATAAGGGATGGCAGTCCTGGCCGTCCGCCATCTGTAAGGGGTGAATAAAGGGCGGTGGGCAACCGCCGCGGATAGATATTCCGGCATACGATTTGAGCATGCGGTATATGAAGCCAGTCGTCTTGGGCGAATAGTTCTTCGCCTGTTGTCCAGGCACCGGAATGTAATTGTTAAGCCAACGATTTTGAATATCGTCTGCCTGGATTGGGCAGATGAGCTCGACACCCGAGAAGTTGAGAAAACTCTCAGAAACTGGTAAGATATTGTGCTGACTGGTTGGAAAGTGCTGGCTTGAAGGCGTGCGCATTACGTGTGAATGGGATGGGCTGGGGGCGTCATCTCTGCAGTCAGATCCTGTGAGAGGGGCTGGAGACAGAAAGCTGCTGTCGGCGACCATTTGGGCAGCCGTATCGGAGAAAGTTTGCGAATCATCATCCCCTTGACTGCTGCTTGCCGCTGTGTCTGGCTGAAGATAGATGCAGTCCAGATTTCGTGAAGCACATCGGCTGCAAGCGCCGGGTCTGCGGTCATATCGCGTTTTCGAGATATTGCATTGGCGACATGATTTCTGTCGAGAGTTTGAGTAACGCGACCCTCTCATGATATATGTCGCTCAATACACGGATACTTTGAGGAAGCTTGTAGTTGTTTGGGAGGAGTCAGGTAGGCCCAATTTAATGAGCTAAGTGAAATCCTCTCAACTCCGAACCCAAGGTTCAACTCCGAGGCAATAAGTAGGCATAGTACGTACCTAGGTAAAGTGGCGATCCGCTGGTTTCCACATAGGATTTACTTTTCTCCTTAGTGGGTGCATAAGCTTAGTTCCAGCATGTTAATCTAGCTCTATATAGTTGTATTAGAGGTATTTATTATACTCTATAGACTTAATATTAAGCTATTAGTAAAGGAAGAGTATTCTATTAAGCTATCTATATCTAATAAGAATTTTTATATAATAGATAAATATATATAGATAAAAATACTTAAGATATTATATTATTAGACTATAATAATAGCTAACCCTTAGGGGTTTATATTACTAGACTATCCAGGCTATAGTAGCCAGACCCCTATAGTAGATAAATAAGCTCTGGAGCAGCTAAGGTTATCTACTATAGGAGGGAGAATAGTTATAATAGTTAGTAGGTATAGTATACTAAGAGTACTAAAGCTAGATAGCTATAGCTATTATAAGTAGTGAAGCAGGGATAAAAGGTCCGGGTTCCGCAAGTCATGCCGCTCAGCGGCCTAGTTAAAAGGAGCTGTTTTTCGCAGCCTAGAGAGAAATTCATGCTTTTTTCCTTCATTCAATTGAGACCCTAACTTGTAACTGCCAAGTGAATTGACTGATCAATCGCGAAGCCTCGCGAAGCCTCTGTTCAATTGAGGCCGGCTGTAGCCTCAAGAGGCGCTGCGACGAGCGTTCAAAATGCTTCCTTCGTGAGAGATCCCTCTCTTCTCAATCCGTTCAATCTCTCGAGACGAGGAAGGTCTTCGTACGATGAATCTAACTGCGGGCGATGAAGCTGTCAACTAACGCGATAACCGCTGTGTGCCACGTACCCTTGTGTTGTGTGGTTGTGGGTGTTGTGTGTGTGTACAGCTTCCTCTCTCACCGCTTCAGTAGTATAAAAATATATAACTACTAACTAATAGTAGTTCTAGTAGATCTTTTTAGTCTAATAGCCTAATCTCTAGTCTTTAAAACTCTTTTCTATTATAATCTATTAGAAACTATAGCTATTTATTATATATCTCTAGTAGGATTTCTAGTAATATAAGAATATAGCTAGTTATATAGAATTAATAGTAATAATAGTTAATAATAACTATTTAGATAAAGAGAAAAAGTAGTTAGTATTCTTTTATTATATTAAAAAGAATATAAAATATATATTAAAGTTTAATACTATAAATAACTCTATAAAGTATAAGATAGATAGTATTAGTAGTTAAGATAAATAATAACTACTTTTTATATCTATCTACTTAGTTAGATTCTTCTTATTTCTATATAAGAAGTATAATAAGTATACTATTAATATAAATAATATTATTTAATAACTAGTTTAAAATAAAAATAAGTTTATATTTAGTTAGTTATTTTTCTATAATTTTCTAATTCTTAAGCTTAATAATAATTTTATTAAAAACTAGAAGAGATAGTAGTTAGTAGTTTAATCTTCTATCCTTTAGTAATCTAAGCTATAGTATATATTCTCTTAAGCTATATAGATAAAATAAATAGATTATTAAGATATATCTAGGGATATTATTTAGAAAGTTTAATTCTATCTTATACTAATCTCTATATTCTATAATAAGTTTTATAATAAAAGGAGTAAAAATTTATAGATAGTATATAAGCTACTCTAACTAGATAGTAAGCTTAGTTTACTATATCAGAAATAAATATTATTTCTAGATTTTAATAGAACCCTAATAGTAATAAAAAGTTTTATAAACCTAATTAGTATTATTTTAATTCTATACTATATAAAGTTAGATAGTAATTAGTTAATAGAAAGAATAAGATAGCTATAGAGTTTATACTTTATTATTCTATTTATAGTATAGAAATAAAATATATAGAAAAATACTAAACTAAATAAAAATAAGCTCTATATTTAAAATATCTAGTTAAATAGGGTTATAAAAATACTAGAGTAGTATATAATAAGCTATTATATAGAGAAAGATTTTCTTAATATAAAAGTTACTAGATATAAAATAATAACTTATATATATAATCCTATTATATATGGTTACTTAGAGTAGTATTTTAATTATTTCTAGAATATAATAACTATAGTTTATAAGAAGCTATAAGAGCTAAAGTATAGTAAGAACTATTTAATAGTAGAGATTATAGTAAATATTCCCCATGATCTTTACTATTTACTGGGCTTCATACCTCTGGCTGGAAACTAGCAGAAAGACAACAACGGAGAAGCAGAAAAAGGCAATAACTCAGCCTAAGTAAATCTCCAGACTGCTGGGGGGAAGAACAATAGCAACTTCCAGCAATCTGTGGACGGCGGAAGAGGTATTCTCACCATGTATCTTTTTGACCACACCGACGGTGAACGAGATATCGCCTTTGATAACGGATCTATTATCCATGAATATACCCACGGAAGTATAAGACTCCTAACCCTAAGATCTTATTAACCCTAAATTCCCCTTAAATCTAACCTGACCCTCCGTGCATCATATCCTGCCTGCTATAGAGGGCGATTTGAGTCAGTATCATAGACCGACTGATAAGCATTCAGCCCAGCACTTTGATATACCTCATCCCCATACGGCGGGATATATGGGCTCCGTATAGGACTGGATGGAGGCTCAATGGCTGCTCCTATTCCGCCTACATCCGGCTTTGAAGCGTGATTCTGGCTGTCTCCTCTCTCTCCTACGGGCATCAATCCTATACCCTCGCCTGATAGGCCATTGCGCTTGTCGCCACGACTTTGGCATCGATGCTTGATCAATAGGACGATGACAGAGATCAGCAGGGTTCCGCCAGCGGCACCGCCTACCGCGGCTCCGACGAGCCAGGATGGCAGGCCCTTGGGTGCTTGGGGAATAGGTTTAGGCGTTGTGGTACAAAAGTCAGTCGCCGAGGCTGCGTCGGCAGAGTAAGAGTCTTGCACGGAGATGGGAAGCGCGGTGTACCAGTCAGGAGTAGTGTACCTAGTTGCATGGCCGGACATTAGGAAGCATGGGGCCTCGGGATCAGTGTAGATGTAGGTTGGTATCACTGCCACGATGCTTTGAGTGGTGTACAGCTGGGTTGTGGGAACAGAAATGATGGATTGTTGGTTGGTAGTCTGTGAAGGGGCTGCGGTGGTAATGGGTTGTTCTGTCGTTGCGGCGGGTTGTTTTGACGTCTTGGGTTCTTCCGTAACCACGGGCTGTTCTATTGTCGCAGGTTTAGTCTGCTCTGCCTCGGTAGCCGTTGGCTCATTGTTGGCTTCTGATTTTGCGACGGTGGTCTCTTGGTTCATAGCTGGCTTTTCATCGGCGACACTGCGTGTGACGATATTATTATTCTCAGAGTTTGGCATCACGATGTCTACCGTAGGGGCAACGTTGGAGCTGGAGTCCCTCGCGGTCAAGAGTCGGAGCTTCATAATAAAGAATGAGAAAGCCCAATAGGAAAAGAGCAAAAACAATAATAAGCAGGAGTAGTAAAATTTTAACTCGGATCAGGCCCTAGTTAATGACGAGTAAGAAATATAAGAAAGTGAGTTTGATTTTTTTTTTTACCGTCGACTTAGATGATTTCGACCGAGAATATCTAGCAGGCGGGTAGGGGAAGGTTTTCTATCAGTACGAGTTAACCATGCTCGTACTTGGAAAATACGAGAAATATAGCGTGCGCCTTCCCGGATGCCCTGGAGGCCACGGGCGCCACGGACGCCACGGACGCCACACCACTTACACCCTGCGTTAACGCCCTCAGTTGGAGCGAGGACAGTGAACCTATATATGCAAAGCTACCAGGTTAGCAACCCAGACCTCCAAGGAGTAAGTACTATACAGCGAAAGGATATTAATCCAAGGCGTAATTTTTCCACCAAAGAATCCGGAAACACCTATGATAATCCAACTTATACCTATAAGCACGAGTGAGAAGATAGTGGCGCGAAGAGAACCGACCTATGTTCCTAGCACGAGACTAATAATAGCTATAAATCCGACTACTATAATAGTTATTCGTATACTGTTCTCTTTAATGCCAATGGTTTCCAGATAAACCAGTGTATTATCGATTAATTCTATACCTAGCCTAGGAGGGGAAAGGCTCACCAGGATAATGATTATTGGAATTGAAATATCATATAACCGCTTTAATTAGTCAGAAAGAAGAGCTATTACTCGACGTGGATGGGCCTTGCAAGAGCGACTGCTGTCGAAATATATTCTTCATTTTTTCCCCTCTGCGATCTACTTCGAGGCCGCTTCCCGCAGAATTGTGGAAATCGGTAGCGAAGACTCTCACTTCGTGGAAGAGACGCCCCAGCTTATCCAGGAATGGAAGAATTGGACTTCACCTGAGGGGCAGGGAAACTGGCATAAGATTGTTGAATGGTACTCGCGGTGCGGTCTAACCAAAGACCAAGACAAGATTCCAGCCTTAGCAGGGATTGCAGCCAAGATTCAGAGTACATCCAACGGCGACTATCTTGCCGGCATGTGGGCAAATACCTTCTTGCCGGACCTACTTTGGGTCTCCGTCGACGGGAAGAAATCTAAAAGATCCGCCAAGGCGAGAGCTTCCACTTGGTCTTGGGCATCATTGGATGGGGCTGTTGTTTATCTTCACAGCACTAAACTCAAAACCTTCGATCGTGTTTTCAAGCATCATAATATCTTCGGAGAGTTTTCGGGAATGGGTGACCTACATGGCCCTGACATTGGTCGCATCCTAAGAGAAAGAGGGGGCCCATGGAACCCCCTATGGATAGATAGGCCGGCACCCTTGTACTTTACAGGTTGTCCAGGGAAATTGCCCCCGCTTGGGGACAGCTGCGAGGGCTCATGGCCCAAAGATGATGATCGCGTCGGCCGAACGATAGTCAGTGAGTTTGAGCAACTTGCAACTGTTCGCTTTCGACCTGTCTTTCTTGAAGGAGACGTTGTTGGCCGAGTCATGCTTGATGTGGATGATGGAGAAACACCAGTCCAACCACAGCTTTGGTTCTCCTTGTTAGACTTTAGTGACGTGATGACCAATCGAGTTCTAGTGGTTTCCGGTGGTCAAAAGGGCAACGAATATGGAAGGGTTGGTATTGGCGTCTTCGCTAATGTTATTATCAGAGAGGACAAGAGCTGTTATCCAGTATTTCAGAAGTTACAAGGTCTACGGGTTGATGAAGAGCGCAGCCCGACTATCCTTCTCTGATTGTTGTTGCTCTGAAAATAAATTGGGTTCGTTATACAGATAACAATTTTGAGTAAATAGGCAAATACTGTAGGGTAGGTATCAGAGGGCGTAAACTGTTAGCTGTCTGACCTACTCATGCCAGCCCCACCTAAGTTTTCAGGTACCCGAGACTACCCGGATGCCTGCATCCGACACTTTGGACCACGACTATGGCGTCCCCAAGTATGCTCGTCGTCCAGATTACAATATTTGCGCATGTAAATTTGATATCAAACGTTGAGAAACTCAAGAAAGCCGAGCAAAATACACTGTTCCACTCGCGCATAGCATAAGGCATTTTTTTCCCTTTCTTTACCTTTAATAGCCACCTCCTTGTAAAATACAAAATTGCACGCATTTTGAGGCTCATCTTTCGCCTGTTAATGTGTCCTTCATTGGGTACTTTGCTTGGCATTATAATAACATACATAATTATACATATTAGCTGTATGAGCTCAGCCTTAGCCACCTTGCTGTACATGCATTCTACAATTATCATGCTTTACTCGCATCCGTCGGCCGATACAGAGTCCGCTGATTCAGCATTTCTGGTGTATTCGGATCATGACTCGGCAACATGACCACATCATGGAGCCTCGCGTACTGCTTAATCTGTTGCAGGCTTCGAAAGGCCGTTTCCGGGTCGTCGTTGATGCCGTCAGGCTGCTCACTGTCCAGATCCTCGATGCTGTATGTGGCATCTCCGACCAAGAAAAAGTTGGTGGGATCCTGGTTGTCGTTCTTCGCGCAGACAATGAGCGAGATGTGTCCCGGGACATGACCTGGCGTGTCGACCGCGACAACCGAGGCATCTTTCGTGATCGGATAGTGCGATGCCCATGGGCCAATGGTCTTCTGCGTTTTCTCAAGAATCCGCGGCTTGAAGTTCTTCGGCCAGTGTTGCGGGGCACATCCATTGATGGTCGCATGGATGGGAGAGTTCCCAAAGGCGTCCCAGTGATCTTTGGTTGTATACACGGGAACGTCTGGGGCTTCCTCAAGCAGTGCGGGTAATCCTCCGGCGTGGTCTCCATGGAGATGACTGAGGACAATGGCTTGGAGAGTTTTGGGGTCAACTCCTCGTGCCTTTAGCTGTGATACAATTCCCTCATCTTTCCCGATGACCGTTTGAGCAAAGAATCTCCCAGTACTCAACATGCTATGGTAACCGGGATCGTTACACAGAGGTGATTCTCCAGTATCGAAAAGGATCGGCCCGTCCGGGTGAGAGATTAAAAAGACTCCAACAGGCAGCTCATCTGACCATGACTGATCGAAGAATGACCTCATTCGCCGGAGGATCGTGTTTTTGTTTTCGATAGGCTGGCTTTTCATAGACGTCTTGATCCTTACCTTGCCGGTTGACAGGAACGTGATGGCAACGTCCCCTGGCTCCATTTTGATAGTTTTTGATGTTTGGTGTGAAGTGATTACAATGAGTGAAGTTGAAGATATTTTCCCACTACAGCATCAATTGGAATTTTATTGATCGCATGTCTAGGCAAATTTTGGCAGTCGAGTTTGCGGCGGTGGGTATGGGGCGGTGTGTCGATTTGACCGGCGGGATTCTATTCACCCGGTTGCGGAGTTTGAGTTTCTGCGATGTCGAGAACTGGCGCCCGAGAACTCACTACTTCTATGTTGATTATCCTCCACTTATTCACATCCACGGGAGCCTTGGCGCAGCGGTAGCGCGTGTGATTCCAGTCCACAAGGTCATCGGTTCAAATCCGATAGGCTTCATATCAGAAATTACTTTTTGCTTTTGCCGCCTGATTGGAAAACTCACCAATACGTAGAGTTTTTCATAGCTAGCCACTTGCCTGCAATCAACTGTTTGGAAGGGAGGTGTAGACGCGTTGATGTGATTGTGGGCCGATGGGTGCCGATTGAATCCACAATGTCTCAAACCTAGAGATGAGCCGCCTTTCATTCAGCATTCATCGCCTAGTCTGCACTAACGGAGTACTATTTTGGCATTTGGTAGTCAGCATCAATTTCGGGATCATTATTTTAGCCCACAAGACCGCTGAAGACCTTCAAACTTCAGAGCAGTCCTGAATAGTACGTCGGAAACGCCTTCAGACAATCGTTCCGGGAGACAAAATGCTATGCTTTAATTTTCGGGGAAGAGAAGTAATAGCACCAAGGAAGGCGGCTAGACGAGTGGTCGCCCTTCACGCCGGTACAGCATTTATTATGGAAAGATGGCTATTAGATTGTAATTCAAGTCGGCATAACATAGCAGACAGGATGCTCCATATGCCACAAAAGACAAACCGTGCGTAATTGAGCATATAGATGGTAAAAAGAAGAAAGAAAACAGTTCGATGTAGTAAACCCCCTCGCTCCCCGATACCCTTGCAGCTGTCCTAAGCGAGAATTTGAGGGGTATATATAATAAAGCCGTAATGATCAGATTGTAACAAAAGAAAAAAGCATATGACGAAGCCTGGGCGCTCCGCGCATTTCTAGTCAAATATGTAAAAGAGGGATGCCAATGCCAACAATACCAAACGCAATCTTGTATCCAGACCGTTCGTTATCGTCGCATCGTATTATAAAGTGTTTATGTATGTCGTAAAATAAATCGGTCGCGTAACGTTAAAGATCAAGCTGAAGACTCCTTGGCCTCGGCCCCCTTCTCAGCTTCAAGGGCTTCTGTTTTGGCCAGCTGCTCCTCCAGCTTCTTCCTCGAAGCCAGCGCCCTGGAGCGTCGTCTTTCGTTCTGCTTGTCCCCAACGATATTGGGAACGGCCTTGATGGCCCGGAACAGAGTGATGAAACCGAGTTTCAGCTCGCGAGCCGCCGCTTTGAAGTGGTCTTTGCACGCTTTGAAGCTTTCCCGGCCACTGCCGGCGCGCTTCCTGTTCTTGTAGGTTCTCTCCGCCTTTTGGGCCTGCTGGAGCTTCTCGGTGGCTTCGCGGCGCGTCATGACGAGTAGGTTCTCGGTGTTTGATGTCATGCGCTTCTCTGCCTCGGTGGGCATGTTCTCTTCGTCGCCCTCCTTCGGCTCGGCCTTCTTCTTCTTGAACAGTGGCATGTTGATAAAATTAATGTATATGTGAATTAATGGGTATCAGTTGTTGCGATTAAGGTATGTAAATGACTGAAAGTGGACGAAACGAAGAAAGCCGGGGGTCTGGACGAACGCCTGCTTATACATCAGTTCCTGCTTGAGTACTTGAAATTCTTCTGGCACACCTCCATTCGGCGTTGACCGATGGTCAACAATTTGGCATAAGGGCTTTGCATTGTGATAGCCCAAGACTGGCTGGCGACGAGCGCAACAAGCCAATGGCATTGCGAAGATCATACCGGGACGCAGACTGTGAATGCTGGAATTGCAGGGTCTGGCTGCCAGGGTCTGAGATATGACGATGACAGTATCATGCGTGGATGGACTAATCCGGTTGCAAGGGCTGGCAATTGGCTAACACTCTCAATGGCTATACCCATTTTGACTGTCACAGCATGAATTCATATTTCTTTCCATCCAATTGTACGAAATAGGGACGCCATTGATGAAACACCCGTTAAGCCAAGTCGAGCACTCGCACAGCGGGGCGCGTTGAAAGGGGTTAATGCAGTCAAATTTCATCCCATTATGCAAGTTCAACACCCTTGCTGGCCTAAGAGCGTGAAGCTCTACCTTACCCATGCCGAATATCATGAATGAGAGTTCTTCACCCGTAGTTGCTATCAGTAGGCATTTGAATTTGAAAATGTTATTCAAAAAAGACCTTGAACTCCAGATAACTTTCCTTGAGAATAGATCTGCCCAGCTTTACACGCAAATTATCTCGTAAATCGCCCAAATCAAGACTATGTAAAGCGACGTTGCAATCATCTGAAATTCCTGTGACTCATTGTGCTAATAACCCCTGTCCGATAACTCTAGCATCCTCATCGTCATCAGCATCAAGGTCGTAATCGAAGTCGGGCGCATCAAAGAAGCGCTCGGTCTCGCCCGTGACAGGCCTGTAGCACTCCCGATGACTTCTGAAATGGCTGAATCCTGGAATCAGACTCGCCACCGGGGCTTGAAGGTGTAGATCGCATTGGGGACACATCTGCTGCTGTGTGTTCCTCACTGGACGCCCGGGGCCAATCAAGTCGCCGAGATTTAGGACGGCGAGATAGCTATGATTAAAGCTGGGGAGTTTTTAATGTTAGAAATCTTTTTTTTTTCCAGCATGGCTTCATGATGAGTACTTACAAGGCGAAGAGATATTGGATGGTTGCATATGTCGTCAAGGTGACTTGACCAGACTCACGTCCAGCCAGACTCCTCCATGTGAAAACCAAAATAGCCAGTATGCCAACTGCGCAAGCGGCGTCAAATACCAAGATCGTGATAGAAATGCACCGAGCCTGTCGCTGAAGCTTGATTGAATCTGGGGTGTCTTCTGTTTGGCGGCGGTAGCGGAGGAGCAAGCCGGCACAGATAGCAGTAGAGAAGGCCAGAATCGGCAAGCCCACGATCGGCCACATTCCTGAAATCACCGAATTGACTACCGAAAGAACAAGGTTCGGGATGAAGCTCAGAATGATGAGCTGGCGGACAGGATGAGTCAGAGCCCGTGGCTTTGCCATAATGCACAAAGAAAACTGTGTTGGATTCTGTGCACTTGATTTAATTGATTCTGGTCCTCAGATAGATATTGCAAAGAAGAAATGCAGAATTCTTTTTTTGGGCTACATGTATCGATTACTGTGCTATGGGAGGAAAGCATTATAATATCACTTACCCCTGACGGTACGCGCATAAGGGTGAGCATGACGTGAAACACCGGCACATTGTTATGGCATGTACAGCTGCCTGAACAGTCGCAAACATTTGAGCAGTTCATGCTGTTAGTCTGCAGACGCCAACTGTTTGATGGATGGTTTGCTACGTCTAAAAATAGACAGCGACACAAGCACGCCTGTTCATCGCGTCCCAGCACCGACATCATGGGCAATGAATGCATTCAAGTAACAATGTTTCCTCTGCCAGAAACCTGCTCTTTGTTGTTGCAAAAGCTTATGGTGCGATTCTTCATCATGCAATATACAACCTAGGCTCAAACTCGTCATCTTGCTGGTCTGCCAGTTGTTCATGCATCCCTACACAATGCCCTGTCCCATTGCATAAACCATCATGCCACCATATTCTGTCGAACATACTCCTTCAGAGCTGGTGAAGCGAGCGACTTTTTCATCCCGACAAACCACAGCCATTTTTCGTAATACCGAGTAGCCAGCCATGCTTCAAAATCTGTCCCCAGCAAGGCGAGATCAATACACGGATTGAAATTCATCATTTCGAGCCCAAGCGACTTGGCTTCGTCTCTATCCTCTTGTGTCACACCGCGGTTCTTCCTGGGACACGCAGCGGCCTTGCGCTCGTCATCGCTGTCACAAAATTCACAGAAGCCACTTCGTTCTTCAAGCAAGCCGTATCCGCCATCCTCGCCCGGCTCTAGGTAGAGGTGGATGCGATACTGCATACCAGCCAGAAACGCGATAATGTATCCTCCCACACCGCCATCCATAGATTTAGGAACCTTGCGTAGCCCTCCCCTAGTCATCTCCAGCCTTGACGCATCAGTCTTGACGACATAATCTCGACGGTCAATGTCCTCGATAAACTTGAGAAACGGATCTGGAAGACGGACACACACACGTTCAGCACTGGCGGTGAGATCGGCAACCGCGGCCTCGTGGACGCCACAACCGCGGTTATACCTCGCCATATGTTTCGCGATACTCGGGCACGGAGGTTGCAGCCAGTGCAAATCACCAGATAGATCTAGATAATCCAAGTTCCGCGGATAAGGCGGCTGCTTCAGATGGGCATGCGGAGGCAGCGCAAGGATCTCCCTGCCACTCGATGACAGGAGGCCATCCATCATCGCTTGGGGGAGGTCCTCATGGACAACGAGCTCGAACTGCTTCTTAAGCCGCTTCAACGCCCGGCGGGATCTGAACACCGGCTGGAGGAGCACCAGACACATGTCCGTTAGGGCATGGTTGTGTGAGTGCGCGACAACTTCCAGTGTTCGCAGAGGTAGGTATCGAAGAATCTGAAGGATAAGCTCCTTTGGGAGACGATGAAGCGCCGGCATGGCCGATGAAGATTGACTAGAGAGGTGGAATCTCCTCAGGTGGCGTCAGACAGAGCATAAAGTGAATGAAATCTGTGAGATTGGTATTTTTAAACTCGTTAATACTATCTAATCGAGCGGGGTGCTGAAACCCCGCACTGCAGTGTACAATATTCAGCAGGATTCCGCTGGGGAATTTATTGCATAGTGTCTTCTGCTCGTAATGATGTGGGTTACTGTCAGAGAACTCTGGCCCTCTGTAGGTATCATGAGTTCATGCCGATTGGCAACCACACTGGGTGGCCATGGTGGTATTTCTGGAGCAGCAGCAAGAGATCCAGCGGGGTCTTGATGCTATCGTTCCACACAAACTAGCTGCTTTACATCTACTTGTTATTGTTATGGCATGTCTGCAGCAGTTATCTGGCTCTCAAACATTTCCCAGTCGGCCAGCTCTTCGCCCGTGTACATCCCGGGCTGGAACGCCCAAAATATCCCATCTTCGCCGTCAAGAGAAATCCCTGATGCGTCAATGTTTAGGAATGGCCTATCTACGGGCGCATGGCCATCATGTTCCGCTAAGTGATAAGTTGGGTTGTTATCCTCGTCGGCTGTGAGCGAATCTTGCCTGGTCCTGCCAGACCCGTGACTGTGGCTATTGATGTGATCGGACTCATAGCCACGCTCGAATGAGAATCTTTGGCTTAGGATATGAGTTTGAGAAACCGGGCTTTGCTGCTGGACTGCGTACGGAAACTCCTCTAGATGTGCGCACATTTGATTGAGTTCTGTTAGTCTCCTTGACGCAGCCCGATTTCCCAGGCTCATGAGATGGGAGAGGAGTCGACGTGAAATGTCAAGACCGCAGGATCCGAGGCCTTTTTTTGGGACGATTATTTCGAGGAGCACGAATACGAAGCCAGCCGAGAAGAGGGCATCAAGGTCTAAAAATGCGTGTTTTGCTTAAGACCCGAAGGAACGAAGACGTCGGGTTAGCCTAGGTTGAAATCGTAGAAAGTGCGGTAGATAGAGAGCAAATCTCGCAACTCACCCATGATGCCCCGATTCCAAAGCTCTTGTAGAATCATCAAGCTCTTACTGGCTGCCTCCACGCACTTCTCTGCAAGACGTCTTAGAGCTGAACTTGGACGGCCGTACGGTTGGTCGTCCGCCTTATGACTTCTCCGTGCAATAGATAGAAGGATAGGGCGCCCGGCGTGAATGAAGGCCTGCATTGAATCAGAACAGCTTTCTAAGCTACCATCAATAGGAGAATGGCATACCTGAAAAATAGACAAATACAGGGAAGAACTTGTCCGTGCTGCGGTCTGAGCTGCCTTACTGAACGGAAGGCCACCAACATGGATCTGTGAGCCTTCCAGAACCATGACGTATTCAGTTGGCAGTTTTCGCTCAAGGCTTTCGATGGAAACGAAAATATTCTGGACATCTTCTACGAAGGATGACTCAGAGGAACCCTTATCAGTGTAGATAGCTATTTAATGGATGTTAGTAACAAATCAGTGACGAAGACGAATACTTTCCATCACTGACTCCATATAGTTTGACCGGTAATTCTGGCAGCTAAAACATTCATTGAAATTGCACTCGAAGCAGGGAAACCGGGGAAGTCACTAGGAGGATCTACGGTGATCGCTTCGTCATGCAGTGAAATAGGATATCCTCCTGCCGCTGCGAGGCGCCTGGAAGTAATGTCAATAAGTGGGAGAAATATACAGGATAGCTTCGTTTCCTGCTGATCAAGTGAGTAAGCCTACCTGTGTTGCATATATATAGACCACCAAAGTCGGTTCCGATGCACTGCTTCAGATCTAGGGAGCATTTGATCGCCGCCTACTTTATGCATCCCGCGCACAACGGCAAGATGTAGTGCCAGGCTTGCCTTGAAATATAGAGGTGAGCAGGTGTGTTCGGAAGAGACCTTTCAGCTCACAATTGGATGGGCTTACCTGTACATATGCCTCGTCTTTTCGATCCACAATTTGAAGATATTGAGCACTGAGTGCCACGACCTCGATTCCGAGGATCCCATGGCTTTTGAGAACAGAAACTCCAGGAAGATACTTGGTAGCTTCACGAAATAACGACGCCCCCGGGTTATCTTCGCCCGGTAAGGCCGGCTTCGCCTGTAACAGCCTGCCTACGGCCATAACCAGGAGCGCTTCGACAAGCCACAGCCTTGAAGGAGGTTCATCGGCAGTGGGTCCTTGATACAGGCGAGAGAGCATGTCGGAAAATAGCCGAACATCGAATAGTTGCTGTGAGATGCCAACATTGAGCACAACTAGGTCCAAAAGCTCCCGCGACTCAGCCAAGGATGGCCAATCTGGTAGAGTCTGCAGGATGGCATCGCAGTGGCGAGAGGTCGTCGACATGGCCTGGGAGGAGGGACTTTCGTTGTGAAGCTGAACTGCGGTGCGAGAGGCAAGAAGACTCCTAATCTCAGAGCCAAAATTGTCACTTGATGATAGAGCAGAATCAGGCGCAATTGCTATCAAGGTACGGAGTAGTTCACGCTGATTAGTTTAGCACCCTCGTTGGGAAGGAGCCTGCAATAGTCAACTTACTTGGGGATTTGGCATGCCTTGGGGACTGAGTTGATCCCGGGTCGCGAGCTGGCACTGCTGGAGGCGTGAATTCGGTATGCTGGACATAAGTAGCTCGCGCATGGGGGACAGGATTTGGGGACGCTGAGGCTATCGAAGCTGACGATGAATGGGGTCTCATTAAAGTCGGCGATGGGCCACCTGTAGTTTCACAATGAAGGTAACTTGTTAGCAATTGCAAATATAATGTGACTGTTTGGCTTGTTTACTTTGTGTTGGTTCCTGAGATGGCTGCTGAGCTTGGCCTTCATATTGCGCGACCTTATCTTTGAGTTCTCGAATCTCCCTGCCCACAGCATCTGCGTCAGTGACTCAATTTATATCAAGTTTAAATGTTGCTTGGGAACTTACGCGACGGAAAACATCTTACGCTTATTCATAGCGCCAAACACGCAGTGAAGACGACGCTTGGCGCAGTACTGGCAAGGCTGCTGCCCGTCGCATTTAACTTTTTTTTGCCTGCAGATTTCACAGGCCTGGCTGGTTCGAATGCCCCCTTCGATAGATGACCGCCGCCCTCGTCGTTTTCCTCGAAGAGGGCCAGTGGTGGCGGGCTCCGTCGACTCGGGCGGCTGGCTGCGTGGAGAGGAGATTGCGTCGTCCATGCTGGAATAGAACTTGGGTGGTGCGTCTAATTAACCCTGGCTAACAGGCCCAACCCCCGCGCCGCTCTAAGATGGCCGCTTCAATGAAACACAGACCATCTCACTTCGGTGGCGGGCAAAACTGGTGCACAGGCAGCGGGAACGGAGTAGTTGAAGTTGAGATGGAGAGAGCAAAGTCAACATGGAGCTGCAAATGCGCTGATTGGCCATACGACACGGGGAAGGCGCAAGCTTAGTCATCGCTATCTTCCCCTAGAGATCCGCTGCAGGACCCCAGATTTGCAGCGGGGTAGTCGCCTGTGAGTCAGGTTCGATGCCACTTCAGGGGGCAGGTTCTGGGCTCGTTAGCGGTAGTCAACCAGCGTGATGGTTCAAAAAGCTGGGCCTAGCGCTAGCCAAAGTACATGCTGAATGTACTTTTTGTGCACATCCGAGACTGGGAGAAGCTTCCGAGGAGCCGAAGCCGAGAATGGCTTTTGTCCTTGCACGATCCATAGATTTGCTCCTTCCCTCAAATGTTTATCATCAATGGATCTCCCACTGATTCTGCCCTTCGAGGTACAATAACTGTAGATCATGCCAGAACTGGTCGCATGATATGAAAATATCAACTTCCTTGCTCTGGATGCATTGACTGAGTTGGTACTGAGTGTGGTGAGAATTCCGGCCCAAACCTTCTCTTCGTGACCGCTTCTTGTCTAATAACAGAGAATCCAGATACACCGACGTTGATTGGGATACCGAAAACGCCGCACAAGGTCAGGAGATCCCGCTTCCTTCGAATCCCGACCGGTTTCATCTTCTCGATTCATCATCCAGCCTGCAATCTCAATAGGTTCGCCATGCCCGCCTTTCATGGACAAGCACCTTTGTGTCTCTCGCAAGCGCTGCGCAGCGTCACGCGAGGCTCGATAAGCCCAATCCCTCGTTCTTACCTTCGGCCCTCGTTCGCTCCCCGCTCCCTCTCGACCTCGCCATGGCTTCTCGAAGAGTACACTGTCAAGGTACCTCCGATGGCGGAGTCGATCAGTGAAGGCACTCTGTCGCAATTTCTCAAGGCCGTGGGCGAACATGTTGAGATGGACGAGGAGATTGCTACGATTGAGACAGACAAGATCGATGTCTCTGTCAACGCGCCTAAAGCCGGTGTGCTCACTAAGCTCCTGGTGCAAGAAGGCGATGTTGTCACTCTCGAGCAAGGGCTCGCTATCCTTGATACCGATGGCACTCCCAGTCCTGATGCTCAATCCAAACCGTTTGCAAGCTTTAGTGCTCCAATTGAGGGTGAGAAACCACCACCTACCACCGAGGGGGCAGCCTCGAATGCGACCCAGAACGCGAGCTCTGTCTCGACTCCTCAGACTACAGCTCCTCCTCCGACCCTTAAGAAACAAGAAAATGTTGTTCCTGTTTCTTCTCCCTCCCAGAGCGTACAAAGAGTGGCCAGCCCCGCGTATAACACATCGGATGGACGTCCCAAGCCACCTAGGCTTGAACGAGTTGTAAGTGAAACGTCTAATTATCCCCCATTTCTGCCTCTCTGGCGGGGAAATTTTTTCTAATACGACAGTCAAAATAGGAAAAACTTTCTCGAATGCGAAAGACGATCGCGACTCGTCTCAAGGAATCTCAGAACAGATGCGCATCTCTGACGACGGTCCAAAGAGTGGACATGAGCGCCCTGATGGATTGGCGCGCAAAATACAAGGAGTCCGTCGCCAAGGTTCACGACGTCCGGCTGGGATACATGGGAGCCTTTGCAAAGGCTACGTCTCTGGCCGCCCAGCAAGTTCCTCAGGTCAACGCGAGCATCGACACCGACCGTGAAATAATCACATATCGCGACTACGTCGACATCAGCATCGCTGTTTCTACGCCTAAGGGACTTGTCACACCCGTGATTCGCAATTGTGAATCCAAGAGCATCATAGAGCTCGAGAGGGATGTTGGTGCCATGGCGACAAAAGTCAGTACAACTCAGACAATGAGTCTTCCGTGCGGCATCTCTTGTTCCAGAATCTAACTCTTCGCAGGCACGCGATGGCAAACTGACAATGGCTGACCTGGAGGGTGGCAACTACTCCATCAGCAATCCGGGCATCTTCGGCTCCATGTTTGGAACTCCGTTGATCAACTACCCCCAGGCCGCAGTCTTTAACATGAACTCAATCAAAGAAGATGTTGTGGCAATTAACGGGAAAGTGGAAATTAGACCCGTATGTTCACACCGAGCTCCATTCCCATTATCGGGCTACCTGCTAACCGAGACCGCTTGAATAGATGATGTACATCACTATTACCTACGACCACCGCTTGATTGACGGCAGAGAGGCGGTCACGTTCCTCAATCTGGTAAAGGGATATATTGAAGATCCTAGTCGTATGCTTTTAGATTAGATACTTGGTGTACTTCTTTGTACAATATACATAGACTAGACGAGAGTAGAAACCACTGTTAAAACTTGTATTCAAGATGCGGGATGGACTGCACGATGAAATTCAATTTTTGCTTTCACTATGATATCGAACCTCGTCCCCCTCCCCCCATTCCTAGCTTGCGCCTGGCCTGGAGTTCGGTGTGGTGCATGAACACAGTTCTTGCCAGTCTATTGGATCTGAGCTATGTGGAGGGAGTGGAGAGCCCGCTGGTCATCCCAAGTCGGTAGTCCGGGTGCAACTTCCGAGGCTTCGGAAGATCACTCCAGCTCGCCCGGAGAAAAAGCTAATGCGTCCAGTGTAAGTCGGTCCGAGGTCTGTTGGCCGGCCATTCACGGCCTACACATGTAGTTCCGTAGATTTAGTTTTACAGATGGGGTGCATCGTGATCCGTCTGAAGATAACATTCTACCTATGAGGGAGACCTTCACAGGCATACCATTTACGATCGTTTCTTGTAGGCCACCTACATCCTACAGTCCATCTACAATAGCTGCTTGGATTCTCCATCATGATAGCTTCTGTGAGGATCAGCGGCAGACCGCTGCTAAGCCTCAGCTCTAGCTGTTCGAGGCATGTAGCCAATAGAGGGGTCGTCAGATGGCCACAGAGACACGCGGCATCTCGCACATTGAGGCAATCGCCCTACATTACCTTTGTGCAAGCCAGCCAATTCGCTACAGCTGCTGCAGAGGCCCAGGTTCTTACTTACGAGGTAAGTATGCTCTTTTTCGCATCTGTTACATTCAAGATCTTTTGAAGCTAATACCTACCCGTCAGAGGTCAGAAAATGTTATCCCGGAAGGGGGATCGAGCAGATATCTCGATGAAATGTACCAGGAGTGGGTTAAATCGCCTGGATCTGTTCATGAATCTTGGCAAGAGTACTTCCAGGCCGTAGGCCAAGGAACTAGGTATTCAACAGAACCCCAGTCTGCCCTGCAGAGTCATGTCTTCCTTGGGCAGCAGTCAGAGGAAGTCTTGGATCACTTGAAAGTCCAGCAAATTGTTCGCGCCTACCAATCGCGTGGCCATTACCTTGCAAAGACCGATCCTCTGGGCATTCGGAAAGACGCAGAGATGATCAGGCCAGATGCCCCCAGGTCTGAGGCACCAAATGAGCTGAATTTCTCGTATTACGGCTTCACCGAGGCCGATCTCGACCGCCATTTCAATTTGGGACCTGGCATCTTGCCCAGATTTGCAAATGAAACACGCAAGTCAATGACCCTACGAGAGATCATTGCCACCTGTGAGAACATCTACTGTGGAAGCTATGGAGTAGAATATCTGCACATCCCTGACCGAGCCAAGTGTGAATGGCTTCGCAACAGGTTGGAGGTTCCTCGCGCCATCAATTTCACCTCAGAGCAGAAGGAGAATATTTTGGACAGCCTGCTGCTGGGCACTACTTTCGAGCGTTTCCTCGCCGCCAAGTTCCCCAATGAGAAACGATTTGGTCTTGATGGTGCCGAGTCATTGGCTCCTGCAGTGAAAACAATAATTGATCACTGTGCCGATGTCCACGGCGTCGAAAGCATCATCCTTGGGAGCTGCCATCGAGGACGTTTGACCATGCTGGGTACAGTGTACGGGAAGCCCAGAGAAAACTTGTTCGCAGAATTCGCTGGAAGAATGAGGTCAGACGTACTTCCAGGGATGGCAGGCGATGTCAAATACCACCTTGGCCACGACGGAGAGTGTGTGACTCCAGAAGGCCGCAAAGTGTCACTCTCCTTGCTAGCGAACCCGTCTCATCTCGAAGCCGTGGACCCGGTCGCCACAGGCAAGGCGTACGCAACTCAAGCCATGAAGCATGATGTCGACAAGAGACGAGTCATGTGTCTTGCTCTCCACGGTGACGCCGCATTCGCTGGGCAGGGCGTCGTATATGAGACGCTCGGTCTATCCCGACTCCCGGCGTATGATGTTGGCGGCACCATACGACTCATTGTCAACAACCAGATCGGTTTCACCACGGATGTTCACTGCTCGCGCTCGACTTCCTACGCCTCGGATATTTCCAAGTTTGTCAACGCTCCAATTTTCCACGTCAACGCAGACGACGTTGAGGCTGTTGCGTTCCTGGCCGAAGTTGCTGCCGATTGGCGAGCCGAGTTTCAGACAGATGTGGTAATCGACCTGGTTTGTTATAGAAAGTTCGGGCATAATGAACTCGACCAGCCCAGCTTCACTCAGCCGCTCATGTACCAGAGGGTTATGGACCAGACGCCATCACTCGAACAGTACATTGAAAAGCTCGTAGGAGAAGGAACTTTCTCACGCGAGCTCATTGAAGATAAGAAAACCAAAGTCTGGGACAAGCTGCAAGCGGAGTATGAGAAGAGCAAGAATGTGATATCAGAGCGCCATGATCTCCCGCAGGCATGGAAGGATTTAGAATCTGGCCCCGCCAATGATGATCAAAGAACGGCGGTAGACGAATCGCAGTTGAGAACTATCATGACAAGCATGACGACTATTCCAGATGGCTTCCAACCTCACAACGGTGTCTCTCGAGTGATCGCGACCCGTCAAAAATCCTTCGAAAGCAATACTGTCGACTGGTCCATGGCAGAGGCTTTGGCATTTGGTACGCTGTGTCTCGAAGGAAATGCAGTTCGAGTCACAGGTCAAGATGTCCAGCGAGGAACCTTCTCACAGCGCCACGCTGTTTGGCATGATCAACCATCTGGGAAGTTTTGGACTCCATTGAATCATATGAGCGATCAGCAGGCGAAGCTGACAATTGAGAATTCCCCTCTGAGCGAGTTTGGAGCTCTTGGGTTTGAATACGGAATTACACTTGCAGATCCTCAATCTCTGGTTATGTGGGAAGCACAGTTTGGTGATTTTGCCAACAACACACAAGTTATGTTGGACAACTTCATTGCTTCTGGGGAGAGTAAATGGCTTGATCGCTCTGGAGTTGTCTTATCGTTGCCCCACGGCTATGATGGCCAGGGCGCCGAGCACTCGTCAGCGCGTCTGGAACGTTTCTTGATGCTAGGCGATGATGACGGCCGCTCTTGGCCATTGGACCTTGAAAGTACCGCGCGGCATGCCAACATTGAGATAGTTTCCATGACTACTCCGGCAAACTACTTCCACGTTCTTCGACGCCAGCTCAGGAGAGATTACCGAAAACGTGAGTTGCCCCTATCCCCTTTTAATCCGAATTCGGATACTCAGGTATCGACATTTGATATGACTAACTTCGATATTAGCCTTGATTGTTTTCTTTTCCAAGTCGCTGCTCCGCCATCCATTGGTTCGCTCCGAGGTTTCAGAGCTCACCGGTTCATCCGCCTTCAAACCCGTCCTCAGCGACCCGGACCACGATATCACCATCGACAAATCAGAGGACATTGCCCGAGTCATCTACTGCAGTGGGCAAGTATATTTTGCTCTCAAGAAACGAAGAGAGGCTCTGGGCTTGAAGGACGTTGCCATCACCCGTATTGAGCAACTCCATCCGTTTCCCTGGGCCGAGGTCAAGGAAAACCTCGAGTCGTACCCCAACGCAAAGTCTGTTGTCTGGGCACAGGAGGAACATTACAACGGTGGCGCCTGGCATTATATGCGTGATCGACTGGATACCGTTATTCGTCAGTTGGAACGTCAGGCTATCACTAGCCTTCGATATGCTGGACGTGGCCCGAGTGCTAGCACGGCGACAGGGTTGAAGAAGCTGCATGCGTCCGAAGAGGACGCGTTGTTGAACGAGGCGTTTGCCTCATTATAAAGCTGTAGATGGGAATTAATTCGTCGTAAATAAATTACTACTGACTTCACGATGGACCTATGCCTTTCTTTAAAGGCGAATACTGCTAAATTGCATAGTTGCTGTAGAGAAAGTGAGAACACGAAATATACTTGTCAAAGTCACAAGAGATTGTTAAATGGCACCTCCTCTATGTTGGCGTTTTTCTCTTTCCTCTCCTCAACCTTGTCCTCTACTTGACTTTCTTCATTACCGAAGGAGCCATGTCTAAGGAAGTTAGTTAAGATAGTCACGACCCAGGTTTACGATGTCTGTGAATTGCTTCTATTATACACTACACAGCGATCATAATTACAATCTTCATGACCCGGGAAATCGTATTGTGTTAGAACCTTTTCTAAGAAGTAGACACTTAATGGTTCTAGCTCGACGTCTGACTTTAAATCTAATCGTCCATCCCAAGAGGTATACAGCCATAATCCATCAGATGGTATATCTGAACCGTTTGTCCTGAACATCCGTCATGTCGGAATCCAGAGAGGAAGTTGCCCCGGAGGCTTTGTGATCATCATCACCAGCTCCATAGGCCACCATTCCAGCTGCCAGTTTCGCATCGCGCCTCTTGTTCTTTGTCTTAGCCATGACGATGAAAGTAGCATACGATATCATAAGCACGATCAACGACACTATACTGAGAATGCAACCCTTGCTGAACCGAGGGCCATCCTCAGCCTTCCAAGAGAAAGGACTGACGAAGCAACCGACACAGTAGGATATAAAAAAGCCAGCCGAGACAACACTTTTCTTTGTGTTCCCCTTCACGTTGCTTGCAATGATGCTGGCGGAGCTGCCAATTAAAGCGGAAGAGCAGCCGGCAAGCCAAGTAGCCACAATAATTCCCCAGCCAGCATCCTGGGGCAACGCCAAGAGAAGTACGGCTCCGAGTAGAGGCACAACGCAGAGCGCGATGGCAGAGTAGGCGCGGGTGCCTGGGAAGAACCGTGGCACGAGAGCTCCAATCCAGACGGTGCCGGTGTTGCATGCTCCAGCCGGCATCGCGACCAGCATGGTTTGCAGCGTGCTGTAACCAAAACCGTTGACGACAGTGGCAGAGAACTTCATTCATTGTTAGTATATTTCCACGTGGCCAAAGGGGTCTTTACCCAAAGAGTGATGGGGACTTACCTTCATAATTGGGGTCGTGAGCGTAATGCAGCAGGCCATGAGCATGAACAACCAGGTCATAGGCGCCATGAGTGCCTCCCGCAGCTGCCCCTTGTTGAATTCCGTACGCTCACCCGAGCCACGGTCTGACGCAAGTCTTTGAATGACAATAGCCTTCTGCTTCTCGTTTAAAAACCATGCAGTCGACGGGCTCCGGGGCATCAAGACAACGAAGAGCATGCCAGCCCCGATGGTAAGGCCACCACAAACAAGGAAGAGGACCCTCCAAGGAGCTATGGCCATATTCGTCTGTCCGATTCCGTACATCAAGAGCGAGCCCAAGATCTGGGCCACACCATTCATTGAGACCCATGTGGCTACTCGGATCGGATGCTCTCGCTTAATGTACCAATTCGATGTGATAATGATGAACGCCGGAGATACAGTTCCTGTAGGTATTTTAGCAGGGGGTTCAACAAAACCTAGCGAGTGGTGCAGGATTTATTCGTACCTTCGGCAAAGCCAAGAAAGAATCTTGCTGCTGCCAGGCCTTGGAAGTTATGGCAGGCAGCCATGGCCATGTTGACACCACCCCAGATAACAATAGTTACACCAACATATATCGTGATCGGAAGGCGTGACAAGAGATACACCGCGGGGTACTCGGAGCAGAACTGCCCTAAGTAGAACAGCGATACAGCCCAGGAGAAATCTTCGCCTTTCAACGCAAGGTCTTTGCGAAGACCGAAGATTGCCGCCTGGTTGATCGATTGCTTATCCAAATCTGCAGGAAGCAATAGGTATCAGCATCCAACAACAGTGGTGCTTAGGAATTTTAAGGTCTCACATTGAAGGAAGTAGACGAGTGCCATGAGCGGCATGACAACACAGTCTAGTTTCCGAACTGCCTTGCGCTCTTCGTTCGGGTCAATCGGGGCGAGTTGGTTCGCCTCGGGGTTCTCGAGCTCGATGGCGCCCACATCTCTCTCATCAGGGACTTTCGCAACCGTAACGTCTTCATGAGGATTGGTAGTCATGGCGGCAAATTGTCTTGATCGCTGGTCGTAAGATCAATCAAGGTTCAGTTGATGTATTGGATGAATGTGATGGCAAAAGGCAGGAACCGAAGCGACTTTAATAATGGGAGAATTTAGTTAGCAAGGCCTGACTGAAATCATCCGAATATCTCGGAAGTAAACCCCGGACCACTATAGTACGATTCATGTCTTCCCGATGGCAGAGCCGGGGGAGGGAAGTGTATGGGAGTGTGGGGTTTTACGTCCCCACGGGGATTATATTACTATAGTAGGTATAAAAAGTTCTATAAAATCCTTTTAATAAGAATTTCTAGAAAATTCTTATTAATGAAATTTATCTTAATTTATTGAGTTTTAAAAATAAATTGTATTAAATATATATATATATTATAAATTGATTTTTTATTATATAGTATAACTAACTCTATATAAATAGCTATTAAATTAATATTAAATCTATATTATTTCTAATAAAAACTTTCTATAGTAATAAATATATTATATACTTATAGAGATAAATTAATTTATAATCTTAAAAGTAACTTTTTATTCTTATTATTCCTAACTAAGAATAAATATATTTCTAATATTCTAATCTGATTTAATCTGATATTCTAATCTGAATTTAAACTAGATAATTAAAAATAAATATAAGCTTAATTAACTTTTAAGAGCTATTTTTACTCTATTTATCTTAATATAATATAATCTATAATATACTAAAACTAAAAATTATATATTAAATTATAATAGGTCTAAATAAGTAGATAGCTATTCTTAAGATATAGCTTTTCTTTTAGCTAGTCTCTATTCTCTATAAGCATCTATAGTAGTTCTAGGTAGACTACATAATAAAGTAACTATCCAATCAGACTCTCGTGCATGCCCGTGGCTCGGAGCTTAGACGCAGCAAGAGGCAATATTCTGGTTGAGCATGCCAAATATTGTCAGCAAATCACCGGAGAGAGTTTTGATAGAAAGTTAAAATAAAAGAAGAAGTCAGACCCAACGACTTAACACGGTGAATACGAAAGGTAAAAAAAAAAAAGCTTTGTTGGCCTAAGGCTGCAGTTATACGGCAGAAAATTCTACAAACCTTTATACTGATAACTCGCTTACCGTCAGGACGAGCTATGCGTCGAATGACTACTAAAGCTGGCCTCTTCACCTGGCTTCACACTTGTATTCTATCACGCAAATCCACACACTTCAACACACCAAGCGCGAATCAACCAACTCAGTGAGTACCAGTAGCCCCTTGGCCAGAGCACTAACACTGACACGCCCGCAGCCTTCGCTGTTTACCGATAATCAGGATCATGGCAAAAGACGAGATCCCAGTGCCTTCTTTCAAAGGCAACAAGTACGATCCCGGTCGCTGAGCAGGCAGCGCTGTCATTACTTCTACTAAGTACGAGCTGGATCCTACGGAGATGGAAGCCATCAATGTGTTGTCTTTGCTGTGACAGCCAGGGTCTTGATTCTTGTTGACTCTTATTTGCGTGGTTCCTTTGATACTTGTTCATATTCGCACGAGAGTATAATAATAATGATTCCCAGGCATGAATTGGATTCGAGACTGGTTGTAGGTCTCTCAGCATGATACATCTGCCGGCAATTTGAACCCTCCGGGCTGCCTGGACTGCATCACCCCAAGGGGGTCATACTTCTGAGACACCGCCCACATCTTGCACAAGTTTTCTTTCCCATAGCTTGCAATCACGTCCTGGCTCCCATCCGTATAGTTCATGTAAATGTACTCGAAAAGGCCGCCCGAACTTGTTGCATAATCTTCCAGCTTACTCTTCCATGTCATCATCTTCTTTCTCCCCATCGCTTCCTGGTCTTCCCCGTTGACTGCCAGAGACGCCAGGAGTACAATGGCATTAGAGGTATGCCGGTCGATTCCTAAAATATTAGGACCCTTCTGACCAACTATGGTAGGAAGAGGTTGGAAGAAGCATTGTGTTTCGAAATCACCGTCTAAAGAGTCCACTTTCATTTCCTCCACAAGGTCGTGATGTAGCTCTACCGCTTTGGCGATAAGACGCTCGTCATTTGCGAGGGTGAGCGACCACCATATGTTCCTGCTCATCGAGATAAGTTACCATTGGAAAAAAGGGCAAATGTTGACTCACCTATAACCAGCGGCCTGTTCATTGAGAGCAATGGTCGACATATTGCTGTGACCAGTTGCAAACGACAAGTTGCCGGGAATTCCAGCCAGCTCATCAAAGGCCGGCGCGAATTCCCTTCCAGTAATGTCTGACAGACCGCTGAGAACGATCGTCTCCCTTAGTCCGAAACGATAACTCCAGAACACAATTGCCGAACCATTAGGATAGCTCTCGAGTCTATCCGTCCAACGCTGCAATGCTCCTATGAATGGCTGTCCAGCCTCTTCAGGGTATATCTTGCTCAGCTGCCAAATAGGATGAATCTCGAAAGTCCCGAGGTCATACCTCGTGACAATTCCGAAATTGCCTGCGCCACCTTTAAGCGCAATGAATAAATCCGCATTCTCGTCTTCGCTAGCCACGACTATAGTTCCATTACCCAGGACAACCTCCATTGCACGGATATTGTCACACGCAACGCCATTGCGATAGAGGTACAAGGAGAACCCTCCTCCCAAAAGAAGACCCCCAACACCAACATCACCTAGTCGACCACCGGGCACGCCGCGACCCAAGGGATCCAAGGTATTATAAACATTAAGCCAATTCGTGGCTGGAAGAACAGATGCCAGCTCCGTAACCGGGTCGTATGTCGTGCCGTACATCATGCCTAGCAGCAGCAATAAGCTATCAGTTCTCGGGTATTCTCTAAAGCGGGGGAACTGGTGCATCGGCACATACTCAAATCGATGGTAACGCCATCCTCGATGTTGTTCGCTCCAGCATTAGAGGAGTGGCCTCCACTGCGAACAGCAAAGCTGCATTCAGTCTTTTCAACAAGAATTCGAACGACAGACGCAACTTCCTGGGAGTCGCCAGGCAAAACAAAGCATGCGGGCGTCAATTGGGAGGTTAGGGACCAGTATGACTCCACTCGCTCGTTGTAAGCATCATCACCCGGGACATAGATGTGCTCAACAGCCGTCTCTTCTTTGAGTATAGAGCACTGAGAGAACATTTGATTAGATCTACACCCAGATAACCACACGGGTAAAAAAAAATGAACGTACGCAGTACTGGGCTGGTCGATGGTTCAGTCCCAATTGGCCAGTGACTGCGCCGAGCACCTCAACGAGAAGAACAGCAGCTGAAGGGAACAGTAGACGGAAGTACATCGTGAGCTAGCAACAGAATAAAAAACTGTGAATTCTGGCACCTTGGATGAGTGTACGAAGAAAGCGAAGAAACCGGACAACCGCCCGTGAATACGGCTTTAGGCTATCTAGATGGAGCGTATAAGTGAGCACGCCGCTCCATAATGCCGATCGGTGGCTCCATTGTCCGACGGGCCGCATCGCCTAGAGTGAATTTTGATTGTCTTGAATAATGGTAAAGACATTCGATAGCTATTTACATAATTATTAACAAATCAGGACTGTGATGAGGTCAATGCAACGCCATAGCGTTACTTGTTGGTCGGTATATCTATTCGGACATAGAGAATCCACATCGTATCCCGCACTTAAGCACCAATAAGAACGTGGATTAGGGTAGTATTGCGGGCGAATTTCGCCATAATGTCGGTAATTCCTAGGCCGGGGAAATTTACCGGAGAATCGTATCCAGGAGGATCGAATGATGCGATCAATTTCCCTATGGCCAATCTCTCAATCAGTCAGGCGAAGTAATCCTGACCACGGCACGGAACCCAGCTCGCCTCCAAGCCCCTATCTCAGGGAATCCGACGGAGGATCAGCATTTCGTTGCCATTGACCTTCGGCCGATGCTGCAGACTTCATCAACTTGTTTGTCTCTTTTGGTCCTGTATGAATGGCATCAAATATGACCAGATGTAGGGCTTCTAAATTCAAACACCAGGCACGGGTCACATACACATTGTGTGCAGAAAACGTTTGCTCTGGCGCAATTCCTGCTACTGAATTATATTTAATGTTCAACAAAAGGTGTCTTGGGGTCCGCAAAGGCGTGGAGGCTAAAGTATCAAATCGGAAGCATGTGAATCCAGCATTTTTGATTCACAGCCAAACCTCCTCCCAAACCTGCTAGCAAAACGGCCAGGATAAGACACTAGATTCTAACCAACATTTTGGGCAACGCACGATCTTTCATGACTCGTGTTACCTTCGTGTCACGGAAGACAACGCATTTCATGTATGTGAGAAGGCATTCTAGGTATATAGGCAGTATAGGGGGGGAAAAGGTGGATTATACTGGAGTATTGTTCATGGTCCAACCCTCCATATCTTTCAATCTTTCCGCCGCCGACCTATGACCGTAAGTTGGAGCTTTACTGTCATAAATGTGGCGCATAAGTTGAGTTTGAAGAAGTGTATTCAGATTATCCCGGATCGCCTGTCCGTGGAATCTATTTCAGCAGGCTCCACCTCAAAGTGTGAAGCCTTGGTCAACAACGTCTAAACAGCTTCTCACGAATCCAATAACTTCATTTTCAACATGCCATGCTTCATTATAGGCTACACTAAGCGATAGTTCTTCGCGAAAAGTACCCAAAAACAACCCAATGCTACTGCGCAGCTCCTCTCCAGCCACCCACGGACTGTGAACTTCGATATCGCCATGCTGCCGCGCAATTATCTTATCGATGCGGCCCATGCTGGAGATGGTAGCTGATGCAACATCTGCGGGCGAGGGTACTGGTGGGATTACAAGCGTCTTTTCGGGGTCTGTTAGCGGAGGCTTCGTGCCTCTCGCCCGTGGCAAGGGGGCCAGACAGTAGTGATCCGGATCATCACGTACTTTGAGGTAGAAGTCTTTCAGTTGCTTGGCGACCCTGAAGAACTCTTCTCTCCCGCTTTCGGACATCGTCTTGCCTCTCGAGGCGTCCAGGTCGCCGGGGACCGTCATGTCAACGATGAGCTTCTCACTGGAAATGGAGTGATAGGCTGTAGCAGCGTGACGATGATCGTTATAAGGCGACACGCAGCTCGGTCGTTCGTTGCGCAGAAGGTATCCAACGTATTAAAAATCAGGTGATCCTTATTATATAGTGTCTCGCGTGCCACAATACGAACTATTACCTCAAGAGCAGATCCGTTGTTTCCAGAGTTTTTTTACACGTTGGTGGTGATCCAGTTTAGGATCTAATATACCTTCGATTGTTTACCTAGAGTATATCTACATACGACTTTCTGATTCTCTTGACCATGCCTTCCACCAGCTCTGAGTTTATGGCACAATCCAGCACGAGCTTCAGGGCCGCAGCCAAAGGTTGTGTGAACGCCCGTTGGTTGTCAGAAGACGGAGGAATTCTGGCTAGTAAATTAGGAATTCCGGGTCAGAAACCCAGCATGTACCTTTATCTCTATAGACCCTAGTAAAAATTAGGAAAAGCGACTTCCCGCCATTTGCATATCTCGCGCACATAGCCCAGCCGAGAATGCAGGAGTCAGCCACACAACACAACACAACACAATACAGCCAATTATCTGACATTGTTTGCCTAATCATACATTACCCTGCTCAATTGCCTGCATTACGCTTAGGTAGACTCTCTCGCCTGTTTGGTTCCATGCTCGCAAATACTTCCAGATATGGTATTCTCCATATTTATGGCCAGAATGTCAGGCTTCCTGGCCACCTCAGCCTCTCCTTTGCGTCGACAACAGTCGTTGTATGCTCCAGGTTCGAGACGACATCCCACATGATGTTCTTTTCTCCGACGAGGTGAGCTTCTTTCGCTAGCAACGCTCTCCAGCCCCCGAAATTTAAAATCCTCCTCTGTGATATCACTTGAAAAGTTGTTCTGTATCATATGTGTGATATGGATACAGAGCATAAAACGGCTTTCGCATATTCTGTCCTGTGAAGTCTGTAGGGCACGAGCGTTACAATACAGCCAAACTGCACCATAGTCGAATTGCACAACCCGCGGAGTTCCGTGCTCCAGGACAAATAATCTCACCAAGGAAGGATCTACCCCAATCCTGTAGTATATATTACTTCTTGGCCGTTTTTGTCCTAGCCTCGCATCACTTGTATAGTAAGGCGGGCTTGCAGTATTAGAGGCCTGCATAGTGCGTCCAAGAGGTACAGTTTCAGGTCTACATACATACAGAAGAACCCAAACAGCTACAACAAGACATATAAATCTCGTAGGGTCAGCTGACATTCTCTTACCATTATTAATATGGAATAGTAAGGCTTATTTATATAAGCGTACGAGGGGCTGTGCTCGTTTGGACCCGCAGTTAGGCGGCCCGATCTCATGATTTATTTCGCCGCCAGCGTCTTTACTCATATTCAATCAACAAGTCAGCTAACTACAAATGGAAGCTGGGGTTGTGACAGTTGATGCCCGTTCATTGTTGTTATTATAGTATATTGAGCATTTCAATCAGCCTGAACTCACGTCACTTACTTGCTCAACCCATTCACAATTCACTTCCCGATTTCAAAGGTGCGACTGCTTGGCTTGGGAGAAGAATTGGGTTGCTGTATTTTGATTGTCCAATATCATCGATTATACTTTGCAAGCTCAGTATGGATAACCAAGCATACAAACGACCATCTCAAGCCGAGAACTCTAGTTCTACAAAGGCATGTCTTGTTTGCCGAGAAATTAAGTCGGTGGTGACTGGGGGTCCACAAAAGGGGAATCGGGGAGATTTCACAGTGCACTTTACCCGGGTGTCAGAGGGTAATCTTGGACCGGTAGGAAAATTACGGCTAGAATCTTGTTCGGGGCATGACTCTTTGTTACGTTTCGTCATGCAGAATTTAGTCAACCGTGGGGAATCTTTGGGCCCTCAAGATGAGCTAGTCCTATTTCCTTCGCCCCAGGGCACGTTTGGGGGAACGATTCAGTTCTGGAAGGTTGACGACAAACGTTATGTGTCCAGTCCCGAGTTGCTTTTAGCAGCTAAATCGAGCCACAGACAAGTATCTGGGCTCGGCCGTATCCTGGATTCAAATTGGGTCAATATTGGCCTGCTTAAAGAATGGATACATGAATGTTTAGGAAGGCATGGCGGCATCTGCGAAAATCCCTTTCAACTTCACAAGATCTCACCAGCCTGGCTCATTGATACTATTGACAACTGTGTCGTGGCTGGAGACGGCATCCAAGACTATATCGCACTGAGCTATACATGGGGAACTGCGACACAGCTTCAAAACAAGCCCGGCATCCTAGTCGAGCTCCAAAAGCCAGGGGCCTTGGGCCAGACTCACTTTGCTGACCTTCTCTCACCAACCCTAAAACACGCCATGGGATTGACCCGTATCCTGGAGCAACGATACCTATGGGCTGATACCTTGTGCATTGTGCGGGGCAATGGTGAACAAACGGCAGCACAATTACAATTGATGGGGCTTATTTATGCTTCCGCTGAACTGACCATTATGGCGACCGATGGGGATGCCACCCATGGGATACCAGGCTTGAGAGGAATATCTCAATCACGAGAGCTTGTCCAGCTCCAGTTCCCAGTGGGAGAAGATGATATCCTGGTCATCAGGCAGAATCCCAGCCTCAGCTCTGGTTTTGGATCCAGTGCATATTTCAGCCGGGCCTGGACATTCCAAGAATATTTGCTCTCAAAAAGATGCCTCATCATTGGGGAAGGCCAATTTCATTGGAAATGCTCATGCAGTATACATCATGAGGATATGTACGGCGCTGAGCCAATGGGCGGATTGCTTATTGCAGCTTCCAAATTTCCTAAAATAGTCTCGGGATTGCCGGACTTCTACGAGATAAGATTACCTCTACGTGAGTTTAATGGCAGGGATCTCAAATTTCCTGAGGATGCTCTAGCAAGCGTAAGTGGTTTGCTTGCGATTATGAGCCGTTCCTTTGAGGGCGGATTTATCTATGGCATTCCAGAAATCTGCTTCGACTCTGGCTTGGTGTGGACCGCAGGCCGCCTGGAGCCTATTATGGAAAGGCGCATTCACTCAGGGAAGAACGATACAATTCTTCAGGGATCTCGGTTGCCTTCTTGGTCCTGGATAGGCTGGAAAGAAAAGCGTCTTTTAATTGGCATCGAAAACAACGGAGAGCTTGGCAACTCCAATTACATAACAAGAAGAAACACTAAATGGTACAGCCATGAAACTCCCTTTTCCCGTACGAAACATGCCATTCAGCCAAGCTTCTTGGATCCGATTGGATACTCTGGGGACGAGGCATCGAAAGTTTTGCTTCTTGAGGGATGGGAAAGGGAAAAGTTCGACCCCTCGCAGCATGTCACGCCGGAATGGGTGTCAAGAGGGGGTTTCCCTGTGCTTGGAGAGTACGTTTACAAACACCCGAAGCTGCCTGGAAGACAGTTTTGGCGTCAATTCCATGTGAAAGACATCCATAATGATTCTAGCTTGAACCTAGCTCCGCAGCACCCATTCCTATCTTGTCAGACGAAAAGCGGATGGTTTAGGGCGAAACTGCTACCTCAAGCGAGGTTCGTCTGTAGCAACCTGGCTGTCCATGTCCTTATTCTAGGGAAAGATGAATTGGGCTGCGGCTTCCTTCAACTGCATTCGGAGGAACAGAAAGCCGCCTTCCTGACCCCCGAATCAGACGAAGGTAGCACTATAGAGCTTGTCGCCGTCTGATTTCGGACAAAGCCTATAATAGAAACAAATGCAACTGTTGCAGACAAGGCCGCCGAAGATGGAGGCTTCCAGGAGATGTACGGGGTTCTTTGGGTTGAGTGGAATGGTGGAATTGCTTATCGGAAAGGTGCTGGTTACATCCAAAAGGAGAGATGGGAGAGTTATGATCTGAAGGACGTTGATCTCATTCTTGGTTGATCTCGGATTTATTCATATGCAACAGAACAGGATTTAGATATATTAGGAGCTTAAAAGCAAAGAGAACGGAGGGCGCAGCACATGGAAAAGGTGGTCATGTAAGGCTGGGAAGGATTAGACTCCGGAAGACGTTTACGTAGCAGATAGGATAATCATTATTTTCATATTGCTGCTCTAGAATTATCCTTAACTTAACGTGGCAAAATCATTCTAGCCAGACAGGGTCACATATTATAACAGAGAAAGACAAACCCGTATTGCGAAGTATCTCGTTGATTATACCCCTTGTATATCTTATAGTGCCCGTGCCGAAACTGCCGTAGGAGTGCCCCCGACGAGGTCTCGGATGCATAAGCCGAGGCCCCCTTGCTGATATCTAATCCCGCGTGAGAAATTTTGGTCCAAGTAGCTCTCGGTTTTTGTTCACATGAGGTAGGTCAGTTTTAGATCCCTAGATCCCTGCGCAACTGGAAGCCTTGTACACATCATCAGCTATCAAAAGAAAGGCTATGATTTTAAGCTTTCGTATTCATTGTGTTGAGTTGTCGGGCTCTGGCAGCTTTCATTGTTGTTGAACTTTATTGTCTTTCTCTTACGTACATATCAGCTATCAATTCCCATGTACCAAATGTTCTCACTTCGAAAATCAATGTCCGCACGGAGAAAAGGGAGACCCGCCGCCCTATGACTTATTGGCCATGAATCAACCCTAAACTGTTCAGGCTGCTTCTGTGAATACTATTACTGAAAGTGCTATGGGTTGACCAGCCCACACGGTGCCTACAGTACCTAGTGTGAAGTAGCATTACATATCTTAGTCAAGAATCGAGCTAGGGGACTCTCATCAAGAGCCTAGTGAAGCTTCACTGGCGAATGAACGCATAAATAAAGGGGACGAATTGAATAGTGCCTGTGCTGATCAGGAAACCGTTGAAATTCCCATTTACTATGCTACGCAGAGAAGATCTGAGAAATGCTCTCAAGGCGAATATTCCCTTCATTGAAAGACTCCTCAATCTCTCCACTCTTGTCCGCATCCCTCGCATACTCTCATGTCCCGCGTTTTTCAATATACTATCCCAAATTCAGTGAGACCGCTGTATGAGGCTCTATGAATATCATGTTCGCCCCATCATTGACGGCCAACGGCTGGCCAAGAAGAAACCCAGTGTCTTGTTGTGTTCTTCTACTTAGGTCTTCCCCTTATTGAGACCTGCCTAAGAATTTCCCGCTTTTCTGCTCGAAAGCAACTAAACATGCTCACTTGAAGCTCAAAAGGGGCTATGCAATGCATGCCGATCGCGTAGCACTCTTTGATATGTTGCTTAGGTAGTTGCTGGCGTAATCGGCCTCCACGTAGATTTCCCGCAAGCGATCGAGGACGAGCATGCAAAGCTGAAAACAGGCCAGCGCTTTTCCATGATTGGATGGATTGAATCCTACCACGTCCGCAAGATGAACAACGGCTGCTGAAACGGTAATAGAGACCCCGGTGCTGGGCATGTATCTGTATAAGTCCGATTGTTCTAGATTAGTCAACAATTTGGTGACCTCCGTGGCCGCGTCCCGCACGCGGCGGCAGCACGATTTCCGATCCTGTATGGAAAGGCTGGTGTTGTTATTAAAAGTCCGATTAACATAAGGCCGGAAGAGAGCAGATACTGCAGTGTAAAACTCCATTTGGAGCAGGATTCCCTGTAATGAAGCCGGCGTCTTTTCAGCGCCAGTGGTCAGTTTGAGTTGCCCATCCGAGCAGCAACTGTAAGGTAGTTCTCTCCTCCAACTGCATAATTGCGAATATATCAGATCTGCCGAGTTGAAATTATCGAATTTCTTCCTTGGTGATAACATGATAGACCGTTTTATGGTGCCCGGGGCACGATCATAGCAAGGAAGAATAAAGTATTGCTCATGGAGAACTTCGCCGATGAGAACGCACAGTTTAGCCCTTGCTATACATATAGAAGCCAACTGAGGAAGTTGGTTAATATATTGGCCAAGGAAGCTACTGCGAGCGGTGCTGTGCTCGACCACGCCGTCGTACTCAAAATCAGTCTCATGGAGCATATCTACGTCGTAATCCCCTTCTTTTAACCTTGAAGGGTATCGCAGGCCGAGTGCAATGAGGCGATCATGCATCAAGCATGACCACCAGACTCGCCTTCCCAAGTGTGTTCGAGTGGTAGATAATTCGGTTTGCTCAGTTTGATTCTTATCCAATCCAGTGCTCTGTGCTGTGCTTATAGCCAGACCAACCCAATACCAGCTGTCTTTATGCTCGTTTGGCGTTTGATACCAGCCAGCTAGTAGTAAGAGGGACTGTACCACGACGAGATAGTCCTTCTCATAGCCAATAGTGTACAGCAACTACAACGCTCAGAAGTCAGCACTTAAATTAGCAGGCGGGCGCCTAACTTACTCGAGTCTTATCGTATAGATGTTTCCTCGCGACTCTACGCGATGCGTATCCCGCATTTTGAATAAAATGCAAGTCCACAAATGCAGCAGCAGCATATAATACTGCATGAAACAATAATAGGCTTATCTCTGGGCCTATATCATTGCGATGATTCACCATTCGGTATAAATCAGTGATGCTGATTAGATGAAACCGAGGCTGAACATGCTCTATATATGCGTCGATAAAGGCGTCTTGAACTGCGAGTGGCGGTAAAGCTAACACTCCCTTCAACTGAAGATATTGGAGATCGCCAGTACTTATGTTTGCTGGAAAGGGCTGGATAAAATGAGGAAGATCGGAACCAAGACCATTGTCCTGATCAATGTGAAGATTTTCCTCTTCGTCCATCTCCGTATCCTCACGCTCCCCTACGTCATACAAATTTTCCGATAGGCTCGACGATGGCCAACCATTACTGGGAACGTTCCGAAATTGAGAGTCAGATTGGCCGGAGCGTGATGCCCTCCACCCTCTGGAACGAGTTCTAAAGAATGGTGAGCAGGAATTGGATGTTTTGAATAAAATCCGGATGTCGCTGCCAGATGACCTTACCTCTCTCGCAAATGAGGAACTATTGTGCACTATTCCCAATGTCAGTTAACATGACCTGTAAATTTGCTACCCTTTTTGAGATCTCTACCTTGACATTATGCCAGCGACAATTTGCACAAGGGCCGCCCTCCGCGACATTACAACGCACTCTTCGTGCCTGGCAGGGGACGCATGCTTGCTTTCCTCGCCGGCGTTGAGGGGTTTGAGGCCGAAAAATCTTTGATGATTCGGCCACAAGCATACAACGAGAACTAGAATTCATAGCGGATCCCGAAAGAGGGCTATCAATCGGAGTGGACAAACCATCATACGCCGGATTCTGTGCTTCATTGGAAGTTAGATCGATCAGAGAAGAAATTTGGTCATATAATAGTGAGCCCATGGTATGATTTGCGTGTCAGCTTGCAAGACTTGTGCTTGTTTTGGGTTACTTTATTCGCGTAGATTTACAGGTCCTTAGGCAGCCTAACCAACAAACAGTGGTACAGTAATGACATTGACTTTCTAGTTGACTCCTTGAGCCATCGCGGCCGTTTCGGGACCCCAACGGAACCCCCTTCCCGGCTAAGCTCAGAAGGACGGACAGGATATCCGAAGCTTCGGATGTAGGTGGACCTCTTCGGAATGATCATTCCGTGTGACAGCCTCGGCCCTAATCCACCGTCTTTTACTTTTGAATTATTGATGAACCATGAGCCAATTAGTTAAAACAACATACTTCGCAAAGAGAGAGAGAGAGAGAGAGAGAGAGAGAGAGAGAGAGAGAGAATAAAGTTAAACAACAGCAGAAAATGCCAGACCTGACACCTCAGCAATGAATACGACAACATACTTGGCAGATAGTGATTACAATTTTGTCCTTAAATGCCGGAAATTGAAAGAATCGTTTGTAAACTCTGGCGTTTAGTCAGGTATTGTGGTTTGGCTTTTACATCACTGATCAAGCACTATTGAAGCTATGCGATTTATGTATTCAAGGCAAAATCATGGCAACTACAGGCAAAATTATGCCGTACTCTAGAGCCTTCAGTGTTTTAGAAACAGATACATGACACCATGTATGAGGCTAAGGAGATCATCACCAGGACGATAACCTTACTTATTCAAAACAATGATAGACATTTCGCCATTCGATTGGCGAGCAGATTTCCACTACCGTCGTGATCGCCTTGACCGAAACACAACATTTCTTCTTCTCTCCCTCACGCCACGTCTTATAGTGAGATCAACGTTCCCACTCTCATCATATTCATCTTCGCCGTCCCAATCGTTCCATGCATCGATATCTCGATGCAGTTTTGCATCAGCCATGCTGGTATGCTCCTCACCCATGTCCCTTGAAGAGGATTTCAGCTCGGCTACTCTGCGTGCAACGTCATTGGCCGCGACCACGGAAGCCAGGATACGCGGTATCCCCGGATTCTTTTGGACAGAGGTCTTGCAAAAGTCCAGAGTAATCTTCTTGGCGAGTATCGCATCTAAACCGGATGAGGTTTCCACCCTGTCATTGCCGCAAAGACCCGCGAGATATAACACTTCTGACACCACAGACTCGCTATAGTCATCGGAAAGCCCGAGTTCTGCTAGTCTTTCCACCAAGGAAGTGCTATGCATATTCTGAGATTGGGGAGGTCTGGCTTTCAGTCCTGGAACAGTTTCAAACCGCCAGCTCCTGGCCATTATGAATCTATCCTCATAATCTGCATTGAGCATCAAGGGCTTGGGAGGCTTAATGGTGGCTCTGATTAACAGATCATTCGCGAGCTCCAGAGGTGTTTGGCCCATGGCATTTTCGCGATAAACCAGACCTGGACCGTACTGGATCAGACCTCTAACAATAGCAAATTGGCGAGATTTGATGGCAGTATGTAGGCAGGTATCGCCAACATCATTGAAAGACTCGAGAACTTTGTCATTAGAGCACTCAAGCAGGGTTTGTAGGAGTGATACCAAATCTGCCGGCCGGTACCTCAAAGGGGTGTAGGTGCCGTACTCGGAGAATATATCACTGTCGCCATCCCGGCTGGGATATCCGCAAATATGAGCAATCCAGGAGTGGAGAGGAACTGTGCCGTTTGCGGACAGCTTCTTTCGCTGTAGAAAGAGATCGCCGAGTAGCCTAGCATCAATGATCTTCATTAACTCGCAGAATCGACGTGATTCGACAGGTCCCTGAAGTGCTAGATGGAGAATGTTTTCTCCCTTAGAATTGCACGCTGCTTGGTTGGCATGACCATCCCGGATTAAGATCTCGGCTAGTGAAATCCGACCGATTCTTGCAGCAATCAAAAGCGGCGTATGTCCTGTTGAATCTCTACTTTCCACTGCGTTTGGATACCTTTCGATCAAATATTTCAAAACCTCCTCTCCCCGCGGGAGGGATGGAATCAACAGGGCATGATGAAGAATAAGATGATCTGATAGACAGATTAGTTCCAGCATACTCCAGGTGGTCTTAACCGTATCACTCACTGCTCGCCCCAAGCCATTCTGACGTAGTCAACTCAAATCCTGCTTTACTCTGAAGAAGGTGCAATATTTTAGGATTATCGGCTGCAGCATCGGATCGCGCAAACTCGGCATACAATTGCAGAGCAGTCTCGCTCAGGAAAAGCTTCACCATTTCAATCTGTCCAGACCTCACAGCATGAATGACCGGCGCAACTCCTACATCTTTCGTATGAGTGTCCTTCTTGGAAAGGTCGAGAAGCCGGTCTCTTGGTCTTCGTCGCTCTCCTGGAGGAACAATATTGGCCCAGTCCTTTCTATTGTTTGAAAGTCAGAAGTCAATCCGTGGTAAAGATAACTGAGAATAACTCGCCTCTTTTTCCCGTATACCGTAAGCCCTTGATAATACTCCGATTTCTGCTCTAAGTTCTCACCAGAGCGACGCACAAGGTCATCCAACATTAGACCTGCACCTATCTTCCGCATAACAAGATGCACAAGCTCGAGATTTCCTTGATTCAGGACAGTTTGAAACTCGGCCTCGGACAGCGCGAATACTCCATCCTGCTCCTTCTTATCAGTAGGATCACGATACAAAACCATTTCTTCGACAGCATCGTCTGGCAACTTTTGGCTTGTCCAATATCGAGCAAGTTTAAGTAGAAATTCAAGCCCAGCCACGTCGTTTCGGCTGACGCAGGATTCGAACAACGTGCATCGAAGCCCAGGTTCCCATTTTCCTTCCACTATATGTAGCACCTGCCAGTTTTGTCGAAGAATGCGCATTGGTGTCGTATCTGACGTGCTTGGTTCTGGTTCCGAATTTATATCTTCATTAACAGACATATTATCTTCATCCTCGCTCAGTATAATTGGCCCTGGTTGAGATAGATCATCTCCTGAATCCAGATCCATTTCGCTGCGACCAGGAGAGCCACTTCCCTGGTAGCTTGGAGTTCGTGTTCTCCGAAGAAGGTGAGGTCTTCGGGTTGAATGGTTTGAATCTTCGATAGGTGCCCACTGACTTCTTACAATATCCAAAATAGCTGCAGCAACTTCCCGATGGCCGCGGAAGAATGCCAAGGAGAAGGGACAGTTGTAATGATCATCTTGAATGCTGATGAGCAGCCGAGGTTGAGTATCATCGGGGTCAGTTTGAAGGGTCAGTGATCTGATTTTCTCCAGATTTCCATCCCAAGCAGCCTCCATCCTAAAGTGAGAGATAGAAGATTAATCAATTTAGTCAGTAAACAAAACAAAATTTGAAACCTACAGCTCAATATATCGGTCCTCTTTAAAAGAGGAAAAGTTCTTATCTCCCTTAAAATTTATCTTCCCGCTCTCAACAGAGGGAGATCTGCAATAGGATGAAGGGGTATTTAGTCGAAAACCCCTTCTTCCGGTGCGGTATTCCTTGAAATCGGGATGAAGATCTTTAAAGGTCTGTCCACCCCTAGAGACAAGCTTTTTTCTCAGATTACTGAGCCCAGAGGCCAGTTTCTCAAGACGCGTGATTTCTGTATCAGGTCCCTCCTGGACCACTGCCATTTCTTGCTTGTGCTCCCGATCTTTTAAGTCGCTCTCAAACCGCCACTTTTGCCTTTCAAATGCCTCTCTATGATAGAAGTGCTGATAGGAATCTGGCGGAAACTGCTGGAGGAATTTGTCCGTACGAGGCGGCCTAGGGGACGCGATACTTCCCTCATTCCTCTTAGCCCTGTCCAAGCTGTCCGTTGTTTTTAGGAGTTTTGCATCCAGAACGTCAAGAACAGTAGATCCGGTCGCTACATCATAGACCTCATCTCCCTGTAGAAGCCTATACGAATCCGGTGTCATAGCGTTAGGATCTGCCCCGGACTCTAGGAGTTGAATCGCTGCTTGGTGGTTCTCCGCCTGAACAGCGTATAGGAGAGGCTGTATGGTAGTTCTGTAGAGTCGCTTATTTTCCCGCAGAGTTCCCAAGTTATGTTTCATAGGAGAGAGTTTGACAGCTCGAAGCCACATGTCGAAGCTTATATCTGGCTTAGCCCCTGCGTTCAATAGTTTTAAGACAAGGCTTGGATCATCATGGTCGATTGCCGTGTGAAGGACTGAAATGGTTCGTACATCGGGGATATAAATATGTTTTAAGGCCCTGATAACATTAGGCCGGTCACATGCTACCAAAACATCGAGAAGATCTCCCGAGTTGTTGGTAACAAAGCGATGGAAGGCCGTGATACCATCAGTGTCGGCCTGGGAAGACAGAGCGCCAAGTTCAATGAGTAATCTTATCATTGATTTTGCCTTCTCGGTGGGAAGCTTTAAGGCCAGAGCAAGGATAAGGATGACATCTGTCTTCACCCTATTGAGCCGGAATTGAACTGGAAGAAGAGGGTCGGCCCCATAGTCGCACAGCGTCCTAACTGCGTCTTCGTAGCCACCAGACACAGCCAGATGAAGGGGAGAACAGGGAATATCCCAAGCAGGTATATCGATGTCGTAAAAGTCCGGTCCCATTTCGGAGGCTTCTTTCATTTCAGTTTCATCTCCCTGGGGTTCAATTCTGTTGATTTTTGCAAACGATCCAGTGGTCACAGAGAACTCATAATCGTCACTTTCTCCTTCACCCAATACCACGGCATCCGAGTTATTGTCGTCTTCCCCGATGTCAAGATCATCTCTTGTGATTTGCATTTCATCTTCGGAAGTGTCGTCACGCACTTCCTGTTCAGCTACTTCAATTTTCCGCCGCTTAAACTTTTTGCGATCTTGGGCGATTTCTTCGTTCTCCAGGCTCTTTTCCATGAGAACCTTTACCATGTCCACTCTCCCGCGAGCAGCTGCAAGATGCAAAGCAGTCCTTCCGTCAGCCAATCGCGCCGTCAAGCGGGCTCCGTGGTCTACAAGGCATTGCACAACTTCTGCTGTAGATACGTTGACGGCGAAATGTAGAGGAGCCCGTCCGGTGTGATCTCTCCTGTTGATATCAAAGCCGTCTTGGCCAAGCCAAGTATGGATGCTTTGTATATCCCCGTCAATGATTGACTGGAAAAGTCTAGCTGTGTTGCCGATATACGCCATCTCAGTCCAGTCTTGTTCGGTCAACGGATTGAACGAGCCAATTTCCTGCCGACCTGGGTCATCAGTAAGGAATGATATTTTCCCCGAAATACACGTCTTCGCATCCTTTTCTGCCACCTCCTGTTCTTCCACTGTGTTTGGAATGGGGCAGTAACCGCAGCAGTCTTGAACGACGTCCTCAACACGACCGAAAAATGCAGGGTGCCTGTGAAGATACACCTTCCGCTTCTCTGGCTTTTGATTCCATTCTGCATTGAGCAGAATATCTTGCGAAAAGCACATCCTTTCGATGGCTTTGGCAGTAAAACGGCGACCGTACGGAATGCGAAATGTGTGATAGTTGCTCACTTCTTCCGATGGAAACCAATCAGCCACCTCGTTCTCATGATCTTGCTTCATATCGCCATTGTCCCTCCAAGTCCAATGGGGATAATCCACCTCAGGTCTGCCGCGTTCTCGTCTTCTTTCGTTCTGATATGTATGCCGAGCGGACTCCGTCGGAAGGCTCTCCAACACAAGGAGACGCGCGAGACCGACTGTGCGTTTGAAGCTCCTCTCATAGATGGTAGGGTCGATACGAGAGCGATCCAGGTCGGGCCAGTAGACCTCGAAGTTTCTATTTGAGTACTTGGCCAGGCGAGTCTCGTATGAAGGACTCCGGCGCGTGAGATCAATATGGTTGGTCTGAGTAATAAAGCTCGCAAGGGCACGTGGGGTCACGTAGACCTGCTTGCCATCATAAGCGCCTCCGGCAGCGTCAATATCAAAGCCCGTCAGAATCTCACTGATAGATTTGTATACTCTTAACACGATCTATGCAGAACCAGTCAATGAATGATTCGGCAAGCAGGGCCACGGCGTGACATACCTGAATATGGCGAGTCGGATAATGACTCGCAATCGTGATTGCGTATTTGGTTCGCACGACAGTTACATCTTTGAGTAGAGTATCGCGGACAGCTTCTTCAATGGCTTTGATTTTTTCAATAGCCTCCTCCTCTGTTAAACCATACAAAAAGAGGTCCACATCAGAAGCTGGGCAGAATATCTCGTGAAAATATTGCCGTAATTTCCGCTTGTTGACTTTGTACTCTTCGGGTATAGGTAATAAACAGTTGACAACGGAGGAGCCCGCGGCAACCACGTTGCTCCAGTCCATTTCGGCCAAGGATGCCTCTGAGAAAATACTGAAATTCCTCTGAAACTCGGCGATACTGGCAACTATGGCTGACGAACCATCTTTGCGGCGCTTTTGATCGGACAGTGGCATGATATATCGAGACCTTTCCTCTTCTGTCTCTAAAGCCGGGTTTCTTGCGCGTGTGGTGACGAGTTCAGAGACTTCCGTAAAGAGTGGCAAGGTGTTAACATATGGGTTGTTTAGGATCGGATTCTGGCCATTTTGGGCGAAAAGGGCCCGCAAGTAGCCTTCATGTTTGTGGTATGGGCCAAGAATCTGGGAAACAGAAAGCTCAGGATGCTCGTGGATGTATTTCACTAGCCCAGACAATGGAACTGGTAGCTCCGGAGGTGTTTGTGAGGCCATGATCGGCACCGCCACTACCCCAATATCGTTTGTTGTTCTGGTCTGTCTTCGATCAAACCATATCCTCAAGAGGCAAACGTCTTGGGCGAGGTGTGAAAGGAGCTTTTCTCGAGGCAAAACCTGGGGCACTCGTCAGATGAATCGTGAGCCCACGAATGCGCAATTGACGACGCGCCGATGAGATTGTTCGCTGACAGAAAACACACGGTCAGCGCAACTTGACGGCTTGCCAAGTCTGCTTCATGCTACCCCGCTGGAAACTCCCAGATCAAGCCTAGCGTTACCCATGAAGCAGGGGTGGCCTTCTCCCAGTGATATCACAACTTCATGGACAATGGGAGTGTTGATAAGCAAGTTTGGCTAACTGTTGATATCCCGTACGGTTAACATATTATTACGCCGTCTATCTGGTTTAATCTCTGACTGTTTCATTACCACTTGATATAAACTCCATAGTGGGACCCCAAACTTTGGGCGAAATGTTATAAAACCCGATATTTGGATCAAAGCACACTATCAACGCAAGAAATCTTTATAATCCAATATTACTTAATAAGTTTTCTTCTCCTTGAATTCTTTAATTTACTACCAGACTTATAAGTCATCCCAGCAGGTCATTCAATCTGAGCTCCAAGTTGTGCACACGCAGACTTCACTCTCGCTTCGTCCCAGCCATCCCATTTTCCAATAGTCTCCGGCAAGGGCCCTTGATGTGAATACCCAGCTTTAACAACCATCTCGTCAACTCCTCCTCCATTCGCGAATAGAATCAGTCGCGCGGTTTCGCTAGCCACGTCGCCTATGAAAAAGGTCCTCGATGGGACGAAAAATGAATCGCCTGCGTCAGTGTAGGTCCATTCCGAGTCGCCCTTGATCTTAAACTTGAACCGGCCTTCCAAAATGTAGAAACAATGGTACACATTCGTAAAGAAAACCCATCGGTCAACAAACGGCCGCTCTGAATATCTTGTCGTCGATTCCATTATCGAGACCGAAATCTGGTCCAAGCCGTTGGATAGCCTCAGTAGAGGTCGAGTTAGGAAGCCTCCGAAAACTGAGCACAATCCGACTTCTTGTTTTATTAGGTATGTCTCTCCGGCATCCGTCGCTGGAGTGTCTCCAACTGGAATCGGAACATACTTCCGACTGGGGATGGAGTCGCCATCTTTCAGGCATGTCGAGAACACCAAGAGTTCTGTTCCAGGTTCATCCGTCGAATAGTTGTATACCCTACCCTGCTTATACCCAAAAATCCTGTCAGCAACACTTCTTAATGGTATCCAACAAGCCACCGAGTCTCTTACTGCTGGAACAAAAATGAAACCCCCCTCGCTAATGATTTTACAACCACCCTCGTTGTGAAGCTTGATGGCACCCTTCACTGCAAAGACGGCTGTAGGGTAGGTGCCGATCTCTAAGAGACTGTCATCAGCCGTTCGGGTAGTATATCTAGTATGTGATAGATCGAATGTTCCGCCCGTTTCGTTTGGAGAGGCAATGACGCGAGTTTGAGTACCGGGCGTAGCTTCAGTTAGAAACCCAATGCTAGTTAGAATATAGGCTTCCTTTACTCCTGGGGGAGAAATGCGTCTTGTAAGCCCCATGTCCCCGGCTTCTCGCTGCCAGGGGTGTAAGCACCTTATGACTGGGGCACCGAATGTTGACAGATAAAACGACGGAGGGCCGGATCTCACCGAATAGGAAAAGCAAAAACCCCGGAGAAGCTTAAGGAGGGCAACCGGCGGATGAGACTGACGGCCCATGGTGCCCGGTCTAAGGACCAGTATTTGCTTTGCTTGAAAATGCCTCACTCAACTCTTTGTGGGCCATGCATCCTTGGAGGAGGCTTAGCTGGATGTGGGTCGACTTGTTGTGGATGTTCATAAGGATTTGATCATGAATTGGAAAACAACATTGACCTTTCGAAAAAGAAAAAACGAAAAATCAAATTCACGGGGCTCTGATTGTCCAGCTAGAGGTGACTGCGTCGTAGCTAACTATTCCATACACCAGGCTTATGCTCAAGTCTTCTCATCTACTGTCTCAGGTGAAAACCCTGCCTTAGGAGATATCAAGGTGGGACAAGAACAAGCAAAATCTCCCCAAATGTAACCAGGCGAAAGAAATGAAGCTGTGAGATAAGATGAAAATGCCCTGATGTATGAGCTAAAAACAAAGTTTATACAATTCCGTTTGAGACACCACTCTACCTGCGTGCATCGCGCTCGCTCACATGATGCTACATAAGTTGGGACACGTACGACAGCAAGTGTAAACTAGTAATAGCTCGTCAGATTGTTTTTCCAGCTGCTTAGTTGGTTAAATAATCATATTTCCGGAACAAGCCTGTACTCTCACAAACCTGATGATTAATATGCGGTTTTCGAGCTGGACTGAGCATCTAGCTCTTATTATTCTTAGGGAAAATATGAAATAGTGGTCATCATTATGTGATAAAGGGATCGAATAAGGATCCCTTTAGCGAGGGTTGTCTAAGCAGTTGAGTAGGAGCTACTTGCGAACTAGAATTTAATCAACAATAATAGACCTTCCTTTAGGGCCGAAGACGTCCATAATATGTATGAGCTCCTCCTCCTATAATGGGAAATAGCTCCCTGGCCAAGAGTTAGCGATACATTAAAAGAAAAGTATTCCTATTCATCTTCTATAAGAGAGTTTAAGTATAACGTAAAAAAACATTAATAGAAGAGGCGGGACCTAACATCTTAGCATAATAAATACAAAGGCAAAAATAAGCTCTACTAGCGACTTATTATTTATCTTCATTCTAGTTACTGCTCATTCAGGGATCTATACGCAACGTAAGGTTATATAACTTTTAGAAGGTTGAAGGGGGTGTGGACGAGAAGTTTATGATGCTGCAGTTATGAAAATAATCACCAGAGCCTGATGAAAGTTCGAGAGCTTGGATGTCGCACAAAATGACGATAACGCAACATAAAAAAGAGGCGGACAGCTTCACATAGACTTTCCGTGAACGTGCCAGAGAGTGGCCGTCTTCTCCAGGCTTCGCCGCCCCTCTTGATAAGAACCGACTAACATTTCAATTGTCGGAACTAAACCGCTTTGAACCATCAGGAGGAGAAGTCTTGGTGTTATTGTGAGATACTTGCGAAGCCGTTCCGATACAGCTATATTATACGGCGATCGGTGAATCAATCCTAGTTCTAAATGCTATCGTTCTCCACAAAGTCGTATTATTTTGCTGTCTTTACTGGTTAAAGTGCGAGGGATCGTGGCTTTGTCGTAGGTTTCACGCGAGTTGCGCCAAGAAGGATTCATCTTGGCCGCTTATCCTAAAATGAATTATAGCTCATCCCCTCTGTTATATTGATCCCATATTCTGTGAAGCTGGCTTAGAGCGTCCTCGGGTTGGCTCTTCAGATGACCTGATTGCAAAGCATTGGTCTTTGCTTCACGGACAGGCTCCCGTCTCCACCAAAATTAGATAGGATGGGGAGAAAGATATAGTCTTCAGGGGCCATGGGCAGAGGACAGGGGAGAAACCCAACTGCTCATTGGCTGGATATCTTAACCGAACGCTGTCCGGGGTTCCCGTGTATTCGGCCCACATGTAACCCAAGGCTTTGATCATCCCATTCACCCAGACCTTATCAACTCCAATAGGAAGGTAGGGCAGGGCATGGGACCTTTGAACACTCAACTATGACGTTTCGAGGCCATAGCTATCGCACGCTACGGATGGCATTCGGTGCCAAGTGCCGCCTGCTGCAGCCTGCAATGTGGTGCCCTGTGCTCTATGCAACGGTGATTATTTCTGCGTCTGTAGAGTATATTAGCCGTGAGCTGTCCTTATCCGCACCAGTCGGCCACCACACCGGGAGAGAAGATTGCTCTCATCGGAAACCCTTGCCGTCTTGAGAAGAACAAATGAGGAATGCTGGTACGGTGGTATTCTGCAAGGGTAGCGATCGCCTCCGCAGACGATTGCAGACTGCTTGCCGTGACCCGACGGTTTGGAGTATATAGATGTACTGAGAAGCTGCCAAAATACGACCATGTTCAATTCCATCATTGAGGAGTTCAGCCAGCGTGCAGAAGTCTGGAGAACACATTGAATCTTCAACCAAAGCGCAACCAATAAGGTGTGTTTAATCCACTTCGATGATTAAGGGCGAGAAACGTTATAGATCCACTGACATCATTTGGAAATGCATAAAGGCTTCTCCAATGGCCCCATTCAACGAGGGGCGATCTGGCCCGTACCGCCTCATGCGAGCCTTTGCCTTTGGAGCCGCCGCCCTCGTCGGTTCTAATCTCATCCACGTATCAATGGCAAACGCAGCTGATGTCCCTGCCGACCCAGGTCCAGGTGGCACGGCGCCTGTGCGGCCATTCCGCCTGGATCAAGTCCAGCTCGCCGATGGGCTATTCCAGGAGAAACGCGACCGAATGAAGTCCTTTCTGAAGGAATATGACGAGAGGCGATTTCTGATGATGTTCAACAACCAGGCTGGTCGACCAAACCCAGATGATATTCAGCTTCCCGGTGGATGGGAAGATGGCGGTCTGCTTAGTGGACACTGGGCAGGTCATTATCTGACGGGACTTGCACAAGCGTACGCGGACCAGGGAGAAGAGGTCTACAAGACCAAGCTTGATTGGATGGTCAAAGAGCTGGCTGCTTGTCAAGAGGCTATCACCGCCCGCATGAACAGCCCAAGCAAAGTCAAGAGGGCAGATAATTCGACCGCCGTGGGCCGAGTGCCAGGAAAGTTCGGCAACGCACTCCGGCTCAAGGGGAGTGGCAAGGCCCAATACGTTGCACTCCCCTAGGAGACGATTAATCAAATCAAGGACTTTACCATCGCTACCTGGGTCAATTTGGCAGACGATGATTCCTGGACTCGCGTGTTTGATTTCGGCCGCGATACGACCACTTACATGTTTCTGACTCCTCGCGGCAGCTCAGGCAAGCCTAGATTTGCCATCACCACGAGTGGAGGGGCTGGAGAACAATCCATTGACGGAGATACCGCTATCGCAAAGGACACATGGGTGCATATCGCAGTCACGCAGACTGGAAGCACGGGTACGCTGTATGTCGATGGTGAGGTGTCTGGGACGAACAATGCCCTAACCCTGAGCCCTTCCAACCTCAACAACCCCGGTAATAGGTGGATTGGTCGCTCCCAGTACAGTGACCCGATGCTCAACGCTACCATTGACGAGTTCCATGTGTTCAACCGGGCACTTAGCCAAGAAGAGATCAAATCACTCTTGTCCTCGGCAGACGGCTCAACTGGCGGAGGCAACATCGCCTGGTACAGATTCGACGAAGAGGAGGGCACTGCTGTACAAGACTCCTCGCCAAATGGCCGCAGCGCCGGTATTGAGGGTGATAGCAACTCTGGCGATGCCGACTGGATTCCCACACATCCAGGTTACCTTGGTGCCCTTCCTGAAGACACCGTCCTCCGACTCGGTCCTCCTCGATGGGCAGTCTATGGCAGTGACAAGGCAGTGAACACCTGGGCACCTTGGTACACGCAGCACAAGATCCTGCGAGGACTTCTTGATGCCTACTACCTGACAGAAAACAAGCAAGCATATGATGTTGTTGTGAAGATGGCAGACTGGGCTTATCTCGCACTAACGATTGGCGACAAAAACCAAGAGGGTTACGCGGGAAATCTCACAAGGGCTGACCTCAACTACATGTGGGATCTCTACATCGCTGGTGAATTTGGTGGAGCCAACGAGGTCTTCCCCGAAATCTATCAGTTGACTGGCGACGAGAAGCACTTGGAGACAGCAAAGGCGTTCGACAACAGGCAGTCACTATTTGGCGCGGCGGTCGAGGACCGAGATATCCTCGTATTGCAAGCGAAGGACAACCCGGGTCCCCGCCGGCCCAACCGTCTGCATGCCAACACTCATGTTCCTCAGTTCATCGGATACATGAGAATCTTCGAGCATAATGCAGAGCAGGAATACTTTGACGCGGCCAAGAACTTCTACGGCTGGGTCGTGCCTCATCGTGGTTTCGCAACGGGCGGAACGGGTGGAAACTTCCCGGGCTCCAACAACAATGTTGAGATGTTCCAGAACCGTGACAACATCGCAAACGCTATTGCCGGTCAGGGCGCGGAGACATGTACGGCGTACAACATGCTCAAACTAGCAAGGAATCTTTTCATGCATGAACATCATGCGTCATACATGGACGACTACGAGCGTGGCCTGTTCAACATGATTGCTGGGTCGCGCCTGGACACTGATGCCACTGATGAGCCGCAAGTCACGTACTTCCAGCCTCTCAGTCCTGCATTCAGTCGTGAATACGGTAACACTGGCACCTGCTGCGGTGGTACCGGTATGGAGAGTCATACCAAGTACCAGGAAACGGTCTACCTGCGGTCTGCGGATGGGTCTGCTCTTTGGGTCAACTTGTACATCCCATCTACTCTGAAATGGGAGGACAGGGGCTTCGAAGTGATTCAAGAAACTGATTTCCCCCGCTCTGACAAGGTCAAGTTTACCGTCAACGGCGAAGGACAACTTGATATCAAGCTTCGGGTGCCAGCCTGGGTCCAGAAGGGATTCGACGTCACAATCAACGGAGAAGCCCAAACTGGCGAAGAGCCTAAGCCCGGAACATACCTGACACTCAGCCGGGCCTGGGCAAAAGGTGACGTGATTGAGATACAAATGCCCTTCACTATCCATGTTGAACGTGCTCAAGACCGCCCGGATACGCAGGCAATCAAATGGGGCCCAATCGTGCTACAGGTGGTGGGTAGCCCGAACACCACCAGCGGCTACTGGGAACTTTCTCTGTACCGCTACCTGAAGCTTGATGGTGATTATTCAACGGCGGCCATCACGCAAACTGGCACCACGTCAGCCGGCGATCCTCTCTATACCACTGCCAAGGAAAAGGCCAGCGTGCGACCTTATTACATCAGTGATACGCAACCCGTTTCGTCGTACTTCCGCCGTGTCGAGCCAGAAGTCGTCTTCGGAAGCATTGATACAGGTGTGGCCAACAACAAGCGAAATGACACTTTGCCCCTGTATGATATCCCAGTTGAGGGTATTCAGTCGCCCGGTTCCGATGGGCCTACGTTCCTTGATCTGGTTTGGGACGACGCGCCATTTGCTACCCACAAGGACTTTGTTGACACTGTTACCTCCGTTGCTGATTCATTTGTCCAAGCTGGGGTGTACACGAGCGAGGAGCGCGACACGATCGTTGAGAAGGCTGGTGAGGCGGAGGAGGCATTAGCTTCATGAAAGCCATGTCGAAGCAGCTCGTGAAAGACTACCATCGAGTTTTCATACCTTGTGAGTAGGAGATAGATTTAAGTTGGATTGGACCATTGGATATCTTAGCAGGGTTTCATGTCGACTACAATAAGACGAGTAAAATAGGAAAACGAAAAAAAGAACTTCGTGATATGCATCTCTAACACCGAGCTATGCATCAAAATCCTGAAGTGAAACATTTGTTTAAAGTCGTACAACCCTGACAGAAGCAAGAATGGGTTGATGCCCAAGTTCTAGACTAAAGGTAAGACAATCCAACGATTTCATTTAGGAACTCATAAATTTGCTAGTCCATGAATCCATGGAGAGACACTCAAGCCTTTTGCCTAAGTTTGAGCTGTTGTTAATCTAGAGTTCCGTATAGTTCATCGACCTTGCGGAGGGTCTCATTAGCCTCAGATATATGGGCTAATATATCTTCCAACTCCATCTGCAGTGCACGAAAATTGCTGATTATTTCTTCTTGCGTTTGGGGAATGCACGTATCATACATCGCATGCAGTGACCGTTGGATAGCCTCGTGCGGGTTCCGATTCCCAGAAACCAAGCCATCGCCCACAACACTAAACGAATGGACCTTGTGGATGATATTCTCGAGATCTTTATCTATCGTCTCCAACTGTGCGGACTCGACCTGACAGTTGATCATTTCCGTTTCTAAAGCATCCTTCCTCGTTTCTAGCCCTTGGATCATGGTGATGAGCGTTTCTCTTTCTGCGTGAAGAATTGCCAACTGTTCGTCTATGTCGTCTAGCTGTCTCGACATTTTAGACTTTGAACAAAGTTGTTATGGCTTCGGAAGAGGAATAAAGGCTGGTTTTTGAATGGATTACGTTTCCAGAACTATGCAGTGTTAGCATTTTCCTTTATTATTCAAGTGAGATAACATTCACTCTCGATATGGAGTTATCTCTCTCAGCATGTAACATGCTAGCGTATGTAGAGATATAACTATATCGTGATTTCAATCGGGGGAATTCAATGAACTTACCAGGGCAATAATCGCGCAAATCTACAAGATAGAAGCATTAATAGTATCTTCACGCCAGCAACTGGCTATATATGTAAGCGATATACTGTTGGTGAAGAGGACACATCCTTGTAGTTTTCATGCTGCCGCATGTTTTACGTTCAACTTACTCAGAACATTGCACATATGCTTTTGTTGATAGAGGCTTATCACTCATGCTAAAATGATGTGTGTTGATAGCTTGCAGATATGACAGTCCGCGCAAACAATGCCGCCGACACTGACTGATTCACTTAACGAGGAAATTCATTGCGTATTTCCTGGCGTTTTTAATTCCCAGCTTTGTACTGTGCAGATGTTACAATGGCATGAAATGATAATGCGGGATCGGTTGTGGCCCAGATTCTAGATGACGCCTGGCTTCTGAAATAGATCTATCAAGCAAACTACCGACCAATGATATAGCCCCTTTAAGCAAACAGAATAACTGCTTATAAGCTTAGCGCATTGTTGTGAATATCTGTATCATACTCCACGAACAGGAGGGCTTGCTACAATCTGTCCTGAGTAATGTCGTCCTCCGGTGGAGCATGTATTACTACGCGATAACGGCCATTTGTTCAAACATTGCGAGTTTTGTCCGACGTTGTCCGAATCAACGATCAGCATTATATTGTAGTGCCTTGGCCACATCAGCATCAGAGGCCTCGGAACTGATACCGAGCATGCCGCTGCGGGGGATGTGGGATGATGTGGGATGTGGAGGGGTAAACCCCAGATCATACCCCATGTTAGCAGATACTAAGATGAACCGTAACCGATGAGCGAGATATTTGTGGACTTTCATTTGCTGGGTCTCGATGATTATTAACCCCATACGTCCTGGCGGTTATCGGGGTGTGTTGAGCCGGCTACTAGCTTCGGGGTTAACATGAAGCAGCGAGTTGCGGAACTGAGACCTTATGCTTTCCGAGCCAACTTAAATAAATGGTCTGAACTATATCAGCACCGTGACACTCAACTGATGCGCTCATAACAATACCCCGTAACTATCACAAGATGTTACTATTCGAGGTGCTCCTGAGCCATCTGTGGCTGGCCGGTGCTGGTCTCATAGGTGCCATTCTCGCCAGATTAGCATACAACAAGTACGGCCATGGCATTTCCCAACTTCCCGGCCCATTCATGGCCTCAATCACCGACTTCTGGAGATTGTTTGTCGTATGGGGGCGTCGGCCAGACATCACACACGCAGCCCTTCACCGTCGATACGGTCATTTCGTGCGCCTTGGGCCGAATGCCGTGTCAGTGTCAGATCCAAGCGCCGTGCGTGAAATCTATGGACTGGCAAGCGGTTTCAAGAAGTCCGAGTTTTACACTGTCCAGCAAACTCTCTCAAAGGGAAAGCCCTTATTCACCCTCTTCACGTCCACTGATGAGAAGTTCCATGCCAAGCTCCGCAGAGCCGTCAGCAGCGCGTATGCCATGAGCACTCTTGTGCAGTTTGAGTCATATGTGGACTCAACAACGACGGCTTTTTTTCAGCAGATTGATGCGCGATTCTTGAATGCAGCCGAGCCTTGCGACTTGGGCAAATGGCTTCAATACTATGCATTTGATGTCATTGGTGAGCTCACCTATTCTAAGAGGCTAGGGTTCCTGGACGGCGGCAATGACGTTGGTGGAATCATATCGAGCATCGAATGGATGCTCGATTACGCCAGTGTGGTAAGTTCTATTCTCCTTTTTCTTTTTTAGTCTTCGCGCCGCTGATCCCTTGTAAAGATTGGCCAAATGCCGGCTCTGGACAAGTTGTTCCTGAAGAATCCATTCCGCTTGCTTCTCTCCAAGTTCGGCTTGATTGGATCGTCCACACCCATGGTAGAATTTGCACGGGAAAGATTCTCGGAGCGGGTCAATCTCGACACTGGCGAGGAAAAGGCCCTAGCTAACATGGAAGGATCATCGACACGCCAGGACTTTCTCTCTAGGTTTCTGCGAGCGCATGAGAAGGACCCGGATTTCATCTCCCATCAACGTGTGCTGGCTCTGACCGTGGCGAACATTTTTGCGGGCTCTGATACGACCGCCATCTCACTTCGAACTATTTTCTATTTCCTGTTGAAACATCCACAAGAGCTCAAGAGGTTGTTGGGAGAACTAGATGAGCAGAAGAGAATAGGTGCGTTCAAGAGAACAGATGGTCTAGTTGACTGGGAGGAGGTGAGAGACCTGCCGGTGTTGGGCGCGGTGATCAAAGAAGCACTTCGAATCCACCCTGCTGCGGGTTTGACCTTGGAGAGGATCACTCCGCCAGAGGGGGTCCAAGTTTCTGGCAAGTTCATCCCTGGTGGAACAATCATCGGCTGCAATGCCTGGGTGCTTCACCGGGACGCTTCCGTGTTCGGGCAAGACGCAGAACAGTTCCGGCCGCTCCGGTGGATCGAGGCAACTTCAGAGCAGCGGCGTCTCATGGAGAGTTGCCTCTTCACATTTGGGGCTGGTTCCAGGACATGTATTGGGAAAAATATCAGTTACCTGGAAATGTATAAACTTGTTCCCGCCCTTCTCATGCGATATGAGGTAAGTTAAACGAAGATGCGTTGACCTCCCTAATACAATGTAAAAGCTGACCGTTTCTAGCTGAGACTTCCTGAAGAGAACTGGGAGTGGACTTTGCACAATGCCTGGTTTATCAAACAGACAAATTTTCATGTCTATTTCAAGGCCCGCCAAGTCATCTAACGGGGGCTCACAATCAACTAGTCGAATGCTGAATAAGAATCGTATTCCGGAAATTGAATATTCAATGCAAAAACCTGACAATCAATCATTAATCAATCTTGGCTTTTTATTTCTAAGACTGCATACCTTCCATCGCGAGAACAGCCGTGCGACAATTTGGAAACCCGTTGTTTCTACTTCAATTGGGGATAAGCACTCATAGCCACTTGACCACCCGTATGTAAGAACAACACGTTCCCTGTTCCGAGTTGGCCACTCTTCGCCATGCTGAGAAGGCCTGTAAAAGCCTTACCAGTGTACACAGGGTCTGTCAGAATTCCCTCTGTCCGGGCAAGCTCCTTGATGCCATCCATGGTCTTCGTATTTAACACCCCGTAAGCGTCTCCTAGGAACTCATCGCTGATTTCAAAATCATCTTCGGTAATATCTTCCGCCTTGAGACCAATCTTCGTAGCAGCAGTCCTCGCGATACGAAGAACGATGTCAGTCATATCAGCCTTCCTATGGCCGATAGAAAAGCCGAGAAGCCGCTTCTTTTGTGGGATCAACCCACGAGTCTCTGCGAGTTTAAAACCTGTCACTAATCCACCCAATGTCGACCCAGATCCTACAGCAGTAATGATAGTATGAAAAGTCACTTCAAGTTGCTTCTCCTGCTCAAGGATCTCGAATGCGGCTCTGGCATAACCCAGTCCGCCCAGAGGATGGAGGCTCGCCCCGGATGGGATCATGTACGGCTGCCTGCCGCGGCTTCTTAAGGCCTCGATTACCTCCCCTTCCGTAGTACCGACTGGGAAGACTTCAGCGCCCAGTATTTGATTTAACTGAACGTTCCCGGCATATGAGTACTCCGTCTCATTAGCTGGAACCAAGTCGCGAGGGTACAAAGCCACCTATAGATAAGAAAGTTCAACGTATGAGCGTCTCACCTCCTCTACTAATCATCTTTATGCCAAAGGCGAAATGACTGGGGTCATGGAACTCATGGCTTACATTCAGCCCCAAATGGGCCGCAGCAGCACTGGTCTGCCTCATGTGGTTGGATTGAATACCACCAGTAGTCACCAACGTGTCGGCACCTTGGGACAAAGCATCCGCCAGGACGTACTCGAGTTTGCGGATCTTGTTGCCGCCACCTGCCAGGCCGGAATTTGAATCATCCCTCTTGATCCAGAAGGTAGCGCCACAACTCAAATTGGCCGTCAGTCGGTCCAGGATTTCGACATCTGATGGGCGATCATACATGAGGGGAATGCGACTGATCTCGCTGAAGGGTGAAGGTAGAACGACCATTCTGGCTTTTATATGAACCTGGGGGAAATCTGGGAATAACAAAAAGGGTCGGGGGCCAGCTGCCAACAGAAACAGGAAAGTTCATGGTGCTAATAACCGTATCTGGGCGCTGAAGGGCGCGAATGACCGCTTACACATTATTAATTAATATTTGCAGAAGAATGGGTTAGGATTTGTCAGGGTAGGATCATGTGGAGTCGGCTATAGTTCCTAGATACCTAAGTTTGAGATAGACCATCATGTCTGGCGAGCAGAATATACAATGACGATATGATATGTTCGCAAAATGGCTAAATAATCAAGACTGGGTGAACGACGAAATCAGTTGTTCGTTAAGATACATTGCAGTGATTACATAAATTGAAAGAAATTGAAGGCTCCCTCTTCAAAGTTTGGATCCACGCCAAAATCAACATCATCAATGTTTTGCAAACCTGAAAGTTCCACTTCCAAGTCTTCCTCAGCAACAGCGTGTCCCTGTGAGTTGCGAGCATTTGCGGAAAGCTCAAATTGTGGCTGGCCTATATTTCTTCTGACGTTGAAATCATCCCCATCTACATCAATCATTGCATCCGAGGGTGTTCTACTCGAACTTGTCATGTGGGAAGCCCACGCCGACGTGTTGGACGAATCTGCATAAGAGGGTTGGTTATCGCTTGAAACCCAGGCCCAGGTCATGGGGTCAAGAGATTGGCTCTCAACTGCGATCCTCGAGCTACCAAGCGAGAAAGGAGACGGGGTTGGCTGGGAAGTAAGCCCACCCTTAGGGTTCCTTTCCAGAGAAATCCTCTGCATTTCCTCCTCACGGTGCTTTTTAGCCGCATTTACCAACCCGAAAACGGCCGGCTTGAGCGGATTTCTGTTTAGTAGTGCATCAGGCGTCTCGTCGAGAAACCTCATGGCAATCTTCCACGCTTTCTCAGCAACAGCGGTCCATGGGCCGAAGCGGAGTTGGGCAAACACGATGCAGCCTGCGTGCCATTGATGGTAGTTGATAGCTACCCAGCTCCACTGCCGTGTGGCAGGATCAGACTTCCACTTTTGCATGACCTCGAGGCATCTGAAAGCCGACTCAAAAGACTGATGCCTGACTGGTTCGGTCAACATTCTCGGGTGGCTGAAGAGGTCTCTATGATGGAGAACGAGAGTCAGCTGATCCAACAGAACCTCGATTATTAGCCGCATCGTGGTCGTCAGGAGCCGTGGTGGCTCCGGCTGCGCAAGAGTCTCTCCAAGGAGCTTGGAGCGGAGACGCGCCAGCGATTCCAACCCACGCTCTTTTGCCTTGTCTCCCTCTGCGCTGGTATCCATAAGATCCGCAACAGAGTTGTGGAGTCTCCGAGCCTCACGCCAGACGCCGCAGTGTGCCAACATATAGCTCGACTCTGTGAAGCCCTCTCGACCAACCGGCTCGTTCGTCATGCCGGGGAATATGTCGCCGTCATTGACGTTGGCAGGCTCGCGTGTATCGAAAATCCTCTCGGAAAGCGCCATTTCGGGAACATCACACTGGCTCACGCGGTTGTCAACGAAGCAAATGTGCCACCAGAGCCTCCGTCGCATCTCCGAATCGAAGTGGTCGACGTTGGGAAACTTGGACCCGTCGCGATGAAGCCCCATTGACACTGCTGACCGAACCAGAATGCCCGTCATGGTCCACATGGCTCTCACTCCGTAATGGTGTCCCGCGACATCAAGGTACAGCACGAACGCTTGAGCAACAGTTATGGACGTGGTATCCAACACACCGGCGCTCGCGAGAGATTCTTCTGTTCCTTGGAGCAGAGACAATACCATGTCGTCTTTGCATTCGTGAAAGTTCTCTTGGACCTGCGCTTCTATTAGTCAAATCCTACTCGAACAGTATATAGATTCCTACCTCGGCATCACTAAGGGAGGTGATGGCGGTGAGAGATATCGCAAACATCAAAGCCCGCATTCCAGAACCTGGAGGCTCAAATCTACCCTTGGACTGTCGAATAGCCTTGTCCATGGTCGGGACGTGTAAAATCTTGATCATCGGGTCGACATTTTCGACGAAGACCTGCCAGATGTAGGGCACTTGGGACGGCAGGGGCTGCGACACGTCCTCCGAGGGTCGCCCTCTCATTCGGCAGAAGAAAGGAGTGTGGCTGACATCCTTGACGGAAACAGCGACTTCTTGCTGGAGCCGTTGGTGGTGATCGTCGTCTTCAAATGCTTGCCGCACGCTTTTGACCTGTCAAACAAGCATGTTAGACAAGGCGTTCATGTGTTTAGGGACAAGACGACTGCACCTCGTTATTAAAAATAGACCAGAACTTATTCCCAACATAAAGGCTCCCACCCTCATGTAGATGCAGTCTCCCAAAATCATTCACAAGTTCGCCATTGCCATTGTCCGGGCCAGAAGCACCAAGGGACGAGTCCCAGTCAACATGATCGACGCTTCCACCACTAGGAATGGCTTCAAGCCGCACCTGCGAACTCAACTTATCCACGACATCTTCTAAATATCTTAGACGATTGATCAATTCAGCGCGTTTCTCCCCCGGCGTAAGTGTGTGAGCCGGTGACGGGTAATGCTGCCGGGTCGGCATCCGCCCAGACACGGGGTACGAGCAATCGACGCCGGATTTTGCACAGAGCGCGCAGGGTTTGCGTCTGTTGCAGCGAGCCTTGCGGCGGCGACAATGGAAGCAGCTCCACGGGCTGACAATCTCGGAAGGCTCGTGGTCCCCTGTCCGGCTGGACGCACCGGGTCCAATACCGGTATTCATTGTCGAAGAAACATGCGGTGATGCCGGGGCTGTATCTGAGGGATATGATTAAGATGTTCACGGACGACACATCAACGGAAAGGTATACGGACCTCCTGTCTTGGTCCATCTGACAGCAATGGAACGAGGCTTTGTAAGCGACAGACGATCCTTGGTGGCATTGTGGGTCGAATTACAACAAATAAGCTCCGCCTTTTGGTCCGGTTTCCGTGTCCGTCAGATCGGATTCTGCAGCCTCCGATCCCCAGTTCAAGAGCCAACGACTATTAGTAAATCATTCGTTGCTGCTGCAAGTCAGCCTGTGCGCGTTAAACACACCGTGTGTTTCTTCTTTCGATGACTTTCAGGGCCGTTTCCCTCGTAACTAGAAGCCAATCAGCACTCCGTCAGCCGGGTGAATACGAGCAACTTCAATTTCAAGGTAGGGCACGTCAGGCGCGCTGAGAGAAGAGCAGACATGGCTCGCATTCTAGTCAAATAACACGGGTTTTTATTATTGATAAGAGCTAATCAACCAGAAAAAAGCCTCGGCTTGCATTTGAAGCTGCATCTTCATATCATGACCGATCTCATTCTTCTGCAATCGAATTCTCCATTTTTCATGTTACTGAGGCAATCAACCGCCCTTACAATGAGTTCCAGCCTGCCAAGAATGATCTAAGCGAATCAAAGAAGCAATCAGATTCGTACTCTTCAGTCATCACAACCAGATCGTTGGACCCGCGGCTCAACCCAGCAGGCCAAACGACATCTCCAAGGCCTTTCGTCGCAGTTTCGATCTCGAGGCCACAAACTGGGACGATTTATAAGCGGCCAGGACCATCTTCCGAGTTTCGCGTGGGAAGATGCTAGAGTTCGAAACCACAAATAAGGTCGCCTCATACGCCCCGTCATCATCTAAAACAGCCCCGTCAAGGAGGAGCCTGAAAGCTGAATCTCGGGCGCTCTCGGAACTGGATGTCAGATGTTCCTCGGAATCATAATAGCCCTCCCCTTTCCTAATACCACTCATCAGGTCGTGGATTTGGCGGCCCTGCAATGCGTCGATTCCGAGGTGCTTCATGGACTCGCAGATCCGTTGATAGTCAGCTAGGTCCTTCGACATGTTGTCAAGAACCTTGCGAAATGCTTCGTACAGACTGGTTTTGATGACATTAGAAAAACGCACGTCTTCAAGACCCTTCAGTTGACTTCCATTTGCATGCGGAGTAGACTCGTCGCCGGTTCGAGCATGCTGAGTTGTGCTTGTCTTTTTGCTATCCCAGTAAAAGTACAAGTCTTCGGGCAGAATCGGTGTAGCAGCTGCCTTTTCGATCTTCAGTTCATCTCGAGATGCGTCATACTTGATGGTGACGCTTCCGGCACATTCTTTGGCTGTCGACACGACTTTCTGGATCAGCCCGCCGAGCTTATTGAGGTCCCCCTCATGATCAGACTCCCAGGCCTTGATCTCAGCAGTGATATCTTCAACCTGTGGTGCCTGAAAGGTGCCTCTGTTATGGTAGGCTCGGACAAGCATAGGTGTCTGAGAAATCCACAGCTGGGCGGCGACATCTGAGATCTCAAGACGCCTCGTCATGGCACGAGTTTTAATTTCCAGGGTAGATTCAATCGGCACCTCCTCGCCTCGCCGGCATGGCACATAGATAGCTTGGGTCCCCAAATGGGGTGAACAAAACTGGTACGAGAGACAGCCAAGGTGCTCATCATACGATCGATGTCTCGTCCTGTGTCTTGCATGGACTGGCGTCAGGAGAGCGAAGTGTCTTGACGTAGCCATCCGTTTCATGTCGCACGACGAACTTCAACCCGCCAAAGGAATACGAGATGATTCTGTGATGGCCAGTGCTTAGAGAACTCTCAGAGCACGTATTCCACTTCGCGAAGTTGTGGCCAAACCCCCGAAACTGGCCGGGCTTGATGATCTCGTAAGTCGCATTTTCGTCGCGAGAAAAGATGATGGTTTTCCCAACAACCTCAGCCTTAATTGTAAATGGCTGGGGGCAGAAGTTGTTCAGCTTTGGGTTCACGAAGTATAGCAACTTCCGGATGTTATTTCGATCTGTGATGACGTCGACGGAGGAGATGTCAAAGGTCGGATTCGCGTGGAAGAGGGATCGAAATAGTGGCTCGAGAGGACTATCCGGGTGTCTGGCGGCATTCTGGTCGATGTACACAAACCCGGAATCTTGCGGAACTTTCTGGGGAGTCTTTGGAGGCGCCCATGAAGGCGGGCTTCCAGGCACAGCGATGGTGGGCTCTGCCGCTTCGATCCAGTTGTACGAGGAGAGATGGTTTACATCAGTTATGGAGGAGGCGGTGGTAACTGATGATCCCAAGGCCTGGAGATATGAGCGGTCGATGGTAGCCATGGCTTTTGACGATTGCAAAGCAGCCCGAAATTCTCAACTTGGCATGTTTTGGAGTTGTGAGGAGAGGTGAGAACGCGATTTGGAGAGCAGGTTTGACGTCAGGGAAGGCTGCGGAATCGGTACCTGAGGCACCAACTCCTCTGCTGCCTCCATTCAAAGAGTCGCGTTTGTGCAACATGAAATTTTAAAGACAAACATCAACATGAGGCGATCAAGGCCTTTGTAAATGTGATGATGTCGTGTTGTGCACATTCTGACTGTGGGGCAGATACAAGTAAGCAGAAGCTGGTCCGGGTTCCATGTCCGTCAGCCGGTCCTGCAGCCTCCGACCCCAACTCACGACGGATCAGAGATCGATGGTCCGTTGCGGGCCAAATATTCCGTCCCATCCAGGGGTAGAGACTGAGATGGAAATCTCATGGACTCGGATATAAATTAGACCAACATGACACTCCAGACAACATCTAAGCATCCATCACTCACATCAACCACAGCACGCAATCACCAAATCTACCAACCCCCAAAATAAACACCATGTCTGAGCTACAGCCTCTTATTGTCTATGGGTGCGGTCACACCCCCAACCCTTGGAAGGTTGTCATCATTATTGAAGAACTCGGCCTCCCGTATGTGGTCGAGCAAGTCGACATCAGAACCATCAAAGACGAACCGTACATCTCGCTCAATCCCAACGGCCGCCTCCCTGCCTTTAAGGACCCGAACAACAATGACATCGTGCTCTTCGAAGTAAGTGACGACAGAATTCTTTATAGAACCAGATGAAGGAATGCGAAAGAAGTATTCGATGAGCTAACTAACTGAATCAGTCCGGAGCGATCATCGACTACATAATCGAAGTCTACGACAAAAAGGCCCTACTTCACTATGCCTCCGGGCCCGAGAAGCACACCACCCGCTGCTGGGAGCACTTCCAGATGAGCGGGCAGGGCCCATACTTTGGCCAGAAGATCTGGTTTGAGAAGTTCCATCCCCAGCGACTGCCGACCGCGATTGAGCGCTATCTCAACGAGATGAAGCGGGTTATCGGTGTCATCGATAGCCACCTTGCCAAGAAGGGCACCGACTACTTGGTGGGAGACAAGGTGACATATGCGGACCTCATGTTCCTTCCTTACTTTGCAGGTTTGCCAAGTCTAGTTCCAGAGCTGGATCTCACCAAGTATCCGCAGTACAACGCCTGGCTTGGGAGGCTGGTCACTCGCCCAATCACCTCGAAGGTCTTGGAGAGATATGCCGAAGCCGCTGCCGAAGCCGCTGCCAGTGGTGCCGTTCCCGCGGTGAAGCAGGTGGCAGTTGTCGAAATCTAGGATTTGCGATGGTCGTATTATCAGTGACATATCTTATGGCATTGCTGAGGGCTGTGTTAGTTGGGTAACTTTGTTTGGCATATTGAACATGTGTTTACGCCTCGTTATCGAGATTTCGAGACTAATAGACCATCAGTCCACAAGTGCATCATCATTTATTGTTTTATCAGACATACCTCGTCGCCGTGATGATCATCTTCAGGCTCTAGGGTAGCTCAATACGGAACATGCGTAACAGGCCGTGATTAATCATAAGAAATGACGCTTCTGGCCGGAAGAAGCTCGTGGCTGTGGCTGTGCCAGAAAATAATCGGGCCTAAATATTGTTAGCGGTAGGCTTTGCTGAGACAGGCCAATCTTGGACTGTTTTAGACTCGTGGCCCGTCTCCCGCGGACCATTTACATTAATACCTTATTTATTTATTATTTGTTCATCCGCAATCCGAGGCTGGTCTAGCCCTTCATTTGGGCATCAAGGTTGGATCCGTCAGCCGGCTGTGCCCTCAGTGACTCTCTCAATCACCCGTTATTACTCCTCGGCCTGTCACTCGGCCACAAACTTGATTTCTCCCCTATCCACCCCTTTTCCGCCGCCCGCCACATTCCATGAACCTCCCGCTCTGGACGTCTGTCCATTTATCGCGCATCCATCCGATACCGTGGATCGCCCTCTTGGCCGATAATTGCGCATCCGAACTTTGAATGATGGGGTAGGATTCATTGCACTCCAGCAGTCCCAAGAATCAATCTGATGGGCTCGCCTGTCGACTGTCGCCAGCGCACCTCTCAACGGATCGCCATTGCAGAGTAAATCCACTCCTGAGGGCAGACTCCGTGCCATGTGCATCTGTCCGCCAATGCTGGTTCCTCTCGCGTAGGTTTGTTGGATTCGCCAAGCGGTTTTGCGCATCGCATCTGCAGGTCCTTCATCATGGCCCACTTCCCGGAATCAAGCGGCGACAAGGGGAGAGAACCCGATGCCCCAAATCCCAATGAACGCTATCGCGACATGCAGGCAGATGGCGGCAATGCATCGAAGAAGGCATCCCCTCCGACCTCCATCAAGGCCTTTGCTGCCGCTCGTCGGCGGGAGCGTGCAGCGTCCATCAGCGACAGCGACTCCACCAGCTCTGAGAGTGAGACGGCGTCCCTCCGCCGGATCCTGTCTCCATCCAAGATCAGCTACATGAGCGACAAGTTTCCCACTATTGACGACAGCTCTGAGAGCTCCTCTTCTGAGGAGTCCGACGAGGATCGGGTTCGCCTCGAGCGAAATCAACCCCATCAGCGTCTCTACATCGACTTTGATTTCCTTGAGAACTTCATCTACGCCAACCAACCGACAGGTGTCTCGGATGAGGTAAGCTCGCCGCAAGGAGGCAACGGCATACCTTCATCGCCCAGGCTCAAGGCAAGACCACACCTATTCAAGCCAAACCGATTCAGCTTTTTCTCCTCCTCATTGGACTCAACCATCCACGCCCCCGAACTGGCTGACCTTGTGTTACCTGGCGAGGAAATCCGCAACCTCTTCACCATCCCGGAAGATGAAGGGGGCGCGTGGTGGCTCGACTGCCAGAACGCGACCAAGGATGAGGTGCAGAACATATGTACTGCCTTTGGGGTCCACCCGCTGATCATCGAGGACATCGTGACCAAGGATGCGCACGAGAAAATCGAGATGTTCTCTTCCTACTACCTCGTCTCCTTCCAGTCATTCTACACCGTCACGGAGGACAATGGCGGCGTGGAATACGAGCCCTTCAATATGTACATCCTCGTCTTCCGCGAGGGTACCTTGAGCTTCAGCTTCTCCTCAAACTCCCATGCGCTCTACGTTCGTCAGAGGATAACTGCCCTGAAGGAGCATGTGTCACTGAGCAGCGACTGGATTTGCTATGCTCTCATGTAGGTTCCCAATTCCCATCTGTGTTATGCATGTGGTTACATCGTACTCACCTTACCTAGTGATAATATTGTAGATGAGTTTGGGCCAGTCATCAGGCAGATCGAGCACGACGTGGACACCCTCGAGGACGACGTCTTCATCATGAGAGACTTTGACTCGACCTCCTTCCTCCTCCGCATCGGCCAGGTCCGGAACAACATCATCTCCCTGCTGCGCCTCCTCGGCGGCAAGCCCGACGTGCTCCGCAGCTTCACGAAGCGCTGCAACGAGAACTACATCATCACCCCGGGCATGGACATCGGCATGTACCTCGACGACATCCAGGACCACGTCGTCACCATGGTGGCCAACCTCGGCCACTTCGAGAACATCCTCTCCCGCGCCCACAGCAACTACCTCGCGACCGTCACCGTCAACGGCCTTAACCAGGGGTCCACCACCAACGAGGTGCTCGGCAAGATCGTCCTGCTGACGTCCATCTTCGTGCCCCTCCATCTCGTCAGCCTCGTCTTCGGGATGAACGTCCCCGTGCCGTTCGGGGGTGTTGATGAGGTGAATCTGGCGCCATTCTTTGGTATCATCGGGGTCATGGCAGTGATTGGTATTGTCGTCATGGCCTGGGCGCGTCACAATCGGTGGATTTAATAGAGCAGTCTATAATTTGTCTTTTCTTTGTACACTTCACATATCACTTTTAGAACATGGAAAGATAGAGAACCGTTTCTCATTTGATAGCATTCGATCCAGCCGAATAAAGATTTTTTGTTTACATCTCTACCGTCGCCAGTCCCGTGGCTGGGGTAGTCTAAGAGCTCGCCTTCTTATAACTGACCCTGGTGAGGGAGGCCCAGCTCATCGGTGAACGGGTCATCGTCGGCCTCGCGCACGATGATCTCTGCACCGATACGGATGGTGTTGTAGAGCTTCTCGCCGTGCCACTTCTTCACCCAGGCCATCATCAGGTCAATGCCGGCGGTTTCCTAGATTTTAGATTAGTCCAAATCCGAAACATGTTAGAAACACAATATGCGACGTACACCCGAGGAGGACCAGATGTTATCCTCGATGACATATCGAGCCGGCGCCACCCATGTCACATTGTTCCCGTGAGCGGTGACGAGCGACCAGGCATTTTTGTTGGTAGTCACCCGCCTGCCGTCGAAGATGCCCGCGCGGGCGGGGAAGATGGCGCCCGTGCAGATGGTAATCAAATAATCCAGCTTGGGGTACACCTTGGCGATGTAGTCGTCCACGTAGGTGAGCGAAGTGTCCCTCGCCGCGGCGCCCCCCGGCACGATGAGCACGTCCAGGTCGAGGTCGTCCTCGAAGCTCGCGGCGCCGACGAACTCGGGCGTGAACGTCGAGTTGTACTTGTTGCCCATTGGCGGCGCGACGGGCACGTTCTTGCCGTCCGGGGTGATTATCTTGACGCTGATGTGGGCGTTGCCGGCAACGAAGTAGAGGACCTCGAGGGGGCCGTAGATGTCCAGCATGCTGGCACCGGGCATGGCGATGACTCCGTAGTTTACGGGGAAGCTCTCTGTATCGTCTACAAGTTAGAACCTCAAGCCCTTGTTAATCTTATTGGAGGAATTTGCTGTTCCTACCATTTCGTGTGTGGAGCTCTGCCGCTGCCGAGGGCAACAGGCCTGCTGCTGCCGCGGCGAGTGTGAAGAGAGATTTCGCAAGCATGGTGGACTTAATTCTCTGTGCCTGAATGAATGAAGAGGCGATATTGTTGCAGTGAGGTGGGAATAAGGTGGCAAGGGAAACCGATGGCTTTATATTCCGATCTTGGCCCTATACGCCAAACGACAGGGTTGTGGAGAAGTCCCTGTGTTTCACCAGAGTGGTTTTGAGCAAGTTTCAGTTCTTTCTGCTCCTGTCGAAGGACTCAAGCCCTGCACTCTGGCATATTACTGGGCGGTGGATCTCATGTTTCTTACCCCTGAACATCTGGAGGAAGCCCACGCGCGTGGGATTCTCCCGCCCAATCGATCCTCGGAATCCGAGTAGAAGTTCCAGACGAAACGTGCATAAGGAGATCGCGCGCGCGATAGCCCCGCTCTGGTTACAGATGTTGACAGCGATTGGAATAGAGTTTTACATTACAAACAAAGCTTTGATACTAAACCGTGGGACCCTGTCGGATATATTCCCTAGCGGGATCTTGACAAATGAGATGCGATGAAAGTAGAACCGATCTGACCTCCATATGCAACAGTAGGGAAACCAATCTTGGTGTTGCTGGGAAGGAACGTGGCTTGGGAGCTTGGCAGGGGTAGACTACCCTGCTCAACTCATTCTTTGTAAATTATCAACGGCGGTAGTGTGCATAGGGTTCGTGAGCGTGTGGAGCTTCAATATTGAAAGCGTAATTGTTGCGAACCCTTTCATCTCTTTGAGCACGGTTGTTCTCCCAATCCTTCGGGTTGGGCTGCCTCTCGATGAAGATGCAATGGATTCGAAAGCAAATTTAACACTCATATTATTACCATGTAGGATTCCCATGCCAAAATTTAAGATGTATAGCCTGCTCCGGACGTGCTAACTGAAACAACCTGAAGGAGGATGAGGAAGCTTTTGCGCAATGGTTCAGCCTCATTTCAATCCTTTGACAACAGCAAGGTTCATTTAATCTGCGCAGTTTGCACAAGAAAAACAATAACTACCCGGTTCTCGTCTAGGCATGTCTATAATAGCTGCTGGTATTGCTAATATTCAGGTGGAAAATGCACGTTCAGGTGGTCGGACTGTGACCAATCTGCATCACCTCTCGAGTGGCACCCTGATGCCTTGCAGTTGTCTTCGTTTTCTTATACGAGGTTCGGAGATACAGAACCCCCTATCTTTAATAACTACCTAATGTTGAATTGAGGTACTGAGGGCGTTAATTCTCGCTACAGAGGCAGATTTCAGCAGCTGAAAAGGGAGTGCAGCATTATACGTACAAGGTCCCGTGCGGTCTCAGTCCGATTATTGAATATGGAAGGGATGCTTATTGTACGCTGCAAAGAGGTATCTTAAGAACGGTCATTTAGTAAGCGAGTCAACTAAATATTTCCCTATTGGCCCTCGCCATGCTACAGCATGATGTGTTTCCAATTAATCAGACCCGCGAGCATGTTGGAAGCTGTTATTGTTGCAACCGCCTGGCTCAATACGATATGGTCGATTTTGCCAACAATTTGAACGTATTGCAAGTTTCAGTCTGCTGGCGTGTTGTTCGCATTTACGATATCTTACTGCGATCGCTGCATGACGTTACTTTAAAGGTATAGTTGAATAAGAAGAGAAGCGGCCTTGGTCGTCCTCTCCGACCGGTCGTGTTCTTCGAGGTACATGAGCCTTGAGTGATGAGCTTGCCTTTCACACATGACCTTACCTGGCGGAGAACTCGGGACCCTCTCTAGCTATGCCCTTCCTTGGGGTTGAGTCGATTCTGCCATACCAGAGCATCTTTTTAGTCCTTTAATTACTCAAGTTCCAGGTATATTCATCCAAGAGGTGCTAACCCTTACACAAAGAACCGTCTGAATTAATATCCTCTTTTCCCTAGATGTTTTTACATTCAGAAATTCTCCATCGTAGTATGCTGTAAATTCTGTGAAAAAGAATGGTGTCTATGTCTAAGCTAGTTAGTTAGAATATGCGTTGACAAGTTTTATTAAATACATACATGTCAAGATGTAATTAAACCCCTTGCGCAGGATATAGTGGTATTTGGTATGATCAAACGATAGAACAGTATAGATCATCCACATCTCAAAGGGTTATCTCTTGGAGAGTAGGCAGCAGCAGAAGTCCTTCAAAGGTAAATGGTTCAGAGCACTAAGAGAATCCCTCAGATAAAGCCAGAGATAGACGTCTACTCGCTATAAAGTAATTGACTTTGGCTCCGGCTCTGCCCCTTTCCCCATTGACGATTATCATCTTTTTAATCATTTCTTTGCAACTTGGCATGTGGCTTGAGCTGATGGTTTCGTCTAGAATATTTCCAGGTTTCAGGAATTTGTCGAGATCTTCGTATATCTCATGCCGAATTATAAGCTGGCCTGCGTGGGATAAAACATATCGTAGGAGAGAGGGCATGTATGTTGGAGTGATTTTACCGACACGATTTAAGATATCTGCAATACCATCTGTAAGCCTTACAAATGGCATGAAGACAGTGCCGATGAGATCTTCGGTGAGATTCTCGATGAGATGTTCAGGTGGCCACGTCATCTTCGGCTGATACAAAATGTACGAACAGCCTAACAAAACCCAGGCTTCTATGCTCATGAGATCTGAGAGTGTCCACAGAAGGCATCTGATTCGAAGGTGAAGGGGATGATAAGGGCTCTCTGTGTTCTGTTGGCATTGTTGGAAGTGGTGGAGCATGCATGATAGCTCTGTAGAAGGCAAAACCAGGGGCTTTCTGGTGTCGATTATGTGGATGATCGATTTCGAAAATTCGTACAAAGCCATATTGTGCCGCGCGCTAAACTGTCTTGAACCGAAAAGTTGCGCGGCGCGTTCTGAAAGCTTGAGCTTCCGATTCTCGTAGCAGCGAAGTTGAAGCTGCATGCGCTTTCTCACTTTGTCTAGTGCTTTCTCACCTCTTTGGTGTATCTCGCAATTTATTATGTCTGGGTAATTTACTTGATATAGAGTTACCCAGATGAAGTCTTTGATTTCGGACCTTCGTTCCTCATGCCTATGAGAAGTTGGGCGCATCCCTGGCATGACGGCTGGAAGCCAAGACTGTAGGACTTGTAATAGCAAGGTGGTGTTTATATTCGAACAGGCACCAGGCGCGGTTATTTGTTTCTGAATTTCTTCCAAATAACCGCGAATACCAGTTTTGCTAGCGGCCAGTATATCGCTTAATGCGATCTCTGTCAGAGGATCAGGCCTATCATCTGGCGATTGTTGAAAGTGAAGCTTCAGCTGGCATTTGCTGTTTGGGCTAGTTGATTTTAGCTAAATGACTGAGGATACAAGATAGGACACTCAAAACGAACCAGGAGTAAAAACCAGCGCCAAATTTCATAACCCTTTTTTGACCACAATTTGGACATCTTCTTCTATGTCTAGCATGGTAAGGGAAAGCCATACTGAATTGAACCTTATCATTGTCTTTAACGATATCTTTGAACGATCTTTTGGCAGGGCTGCTGCATAGAAAGAGGCGATCGGGATCGAATTTATGAACTATGTAATTTTGTTCAAGAATCAAATGATTCGCTAAATCATTCTCCGGGAACAGCCGAAGGAGAAATTCGTGAAGGTCCTCCACATAAGAGTGTCAGTATCATCTTGCTTTGGTTTGTTTGGGGGTTTACTGACATCCCAAGAGGCAACCTGTCCAAAGGAGAGTCCATAGCTTGTCCCTCGTGCATCTTGCAAGCTAAAGCCCTCGCCGTTTCTATTTAAAGGGTATCTATTGAAAAAATACGGTCAATTGAGATATCTTAGAGGCGGCACTTTGAATCAATGCTACTTACGCTTGTAGAAGGAGTAGCTTTCCCTGAAGCAAAGACATCCGGTCTTTGAGATTTAGATGAAGATCTTGCAATAATCTCTCATGGTTAGACCAAGACAACTTTTTGAAGAGCCCTCTCCATGAAAACCTCGTCCTCTTTTTGCCTAGATGAGGATCCAAGCGCCGCAGCCTTGAGAAAAAACTGCCCAGGAGCTGGTCGATTGACTTTAATTCTGCGGCAACTGATTTTTGCGTCTGCGGTGCACTGTTTTTTATTGAATGTAGAAATTTCGAGTGACGGGAAAGAGATCGGTAAATGGATTTATATTGATTAAATCCTTTTACAGCCTTTCCCCGAAAGAGCTCGAAGACTTTGCAGAGCATCTCAAAAAGAAGCATATTATCAGACCACATTTTGGCGGTGGTGTTGTTGTGATGCGGAATTCGTGATCAATAGGCTGAGAAAGTGGCCTCTATTTTTCTGCCGCGCAAGAACCCTTTGTAAGAAAAAAAACCTCATCTTATTCTATCGTTACTTTTGACAGCTGAACACACTTATACCGAAGAGCTTGTCTGATTGGGACAGACATATCATCTGACATGCCTGGCAATCTGACATTCTGACCTCATCACAAACCCCGCTCTCAACTGGCAGCACCTCGAAGCTACGTGTCACTGTATAAGTGCTCAGATGATGCGTCATCTCAAACTCCTGGTCTTGATTGGGCTTGGCTAGTAATGAAGGGTGACATTGATCCGCCAAAGAGAAAGCCTGAGTGATTCTCACGTCGTGAGGAAGCCATAGATCCTTACCATAAATCTGCCTCGTTCATGCAACTTTCGAAATCAGATACCCGACGGATGCCGGAAAGGGTGCAATACACAAGAAGTGTGTAATAATATTTAATATGTATGGATGTGACTCATAATATGACTCTTATGCCTAGGTACTCGTCGTGCAGTGTGCAGCGTACTAAAGGATAATCGACAAATTGAGAAGATCATGGAGATATCAAATGGCGACCATTACTAATGTTAGAGACTTGTTGCCTTAAATTAGCCGTTAATTAAGTATTGATATAAGGATAGCTCTAGATGCGATGTTGAGTTGACGATTCAGTCCATGAATCTGCTGGCTTGTGGCTATATCAGAGAAATTGCTATCGTCTGTCACGCCAGATTAGGTGTGTTATCTCGCTGTCTAAGTCCCCAGCCCTTGATTTTTAGCGTCTCTAATCTAGCTATGAAGTAGCTTCCAACCATTTACCTGCTAAGCGGTCACACCGGGAAAAAGTCTCGCCTTTCTCCAGGTTCCTACAACAGTACACTAAATGCGATTGGTTCTAGTTACAACATGTTCACACAAAACCAGGAGAATAAAATAATGTCCTAGAGAGCATAACGCCAATAATCAATCTATTCTAAATTGGTCTTGCTTGGTCCGTCAAAGCGCTAAAATAAAATACATCAGGTTGTTGTTTGATGCCCTAATCCTCGAACGGATTGGGCACATCGCTGTATGAATATTGAGCATCCACGTACTGGGAATTCATCCGTCGCTCCCGGTAAAGATTTCGGAGATGTGGGGCGTAAATGCGAGACATTAAATTGCTCGGTCGATTGGCATTATCCGTGAACTTGGAAGTCCAATCATGGTGATAGGCAGTGTATGTCTGGAACCCCAAATCGAATTCCAGGGACTTGTATTCGTCGACAGCGTCCAGGTCATTGTTGAAATCGGGGTGATTGGTCATATATCCCGCAGTGGCTGGGAGATCTTCTCGCCAGCCTTTGAACAATATACCGAAGTAGGTGAGTTTGTTGAAACGCTCACTCTGCGTGATAGCGTGCAACAGGCAATGCACTTGGTCTATGATAATCCCGCCTCCACAAGAATGAATTAAGAGATATTCCAGGTTCTCGGGAATACAATCAAGGAGAGCAGGACTACTTGGCGGCAGCTGGCCAGCAGCTTCATTGTAGTTGAACAGCGCCGATGCATTGATGCCAAGAAGTTCCTGCATGCCGATTGTAAGCCTCTTCAGTGAATGCATTTGGCGAAGGTCGGTGCCCATGTGAATCCTCTGTGGATTATCCACTTGTTTATCTTGAAAGTCATCCAGATTGAGATAAAGGTTCTCAAGTGTGCTGGCATGAGGCAAGATTGCATCAAGAATATCTCGGGGCATTATTGCGGCACCATCTGCTGCATTGAACTCGCGGTGACTAAATTCAAGCTTCTTCAGCCCTCTGCAAGAATCTAGCATATTCTTGAGTAGATCTGCTGTGCACCAAGACCAATGTAAGATTATCTCTTCAACTGAAGAAGATCGAGGGGGCAGATCTGCAAATCTTCTTGCCGCTTGCAAGGTTCCCTGAGTCCCAATACACTCATAATGTCGTAGTCTGAGGAAACCAAATAGGTTTGGTGCCTCATTATAGAAAGTATGGTATCCAGATGGATGTAATGTCTCATGAAACACATCTTGCAAATTTGCGAGGGGAACAATCTTCTCAGTATAGTTGCTGTTACTCCAGTCGGGCCCAAAGTAGTAGGAGGTATTTGACATAATGCGGGTGAAGTTGAGTAGAAGAGGGAAATGATATGCTTCCTTGGGCATCTCAAAAAGAAGTGTTCGGATATTTGGACAGGTAAGTAAGATCAAGGAAACCTCAGCATCGGAACTACCTATTGTGAGATCGTATGTCCACTGAGCAGACCACCTATCATTATAGGGCAATTGTCCTAAAATGTACTTGATATGGTGCTCAAAGATACCAAGCTCTTGGTCTGAAATTAGGCCTTGGTCTTGCCCTATATACTCACTATTTCCAGCTGGTGAGAATCTGCCGATAATAACAGTTTGAACATGTTTAGCCAACCAAGGCTTTGAAATAAGAATATAGCGTAGGAATTTTATATTGCGGGCCCGGGAACATAGACCGTAGTCCTTAGGGTAAGGTGCTGTATTTCGGAACACTCTTACAGACACTGGAAGAGCCGCCTTGTAGAGCTGTTGGCAGGTTCTTAGGACCGCTTGAATACTAGATTTTCCAAAGGATGTAGTGAGGTATGAAAATATCTTAGTCTGTATTTCAAGCGGCAGTGTCAAGAGTGTTTTAGGTTCCATCTCGTGTATGCTTCTCGATGTATGTTTAGACGTTGTAGTTGGTTGATAATGTGATGAAATGTCGAACAAGGTGATGATGTCAACGGATGATGGGAAGCAAGATGGACCCTTTCTATAGCACTCACGCCATTCTATATTTAGCTCAAGCAAATCTGGGTACAGGGGCTTTGAAAAGCGCATGAGTCTACAAATGCCCTAGTTACTAAGAGCTAAGATTGCTTACACGCAGCGTGGCTTCTCAAAGTCCTGTCTGACCAACACGAATTTTCAAATGGGTATGAAAATATACACCTGGCCCAAAACGATTTATCGTAACCAACAGGAGTAATCATCATGCCTTGACCCATGGCCCAACAAAACATTCAGAGACCTGTTACCTTAGTGAGTGTTGCCGTTAGCTCCCGTTGTAACAACCCGAATTAACTCAAGCCTCAACACCAGTATTTCGAGACTGAAATAGCGACTTGCAATCGCAATCACCGGGAGCGTGGACCTCGGACGGCGTTCTCCCATCTCTAAGACGCACGGAGGTGTCGATCTCAGGGTGGTCGAGTAGAGCCTCAACCGTCCTGGTGTCACAGCAAAGCATGGCTAGATGAAGTGCCGTCCATCCAGCTTCGGTGGTGATGTTTGGATCAACATCTTGTTGCTTTAAAAGCAGTCGTAGCATACTCTCTGATCTTGATAAGTTCACGGCTAGATGCAAGGGGGTCCAGCCCTCCACGTCTCGCATATTCACGGCCTTGTTGTCGGCCTCGAGTAAGCGCCTCACCATGCTCTCCCTGTTCCAGTGCACAGCCCACCAAAGCGCGGTTCGTTGGTCACTACCTGTCGCGCATATGTCAGTGCGAGGATCCTCAAGAAGGATTCGCACGGAGATGAAGAAACCCTTTCTGGCCGCTCTTAACAAGGGAGTATCATCCCATGTAAGTCTCATGTCAAAGTCACCCAAAAACCTCCCGTGGGGCTCGTCTGAACCCTGTCTGTAAACAATAATATTGTCTTGATAACCCTGGGCACGAAAATTGACATCCATATTGGGGTTGCGGAGCACATCCTTCATCAGCCTTTGGTCTCCTCGGTCAGCGAGCAGTCCCAAGACTGTCCCGTCAAACCCTGTGTGGTTGATGTCGAGTCTTGGGTGGCTCAAGACGAGACGTGCAGCAGCGACATGTCCCCTCCGAATGGCGGCGAAGAGTGCCGTGTCCTCGCGAGAAAAGCACGTGGCATAGGTTCGGTTCGGGTCTATCTCATCGTACTTGATCATCGATCTGACCATGTCGGTGGCGCCTTCGAGCGCTGCTTGGCATAAAGCTAGGCTGAACGCATATGACAAGAAGTTTCGTATCTGGGCATCCGCGAGGAACAATCGGACTAGATCGATGCTACCACCGCGGACGGCAAGCATAAGAGCTCCTTCCAAATCTTTGTCTGCCTTATCCATGCGTTCGAGGATGAGTCTCGCACATCTGTGGTGGCGCTTGCAAACGGCAATTTCCAATGCAAGCATCCCGTTATAAGTAGCCTTGAGATCTAAACTTGGGCTCTCGAGCAGAGCTTCAACCACATCGGGTTGACATTCAGTGGCAGCATAGTGTAGGGCGGACTTTTTCCATCCCAGGGCTTGGTAGTTGAGGTCGACATCGTCTCGCTCCAAAAGAGCCCGGACGATAGATACAAGGCCAAGTTTGGCTGCCAAAACTAGTATTGTCTCCCCATCTCTAATCAATATGTTGGGGTTCACAGCGTATCGGTCCAGGAACAGCTTCACAGCCCAGTCTCTGTCATGCTTGACAGCTAGCCATAAAGAGCAGCTCCTCCTCGCGCCGAAATTGGGCTCCAAATCGTCTCTCGCGACAAGCAGCCTGACAATATCCTCATGTCCCTCCTTGACGGCGGCTTCAAGAGCGGCCGGGCCGGCCTCAGTGCCAGGGTTCGACAGCAGAAGCCTGACCGCTTCGGTCCAGCCTCGTTTAGCCGCCCAGAACAGAGCAGTCTCTTTGGTCGCTTCATGCTCTGTGCCTGTTTGGATCTCTGGCAAGGTGAGGAGGAATTCCATAATGCCCCTCCGGCCTAGTTCACCCGCGTAGAGGAGCATATTTCTGTTATCAGTCAAACATATCTGTGCATTCGCATCATGGCCGCAACGGATTAGGCCTTGCACAATGTGTGAGTGGCCCAGCGAAATAGCCACACGTGCTGCGCTGCCGAAGAGCGGATGTACATAGTCGGCTCGAACGCCTCCCTTGATAAGAAACTCCATTTTTGGCCAATCACCCAATGTTGAAGCAATCTGCAGCGCGCCGTAGAGTTCTTCTGGTTCTGGCGACTCATCTACCCACCAGTCAGCTTCAAGCTTCTTCTTATACCCATCCACCCGCTGAGAATAAAGAAGGAAGAACCGCGGCCCTTCACACAAGAAGTCAAGGATCCAACGAGCATCATGTGCCGCGAGTATGGTGCGGCACGCAACATCAAAGAAAACCTCCTCATCCGCGGCGCATATCGCGCTGCGGTGTTCCAAGAACAGCCTCGAGTCGAGTAGAAGTGCAAATGGCCCCACGCGGTCCGTTCGACTCATCCGGATCTTGGTCATCAACAGCCATCTGAGACCAGCTTGGCTGATGGTCCCGGTATGGTCTTTACACGTCGCAAGCGCGTATTGGCTCACGTTGGGCAAAGCTACACGAGAGACCAGATCATCAAAATATCCTATGAAAGGTTAATACAGGACTATAGCGAGCTCGGATTTTTTGGTGGCTGCTTACGGGAAACTCGTCGCAGCGCGATGAACTTGCTGAGATGTTGGCGCGATTCACAGAAGAAAAAGCAATTGTGGAGGATTTGTGTCAAACTTTCCGCGGGTAGTGTTTCGAGAGGCATTGCGCGTTACAGAAGTCATAGGTAGGTACCAATTGATAGATGCGATAATGAAGAGCATGGATCAGATGCCAAAGTTTACAATGGTTACAAGTCACATGCCTCAATAATTGGAAAATGGTGAGGGTAAAAAGTTCTGATGTTTGTTATTCTGATGCTTATGGTGTCTGCGATTAGTCAGACGTCAATAGGCCATGACCTTGCCCAGAGTCTGCCATTATCCATTTCACTCTGTTGCCTGACCTATTTTTAGGATCGACTAACTTCATTCCTCATCATTCCCCAGCTCAGTCACCAAAAGCCAGTATATCCTTATCCTCTACGACTCTACTCAGCGAAGTAAACTGCTCAAACGCCCTAGTGATATAAACTACGAACAGTCCTTAAGCAATTATCCATTAAACCTATATTAGCGTAAAAGAGATTTCTTTACGGTGATAACTATAACTTGGTCAAACTCCTTAAGTTCCTTCTAGCAAAGAGTTTTTTTTAGTACATTACCTGGACACTAATAGTCAAGATAGTGTAAAGCTCATTATGCCATTCATTGGATTAACAGCGTGGAGAGCGAGATGGAGAGCAAATGAGTTTTGGCGGGAACCGGGAGAATGACATGGTGTGAAGAAGAAGATGGAAGAGGCTCTATCATGGACGGAAAATGAACCAGTAGAGACTGAATCTGACAAAAGCAACGATGCTCTTGTGATAAATTTGGCGTCAATTTCAGTTCTGCTATGTTCTTGAAGTTCTTATACATGCGTTTATCTGATATTTTCGCTATTTACTGATCCACCACGAACCCATCCCTGTGCGGACGCATCTTGATGGGCTGAACCAACGGCGGCCGGATCGTCTGCGCATCAGCAACAAGATTCATGCCTAGCCCAGGCCCAGAGGGAATATCGACGAAGCCATCCTTGGGCAGGGGCACATAGTCCACGATATCACTGCCCAGATGGGTCGACTGGCTCGTGAACACGCCAGCCTCGAAGCCCGTGGCATACTCCTGGATAGCGAAGTTGGGGATGGCGGCAGCCACCTGCAGGCACGCCGCCAGGCCGATGGGCGAGAGCGGATTATGGGGGACGATCTGCACGTGGTGTGCCTCGGCCATGGCAGCGACCTTTTTCGCGCCGGTGATGCCGCCGCAGACGGCCACATCGACGCGGGCGTACTCGACGGCGTTGCGGGACAGGAGGGCCTGGAACTCGTAGATGGTGCAGAAGCGCTCGCCCGTGCCCACGGGAACGCTGATCCGGTCGGCCACCCGGGCCATGGCGTCGGCGTTCTCGGGGCGGATCGGGTCCTCGACGAGCATGGGGACCGTGTCCTGGATGCCGTTACAGAAGGTGATGGCCTCGGCCGGCGTCAGGCGGCGGTGCAGCTCGATCAGGAGGTCGACCTTGTCCCCGACCACGGCGCGCATCCTGCGCACGTTGTCGATGGCGTCCTGCATCTTCTGGATGTGCGTCTTGAAGTAGACCTGGTCGGTGCCCTCGTCCAGGAACGGGTTGATGTGGCCAAAGGCCGTGAAGCCCATGTCCATCTTGCGCTTGCACTCCGCAAGGACGCCCTCGATCGTCTTTTCGTAGATATGGCCGTAGACGCGCGCCTTGGTGCGGCAGGCTCCGCCGAGGAGCTCGTAGATGGGGACGCCGAGGGCCTTGCCCTTGATGTCCCAGAGGGCAATGTCGATGGAGGAGATGGCGGCGTTGATGGCCAGGCCCTGGAAGTAGCTGAAGCGGTGCATCACGTTCCAGTGGTGCTCAATGTCAAAGGCTCGCTTGCCCTCGAGGTACTCGGCAAACCGCTTGATGCACGTTCCCGCGGCCTCGATGTGGCCCCAAATGCCTGCCTCGCCGTATCCTACGATGCCCGTCTGTGTGGTGATGCGGCAGAACATGAACTGCCCGACGTGTAACGGCTCGACCGTCTTGATGATGTGCTCCGTTGCCATCTTGAACAGCTCGCCTAGATTGGATTATTTCTGAGTGAGGGTTTGTGCTTGAATGCCTTTGCGTCGAGTACTTGTGCTATTCAGTCGGGTCTTGTTATGAGAAAGAAGGTTTGAATAATCTTGAGTAGTATTGAGTGAAAGAGAAGGCTGTCCGACTTCCAAAGTTCAAGGTTACAACGAGGTTCATGTTTTATGATTGGGCGATGGCGATGACTACGCCGATATCGCATTCTCGGCCAGGTGAGCTGTCTTGTCGTTCCTCGACGGAATATCAAAATGAATCGCTACGGACGCGCGTGGCTAGTCCCCGGCTCTGGCTCCGGCTATAACATGCGATGCAAGGGAGAGCGTGGAATCAGTAGGAGAGAGCTTTTCCGGCGTGGGACCAATGCTTTTAGCCGTGTCTCGCACTATGTCGTAACCTTGGCTTGAGTTTCGGGAAAAGAGAGGCAGTGCCCCTTTTCTTTTCCGTATGTGAGATCGCTCATTGAAAATTGATTAATTGTTTATTTGGTAGATTGGCGAATTGCTTCAATACATCCAAGTTCATGTTTCCATTAAACATTACCAAGTGACTGATACAACATTTGGCATACCTAGAACCTCCAGCGTTGGATTTCAACGCAATATCAAAATAATTAATTGACCAGTATTAGTTGCAATATCGAGATAAATATTGTACAATAATCTGTAATTGACATATGACCATGTTTAGTATTATTATGAAGAAAATGAGGTTCCTGATTTGCGCGCAAAGAGCTTCAGTGTGCCATATTTTACGTTGGTCGCTTAACTGTGTACAGGATCTCGGTTCTATTACAATTAAGAAGGGACAAATCATGTTATACTGCTATAAGAGTATCAGCTCACTTCTCCTTCATGTCAACTCCCCAGGTACGGAATGTCAGTATAGATGAGATCCATATCCGGAATCATATCGCCCAAGTCCAGAGCCTGTAGGGTCATTAGCCTGGTTGAAATGCTCCCATCTATACCGGTCACAAGAAAAGGATCAAATACTTACAAGGTAGTCCAGCTGCTCCCAGTTAGGAATGTCGGGATATTCTGCTACAGCATCTTGCTGAGAGCTTCTGTTCGCGACTCCATTGCCAGATATAGGTCCAGTGAGTGTGCCAGAATGGCGAGCGAAATCCGCTGCGGCTGGGGAATCCTGCGCTAACTTCTGCGTCACCTCGGCTCGATACTCCTCCATAATCATCATGAAGCGCCGAGCCAAAGACGTTTCATTGTTTATGGCGGCAAGCAGGTCCTGGCAGCGCTCGGCGGCCCGAAAATACTTCCCCCATGTGGCTGCGTCTTCGCGCGTTCTCTTCAAGGTGAATGTGTAGAGAACAACCGCGGCGCAGAAGGCTTGGTACTGGGCAACCCATGATGCTGCGTAGAGCTGATCGGCCTCGGCCATGCGCTCAAGTACTCTCACGATTTCCATCGCGGCGCGCAGGCAGATCTGTACATTGGAGACGGTGGAGTCTGTGGATTCTTCAGAGATGTGATGATGTCGTGTGTAGTCAGAGAAGAGGCAAGGTCGGTAGATGAGGATTTCGGCATGACCGGCTGCCAGACTCAGTAAGTTACTCTGCCTTTGAAATAGCGGCTTCAAAAGTCTCGAGTCCACTCTCTCTGCGTTTAAAAAGGCTGGCAGACTCTGCCTCCACGCATCCACATCCGCACCTAGGTCCCTCATGATCCGGTAGCGACGGTCTTGTGACAGAGAGGCCAGACCATAAAGAGAAGAAAGCACTTTGCTTAAAATGCGACCTAGCTTCTGATTATGGATTGTGCCTAACATGACGTGCATGTTATCGCTCTCGGCGACAACTATGGAAGTCGGAGATAGATCCTGATCGTCGACAACGTTTGGCAAGTCCTGGTCAATGTCGCAATCCTGAAGCGCACACGGTCGCCCCAAGATGGTGCTCAGCGTCTTATCCAAGTTGTAAGCGCACCAAAACAGACGCTTTCGGGACTCATGGTCAAGGTGGTCGACCTGCGCGCCTGGCCCCCGACCAAGCTTGAGGTCACGGCGATGGAACCCAAGGGCGAGCATAAGCCTCGAAGTTGTCCCAAACAAGCTCCAGCAGTGGTTCAGTCGCGAACGTGTCAGTACGTAGAAGCAGCAGCCCAGGAGAGCTTGAGCACTAAAGAGGCTGGCAGGCTCTGTCTCAAGTGCGAGTTGATGTTCTGCCGCTTGGAAGTATGTGAGTCTGCGAATGATGCACGCGTTAGCTGAATGGGCTTTAAAGAGACAAGTCCAGACGTTTTATCTTATACCGACCCTAGATTGGAGCCCGCTGCGGCATGTGCATCCGGATATCTTGAAGCTTGGGCAAACATGCTTAGCACAACGGCAAATTTGCTTTGCCAGTGAGCGCCGAGAATTTGCCCATGCTCATATATCTGGCTGACCCAGAGCTCTACTGTTGGTCTGTGCAGGAATCTGTATCCGGCCGAGGAGAGCTCGAAGTAGATCGACACTAGGGCATCTGCCTCCGACGCGGTGGCAGGGTAAAGGCGGCGCTGTTGAACCTGGGTAGAGCAGGGTCACCAAGAGTGAAAAGGGAGGTTGGAGAGGCATTGTTGTTGTCACCCTTCAGGCGGCGTTGAAGTCGTAGTAGGAAACTGAGACCAGAGGATTCATTCAAGAAGTGACCTTGCCTATCACTTGCGCCTATCTCGGGAGATGCAAACAGGGAGGGAATAGGTTGATCAGACAGACCAGATTCATTTACGTCAATAACATGACTATTGTCGTCAGTGATGCTTTCCGGCAATGAACCGTCCAAAGACGCGGATGTTCCCGTTATATCTGAAGAAGCGGCTCCAATCAAAGGCCTGCTGGCAGCTGCTCTGGATGTGGTCCTTCGCTTGCCCCGGCTATAGGGCGCATTAAAGGTACAGGTCAGAGAGTCTTTCGTGCAAAGATCACACGGCTGCGTCCCACTACAGCGGATCTTCTTCCTATACCGTTGTCAGTCCTCCAACTTCTAACAGAAGCCGTAACAGTCCTTGTTTCTGATCCGGGGAACTAACTTTTTACACAAGTCGCAAGCCCTGCTAACACGCACGCGCTCTTTGTGCCGAGCCATGGAGCACAGAGTGACTGGTTGAAGTCAGTTTGGGCTCAGGCTTCATCTGCTGTATTCTGCTGTCCCAATCGAGGCGGAAACGGTGCGTCGGCGGTAGGGCTGTCACTGGCACTCGCCGTTTAATCAAGATTGACGAATGTACGGGTATGTGCTGCAAGATCTGAGATTCTGGGGTTGGACGGGGAAAATCTGGGGAAGTCCGAGTCATGGAAGCGGATGTTATAGCCGGGTTGCTATGTTATAGCCGACGCGGGGCAACGCCAGCCTCTATGCGAAGGAGAGCTCAACATCTTGGTCCAATAGTAACGTTAATTGTTGCTTTAGAAAACAAAGACTTGTATTCCATCTAAATTACGTGCTCTACTGCGCTGCTGGGACACCCAACCCTTGTTCAGTTGCTGGCTCCTGCTATCCCTCGCCGTCCTGGAGTGACTGCTCCGCCGTTCCCATCCTGGGGATCCATATAGGTATTTCTTCATACATAATTTCAATCAGTTCGTGGTAGCTCACCGTCAACGTTCATCTTGAGTTCACCATTTGAGGCTCTGACGGCATCTTCAAAACTGTCCCATCGATCGTTAGTCAGTATGTGGGATTCTATGTACGGCGTGTAGATAAGAGAACTCACCATGATTGGAACATGACATATTCCATCTCATCCGTAGGCACGCGGTGTGTGAACTGGGCGGCCTCGTGGCTGACCTTGATGGTGGGTGTCCCACGACCAGCCGCGGCAGCATCCGCGAGCAGCTGTGCCTGAATGCAGCGATCCATCGCGCCGAATAAGAACGTTGCGGCGTCCACCGTCTTCGCGACCGTCAGGATGCCGTGGCTGGAGAGGATGACTGCCTTGTTGTTACCAAGAGCCTTGGCGATCCGCTGACCTTCCTCGTGGGCCAACACGGCACCGCCAAAACTCTCGTAGATGCTATGATCCTCGTAGAAGCGGCACGCATCCTGATTGATGGGCTCGAGGGTGCAGCCGAGGGCAGAAAAGGCCTTTGTCGGGACAGAGTGGCAATGGCAGGCGGCGACGACATCGGGACGAGCCTTGTGGACCGCGACGTGGATGGAGAAGCCGGCCGGGTTGATGGCGTGCATGTTCCCGGGCTCGACCACCTCGCCCAGCTCGTTCACGAGGCAGAGATCTTCGGGTTTCATGTGGGTGAAGGAGACTCCGTGGGGGTTGATCCAGAAGTGGTCAGGCAGGATCGGATCGCGGACAGTGACATGGCCACCGGCGCCCTCGTTATTGTAGCCATTCAACCCCAGCCAGCGCAGAGCAGCAGCGTGGTGTAGCTTGCGCCACTCACGCTCGGCCTCTGGCGAAGCGAACTTGGGGATGCGGATCTGCTTCACTGGCTTGCTCTGGTGGCCTGATAAGGGGTATCCGCCGTAGGTGAAGACGTCGAGAGGGCGGTCCTGGCCATTGCGCATCAAGGCCTGAGCACGTTCCTGGCCCGTGATAGGCTTGGACAGCTTAGTGGTAGCCGAAGCAGTGTCGGCTGCGATGGGAGCGGGAGCTACAGCAGAGGGAGACATGATGGGAGTCTTAGCGACTTTGATCAGACAAGGCGGGCTGTTGTGGTGTTGACTTCTTCTAGTCGTACTTGTACTGTTATATGTAGAGGGTTTCCAGTAGCCTAGGTTCTTATAGCTTCTTTCGCCTGGGAAGACTACACGTGAACACGCCACCGTTCTCTCGCTTTGCATCGATACATGGTGTTTGTTACCCGAGCACTCTTTCCAAAATCAGCCCACTGATTCTCGATCTCACCCTGAACACGAGACCGATCTTGATGGATGCCGGCTACAGTTTCGCATTTGCACGTTGTATTCGCACGGTGCGTATCCAGAGCGGTAGCTATAGCCGGGAGTGGTGATGTTATAGCCGAAAATGCGACTCTTGAGCGCGGGGAAAGGACGTTTCATTTGTTACCGCGAGGTGAAGCGTGTTCAGGTCTTTCCCTCTTTTATCTTGTTAAAGAGGTCTCTATGCGGAAACTAATCGAGATCAATACTGGTTCCATGTTTCGACGCCGGGTTCAAAGTGGCTGAATACATATGCCAACAGTGTGACAGCATTTACAACCTGCACTGACTTGTCTTTAGAGAACACGTAAGGAGCTTTCTAATCTCTATTAGCCGCTATAATTGGAACATGCAGGGTGTGATATCGAAACTAATCAATTAAGAAGTCAAAGCTTTATAACTCTTCTTCAAATTAAGAAACATAAGTAGTGAAAGATACTATAGTATATTGTTCTTGTAGGCTTCAAAGGGCTGGCTAAAAACTAGAAAGTTGGAGAGCTATACTTACAAAATTATTCATTCAAAGGATAATTTCTTGAAAAATCTGAGAAACTTGAGCTACGATGTTTGTTGGTAGAAGAGCTAGAAAGCCTGAATTCGATCCGTCCGATATCCAGTGCCAAGTTATCCCAAAGGTGATCGACCACCCAGAACTAGCCAACTAAGAACACAAAACAAATTATCACTACCCGTAGGGAAGAACACGGTCACTAAAGAAGAAAAGCCCCGTTGGTTCTTTTCTCCATATTTGTATAATATGGTTGGAAATGCAACCAGCCTCGCTGTCTGGCCCCCAGAATTCTAGATGACTCCGCCGCGGTCTTCTCGTCGATGGGGCGAGGAGCGCCGTTTGCCGCAGCTGCCGCGTCGATTAATAGCTGAGCTTGGCAACATCGGTCAAAAGCTGTGAACCAGTAGCAAGCCTCATCAATGGTTGTCCCGATGGATAGTAAGCCATGATTTCGGAGGATAACCATGTTGGTATCTTCGTGGATGACTGCGGCAATGGCTTTGCCCTCGTCCGTGTTCAAGACGGGGCCGTGATACTCATGGAGTATACTTTGTCTCTTGTAGAATTTGAGTGCGTCCTGCATCAGGGGAGCAACGGGTTTGCCGAGAACGCTGAAGGCTTTGCCGGCAGTGGAGTGGGCGTGACAGACGGCGTTTACCCAAGGATGGGCCTGATGAATTTCCGAGTGAATTGCGAACCCGGCGGCGTTGACAGAGTGGATGCCATCAATAACCTCGGCCTCCTCTGTGACCCGGACAAGATCCGAAACAGTGATGTCGGCAAAGTGCATGGAGTATCTTGAGGCATGGCATTAGGATGTGTTTGGCTGCTCATGTCAAGGGGGCTACTTACGGGTTTATCCAGAATGTTTTTGGATCGACGGGATCACGGAGCGACATGTGGCCGCTCAGGCCCTCGTCAAACCCGTTGGCAGCAAACACACGGAACGCACACGCGAGATGCTCTTTGGCATATTGGCGTTCCTCCTCCTTTGTCTTGAAATCGAGGATCTTGGGGATCGTGCTCTTGCCAGTTGTTGATCCCACAGCAAAGTTAAGGAGGTCTGCACCCTTCTTGTGGAAAATGCTGGTACCATCCAATGTACTAATGGATTCTTCAGGTTGAGGGGTAGGAATTGCTGTGGGAGCCATTGTAGATCGCGAGCGACTAGGACTTTCTCAAGTGTGTGTGAGTGCGGCGCTTGGTTGTTGCCCCTGTCAGCTGAACTTTGGCTGTAACTTTGGTGAGAATAATATGGCTTTGGTAGATATTGCGCGAGACGGTGGGCTTAAATGCTAGTCATGCTTTCATTGCCTACAGTAAAGGCTAGATCGCCCAATTGTGTGCCTCTACTCCGGTGGCGAGACGGGATCAATTTCAGCACCAGCTGTGTGAACCTAGTGATTGTTGTTTTCCGAAGTAGCCGGATGTTGCAATGTCCGACCCGACTGTCTTCTCAGAATCATAGTGCAAATGTCTCGATAGCTTGAATGAAACCAATAACGCTGTCTGACTTACACTAACAGCTGAAGTATCCGGCTTTGTTGTCCCTATTGCTAAAGGGCTGTAGTAGCCGTTATGGATCCGGGGAGAACTCGACGGTATTGAGGCTGCTGTTTGAAATAGCCGCTCTCCACACCAGAGCTAGATAGCCACAACCTAGATAGATTACGTATTACCGTGGGGTCTCCCCCCAGAAACTATAATCGATCGACAAGGACTGATCGTTCCCCGGATGTTTGACCCCGGACTTCATCTCTCTCCCCACACGGATATGCAACCATCTACACCTCCTCACCAATCCTGTAGTGGCTATTACTGATCATGCTCCGCCTTACATCTCTATTTACATTTCAGAGTCTGTTTCTTATAGCCGAAACTACGGAGGAATAACGGACGTCCTAGGATTGTTCTTGGGTTGTGTCTCAAGTTATGTCGTTTAGAATAAATACTACCATTGCGCCAAGTTGATCTGGTCGTCTTGTTGGCCTCACTATCTCGAAGCAACGGTTTACGCTCCATACCTTGCCTGCCTGTCTTTTTGCATCATTTTATATTTGTCCAACCACGATGACTGAAAAAAAGTCAGAGTCAATTGGTCTAGAAGAGGTAGAGAAGACTATCGTCGAACATGTCAATATCCGGGGGAGAACGACTTATCCGCCTGATTTGACGGAAGAGGAGATCAATTTCTTCGAATGTTTTACAGAGGAACAAAGAAAGAAAGTCATTTGGAAGGTTTGTGAGAGTCTCAGCTCCGAACATTTGGTCGGTCGCTTACATGCTTAGATCGACGTCCGCCTCGTACCCATGTTGGGACTTCTATACCTCTTGGCAAATATTGATCGTGCCAATATCGGTAAGAGTCTTGAGGGTATCTTCCTGTGATGGCACTAATGCCAGCTATAGGAAATGCGAAGATCGAAGGTCTCACCGATGATCTCGGATTAAGCAGTAACCAATATAACATCTGCCTTTCCATCTTCTTCATTCCTTACTGCCTTCTTGGTAAGTGCATACTGATTCCGCTTTTCCTCGCCATGGTTAAGCTGACTCGATCACAGAGGTCCCATCCAATATCGCCCTCAAGTGGTTCAAGAAGCCTTCCAACTACATCGCCATTCTCGCCGTTTCTTGGAGCGTTGTCCTAACCTTGACTGGAATTGTACAAAGCTATGGTGGGCTTATGGCAGCGAGGTTCTTCCTCGGTGTCACTGAGGCCGGCTTCTTCCCTGGAGCGTTGTATATCATCTCGACCTGGTACGACCGTAATGAGATGGGCACACGATATTCCATCTTTTACATGGCTGCAGCTCTTGCGGGAGCGTTCTCAGGCCTTCTGGCATATCTGATCGTAAAGATGGATGGTGTTGCTGGTGAGTCTAACAAGGGAAGGTGTAGATGTAGATGTATGCTAATCAGAACAGGCATTGCGGGCTGGCGTTGGATCTTCATCATCGAAGGTCTGGCTTCCATTGCTGTCGGCCTGTCGACCCCTTTTCTACTTCTGGATACCCCAGAAAACTCCAAGATCCTTACAAATGACGAGAGGCGATACCTGATCCTGCGCAAGATTATCCAGGATGGCGGCCGCGAGATCCAATCAAAGGGAACAAAGACCTCGTGGCCTGTCCTGCGCTCCGTCGTACTTGATTGGAAGTTGTACCTTGCCGCCATCATCTATTGGACCAACACCGGCACCAACTACGGCGTCAAATTCACAATGCCACAGATTATCAAGAATATGGGCTATTCTTCAGCCAATGCGCAGCTCCTTACGGTGCCTCCATATATCCTAGGCTGCATCTCCTCATACATTGCATCCCGCTTCTCCGACCGCACAACCTGGCGCATGCCCTTCATCGTTGTCTCCCAGCTGGTTGTACTCACCGGCTTCGCCATGCTATTCGGGTTTGCCCCCAACCTCAACAACCGGATTGCCGAGTCTTATACGGCCATCTTTATCTGCTGTGTTGGCTTCTATCCCATCACGCCCAATGTGGCGGCATGGATGTCCAACAACCTTGCCGGCCCAGCCAAGCGCGCGTCCGGGATTGGCTTCATGCTGACCATGGCCAATACAGCTGGGATCATCGGGAGCTTCATGTACAAAGACGAGGAGAAGCCTCGCTATCCCACAGGGTATGGAACATCGCTGGGCCTGACTGTTGCCGGAATGTTGGCCGCCTTGCTTCTCGAGTTTGGGCTCTGGCGCTGTAACAAGCGCGATGGCAAGATGAGCGAGGAGGAGGTCCGGGCAATCTACACGGAACAAGAGCTCGCTGACATGGGAGACAACAGTCCATTATTCAAGTATACGTTGTAAGCAAGCAGAACTCATTCGAGAAGGATGGAAGGCTCCTGGATCGTCTGATTATGGTATGGCCAGGTCTATTCAGGCCCATTACTTGTAATTAGCTACCTGGGAAAACTCGTTAGTTAAAAAATTCCACGAAGGCTTGTGATGATGACCCACAGTCACTTACTGCTCTAAGATCGTTTGAATACTTCGACGTAGCCCACATCTTGCTTCACTCTCTTGGCAAGGCCAAAGCGAACTGTGAGTTGGTATGCGCTCCTGCCCATCACTCGCGGGAATTCGTGGCACCGACCAAGTTAGCTTAGGGTTCCTCAAGGGAAGCGGTCCTGTAAATTCTTAAGAAGTTTGACAACAATGTCACCGTCCTTGTTGAAGGCCCCCAGATTGACCGGCCACCCACGCAACGCGTTGAGTATGACACAAGGTTTACGCCAATTTTCGGATATCTTCAGGTATATCTCGAGCCTGTAGGTAGCAGATAAATACCTATCGCGTCGACAACTTCCTTTCTCGCTGAGCAGTAACAAGCCTCACAGCCACCACTAGTAAGAGTGTTTAGGTGTATTAGTTGCAAGCTACCTAGAAGATATCATCAATAGCCCGAGGTAGGGTTCGCATTTTGCGAGACTGACTTCTCACAAACTACGAGCTTCCTGGAAGATGCTGAAAAATGCTACAAGAACATGGGAGGCAAAGAGATCCAGTCTCTTCACGAGCTTCAAGACCGCTGAGAACTTGTTGCAACATGTATGGATTCCATTGGGGCGCTACATTTCATTCAAACCAAAATTCAATTTCCTAGACTACATCACCCTCGACTTTCGAACTAGAACTGACGTTCAGGAATTGAGCACAAAGTATGGTAGTGGAAAGCTGGATAATCGCAATACTGAAGCGTTACGGAGAGCGTTTGGCCCGCATGTTTAAACAAGGTGCTCCAAGGTCATACACGCTGGCTGTGTCTTGGCACGACAATGACAAGTTCTGATTCCCGTGTTTGTTCAGCCCTTCCCTCTCTGCCCTCTCAAATCTCGCTTCTACTACTAGAGACTGCCAGGATACTAGTGAGGTTGCCACGTTTTCCTCTAAGAATAAAATCCCCATCAATCAGTCGCAGGGGGAGATTGCAGTTAGTGGCGGATACTATGTACGCGTGACAGTGTGCAGTTGTTAGCGGGGGCTAAGTAGGCTCGCATGACTGCATAATGCTGTTGGTAATATCCATGTTACATCCAGCCTTGTCTGATTATTCTGAATCACACGATGGGAGGAAATAGCACTCCTGTGCCCTGTTTTAGTAGCATTGTCCATGTATGTAGATATACGCTTCATTACAAACAAGAAACATGAGCCTGCATCGCAAGGCGCTCTCTGGAGGCTACGCTATCACATCCACTGGCCCCAGGTAGTTGCTTTTACCAGAGCTCATTTCGCCGGCTGGGGGGATTGTCATCATGGACATGGGCCTACCAACCAACGACTTTGCGAACCCTCGTCCTTCTGCTCTCCACAATGGCCAAGCCACTGTTGGCTCAACAGGATGCTGGCAGAAATCTAAGTTTAGATGTAATTATTCAGGAACTACTCCGTACAGGAATAAAACATATCACCCACCGATGCATATAAACCCATCCCCCGTTGCGCTTGATCTATTTCACACAACAACGACAAAGCACACGCCAGAAGAATATTCCCCCTCCTTTTCCCAGAAATGAAGCTTAGCATCGCCGTCATTGCCACTGGCCTCGCGCTTGTTGGCAGAGCCACAGCCATCCCGCCCAAAGTACAAAATGATGACCCCAATCCCTCTTTTAAACTCGGTGTAAGTCATGTTAATAGCTAATCGTGTCTGACCAGCGGCCTGGTCCATGGTGGCTGATCAATTACACCGCTCACTGACTTAACGCATACATTGTATAGAAATGTGAACCGGACGGTTATTGTCATCTTAGAGACGTTTGGGTGCATACCGGGTATCGCGCAGAGGTGAAACTATGGGAGCAGCGTAGCACTCTTGTCCGGTGCGGTAGCCGTGTAAGCAAACGATCACAAAGGATTGACACGGGGACCCTTCACTAACAACCTGGTACGATGGTAATGAAGTGCAAAAAAAAGAATGATGATTGCAGACATTTCTTCGCAAATAAAAACGCTGAGTGTTCAATCGACAAGCTCCCAGTGATGGAGCCCCCGGTCAACGTTGGGCCGCCCAACCCACTAGCCAAGGGTGCTCCCAAGAAACCAACCAAGGGTGCTCCCAAGAAACCAACCAAGGGTGCTCCCAAGAAACCAGCCAAGCCCGCGCCCAAAAAGGCTCGCCGTAACCTACGCACCGAAGCAAGAGATAGGAGGCATTGAGGAAGCTTGTAGCCTATAGGCGCCCGATTCAAGGTACCCTGGCTCAGGTTGAGGGGCAGTAGAGGACAAGTTAGGAGCTCGGGGACTTATAGCTAGGTTATAGAGGATCATTCTTTTGTACAAAGCCGCTGTCTAAGTATATCAATGTTCTTAATAGCAACACCTAAGCTCTAGTCACAGTTGGGCAGATCGAATGATTATCGGCCGTTAAAATAATCGTGAATTCGGCGCCGGCTCTAGTCATTCGGAGACTCTCTCACAGAAGCTGCAGAAGCTAACCTCGATGTTGTCTATCCCGAAATGCCAGCCCTTGGTAAATGACATGATACTCAAGCTCAAACTTTGCATATCTATACATAAAGGTGGAGGATCAGTGTTTTTTATGCTGGTCTGGCTATTTTTAGAGGCATTGAAGACTAATAGCCCCCTTCCCCTCCTGCTATACATTGTGCCAACTGTATATCCTGCCTAGCTAGATATCTGAAGATGGCAGCCCAGTTAGGATTGTACCAAATATTGCGGAGTTCATAATCGCAAAATACTCCTGGTCGGCAGTTAAGCGTATACTGTATGGTGATCGTTTTAAGGTGAGGAGTCGATGGTGCCACACAGAGTGTCTTGTTGGCCCTGTTGGATCATACCGTCAATTTGAGCCCTACGGAAGACTGACCTGGCTTTGAGAGTATCCATCTTTGGATTAAGAGCCAAGAAGTATATTTGGAAATAGTTGAAGTTACCAAGTTTGGCAACAGACGCCTGAAGTACTTGGTTGCATATCCAGAAACTGTTCATCGCTAGAGGCGACCATCTTAAATTGCGCCGAAGCACGATACAATAGGCCTCTCAACCAACAGCTATGCCATCTAGGCTCAGACAGAATTATCGAAGAGCTACAAGAAGAGAATATATAAAGCATCGATTCATGACGCCCCATTCAGCAGTGCTCTTGATCTGAGTCACCCAACATCAATAACAACTACAAAGAAGCAAATTCCGGAAGAGAATTCCCTCCATTTTCGCGGAGATGAAGCTTAGCATCAGCACCATTACCACTACATTAGCCCTCGGGCTGGGCAGAACCGCAGCCATTCCAGCCCATGAGGGTCCCCAATCCGACTTCCAATGGGCTGTATGCCATATCAGTAACTCATCGTGTCAGACTGGCGACATCTACCTGATCCATTATAGAGCTCGCTAACCTAATCGCATAAATCCTACAGAAATGCGAGACGAGATTGACACGCTTGTTTTGGTGCAATCGAGTGGATTTATCGTGGGGATCGCAGGGAGACGTTGTTACAAAATGCGTCCTACCCTGGCTACTCATGGACAGAGCTACTAGGATGAGTCAGACGCCAAATTAAACGCTTGTTGATTATTACTTGGCTTCAAGTCTTGCATACCTAGCCAACATAAAGGTGGAGGATATTTTTTCAGCTGGCATGGCTATTTTTAGAGGCATTGAAGATGCCCCTCCTCGATTTGAGGCTACCATTTCTGCCCCTCCCAAGACCAACCCCTCCTCTTCCTACTGCTCCTTGCGCTGACTATATACCCTGTCTACCCACCTACACAAAGAAGGCAGGCCAGTCAGGATTGCAACACACTTCCCGAAATCAGCCTCTGCCGCTTCAGTAAGAAAAGCTATTCTCATTGCCCTTTACAGAATTCATCGCTTTGACTAGCGTAAGACTCAGCGAGGACTAACACAACGCGACAAAAGACCACCCTTACTTCCTCAAGATGGAGTACCCGCCGTATTATCACGACAATGACGTGGGCCCCTTTTCAAGCGTCACATACTCGCTGACCCCTGATGGTCCTGGCCTGCATGAGCTTGACTTGAAGTTGCGTGACCGCGACATGGTCCTCATGGTCGAGGGTGACGATGACGATAAGACCGTGCGCATATTACACCTGTACAATGTGCGCGAGGACACGCTCGCCGAGGCCAAGACAGCCGTTGATGGCCTCTTGAGCCAGGTGAAGCCGCTGGGCGGCGGCGACAACACTGGACATACCGTGTTTAAGATGTTCGACAAGGTCTTCTACGAAATAAAAAGTCCAGTCGCCTGCCTTCTGGAGGACGCCGACGATTTAGAGTCGAAATTGGAAGCAATCGACGAAGACGATTTGGTTCATCCCAAGAGAGCACCAGACACAACCTCTGAGCTCTCCAACCCGGTCGCTGAGCTCCAAGCGGCCTGCAGGGACTTCATTGACCGAGTGAGACCAATTCATTCCAAGTTAGAAATGTATAGCGAGGAAAGCTGCCCCAAGAGAAAGGCTACGATGTTATTCAGGGTATATGAAAAAGTTCACATACATCTTCTCAGGTACGCCAAAGAACAGAGCGCGAAAGGTGATCTAGCCTTTGATTGGGATAAAGTTCAATACCCCGAGGATAGGAGTCTCATGAGACAGCCGAGTTACTATATGCATTTCACTGAGGGCCAGCATTTCGATCACATACTCGGCGAATATCCCGCGAACCCGAATAAAGCCCGCGGGGAATAGTCCAATTAGGCCCTTAGACTTTGCTTGAGCAGGTATCTCATCAGGCGAAATACGAATATTCATACACACAAAAATTAGATATTTCGCCCCATAAGACCTTATGATATTCCCAGTGATGAAGTCTATTATTAGAGAAAGTTGGTTTCTGATCATGATCTAGATATCTTATACATTCTTCGTCTAGCCCAACTCCTGGCCCGAAGAAGTATGTTCCTCGCTATTCATCCGCGTGATATCCTGACCCCCTGCAATACGCGTGATCATTCTTAAATGTTCATATAATCATAGAGAAATTGAAATTGTAGGATGTTTTATGATAATGAAGCGAGGAGAGAAAAAGCTGTACACACACAACACCCACGACCACAACAACAAGGGTATGTAGCACATAGCGGTCATCGCGTCAGTTGACAGCTTCATCACCCGCATTGTGATTCATCGTACGAAGACCTTCCTCTTCTCGAGTGATTGGGCGTATTGAGGAGAGAAGGATCTCTCACGAAGGAAGCATTTGAGACGCTCGTCGCAGCGCCTCTTGAAGCCACAATCGGCTCCAATTGACAGAGGCAATGGGAATATTCGGTCAATTCACGCGTCAGTCACAAGTTAGGGTCTCAATTGAATGAAGGAAAAAGCGTGTGTTATCTGCCTAGGCCGCGAAAAACGGCCCCTCTTATCTATCCGTTGAACGGCATGACCTGCGAATACCCGGACCTTTTATCCCTGCCTCAATAGTAGCTAGGCTTCATTCTTAAGACTTCGTTGATAAGGCCTTTGTTTTCGGACTCTTGCGTGGTTGGTCAGCCACTTAATGTTATTCATCTCATGTCTGAATTCTGTCCCGTCCGCCTCAGATGCATGATTCTTGATATGATCCTGGGCTCTTGCTCTATGATAGAGGATTAATCTCAGTCTGTTGTAAGTGAGTTGGCTTCAGGTGACTTACATGCCGTCTGCCATCTGCTGTGCGGTAATGGGCCTCGGATGCGGTCCAAATATCCCTTGTTCCTTATCTTGCCTCTCAAGCTCTGCTTCTGTCTTGGGCCAAATGTCATGCTTCTCAGTCCATCCCACTACAAACAGCGGATGATTAGACCAATGCCACAATAGAAAGTTAAATATGGTACTTACGCTCTCCCTTTGGTGTTGCCAGCTTGTTAGACCCAAATATTTTGTATTCCTCCCTCTCGCCCGGCCTTCCTTTGCGCTCATCATCTGGTACACTCATTTCGGGAATAGGTTTTGGTGGCTTTTTTCCATCCTTCTTCGCTTGTTCCACTTGGGCCTTGTAGTGTTTTTGCTTCTGTATATCTGATGGATCTTGGTTCTTGCTGAGAGCCCAAGAATAGCTTCCAGAATGTGTGTCATACTTACCATGTCTTTGTTCATCGCCGTCTCCCATCTTGATGGTGATATATTTTGTACCTGCCGGGAGAGGTTCATGTACGTTCGGCCAAGAAGCAAGGTACATGGCGTGTTGCCCAGGATCAACATAATTTTTGACATTATTTGGCCGGTCTTTGATGTCCTTCAAAGGGACCTTCGGATCATCAGTGGCTATCAATTTCCCATCATTTGTTGGGCGGGGTGATTCGCCATAGCTGCATGCTGTCAGGTCCCGGCATTTCAATGCAGGGCCAGCCTTAGCCGATGCGGGGTTGGAAGTGTTGGGACTTAGTTTGTGAATATCAACCGTGGGATGGTCAGGCTTTTCCTTCGCATCATCCTTGATTTTGTGTCCAGCCTTGGCTTTGGATGCAGGGTTGCCTTTATGACCGGATTTCTTTTTGGTGGTTGCTTTTGAGTTGGCTGTAGGAATAGTCTTTCCTTTGTGACGCGATCTCCGCTTCGAAGTGGCTTTTCCCTTGCGGTTAGGTTTCGTCTTAGAAACGGCCTTTCCTCTGCGGGCAGACTTCCCCTTACCAGCAGTCTTGGTTTTTTTACCAGCCTTTGCTTTGTTGATAGGCTTTCCCTTCGCAGCACCTTTAGACTTTGGAATCGCCTTGCCCTTATCTTTCGCTTTAGAAGGAGCCTTTCCTCTGTGAATGGAATTTCCCTTGCTAGCGGCTTTCCCCTTGTGACTTGACTTGGCCTTAGAAGCCCCTTTGCTCTTTGGCCGAGAGCTACTCTTGTTTGAGGCCTTGTTCTTCGAGGCGGGCTTGCTTGGTGCGTTGTTGCTCTTAGAGATAGCCTTGTTCTTGGCACGATTCCTTTTTGCAGAGGTAGCTTTCCCCGCGGGACTAGTTCGGCCCTTGGAAGCAACTCTGCTGTGAGTCTTCACCACCTGCCTGGGTCTGCCACTGGTAGGGTTCTTTCCCGTGGACCGGGCCGTATTGGGAGCATCCTTCCTTCCACCTGCCTTCTTTGGGTTCGACTTTTTGCCAGCCTTGTTTGACGCTGTCTTCGGGGCTGCCTTCGGCGTGGCCTTCTTGGCTACTGATTTCTTAGAAGAAGCCTTTGCCGAAGTGGCCTTTTTAGTTGTTGGTTTCAATGTGGCCTTCTTTAAAACCGGTTTCTTGCTGCCAACTTTCTTGGAGGCGGCTTTCTGTAGTACTGGTTTCTCAGGAGTAGCCTTCTTAGATGCCGGTTTTTGTGTGGGCTTCTTAGGTGCTGGTTTCTTGGCTGCCGGCGTCCTGGCTGCTGGCTTCTTGGCTGCCGGTTTGGTGTTCTTTGGTGCTGGCTTCCTTGGTGCTGGCTTCTTTGGTGCTGGCTTCTTTGGTGCTGGCTTCTTTGGTGCTGGCTTCTTCTTCTTTGGTGCTGGCTTCTTTAGTGCTGGCTTCTTTGTCACTGGTTTCTTGGCTGCTGATTTCTGGGCTGCCGGTTTCTTGGCTACTGGTTTCTTAGCTGGCGACTTGATGTTCTTAGCTGCTGGCTTCTTTGGTACTGGTTTCTTAGCTGCTGGCTTCTTTGGTACTGGTTTCTTAGCTGCCGGTTTGGTGTTCTTAGCTGGTGGCTTCTTGGCCGCTGGTTTCTTGACTGCTGATTTCTGGGCTGCTGGTTTCTTGGGTATTGGCTTCTTGGCTGCTGGCTGTTTAGGCGTTGGCTTTTTGGGTGCTGATTTCTTAGCCGCCGGCTTCTTCGGTGCTGGCTTCTTGGGTACTGGCTTTGCAGCCGGTTTGATGTTCTTAGGTACTGGTTTCTTGGCTGCTGGCTTCTTAGCTACCGGCTTGGGTGCCGGTTTCTTTGGTACTGGCTTTGCTGCCGGTTTGATGTTCTTGGGTACTGGCTTTGCTGCCGGTTTGATGTTCTTAGGTACTGGTTTCTTGGGTGCTGGCTTCTTAGCTACTGGCTTGGGTGCTGGTTTCTTGGGTGCTGGTTTCTTGGGTGCTGGTTTCTTGGGTGCTGGCTTCTTGGGTGCTGGCTTCTTGGGTGCTGGCTTCTTGGGTGCTGGCTTCTTGGGTGCTGGCTTCGGCGTGGCCTTCTTGGGAACTACTTTTCTTTTGAAAAGAATATCGTGCTCAGCGGTGCTTTTGTTCTTGCTCTTAAATACTGATTTCTCTCCAGATTTGTTTTCGCCCCCCATCAACCCCTTTACAGCATCTAGTTAGTATTATAGTGACTTTCACTGTGTAGCAAACTGACTAGACTGACCACGTCATATGCGGCATGACCACTTATTGGGTGTCCAAGGATTGCTGGCTGCTTGGAAATAGCTGCATTCGCTTTCTCCTGTTCTGCGTTTCTGGGAAGATTCGAAACCGTCGCGGTCTCGGTTCCAATATCTCTGCCTGCTTCGGCCCTCAGGGCCAAACAAAAAATGATAGGAACAGCGTTGTAGAGTAGCATGGCTAACGACGTCAGCCGGCCATTCAAGGCGGAGGATAAATAAACCAGAAGCGATGCTCAAATATATGCACAATTTTTCAAGCTCATAAGGTCAGAGAGCTATCTAAGGCAAGAGAATTTCGGAGCCTGACATCATTTCTTAGAATCCAAAGCCTCTTTATCATTCTCGGTATTCAGCGCACTACCCTTCCCTTCAGCCCTGTTGCCCCTGTACTCTTTATCCTTCTCCACTTCAGACAAGGTAATAATAGTATGATCCGTCCGTGGCTGCAAACTAGACAGATGGAGGAGAATCATATTGCATATATTATGGTTATGCGCCTAGGCTTGGTCCTATCCCCATTTATCGTAGTTACATGCATGTTGAGGACTTTCGTAAACTTTTAAGCGAGAGGTACAGCCCAAGGCTGAATTTTCGGGTTCAAGGAAGAGCTCACATTCGCATTAGATCAATCCTATTAATACCTACTAAATCCACAAAATCCAACACCATCACGCTAGAGCTCTAGTTTCTACCTGCCTAGTACTAAAACACACCATATTCCCGCATAGAGCACCTCAAAATAGAAGGCCACAGGCGCTGAAGAGTACCGGAATTGTCTGGACCAGTGAGATCAGGTGGGAGCTGTACTGTACGTGTACGCCTCACAAGATGCCATGTAGATGAGGTTCTCCTCCTAAACGACGATGCGAGCCACAAGCATACGTCGCCAGTTGCAAAGTCAACGTGTTTCCCCTGAATCCTCCTAAAAGTAAAATGACTTTTCCGCCTCTTCTTTATTAGAGGGCCGTAGGGCAGAAGTAGCAACAACTCGAGAAAAAATCCGGTCTCCCAACAGCGAGGACTACCCCTGTTGCTCTTGGCATGAGGGCATTCGCAGATGTATCCACCTAGTAACCTACTAAGCTGTGTGATCATGAGCGCGTCTGTTTCCACTCCAAGGACAAGCATCTCACCTATCCCGTTTTCGTTCCTGCGATTTCTGACGGCTTATTGCTGCAGTCAACACTGCATATTACAGCTATTAGGCTGCAATTACGTGAGATTTACCAGTGTAAATCGCAACGCGAAACAGAAGCATTCAAGCTGTATTTGTGAACACAACCAACCAGACGATGTGATTTGTCTCATAAATGCAGTGTAAACAGTTATAGATTCTATGAAGATTATGTATAGAGTGCGGTAGCTCAAGGCACAGATATATATACAGAGTTGTTAAGGCTGATGTGCCCTGATGCAGCAACTAAGCGCCCCTATCGATACCAGGTTTCTAAACGCGATCGTAACAATATTGCGGAGTCGCATTTAGAAAAAAGATGAGCAAAGGGCGCTTTTCACACAAAAATACGGCCATGTGTACTGGATGTGGCGAGCCCAAAGCACTAGGAAATGCGAAGTGCGATCGATGTTTTACAGCCTCGCTGCGTATCCGAGCCCACGAACACTGAGGGAAAAGAACCAGAAAGCGGGAGAAGTGACCGACCAGATTGTGGTGGGCCTCACGAGAGTAAAAGACCACCAAGGTGCGAAAAGCTGCTGGGAAGACCATTCGTGCCGTCAAAGAATGAAAGAGCACAGAAAGCTGTGGGATCTGCCTCCGCCTCCGAAGAAGCGCGGAGTGAATGGTCTAATAGACCGGATTTTCTTGAGCATGATTCAGAATCAGTGTGATATTCGACGCCTATTTTCATTCAATCATTTATCATCTTCTAAGATCAAGCGCACCAGTGGTGTTACGCCAAACAAAACATTACCGAGACTGGGAGTGCGCACTCTCCCTTCGGTAGATGCTGCGGTAGATAGCCCGTTGCCTGACCAAACAGCAGCCCTCCTAAAGGTGCTGATGGCTTGATACCCTTCGCATACGCGCATGCCGTCGGACACGGCCGAAAGCGCTATCGATTGCATCTATTTCTAATGGATTAAAGGCACATACAAAAAAGCCTCCCTAAGGCCATTGAGTAGGCTGAATCAGAAAGGGCCTTTGGAGGAATGAGCCAGTCAACTCTACAATCCAATCTAGCTGGACCCTTTACATGGTAGGAATACCCTCGTACTCCGCGTATCCAAGTGCGAGATTCAAATTTTCTTGTGAGGTTAGCGAGGATCATAGCATATGTTGGAACCAAGAAACTTACGTAGGCACTGAGTGCTGGCCCCCTTGTTCAAGTTGTCTATCGTGCTGCAAACAACCACCCTCTTGCCGGTACTATCGACAGCAAATCCCCCGATCTCGACACCATGTAGCCCGGAAATACTCCTTACAAGAGGAGCCTCACCGACAACCTTGACGAGCTTCTCGCCAGCATATCGGTCCTGGTAGATGTGGCGAATGTCGCGCGAGGTCATGGTTTTATTCAGGGGAATGTTGACGGTGAGATGAATGCCTCTGAACCAGGAAGCAACATGTGGCATAAAAGCCACGGGAGTGCCAAGATGCCGACTAATTTCTCGCTCGTGAATATGTCCTGTCAGCGAATATGCCACCAAGTTGTCCTTCAGTCTGTTAAGATCGTTGTTCGGGCTAGGTCGAGTGCCTGCGCCAGAGTACCCCGACACACCAAATATACAGGGTTCACCTCCCAGGTGCTCAAGCATGGGGGCCAGGGTGAGCTGGGCGCCCGTCGCATAACAGCCAGGGTTCGAGATCCGAGTAGCCTGGCAGATCGCAGATCGCTTGGTGAGCTCCGGTAAGGCGTACGTCCACGAGTCATCGAATCGGTAGTCGGCGGAGAGATCGACAATAACGCTCTTCGACTTGGCATTGTCAAAGACCTCAACAAAGGGCTTGGCCACGCCGTTGGGAAGTGCCAGAACCCATCCGTCTACCTTGCCAGATTTGTCTAACTCGATCGCGTCTTCGGGACTCAGGTTTTCGTATATGATCTTGCGCTTGTCGTAGCCCTTGAGCTCTTGTCCTGCCAGCTCGCGTGATGACACATGGCGAAGGTCCATGTAGGGGTGGTTATTGAGAAGGTCGATCAGAGCCTGGCCAGTGTACCCTCGAGCTCCAATGAGAGCGATGCGGGACGGAACATCGTTCGACGCATTCTTTTTCCCTAAGGGAGGGTTGGGGTTTGTCGTAGTAGCGAAACCTCGCCCTTGCCAGCTGGGAGTCGCCCGGAATTTGGTGGATGTGAATCGGGAGGGTGTTTGGCGTGGGGAGGCCAGGAATGGGTTCGAAGACGTGAGGAGAGACCGGGCGGCTTGGCGGTGGCCGTTGCGCACGGCCACCGAGGTAGCAGGGAGCATGATTTCGGGTACGTCTCAGGCCAATTGAGTGCCTGGTGGGCGGTAGGTATATTTTGTCTCGGCGACGTCGATGTTGCCTTCAAGAGATGGGCTGAATTGACAGTGTTTGCGTTCGGTGTCCGAGATCGGCGAACATCGCCGTTTGGTAGCGGTCCGACCATTAATCCCGGAAATAAAATCAGACGAGCGACTGACATAAAACATGGCACATCGAGACACTTCAGCGTTGAATTCAACGCATAAAACAATTAACCCAATAATGAACATAATATAAAGCTCAATACTATAGCATAATTTATTGTTCTCTTCTTTCTATGTTTGGTAAAATAAAGATCCCTGCCCTACGCGAAAAAGAGCTTTGGTGTACACTCAATTTGATGGCACGCGACTCCCCCACCAAGAGAGAGACCCGAGATACAACATTTAAATCAGGCTTGTAGGAGGATAGTTAATAAGAAACAAGTTTGATGAATTAACCAAGTCTTTGGGCACATCCTATGGTTCTTTGTATGGTAATTTCCACGAAAAAAACTGCATTTTTATCCCTTTCAGCTAATTTCATATGAAACCTCGCAAGTAAATTTCAGCCGAGGACATAATTCCGGATCCGAAATCCGGCCCCGGACATCTGGAGACCCCTCACCAGAAGACCACAACCAAGCAACCTCCATGATGTCCATCCCATCCAGCCAAACAAAACTTCTCGGTTGGTAAAATATCACTTATCGGTGCAATTTAATGGTGCTCTTGGAATAGGCAGGCCCCGTACTCCATTGTGTTTGCCGAACCAGGCAGACCGTTTCCCGTAGGCTCGATTGTCGGATCAAGGCAAATCTAGCACATGAGACATGCGCAGCTTATACTCCCTGAGGCCAAAGCTTCGCCGTCCCTTAGTGAATTGTGCCAGGAGGTGGAGCTCCCAGAATCAGCTGGAGACACAGCTGACGGCCCGCAATGGCCTTCGATGGACCCAGCCTCTTGGCCTTTTCATAGACAATGAGTTTGTTAGGAGCCAAGGACGCAAAGCACTGGAAACTGTTGATCCATTGTGAGTTTTCTACCATCATCCTGCCCTTGCCTTGAGTCTAATTCTTTTGGTGCAGTACAGAGCAAGGCATATGCTCTGTTTCCGCTGCAACAAAAACAGACATTGATCATGCCGTGTCCTCGGCTCGGAGGGCTCTCCGCAGTCCAGCCTGGAAATCTCTTTCCGGCACAGACCGCGGGATTCTGATGATGAAGCTGGCTTCTCTCGTGGACCAACACGCTGAGACATTGGCTACCATCGAGAGTTTGGATAACGGGAAGCCCCTCTCAGCATCACGGTCCTACGATGTGCCACAGTTCTCGGAGGTTCTTCGCTACTATGCCGGCTTCGCCGACAAGATTTTTGGCTCTGTCATTGATGTCGGCCCTGGGAAAATGGCATACACTCTGAAACAGCCCGTCGGTGTCTGCGGCCAAATCATCCCATGGAACTACCCTCTGGCCATGGCAGCATGGAAGCTTGGCCCTGCGCTCTGCTGCGGCAATACCATCGTCCTGAAACTCGCAGAGAACACTCCGCTCTCGATGCTCTATCTCGCAACTCTGATCCGAGAAGCCGGTTTCCCACCTGGCGTCATCAACATCGTCAACGGGCACGGATACGAGGCCGGGGCGGCTCTAGCTTCCCACGCGGACGTAGATAAAATTGCGTTCACTGGCAGCACGTCTACCGGCAAGGAGATTATGCGGATGGCGGCGGCTACCATGAAGGCGATTACGCTGGAGACGGGTGGCAAGAGCCCGCTGATTGTCTTTGAGGACTGTGACTTGGAGCAGGCCGTGCGTTGGGCTCACGAGGGTATCATGGCGAACCAAGGGCAGGTATGCACAGCAACCTCGCGGATTCTCGTGCAAGAGAAAGTCTACGACGAATTCGTGGGTCGCTTCAAAGCCTACACCAGCCAAGTCTCGGTCCTGGGCGACCCATTTAATGAGAATACGTTCCAGGGTCCGCAGGTATCAGCGCAACAGCGAGATCGAGTACTTACGTACATTACAGCGGCCGAGGCAGCTGAGACCTTGGTACATCAGCCGGTTTCCGCAGCTCTACCCTCTACGGGCTTCTTCGTCCCCCCAACAATCTTTACAGACGTGTCGACCTCTTCGGTCGTCTTTCAGGAGGAGATATTCGGGCCCTGCGCGGCCATTGCGAAATTCACAACCGAGATGGAAGCCCTATCAATCGCAAACGGAACGCGATATGGCCTTGCAGGAGCGGTATTCACCAAAGACTTGGCCCGGGCGCACAGAATGGCGAGGGATATAGAAGCAGGGATGGTATGGATGAACAGTAGTAACGACTCGGATGTGAGGGTCCCGTTTGGAGGCGTGAAGGAGAGTGGATTGGGGAGGGAGCTTGGGGAGTATGGTTTGAGGGGCTACTATAATGTCAAGGCAGTACATATCAACTTGACCAACGAATGATTTTGGAGGCCCAGGCCAGTAGTAGAGTAGCGGGGAACCATTGGAATATGTGACGCTGGGCAGAGTTTGATGCATCCCATTCCGGAAATTGGCTATATTACAGCCATCAGCTTATATATCGGGAAATAGCCCATATTAGATCCAGTTGTCATCCGTGAAGATAGCTATTCCGTAGGAAGCCGACTCACCTATGTTCCGCTGTGACGGACGATGGCTGCGGGCCCGACTAAGCCATCATCCATCTCGACAGGTATTCATAATCCACAAGGACAATGATTATACAGGGAGCAGAACTAGCTGTCTCTCATTGTGGCCCTCATTATAACACGCCATTTATTAAGACTTGGCTCAGGGGTCTTTCATCAAGACATGCGATAGACCGGACCTTTACTATTATCCAGAGCAACAGCTATTTTGCAGGAAGTCAAGCTAGTTTCTATCCACAAGGACAGCCAATCCGTAAGGAGTTGACTTCAATGTCACTCTGCATGACAACGAGAGTACATATTATGAGGGCAATGCAATCATTTATTGCAATGACCGTAAAATCATATTATTATACTTAAATCTACGCATTGACAAGCCCAGATTGCAATGTCAGTGTAGAAAGCAAATGAGAATATTTTTGGTCAATCCTTTTCAACACCTTGGCGCATTAGAAAATTTCTAAAGTGAATTCATTAGTTAAGCAATTCCTCAAACATCTCCCAACCTAACATCATTCCCATGCTAATTCCATCGTTCCAGTCATTCAAAATAGATAAAAAGTGCAGAGTCCCAGGATGGTTCGTCCCAAGAACCCGCCGTTGGGCCTCGACACACTTCTGTAGCAAGGCCATAGCATCATTATCTCGTCCTTGACCTTTCCAAGTCATGGCGAGGTTTGCCGTACTAAAGAGTGTATCAGGATGATCTACTCCTAATTTACTCTTGCGAGTCTCCATCACTTGCAACTGTAGCTCCTCTGCCTCTTCCC